ACATCAAAATCGTGAGCAATAACATAATTAAAATTTCCTTGTAGACTAAAATCCTTGTTCTAAATCCGAATCCGGAGTCAAAAAGTTTGTACAAGAAAGTTTGAAGAATTTTTTAAAATGAGGCCGTAAGTTATATTGGTGTAGAGCACCCACCTTACTCCAGACCCAATTTCGAGCACCCCTGTTTATTAGCGAATAAAGGTTGGTTGACTATTTTTTGGCAAATGGGACCTGGACACCCCCCACCCGAGCACAGTAGCTTACAATTGCGCTGATAAGAGGGTAGAAGTTTCAAAAGAGAGAGTCGAAATTGACGAGAAGGGACACTGGGCAAAGCAAATCCTGAAAACTGAAATGAATCTCAGCATCTGAAGGAACAAACAATTCTTTAAATTTAAATAATTTGAAGGCAATTATCAGCCATACCGAGGCAAAAGAAGCAGGGGGACTTTTGCACCCAGTGATCTCTACCTTACCCTGGGTGCCAGAGCCTCAGAGAGTCAAAGGATGAAGAACGGGGGAAGGAATTGCGAAGATCCTTCGACTCTCTGAGGCTCTGGCACCCAGGATATCTCTACCTACGCTCCTAGAATATACAAGTACTTTGTGCTACTATGAATTCAACTGTTGCTCCGTTTTAGGATGGTGCATAATTATGTAGTGCTGTATATAGGATTAATCAACAAACAAAATAGAAATACACTGAAAAGCTATGACTTTTCACTTCATTAGATATTCCAAAGCAAATATTAACATTAAAGACAATTTAGGAAATATAATATAACGGAGTAAAAGAGAATCTTCATTTTTGTAATGAAAAAATCACAGCCATTCATGAACCTTTGAAAACTTATTTTGTAAAAACATATAACTGATTAGTCTCTGGGATGTTTAATTACTAGCATTATTCATATTGGGAATGGAATTAATTGTCAGCATGAGTCAGAAAAAGTCTGGGTCGAGCTTAGCTGCGGGTCTTGTTGTTGATATTATTTATCATTATGTGCTATGAAACCAGGGGGTGCACAGAAGAGCACATGCTTAAGTCTTGTTTCCATATAGCCGTTAGGTACCGTAAGGTTGCTGCAGCCATTGCCGGAGCCATTTTCTCCGGCATGCCGCAGCCATTTCAATTTAAATGGAAACCACCTCTCCCGGTACCGCCGGCAGCCGCAGCCTTGATTGTTGCGGCAAAGAATAGAGAGGCATTCTGTTCCGGTACCGCATACATGAAAATTTATATGGAAATGGGTTGCCCGCGGCAGCCGCCGGCAAGCGGTTGTCTTCCTTTGTTAACTTCGACCAATCAAACCAATTTAGACCTCTGTTTTGACTAGAGTTCAATGTTTAAGCTAAATTTTATCCAGTACCAACCTACCTGTAAAACAACTCACGGTCGTGAAGTTTCAGTTCGTGAAACTGGCCATGGTTATTCCGTTCCATGAAAATTCTTCTCACCCAGCATTTTTGTTTCCTTTTCATCCGTTGTTTAGAACGCATCGACCTCACGTAGCCATAAATTAGAAAAAGAAGACCTCTTAACAGAAAACGTCGATCTAAAGTGGCAGACATTTTCCAAAAAAGTTGGCGCCAATTTAAAAGTGCGCCTTCCCAACTCGTAGTTTCCGGCATTGTTATGGGCATGGTTACCTGTATCTTGCGGTACTTCAGGCAAGTTGGTTGCGGCACAAGATTGAAAAGTTTCCATTTAAACCGTCTGACTGCGGTACCGGGGGCATGGCAGATGGAAGATGGCAGAAAACTGTTGCCGGTGAAATATGCGTTTTGGTACCCTATGCAAAAGTATAACATTGTGAAACGCAATGTCTTTCAAATCATGTTATTTCATCGTAGTGCGATATTATGAAACGTTACCAGCATCCCAAGAAACCTTTCCAGCATCCGAAATATCTTATTCCAACGAAATGTAATAAAAAAATAATCGAACACCAAAGCATTTCTTTATTGTTTCGTTTTATTTTCCAGCTCCACATAATTTAATATCTAGCTCCACATTTCGAGTTTAGAAAAAGTTCTGCATTTACACAACTTTCCAACTTGTAGTTTCCTGTAAAGCAGATTTTATTGTTCTTTTGATGCCAATAATCATCAATGCATAAACAATTTTCAATTTTCATGCTAGTAATTCAAAAAAAATATCAGTTTCGAAAGACAAAGAATCAATTTTCAAACGCCCTTATCGTAAAGCCTTTCCGTTACCCCTTCAGCTTTTCGGCGTTCGCACACCCTCACAGATGGGGAAAAATTCAAACCATGTTTCCAAAAACATTATCTACAACTTAGCAAATCTCAGTGAGTTTACTTCATAGTTGGTTGCATCATCACGAGATGTACATGGCAAGAAGCTTGTTTTTTCTTTTTTTCGAACTTTTTATATTTTTTCTTTATTCTTAATTATCAATCGTTTTAAAGGTCTGTCTCGGGCTAGACGTTAAGCCCAATCTCAAGTGAGAAAAAAAACTGCGAAATGCGAACAAGTTCGCGCGAAATACGTCTTAGGCATGCGCAGTAATCTTTTGCTGGGATTTCTCGCGAAGAATTTCTCCGCGAAAAAAAGTTAAGCCCAATCTCCAGTGAGAAAAAATACTGCGAAATGCGAAAAAGTTCGCGCGAAATACGTCTTAGGCATGCGCATTAATCTTTTGCTGGGATTTCTCGCGAAGAATTTCTCTGCGAAAAAAAGTTAAAATGAGTTTAACTTTTTTCGCTTTTCGCTTGCGAAATCCTTCAACAGCCAATCATATTCCGTATTCCTTTGTCACGCTTCCAAACTTAGCATTCCAATGTCGTGAGGTCAACAAAAGCATTCAAAGGAATTTGTCGCGTGAAGTATTTCGCAAGACTTTTTCTCGCTGGAGATTGGGCTTTAGAAAGGTCTGTAGAAATTACTCAAATCACTTCAAATATTACTTACTTGCTTGTGACATCTATCTCAAGACACACTTTTGGTTCTTTTTAATCTTTCTAAAATTATTGTGTTCATTTCTTCTTGTTAGGCAGTATGATAAAATGTTGTATATTGTAAATCCCACTTACAGCCTGAATTCGGTGACCCAGTGTCTTTTCTGGCTATGAATGACATATTTTATTGAAAGTATTGTGTTTAGCTGGAATATAAAAAACTCTCAAAAGAATTTGTGTGCTTAAGTGCTTGAAAATTTATTGATTGAAAGAGTAGCTTGAAACGCAATTCATAAAGTTTATAAGCTGTGCAATTAAAATTGTTAGCTGCAGTAAATTACTTCACAAGACGTTGATAACATTAGCAGAGATTTAGTCTCGATAATTCAACAAGGCGGGTAGGAGGAGCTCTGAAATATTCGCATCATTTACACTTAAAGTCTTATTCTAACAGAGGATAAGAAGGAAGAAAAATTATACAATTGTAGGAAGACAATTTGGCAGATATTTTTTATGGTGCGAAACCAAAAAGATAGCTTTCTAAAAATAAACATTTTAGAATACGAAAGCTTTTGTCTGATACTCCTCAGAATAGGAACAACAGGATAAGGATCGAAATGTTGATTTAGAAACTATAAACATTTTCCCAGCTGTGCATCTTCGAACTCAAAACTGAGAATATCCACAAACAGATCAAACAGCTAAGAAAAATTTTTTCGCTTGCTACTTTCATGTGCAGTTTCAAGAAAAGAGTTCATTCTTTCTCTAGCGATTAAGTAAAGCTTCCAAAACAACCATCCGGATAAACAAGACTTGGTAAGTGTGAAGTAACTAGAATTTAGTAACTACAATAGCCTTTCTCGCTGTCACTAGTCATGCAATCACTTACTTTCCTGGATGTTTCCTATCTCTGTCTTTGACAGTATTTAACAAGAAACGAAATTTCTATTTCATTGCCTTTTTCAATCATTGACGTAATCAGAAAAACTCACAGCGTGAAAGGCTTCTACACGAGATCATGCCCGCTTCGTTTCAAATACGTCTTTCTGCCTAGTCACTCTTTCATCGACCTTCCTTCGTTGATCATTTAACACGTACTTCTCCAAGACGAACGGTGGCGAGCCTTCCTTCCAGCAAATATCGTTTCATGACAATTCTGATATGAGACAGAGAACTCACACCCTGCCCTGTTATTTTGCTATTAGATTTAAAGCAGTTAAATGGACAATCTTGTAACAATCTTGTGGATTGTATGATTTTCAGCAGCAAAAATAGCTACACTTGTTTCTGATGAAATTTTCTTCTTGGGTCATCTTATGAGCCGGATTTTGATACAAACCATAGACTCACACTTGCATAGTGTGCCAGTTAGAATAACATGGTAAATAATATGTAAATTTGGAGATAAAAAGCAGCCAGAAACTAAAATTCAATCAAAGCATTCTCATAACAAAAATATCAAGACACTTACATTTGCTGTGATGCTTGCACTGATGAATAAACAAATCAGAGATGTAGTTGTCGCTGAATAAACCATTTTGGTTAAATAGGTCCAGAACCATCCATAGTGCTTCTATCCTTGCAGCATCTCCTTCACAGGGACACCAATCTTTTCAACATGGTATCTTTATAGCTTTGAAAGAGTCCATTGAGTGTTAAACAATAGCACAAATATACAAATGACACAACATTGTTGCATGCTTCTTACAATCTTTGATTTTATTCTTGATGCTGCCGGTTCAAAAGGAGTGAACATGTATGTAACTGATACTTTTTTCAAACTTGTATGTGAAAAAGAGAACCAGCTATTATTAAAGGGAGGTGCCACTTTGAATATCATAAAGAGTATATCTTAGTGAGTGTTATCTGACAGCATTTATTGATCTGCCTTGTCCAAGTGAGTCCAAAAGTTAAAATCTCCAATGAAAAAAGTTGACATTGAGACAACTGTAAAATACCACTGCATTCTATCAGGTCTATAATCATATTCTTCCCTAAATTTCTTACTCTATAACTTGTTTTGTTTAGTTTTTTAAAGGAATTGGTATATTCATAATCAAACTGAAGATTGGTTTCTAACTGAAAAATATGATCAAGTTTTAATGAGAGGCACAATACTTAGTTATAATGAATTTGCAAATTGATCAGCTGAATTTGGCTAAAATTTCAAATTACATTAAAAACCAAAGCAAAAAAGACACTGAAGTAAAATGAAGAGACCTGTATCAGGAATACAAAAGCAATTAAGTTTGATATGTGTAGAAATATGGAAATTAAAACTAAGAGCCTGAAACAAACTTAAGCAAAGAAAAACGGTCTATATATTATTTATATTGAATATAATTTCAGGAATTTGACAACAAACCATTCAAACAGTCACCTTTGGAACAGCAGAATTCTAGAATAATAAGCGACTTTTTGTCTCATGGCAAATTATTTTACTTGGATCTAGATATCTAGTTCAACTGCATTCTGACTTATTTTTCCTTCGGCCTAGTTTACACAACATGCGCAATTTAATAACAGTTATTCAAACGACACAATTACCCTTTATCAAAGAACAAAGTAAACGAGACTATCTCAGCTACTTCCATTTTATTTACATGGCTTTGCTTTCTATTTTTTTCGTCTGTGTTAGCTAAAAATAAAAAAGTAACACACCTGCAGCCATTTTTCCAAATTTTGATAGAATGAATTTTCCCGCGCTTAATTCAAATCCAGCCCTCGGCCCAGTCCTTATGACGTCAAAACAAAATCAGTGTCGACCACCGTCTCCATAAATATGTATAAACCTTACCTCCCCCTGTTTCTAATCAATAATTAATGATTGCTTCTTCATAGAATATATCGGCAGGGACTGTAATGGAAAAACTACCCACCGGGCCTAAAAGTTATAGCGCTAAAGACAGAAGACAGGCAAACGCGGATCCGCTCGTCACCCACTATTTATGGCTTATTTTAAGATTGCCAGTCTGGTAATGGCTAAAATTTTCTCAAACAGATAATTCTTGTGTTAATATCCTGTGCTAATGCAAGTTGTCTTTGATCTCACGGGAATTAATTATTTACAATTAGACTTACTAAACAACAAAGACAATGCCTAATGTTCTACTCCAAGGCAAACACATAAATAATCCTTACCAAGAATATCTAGTTTGAATTTTACATATTAATGGCTTCTGCAATCAGTAAATGTTAATCTATTCATGTCAATTAGATTATGTCTACTATCTGTGACTTAAAAAATACCCTTTTTAAATCCGTGACAATCAAATTCCAGATTGGAATTAGAATAGCCGAGAGGCAAGTTCAGCTAGCTTTAGTCTTAAATACACCAATTAGACTTACGACCTCGTTTTGGAAATTTCTCCAAACTTAATTATACGACTTTTTTAAGCTCAGATGTGATTTTATTGCCATGATTTTAGGCCGAATACAATTTTTCACATTGTTTGAGCTTATATTTTAGATTTTACGGAGAAATCAAGTTTGAAAACTTGTAAGGGATTTGACCGCAAAAATCGTTTCGAGGGGAAACTTTACCCCCCTAGTTGCCAATCACGGTCTAATTCCTTATAAAATTTTATGTCGTTATAAAATCAATATCGTCAGCAATACCAGAATGAAAACTTCAAAGTAGATTAAAATCATTGCTCTCAATCAGAATCTGAGGTCAAAAATTTTGTATAAAAGAATTTGGAGAATTTTTCAAAATGAGGCCGTAAGTCGAATTGGTGTATTAGCTGTAAATGAACTTTATGACAGATTGTTAGGTACACTTCTTGTGTGCCAGCCCAATTGAGAATCGGACTTTCAGGTCACGCCCTGATTGGCCAATATACAAACGTCAATGTAGAAGTATCAGTTTCAAGCAATTCCCATGATAGGGGTGATAAAAACAGTTAAGTAAAGTATAAAGCTATGTTAAGCAATGTAAGAATTGCATGGTAGGGTGTACGCCTCAACAGTGGTTCTTGTCACTTAAAATACACGTTGAAATATGCCATAGAGAGTGGATTGAATGAGATTAGATTAGGCATTGAATAAGAACGGATTGAAGTTGGAAACTAAAATTAACGTTACGATTATTGAAGTTGGATAATCCTCTATTGGAATTAGAATTTGAGCCTAAACAATAAATCGTTCTCATTCTTACCCTGTACCTGAAGTACCGATCTGAGTTTAATCTATCAATAAGTATTGGTTGAAACTATTGCAATGAGTCCGAAAAAAATATCTTTTTTTTGTAGAAATTTAAATGGACATATTAGTTCTAAACATCACTTGTTACGCGAGGGGTCCAGTAGTATGTGTTTACTTCCGGTTTATCAGAGCAACAAAATAGACTTTACAACAAAGGCAACCTTTATTGAGCATTACAACACTACAATTGAACATTGAAATTTTCACTTATTAAACAAAATTTAAGTAAATTAATTTCTAAAACGTTTATAATTTCATTGAAGATGAGTGAGAAGGAAGGTTCCTGTCCTTTTTACATAATTGACAATATTGCTTAACGCATCGATTTAGATTTTGTTGTTTCGCAGCAATCTCAAAAAAGATCTCAAATTGGATGCTCTGGTACAGTAAATTTTTCTATCACAACAATCACATCAGAACAGGTCTCGATTGTAAAAATTTTCAGTTGCAGATGTCGCGGCTTTAAAAGCACGTGATGTGCCCTAGTAAACAAAGCAAATGGATGCAAGGTTTACGAAAACATATACGGCTTTGAAAATTGAAATACGAGCATATCACGGCCAGGATGATCTCTTTCATGATCTGCAGTATTTTGACAATTTTGACGATATTTTAATACTCTTTGGTCAGGCATTTTGAGGATCAGTGAACAAGGAGGGGGCATATCGAGAAGGCGTACATCGTTTTGGGGGTAGGGTATGTGGAGAAGAATTCCGAGCGGGTGGAGCTGACGTGACCTAGGAAAAAAGTGACAAAAGAAACCAAGGCTTTAAACCAAAGACGAAACTCAAGATTCTTCGCGCAATAATTCAACTTAAAAGCATGTCATTATAAACTCCCTAGAATTCTAAATAATACTAGCTAAATTGGGGACGGGAGTCTAAATAATGCTCTGTTTTTGCATGTATTGACAATAGTTGATCGGCAAGATATTTTTTCCTCATTGTTGACTTCTCGCTCAGTCATATTGCAATATTCATGTTATAAAGATCTTTAGAATTCAAGATTGAGTTTTTATACAATAATAACCTTCATTGAAAATGCGACCCATAGCATAGACAGCTTTATCGTTCAGCTGGAAATACTTAAGAATTTTCTGCCTGTCTCATTGCTATACACGGTCAACCGAACCTTTAAAAATTCTTCAAATTTGTTGTTAAATGTACACAAAACATCGTACGAAAATAAGCAATATGGAGAGTACCAAAGTTGGTTACCAAACACGCGAAAGGGCGAACCGATTCGTAGATTTATTGGGACGAGACGTTATCATTTCATATGACTCTGCAGTGCTTCACAAATATGTTCACACGGCGCAGAATCACCGCAGCTATAATTAACCAGCTGCAATGAAAAGGGCCTTCCAGCCTTGTTCTCTCTCCGTCTTCGACAAATTATTGTGCGACAAGGTCCTCCAATTGCTTGCAAGAACGCATTTCCAAATTCTCCGCCTTTCGCAGCATTTCATGGTTGCCCCAAACCCTCGCTTGATACAGCATCTCTTGTTCTAGAATTGAAAACACAGACATAAAAATGGAACAGTCTGTTAGCTACCTAGGCTGATCATTTTGTTTGCCACAAACTAGCTTTTCTTATCTACTGCCAACAAACAACAAACAACAAACAAAAGCTTGCTACTTCCTTCTACAAGGCCGTGTTTCTGAACCACTCTATAAGTATTCTGAACCGTTGCACAGACGCATAACTGCTGCGAGGGCGACTTGGTTAAAATCTGTTAGGATGTCAATAAGATGATTCAGAAAATTGGGCCTATTGAAAGGCCAAGTTCTTTCTTCGCAACTTGAAGGTACTGCTGTAAACTAACGTAAGTTTGAGATGCCGGAAAAAACCACTGACCTCTATAAAAGACTGGATCGAGCTTCTTATTGTTTCACCCACATGAGAACCGAGGCTCGCCAAATTTGATTAGGCTCTAGAACCGTGGGACGCACCGTTCACCGCGAAACACCGAAAGGAACCGACATGAGTGTTAAACAGGGTACTCAATGTAAAAAAGTACGTTTTACAAAAAACTTACCTCTATCTCCAATTGACCATTTTTCAGTAAAGCAGAACATACAGCGCATCGACTATTAGGTCCATTAGACGCAGCGTGTAGCACGACAATTAACATCTTTGATCGCATCGAACGTTGCGAAATTTCTATAGTTACAATTCTGGTCTGTTTTTCAACCTATGTTTTTCAAACTTATCCAATAACTTAACCTGGACACAGTTATTTGTAATCTTATGTAGGCCCACACTCTACGATGGGTCCCACGCGGACAAGCAACATTAACCTCAGTCTGAAACGGCAGAAACTCGATCCAGTCTTTCATAGAGATCAGTGGAAAAAACCGACTGATGCCCTTATTCAGGCACAATTAGCGAAGTTCAGGACCAACTCCGCTAAATACAGTGGAACCCCGTTGAATTGTACCCCGGATACCTTGGACGTCGGACCAAGACAAAATAATAAGAACTATGATAGTCTAACTAAAACCCCTCGAGTAACCGAGACGTGACCACCTTTGACAAAAACAAGCCTTGGCAAGGCAAATAAGCAGTTACTCTGGTAGTTTTTTTTCGTGTTTTAGCACGGTCCCTACCCACTTCCCGTGGTCAACTTTCGTGCTTTTGTATGCCCTTTAGGGGGGCAGGTCCCCATTTGATCTATTTTTGGCTTTGAATTAATTGTTTGTGCCAATTCTTTGAACATTGAACAACAGGTCATAAATCATGAGAATACTTTAATCTACTTTAATTTAGAGAATACTTACTATACTGGCGTTCTTTGAAACAATTTATTTGAACTTTTTCAATATAATCTCTTTCTATGCGTCTTTCCAACTGTTCTAAGCTATCACCGTAGTAGGAATTCGAAAACGTTTTCTAAAACGGAAACATTAATAATTATGTCAACAAGATAGAGAAAGGCAAGCAAAAACCCCAGAAAAAAATTGATGATAAATTAAAAAGAAAAATGATGACAAGTTAGAAAATGTTCAGCAAGGTCTTTAAAATCAAAAAATACTTTCAAATTTTTTCGAAAATATTCCAAAGAAAATTGTGTCATTTTCAGCTGAAAATTCCGGCCTGTTCTCTCTACTATTCTGGCACAGGTATGCCAATTGAAGAGATCATGTTTTTGGTAATTTATTCCAGAACAGGTAAATAATTTTTTTTCTGGAGGGCACATTATTACCATTTTCTCCAAGGTAGCCCCCCCCCCCTCCCAGGCCCTTGTCATTTTTTATGTCTAAAAGGCTTAACAAAGGGGTGAAAAACGGCATTTTTGGCTTCTTAACCAACAGATACCAGAGGATACTTGTTAAATCTTTGTAGATTTTGTGCAGCGAGGGGCGTTTAGCAAAGATGTAATTATATACGACATAACTACCTGTACAAAATATTGTATTCGATATCTGTTTGTCACTTTTGGGTGAATGTAATTTCTGAAAAAAGAAAATTCTAGAAAATTCTTGTACAGACAATACACAAATTCAAATAACGGTAAAATTACTACAAACTACGTTGTACAACTAACTTGAGCCCGTAGGAGGATTAACCAGGCTTATCTAGGTCACATTTTGTTGCCATTAAGTTTAAATAACTAACATAACATGTTTTATCGATGAAATCATAATGTTCTGGCCCAGACTAAAATTGTGGTCCCTTATCCGAATAAGAGGTCATCAATCTGATAAAATAGTCTGGTGTCTTTTTTCAAATGAATCGGTGGTTGGTATTAATTGAATTGTATTGCAACACGTTAAAAAGAATTCTTAAAAATGGGATTTGAAGGTTGAAATCGATTTGGATCCTAAGGAAAGTCAAAGATAAACGCAAGTTTCAGTCTGAGGGTTAAAAATCAAGTTGTAGGGAACAGAAGGGTAGATAAGGAGATACAAACTCTGCATTTAGAACTACTTAGATATTATAAATAAAGGGTTAAATTAAATCAGGGTACGAAAACATTTTTCTTCGACCAGACAAAAATAATGCATAAATTTCCTGAGAGAATGGGAGTTACATTTGTTTTGTCTTCACGCTTTTTTCTTTTGATGAACATGAAAGAAACAAAGGTGCTTCTTGCAAAAGATTATATCTTAAAAAAATTCCTACAGAACTTTATTCATGAAAAGTTTCCTGCGACCGCCCGGTCACATGTTTGGTTTTCATGCCTTGAATTAAATATACCTCTACTTTAGAGACAAGAGTCCTAAATGCTGGGGTAAAGCTCCTTCCAACGTTAAACAACAGACATGCAGAGGACATTTCATAGAGATTTTCTTAACATTTTAAAGAGGTTTTCTCTAGATCTGCCCTTGAAGAAAAATGAATCTTGAGCCTCTTAGGGAATAAGAGGTTGGAATATTACAAAAGAGGCTTAAAGGCGCTACTTACCCATTCTGATGAAAACTGTAGGGAGGGTCTTGAACTAATAGACTACTAAACAGAGAGAACGCGACTAGGATGAAAATCGGAAGCAACTGCATAATCGGATAATAGGCAGGAACATTCTAGAAAAAAAAGAAGATTGTTTATCCCAAATGGCCTACATTTCTAATTGGTGCTATTTGGCTTCGAAGATTTAGTGACTCCTTTTTCTAGAATAGAATTTATGGTTCTAACTAATTCTTTTTTCTTGGGTGATGAAAATATTTGATCGATAGTACAGCTGATGGTACAAATGATACCAGGCGGTTTCTTTCAAATTTTACAAGTAAATCTCAGAACCATTCTCTGCTAAGGACACAGGACAAGGTAGGTATGAAATTATCACCTGGGGTTTTGATTCATTTTGGGATTTTAAAAAAAAAAGTTTGGTCGGATGCAAGAGAAATACTTGAAAAACAGCCTGCATTTTTCTAGCGCGGATTGCTTGCCAATTAAATTGCGTCCATTCCCCAAGCAGAAGGCACTGAGCCCCTGGTACCCCATCGATGCTTATTATAAGGCAGGAAAATAGCACATCTGCATGAAACAATTGCGCGAGTGCACTAAGCAAGAAGAGAGGAGAACAGGGCCTACTGAGCATTTGGACAAGGCCTGGGCAACGTACAGTCCACGAGCTTCATCTAGCCTTTTGGGCGTTTCTGTCCGGCCCGAATCAGTGTGTAGTCAAGTAGAACATGAATGAAAAAATAATATAAAATTTATGTTATGATGTTCATGCTATACAACTGTGTGAATGCTATTTTTGAAAATACTTTTGTAGGAGTACTTTACCACCTTACCTTCATCATAATTTCAAATATTTATTTCAATATTGACGTAATATCAATATGAAAAAATTTTGGCGGCAAAGAACTTGAAAATGGCTTTGAAAAAAGCAAACATTTCACGACATACTACTTAAAGTTTCCACGACATTTCACGCAAACATTTCACGACATTTCACGCAAACATTTCACGACATACTACATTTCACGACATAAAGTTTTTTCGTCTGACACTCCTCAGAGTATAAAACGTCAGAACAAGGGTCCGAAAGAACACGATAAAAAATATATTCCCAGTTGTGGATCGAAATAGGCCAATCAGAAAAACGCAGCTTTCTCTTGGTCTCTCTTGGCATGCAGCACTGATTGGACAACTATGCTGGTCATGTGCTTGGGTTTTGCTGATTGACTTATTATAGTTGGTTGGGACCTCCAGCACGGTGGATTTCTCAGACCTCTGTATTAAATCAAGCCCTAAAAATAGCAAAGGAACAAACCTGCTCTTCTCGACTATGAAAATGAGCGTGATGGTGCTGATTGTTTCGGTTTCTCCGGTGAACGTAAACACGACCTGACAAAAAAAATTCGACAGTTTTATAGACAAATAACCATGAATAATCTATCGTTATTGGAGAGTCGATCAGAATCTACTACAGAATACAGAACTGAAAAGAAATTCCAATATCCATCTAAACTGGCTCCTATTTGTACTCATTTTGTTAATGATACAAAATTTATAGTCCGGCTATAACGTACATTAGGTGACCAGCGTATTAAGTACGTTATATCCGGAGTACGTTGTAGCGAGGGTGAGTAAAAAGTGATTAAAACCAAGCACAAATTGCCGGGACCAAGCACACCAGTACGTTATAGCCGAAAGTACGTAATACCGAGTACGTTATAACGGGATTCTACTGTACCAAAAATCGCCGATCGCAGACAGATATAGATATAAATCAATAGAAAGCCCTATGCCTGCTTATACTGAGCTCCATATGGATTTTATAACCTAACTTTTGCCTGTACAAGTTATATATCTGATGACTACATATCATTTAGATCTACTCTATTGGTATGACCTCCTAGTTTGAATACGGATTGACTCGACTACGGTTTAATTGGAACAAAGCATGAGCCTGAAAAGTCACAAGAAAGTTGTGTGCAGCCATAAGATGAAATTTTGCAAGGAGCAGGAACACGATTGAAGCGAAGCATAAGTATAGAAGAAAGGAGAGGAGAGTAAAGGGAAGCAAAAATACAGAAGGAAGGAGGGAGTGGAAACAGGTGCATAACCACAGACTAAAAGAGAGAAGATAGAAGGGTGTATGAACACGGAAAAAGGGGGGGGAGATTAGAGGGGTGACTGAATTCTGAAGAAACAAGAGGAGAGGAAAGGGGTGCATAACTATAGAAAAAATGAGGTGGAAAGGGGTGCATACACACAGATAAAACGGAAGAGAGTGGAAACAGGTAAATAAACAAAAACGAAAGAAGGGGAGAGTCGAGAGGTATATGAACACATAAGAAAGGAGGAGAGAGTAGAGGCTACTAATATTTCAGTACTGGCTATCATAAACTTTGAAAATTAAGTGAAAGTTTACCTGTAGGAAATCCACCGCCAAAGAACATGTTGAAAATATCTTCGGGTGAAATATCTGGAAAAACAAAGTATATAAATATATAAATTGTTTGCATTCTATTACAGCATATGAACACAAAACCATAGATTAGAAAATCACTGATAACATAATACATAAAGGGAACTTTGAAGGAAAATGCTTCTTTAGATCGCACTTTAAAATTGAAAAACGAAGAGCAAAAAGCTTTTTACGATATTTTATATTGAAATGAAACAAAAACAATTTTATTGGGGCCTTATTCAATGAATTTTTCACCAGGTTTCTCAACTCGCAATCTGTAAGAACTTTGTGTATTAGTAGCCTACATAAGATATCAAGAGCGAGGAATATTTTGGAAATGATAATTCAGACATTATAGCTAAACAAGTTAAGTTGAAGATTATTCTCAACTCGGTTTGCAAAAAGCTTAACAAAAGATGAAATGACGCCAAACCTTCAAACTCCCTTTCAACGTCACTGTAATGTCTAGTGTGCCTCTGAGCAGGCCCAAGGGTTTCTCCATACTCTTCATATCGCCTCTTCTTATCTGGGTCACTCAGCACTGCAAATGCAGTTCCAATTCCTGGGAAAACAGACATTTTGACTTATAATACACAATAAAGGAAACTATACTAGATTTCAAATTTTATGCAAGGCCTACTTTCAAAGCTGCCTTTTCCCTTTGTCAATTTCTCCTGTTTTTTCTCTAGCTTCTTGGTGGAATATGAGATGAGCTCAATTATAGTTTTTGCAATGTTGTTTCTACTTCAAGCCTGAATAATGGTTAACATTTAGCAAAATTAGACACAGAAAAATTCCCTGAGTGTATAGTTCTTTTCAGTGGTTCTTAAGAACACTGAGGAAAAACATAAGGAAGAAAAATAAAAAATTAAGCTCATATTGAAAAAATTAAAAAGGTTACTCTACAGAATATTTCACTCATGAAGATAAGCTTGAAGAACACCTAGGGTTTTCAATAAGAGTAGATAAATGTTTCTCAACAAAGGATAAAATTTCACATGATTAAAAGTTCTTAAAAAATTCAAAAAGATCCTAAGATGCTAATAATATACGCTTTAGCTGTAGTTAATATATCTGGTCTTTTTGTGTTAATGTTTGGATTTCTAAATAAACATTCACAGTCACTCTAAACCAGAAAAGTGGCCTACTTTGGTCAACAATAATTGAGTTTAGAAGACTGTTAAGCACATACGTTTGAATGCTTCAGTTGCACCTGGAGCCTTGTTTTTGTCAGGATGAAACTGCAATGCAAGTTTCCTGTAGCTCTTTTTCAGCTCTGCTTCATCTGCATTTTTGGACACATTTAAGATTTCATAAAAATCTTTGCATTTTCGTATCCTGAAAGAATGCATTTTCAATGATTAAATTAAAAACAAGCAAAACAATCAAAAGATGCCTTAATTACTTACAAATATAAGAAAAAGCACCAGAGAAGCATATTGTATGTTCCTTCTTTTCAGAATGGCACATAATTAATTTTTGGTCACATATTGTGGAACATTAAGGCATTTCCGGTGGGTGAAAAGAATCACATTTAGATGGCAAAAACACAACAAGAATAAGGATTGTTTTTTGCCGGTTCCTTGTTATGACTTATCAGCAATTGTTCCCCACTCAGATAGTTCAAGAGCAGAATCAAATCCATTAGCACGAAACCCAACCCTTCCTAAGGAAAAAAATGTAACACAAATCTATACAAACATAAGCATAACACACATAATGAAAATTACAATTTTGTCAGTCTGACATACCTTTGAACTGTTTTACCAGACAGTTCTAAGTAACTTTAGTGAGTTACAGGCTTAAGGCCAATTGCCTTGCCTAGGTACCATTTTGAGCATAAGCATGTATATAAACCAACATTTTTCCTAACTTGCTTCTTATTAAGATAGCACTAATAATATTAGATTGCTTCTTAATAAGATAACATTAATCTTAGTCAACAAATTCTTATGCTTCAGCACTCATTAGCCATTGTTTGTTTTTTCCTTTTGTCAACTAACCTGCTAACTGCATCAGCTTGTTCTTTAGTATAATCATCATCTTCAGGTCCAGCTGATGATTTTCCTTCAGATTTTGTTCTTTTCCTTGAGTGCCTCTCATTTTCTTCTCCACTACCAGCAGGTGAACTTCCATTCTTTTCTAGAGCTTCTAATAAACCTAGATTTCAAGTATACATGGTAACATTTAATCACAATCAAATCTTGCCATATAAGTAGTTCTTAAGAAAATTGAGGAAAAACATAAGGAAGAAAAATATAAATTAAGTTCATATTGAAAAAAGTAAAAAAAATGTTACTGTGCAGAATATTGCACTCGTGAAGCCAAGCTCGAAAAACGATATTAGGCTATGTTGATTTGCTAAATGGTGAAATCCATGTAGATCTTGGGGAAATGTTATTTCTATCTTTTTTTTAATTCTTTATATTGTATTTATATTCTGCTAATACTGTGACTAACTGTTATGAACAAACATTTTGCTATGACAAAACAATGTCATCACTGAGCTTTGAGTCACAAAAATTTGGTAACTTCAGAACAAGAAATTTCCCCTACACATCTGTTAAAGAAGGTCAGCACTAAGGAGACTTGAAAGTTTTTTGGTGATTTTTGCATGCTGCCAACATAATATGCCCTTTAAAATTCAAACCACTTTTGTAAAGCCATTTAGGGTCATACATAGTTTAAATTCAAACAAACAAATCTTTAAACTAATGGCAATACTTTTAACTTAGAATTTCCAACAATTATCTTTTCAAATAATAAAAAAATTTACAGGTCCAGAGTCACTGATTGTGCTAAATGTGACATGGTTGATTTAGATTAACATTGTCAAATTAAATTTAGGTGATGGAGTACCAAGATGATCATCATTGACTTGTCATTTTGTAGTGAGTGATAAAATTTCAGCTATTTTTATAGTCACTCTTTCTGTCAATGTTGTCAAGGCACTTGAGTGTATCAATTTATTGCAGGGACTTTGATCGTTCAATTATATAAATAAAGAGATGAAATTTTGCTCTGAGCAATTGGCAACATTATTTGTTCCAAACAACATCACAATAGACACGGAAAGATATGGCTGAAGATTTGTGAATAGTTTATCAATTGCATTCTATTGCAACATATCACACAATTTTTGCCACCAATAGGCCAACCTCAGAAACAAAAATTTCCCACCAAGACATTTAGTATATTATTCAATATTTTGGAGATGTTGATAAGAATAGGCAAAAACCAAGAATATTCATTTGCTATTTTAAGCACTAAACCCTGATAAATATTATATTATTATCAAACTAAGAAGCCATATACAACTTATTTCAAACTCACTGTAGCTATTCAAATTTTGGCTAGCTTGAAAAAAATGCAGCATTACCACCATTTCTACTGCAGGTTGTGTAATAATTTTTTTCACCAAGTGTAGTTTTTGATTTCAGGCTTGCATTATTCACGGAAAAATAGCCAAGAGAGATTTGTTCATGACAGAACCTTAACTTATTTAACAATAATAGGGCTATTGCAGGCAAAACAAAAATTTTCCAGTCTAATAAGAGAGTCGGTCAGTCAATCGCAAGAATAAAATACCAACCTCTTGTGCTGTCGCGAGAAAGGTAAAAGGGGGGAGGATTCTACAAAAGCCTGTGGTGGCGGGATCTGTAAGTGTACCAGTGGTGTTAGTCGTGACATAAATAGCTATGGAATGGTTTTTTGAACATTTAAATAAAACTTTAGCATCATACCTATCAATTAGGTATTCTAGGGATTATCAGTAACCTTCAAGTGGTCCTGTACATCCAGAACAACGCAGCAAGGTCAAACATGACAACCTCAATGCCTTACCGGCCTAAGTTTTGAAATAGCACGGCAGATGCATTTCATATACATACCACTGGCATCTTTTAATGGGAAAAGGCGCAAAGCCTTTTCAAGAAATCGTTTGGCTTTATCTCTATGCCCCGAACGCAGACATCTCTTTGCAATTTCTAGGCATTTCTCAGCTTCATCACGATTGCTCTCCATCTTTATTATTTCACCTACCGACTCATCCTAGGAACAATCCAGATGCTCCTCCGCAACAGTCCTTATCAAGTTATCATGTCAGGTTTTGGGATGACGACATCAAACTCCGACTCAACCTTAAATTTGTTTCAGCATATCAAGCTAATTACAATTTAGGTCACTTTTAAATTGTTTCATTACAATAAACAATAGAAATTGTGGGATAGGATAACATAAGTAAGTTATATAAACAAGATGAATTGTTACTAGCTTAGCTACTGTCCGCATGGAAGAAACTCAAGACAGAGAGGGCATCAAAGCCATGTGACCAGTTTAAGTGACTTGACGATATGTATATTATATAAATTATTTTGGTTTGAAAATTAACAATCAGAATCAGTAGAGATAAAAACATTTAGAATCAGCGAAGAGTAAAAACGAGTCTTAAGTGTTAAAGTATCTCAGAATAAACTAAAAAGAAGTAACTAGAGACAAAATACAAGAAAACGAAACGAGGGTTTAATACAGTACATACGATTATTTGCATCCAAATGCTGGAGTCTAAAGGCCTTGTAAATTTCTTCTAAATTGGTACAATATAAATTAATGTATATATATTTAGACAAACATAATGTCACAGTTTCTAAACAATTTGACGTTTCAAAAACACACAAGGACAAGTGCTGTTTAACAACAGCGGCTATTGGAGATTGCTGTTTAAAAACAGTTGGTACTGGGGACGCATTTCCTTACTTTGATGAAAACCTTTGATATAAGGCTTAGCGAAGAAAAGAAAGGAATGGTAAACTGTTTCCCTTTTAACTCTATCCTGGAAATGGGAAGATGGCACGATGTCATTATTATTCTCACTAATACAAGCAGCTTCAATATTCAAAGTAAGATAAAACTCTACTTTAAATATGACTATCAATCAGACTGAAAAAGCCTTTTAAGACTTTCATTGCATTGTTGCACAAAACATTGTGGCGCAAGAAACCTTTATGAGCGGTCACAGACTAAGCAACATAGAGAATATAATGGAGGAAGAGAGGCAGGGCCGCCGAGAGCTAGAACAGGCCCCTGGACAGCTAATAGAAACGGGCCCCTTTTAAACTTTTTTAATTTTCAAACAAGATATTTTTGATCATTTCAAGTAGATTATCAAAAACGGAAAAATTTGCTATTGACTAAGCTGAAAAGTTCTAAAATGTCTTATACACTAAAATACATAACTTTAAGTCTTCGCTTTAATATCATTACAAAATATAACAGAACAAAGCAGCTTCAATTTTTTACGGGCCCCGGGGCAGTTGCCCCGGCTACCCCGGCTCCTCTCGGCGGTACTGAAGAGAGGGACTACTTCCTACATTTTCTGCTTGACAGTGACCACTCCCATTCAATGAACTTTGTTTTTCCAAATGATCACGCAACAACATTCACAGATCTCTGTGCAAGCTTGCGCAGGCTAAGAAAATCTGGATACATCACTTTCCCTCGGCATACTACAATATTGGTTGGGGACTTTTTCTGGCCCTTCGTAGTGAGCTATTCTTAAATGCATTAAAAAATAGGGGGGGGGGCGAGCAGATATGTGTAGACAAAAAAGCTTACTTAAGATCTCCAGCATCGACATTAGGAGAATAGACAAAAATTTTCAAGGATTACAAAAGAGGTTGGTTAGATATCCATCTACTTTGTAGACCCCATCCACTCCCGTTTATTTTCAACCCAAGCTCAGTGCAAATTACCAGCTTTCCTGATATTTGTTGATTTATAGCCTTAAAACTTAATGATTGAACCAAAATGGCACCAAAATTGAATCGTCTTTTACTTTTAAAATTCGAATTCTAAAAGCAAAGTATTTCAAAGAGGCTCTGAATCGAGAAAAAACCCAAATGTCTTCTGTTGATACATAACACAATGCTATTCTAGCATAGATTTCAGAATCAATATTTACTGCACTATATCAAACCTTGAATACATACTAATTTTGCAGAGTTTTACAAGTCAATTCAGTTAAAAAACATTGTGGAAACGGGTTCGGTCACAACGAAGCTGCTTAACTCTATAAATTTTCCATGGTCTAGCTAAGAAATTCAATTTCCTTATATTCATTACTACAACCGGGAGCAGACTGACCGGTCGGGCACATAGGACGCGGACCGAGAGCCGGGTACTACAGGGGACCAGCTCTATGTGTTTCCAGTACTTTGTTTGCGACACGGAGTCCGTCTAGCTCATGGGTCGGCCCTAAGAACAGGTCAGTCCGCCCCTGACTTCATCAAAACCTATAATTTTTAACAACACAAAGCGTGCACTTGCCAAAATTGACATGCCTCGCAGTTACGATCTCCCGGCAAAGATAATTCTCACAAGTCCCCTACCCACAACCTCAAACACAACAAGCCACCATAGGCCTATATTTAGCACGTATATTAAACTGAATATCCTTATCACACATGTTAAAAGGAATTTTTGCGGCACTTTGCAATAAATAACTACTACAATCTATGTCTCGATTAGCATAGGGTAAAAATTACGTGAATAACGTAACAATCGACTTGTAATTGCAATAACTTCATGTTTAGGGTCCATCGAGGTGCTTGATAGAATAGGGCTGTTCTGTGGCAGGGCAGCTTATGAAATACGTTAGGCAGTGAAATAATCCATCAAATTTCATATAGATTCTGAAAGGCTCTGCTAATTCGGTGGGAAAGTTTGTGGAAAAATCTTATCCTCAGTTTTGAGAGGGAAGGACCTAACTAAAATTGAGCAGGGTCTAAGGATGCACGCGGAACAAAGAATGCTATTGGCATATAGCTGGGCAAAACCAATGATTTCCAAAACTTGCCAACTTTGCATTTCAACTTTTGACTTTGACTACAAAAAGGTTCATGTTTTGGCCTAGGATGCTATTCTGGAAAATGTATCTATAAGAACAGGAAATCAGCACAGTCAACAAACCTATAAAAACAGGATATCTTAGCAAAGCCTTAAAGGGCCTTATTTCGGAATAGTAGCCAAGGGTTTTCTCTAATTTTGGAAATTTACATTCAAGTCGTAATAATCCCTGAGAAGGCAATGAATTAAACTCATTTAAGATTATATCTCAGCCGATAGTTATAATCTATTCAAACACTCCGGTATCGAAACGGCAAATTTCTATATTTTATCAATTCGTCAAAATTCTACTCATCAAACAATCTTTACAGCCAGCCAATGCTGTTATGCTAAGTATACAGTGCATCTATCGAATAGGTCTACTGTTGGTTTTCTCAAGCGGGGGTCTGGGTACAATGACGTAAACTGATTCTGGTTCAAAGGTGCAAAAAGTCAAACACTGAGTTGCCTGATATATGCTAATTTCCCATGTCCCTACCATTTTAAAAATATTATGAGTCACGATCCTCCTTTAAATTTTCAAATCACTTATAAATATTATCAAAACTTAAAATCCAAACTTCGAAGAAATGTGTTAGGAAGTAAAAAAATGATAATTAGAAATATATTCCGAAATTTAGCTTTCAATTGTTTTCAATCTCAAATAGGCGTGTAACCTTAGGGATCATGCTTCATAGGTGCACTGGACATGAAATTGGGCTCTAATTACTAATAGCAAACTGAAGTGAACAGTCAAAGGGATAATTAGCTGGCTGCAGTCACGTGGTTACCTTCGTATACATGACACTATTCTTACGTACAGGGAGTTCTTTCCAAAGAAGATTTACCTAAAACAAAATTATTGCGATATAACACAAGAAAGTATTGGAAAAATGAAAGGTTTGTTTATAATCATATATTTCCTGCTGCATGATAATTGCATGAAGCACCAAACGCGGAGTGCCAACATAGAACCGTTATGTTTGATGCAGAAAGCGTGTTTCAAGGAAAGCGAGATTTGGGATTGAATGGATACAACCATATCTAGGTTAATAACTTGTTGATGGTGATGGCCATGATAATGAGCAAAGAGTTATAATAATTGATATTATTGATGGTGGCGTGATTGGTGGTGGAAGTAACGAATTGTTTATTTTCTCATGATGATTTTCTTTACAAATATTTCCTAAAGAGCTTGCACTTGTGAAGAGACTTGCATTTTCACCAAGCACTCTAAGAATCTATAAATTCTAGGCGTAATACTTGCATGTATAGTAATAAAGGTTATACTTATCGATGTATCGCCAACTTAGACTTCTTTAGCATCATGGCACGTTTCCCTTATAGGCCTACGCGAATCAACTACCTTAGGGTGCAGGGACTGACTTACCGGGGGACTTACCCTCCTAATATGTTTGTGTCCTTTGGCAAATTGTGCTTTGATTCGGTAAAAAGCAATTCTTGGTAGTGAGCAGTAAGAGAATGATGCAAAAATTATTCTATTTATCTTTGATATCTTAAAGCTAAAGACTGTTCAAAATGGGAATTTCCATAATTCACCAGAAGGGTGCGGCAGCAAAATCAAATCATTTTCTAACACTCCCCCACCCTTTCCCCCAATGTTTTCCGATAAAATCCGGCCCGGTTTGGTTGGCTGGAGAGTAGACAAGAAAGGTGGTGGTGTCGATGGCAAAAATTATCAAGAATGCAAAAAACAAACCTTCCTTATTCCTCTTTATCAGTTTTAATGCTTGGCTTGGTGAATCCATTTTTAGTGAGGCTAACGAGGGCTTTGGCCGCTGCATCTTCCCTTGATGCATCAACAGTTTTACCCATCCCTTGAAAAACAACTGGAGGTACTGTGCATACAGCCAAGTGGGTCGTGTATGGCTCTGATTCCGTGCGCTAAAAGAATAATACATGTATAGAACATAACTAAAGCATAAAGTACTAAGCTTTGAGCAGCGACTTTGGGGGGCTTTGGGTCCCCGAGCCGGTCACTAGGCCATCTCTTCTAAGGAGTTACAACTGTCTACAGGTTGGACATTATTTTTTCTTTTTTACAAGGTTGAGAATTGGTTTTTGTTTAATAAATATAGCGTTTGAAGCATGCACAGTTTATACAAACCGAAGGAAAATAAGAGTTCCATAGATGCTGAAAGCGTGGAGACCTGCTGCAACAAATTTCATTTTAAGCACATATATACTAATATTGTGTTTGCAGGAAGGGGAACAGAAGCTGCTATTTCAAAACAAAGGTGAAATACAAAAACAACGGGAAAAATAGATTATTATTGCCCTTTGCACCCTAACATACAGTTCCTGGAACAAGGTTGCCAAGTTTTGGAAAATAATACCTGTGAGATTTCATGAGCGCAACTAGTGAACAATGGAACTGGGGTCCAGGGTTGGGGGCAAAGAAATTCTAAATTTCAGTAGATTTGGAGTGCTCAAATGGCTTAAAACTAGACCGTTCAGAATGCCTAAACATTTGTTTATTTGACATTTAAAACATTTCAGAAAAACACAGAGAACAGGCTTTTAAACGTAAGAACAAACCGTGAGACTTGGCAACCTTGTGGAAGGAAAATGCACAACTTGAGATAAAAGAATGAAAACGCTAATATGCATTAGTTTCCACCTACCTTTCCATAATCATTGAACAAAATTTGAAGGCCTTCGCGTTCTGTTAAAATTCTAAGCTGATCTGTATTGGACATTTGGGTCATCTCGCCATTCTGAAGACTGACGCGAGTCTGCACAGGGCCACCAGGAGCTCTGTTTAACATCTGTATTGGCGGCTTCTCGTCTATTTTTAGCGTGACTGGGTTCGCAGCACTTTTAGGCAGGCCGATTGCGGCACTCATGTAGGCCTGGGAAATGATATTTTTGCAAATTCACGAAAGTAAACTTTCAATATCGATTGAGGGCAGAGATTTGAAATGCGATAAAACATCGCACCACGTTCCAATACAAGTCAAATACACCATCAACAGAGGATAAAAATGGGTAGCTATTAAAAATGGGTAGTAAAAAGCTAACATTAAACTTTTTATAAATGAGACTTTCTAAGGAACCACCTTGAAAGATCGAGATATTTTTATAGGATCATAGGCCAATAGATAGTTTTCAATTTAGATACTCACAGTGTGATTCTTTGCCACGCTTGTAAAATAAATTACTAAAATATATGTTATTTTCGAAAAGGTAAAAGAAGCAAATGTCACGTTTAGGAGAAACAGTGGACCAAGAGATAGCTAACAAACCCAATAGTATTGGCAAAACATGTTGAAGATTTTCTGCAAGTATGAAAACACAATCAGCCCCAAATGTGATCCTTGTTGAGCTATAAAATATTTCATGAGGGTTACTTGGCGTTATAACTTTAACCATCATTCCATTGTAGCCCAAAAACCAACATATAAGAATCTGTTCAAATTTATAGTAAGTTTGGGAATAGCTTTACGATCAAATACAGGATATTACGCATTGAAGCTATTGCCATAAAATTTGCACATACCTTCTTCACTTCATTCTCTGCTTCTCTGATTTTCTTCTGATCTATACCTAAAACCTTTAATAAATTATCTGCAGCTTTCTGTTTTGCCTCCTTCTTGGTAGAGCCAATACCAGTTGCTACCAATTCAGGATTGTCACCGACTGACACCTTGATTAAGAAAGGCTCATTTTGAGGGTACTATTGGAAAATATCAGAATTGCAGGTTCTACTTTGCAAGCATTGATTAGTAAAAATGACATAACTCAAAAACTTTTTGGCATATTTTGGCAATACTCAAATAGCTTTATTATAAAAAACAGACCTGTTTTGTTTTGAGAAATGTAGCAAGAACAAGTGCAAATCATGTGAAAATCAGTGGAAATCAAGCAACAATCGGTGCAAATCATGCAAAAATCAATCAAAGCCTAGTGCAAAAAGCAACCTAAATTGCTAGATGATGTGATTAATCACCTTCTGAAAGATGAGTTCTTAAGAAATTTTCATTAGATTGTTTCTCACTCTTGCAAAACCAACAATACAATATAGAATTGATCATCAAGGATTAAAGTTGGCTAGGATATTTTGCAAGAGTATATATGATATATTACTCTTAAGCCAATTCTGTGTTAGTGAAATTGAGAGGTCCCAACTAAGGTATTTCAGGCATGTGACCTGTGATGGAGCTTATCTGGTGTAGGAGATGATTCTGGGTTATGTGGATGGAATGTAGGTGTAGGTTTCCTTTTCCTTTTAGAGCATACCACCCTAAGAAAAAACACCAAGTGCAAGACTTATTAGAGGGTTCTTTAACTGTCAGTGAATTAAAGTAACATGTACCTGAATTTCAAACTTCTTGTCATTTTTGTTTGCTGGATCCACTAGAAGCACATATGATGGAATGGATTCTTTCCTTAGCTGCAACAGCTGTGTCAGATACGTAACAGGATCAAGGAAAATGTCAATTACACGGTGAGATTTTACACTTCTTCTCTTATTTGAAGTTCTGTATTTATTATTTTGTTTCTTCTCTGTTTTATCTAAAAACAAATATTGAATTTACAAAGTTGCAAATTACAAGCTACAGGGTACAAAAATAAGGCAAACAAGCTTTTGACAAAAAGGCTAAAAGAAGAGAAAGACATAAGATCTGGTTCAATATCATTGTGCAAACCCTCTATCCCATATCTAAGAAAGATATGATATCAAAATATTTAAAATACTCCCTGTAAGCCAATGACAAAGGGAAGCTGACCCAGAATTGGCTAATGTGACAATTTTCGACCAACATTAAGTTGAAGAGTTAAAAAAGGGTTAGATAAACTCAGGTTTACTAAACAATCAGATTTGTGAAAGTGGGAAAATATCTAAAAGGAGTTTGGTGTAAGGTCTCCACTAGCAACACCACATTGCATAAAATCCCTCGCATAAAACAACTAAGGAAAGCAGTTTATATATATATTTGACAAAGCCTTATTAATGTCAGCTTACATTCAGAAGAAGATTTGATATCCTCTGAGCTCAAGAGCAAAGATAACATTTGCTGAGCTGCAAGCTTTTTAGCTGCTTTCTTTCCAATACATTCAGCTGTACTTTCTTTTTCGCCTACTTTGCACTTTACAGTGAACTTCATCATGTGTGATGGACCATTTGTTGTAACAACTTCATAGGTGACCTTGAGCCTATTTCTCACTGCAATTTCATGTAACTTGGCAATCTCATTTCTAGGAGAGAAGTAACTTAGAAATACTATCCACATGAATGGGTTGAGCTAATTAGGAAACAAAGGAAGGATTTTAAGGAAATAAGGGGTTGGGGGTAAAGCTTTAGTTCTGTAATGGATATCTGGACTAAATCTGAGAAAGTAAATATCAGTTTATAGCAAAACCAAACCATCTGAGAGTTGCCTATTCTTACATCATTTGAAAGCTCTCAATGTGGATAACACATTTGCCTTAAGTATATAAACCAGCCATAAAAATTTGGCCAGATGCTTGCTTTACTACTGTGCTAGTTCCATAAAACTATCATTGCTAACTTAACCTTGATGTTTTTTGTTAATTTTTAGGCATAAATGGTGGTGTCATATCAGAAAAGTCTCAAATTTTATTTTGAAACTGAGGAAATTTGTCTAGCATTTTAATTCAAATTAATATGGTATGTTCCATAAATTGAGCTTACGTTTATATCTTTCTTTTTTTGATTTTTCCAACAAGTTTTGAATTGGAAAAGCAGACATTGTGCCTACTCAAAAACAAAAATAACAAGCAGATTGAAACTAAGTGATTGGCTTATGAGCAGGGTGCAACATACATGTCGGTGGTTGAGCTTTGGAAACCATTTTGTCCTTGAGGAACATTTTTAGAGGCTTTTAGCATCAACTCATCCCGCTTTGCAATTAGCGCTTTCCTTGCAGCATCATTCCTAGCCTCTTGTTTCATTTTGCCTTCACCAAGGAATGGCTGACCACACACATAAACAGCTACCCTCCAGATTTTAACAAATTCACGGTAGACAGCCATGTTTCCACCTGGCTTTCCCATCATGAGCTTATCGTAATGTGTAACTAGGTTAGGGTGTCTAATCTGTCCTGGGTCCAACTCCTTATATTCAACTATTTCACCAGATCTCATTGACAAAATGTTTAGCTCCACTGTTGGGCTTATCTGCATCCCAGTTTTTATCGATCCAATTCCAGACATGACACAGTTTTGTAATGCAACACCAGCTGCATTGTTTTTGGCTGCTTTTATGCTAGGCCCGGTGCCTTCATAAGTGCCTAGCCCAGGTAACTGGAGAGCAACTTTGAATGTCTTCTGGTGCGGGGATCCTTTGTCTTCAGAGGTTGTGTAAATGGGCAGTATCTTGTTGTTTTTGGCAAGCTCATTCAAGATGCTACATGGTGTCTGCATTGCCATTTCCTGGTAACTGAGGGGAAAAAAAGAATTTCAACAAGGTATATACCATTCTTTATTCTCATCTTTCATCAATCAAACCCTGAATTCACAAAAATTCCTAAATGCCATGTTTTTCCTCCACTTAAATAAACAAGGCAGATTATTTGGTAGAGTTCAATAATATTATTAATTTGGCAATTCCAGCTTCAGAAACACACATACCAGATAAAAGAAACATGTGCTATATATATAAAGATAAACACAATTTGCATAGATATAAGTTTTGGTAGCCTTAGGAAGAAATCAACAATTTCAACATAATGTTGAAACCGGTTCAAATAAAGAGGAAAAGTGGATGTGTAAAGTAAACAGCTACTTTTCTCATTTACACTTAAAAATCCAAAAGTTTGGCACTTTAAGACTGCTTAACCAAGGAGGCAGAAACTTTTTGAAGTTGAGTTTGTCAAATTGTTTTTTAGCTGTAAACACTCAGTATAAAATCTAATTGCTTTGAAAACATTTTTCGCCTCAAAAACTTGCAGACCAGTAGGCATGTGATACCTATGTTTTATTGATATCTACACATGCAGGTGTTATGTAACGGAATTTATTAGCTAAAAGCTGACAGATTTGTTGAAAGTGCTCTATTGATTATATACTGTGTGCATAGTATATATACTAATATAGGGAAATATAAACTGGACTTGACTTGAGGTCTTAATGACATAAATAAAATGAATTAGGTTCACTTGCGAAAGAATGATGCAATACTCTGCATGCTTATGGACAATATCTCTTTGCTGTTGTAGCATATGCTGAAGATGTTGTGTACACTAACATGAATGGGCCTAAATAAAAAGTTGTGTACCTATCTTCTTATCCCTCAGAATTCTCAGAACAGGAGTTGTCTTTTTCGTAAGCAAATTTGAACAATCAGTCTCCTGAAAAAAAGCAGTATGCATTGCAATGCAAAAGCTGTCAGGTATATACTCCACGATAGCTATGTCTAATTTTTTGTTTATCAATGAAGAGCATTCGTAAGTAAGTAAGGCCTAAGCCTATTTGGGCGCCGAACGATAAAAATGATGGAGTCAACATATATCGATTTCTTACTGAAAGTTGGCACAAAATAAATATTTTCGGGAACTTTACCTGTTAGATTTTCAAAAATGAAAACCACGTCAACTAGAACCGTTCAAATTTGCCTACTTTGGACACTCTTCACGTGTGTTTCTGAACGCCAAACAGCCGATACAATCTGAAGCCCTGGGCCTGCGCGGCGGTTATGAAGATTAACGGTCGTGGGCCAAAAATAGAGGCAAAAAGCCCCTATAGACACTGCAGTTTGTCGAGTTTAGCTAGTTTTAAAGTATGGTTTTTTGGATTATTCAAAAATTCAATGATAGTGATAACAGTGAACAATCCGAATGATAAGAGAATATGCACGATTTCAAGATAAGCTAAAATATAAATAGTTATAAATGGTTGGAGCTTCTCACTGCTGAAGGCACTCAATTTGTTTGTTTGAGTCTTTCAGAAAATTGATTTGCACAACCCGGTTTCATACTAGAGATTTTCAAGTCTAGCAGAGTGGGTTTAATTTGAATGCAGAGTCCAAGTAAGTGACTCAAATGATTTTCGAGCAAAAATTGACCCAGCTAATGAAGCAAACGAAGAAGAATTAAGCGACAGCTTATCTTTGTACTATATCTATACTATATCGTTCGTCCTGTACTATATCTATACTATATCCCTACGTACAATACTATATCTTTAGTGCAGCCTTGATATTCTTAAAGGAATTTTCTACCCTGGGTACCAGAGCCTTAAGAATCCGGCAATAAAGTATTGTGGCAAAGAATGGGTAAATATTTCTGTGATTAGTTTCGAACTATATTTCTGTGACTAAATAATGGAGACTCTGGCACCCAGGTTAGAAATTTTCCTTTAGAGCCTGTTTATTTTTTAAATGCATTCTTGATTTTTTCAAATCGGGTATAATTTCAAGGGAACATTGCCCGCCCTTAAATTTAAACAACGCTTTTCGAAGAATACGAGAGTCAGTCGAGCGAATCCCTGTTACAAACATCGCTGAAAAATTAGACAGAATATGCGAGGTGAATTGGGGCAATATTCTTATAATATTATAAAAATTGGATGAATCTAAGTCCGTATATTCTTAAAACAATATTCCTGAAATAGAAAGCGTGAAATTAAATCTTGAGGCTGTCGACTTTTAAACGTGTATATTGAGGTGATCCAGCTTTTTGGCTGGCTCGATGAATATCATGTAATGGCTCGTTTGCACAAATCAACAAAAGTGGACTTAGGAAAGAGTTTTTCGGTAGTCTAAGTTGAACGTTTTTGGTAAAAGGGCCCCGAAGAAAATCGCCTGCTAATCAATCGCAGAGAAAGAAAAAGCTGCTAATCCAACTTGAATAGGCATTCTTTACCAAAAAAATCCTAAAATTAAAACAATACAAATATTAAGAAACATTATTTTGATATATAGCAAGATAATTCGATCAGAAATACCAGAAAATGCAGCGTAGCGTCGACTGGGTATTTCTAGCACTGCAATTTATAATAAAGCTGTTCTTTTAAAATCATGTTTCAGTGCTACTTGCGTTTGAATCAATACACAGTTAAGAAAATTCTTTTACCTGAAAAAGACGATCCTCTGTTACAATCAGATTGATCTATAGGCCAAAGAGTTATTGAGTGGTAGTTGGACTAAATTAAAGTCTGGGAAAAAACCCAGCAAATTATTCACGGCTAGATTCTGCGAAATATACAGGCGATAAGATAAAGAAGAACATTTCGAAGCAAACTGGTCCTCTCTGCATTTCATAAGATTTCCGTTTTGTTTGTTTTGTTTAAATAAATCATGTAGATTGCTCCTTATTACGCAAGTATGCTGAAACTTCAGAAAATATTTCTCTGATTGCTTAATCGCGGTATAACTTGAAGGATGTGCACGAAAGTCTGAAGAAACTAGTATTCTCCTCACGGAACGCACGAATTACTGCTGTATAAAAGGCAAAAGTGCAGAATAATTCCCACTTCTCCCGAAATTCCATTCGGGACAACTTAAGTGGAACAGAGGGGGGCTATCAAACCATTAGAGAGCTCGTACAAGCAGAGAAACCATTATGAGACATGCCAGAATTCTTCTTTCCAGAAAATTTTCAATCATTGTGATATTAACTAATATTATAACACAACCCTGAGCAATAATTTCAAATTACAGCTCTATAAATATTTATTGAAGTTCACTACAGATATCGACTGCTAACAATATTGAACTACCAAATTTGTGTTAATCATTGACCTACAATCCCTGCCAAAAGTCTTTGAACACTAACGTCAGTTTCAAGGGCAAATTCAATCCCCTCTCCCATCGAGAACAGTGTTGATTTTCTATAACACGACGTTGGAAATTGGGAAGCGCGCCTTTTGAGTGACCTGTATGATATTTGCCTAAACTATCAGGTAATATTTGGAAAAAGAGATGAAAAATATATAAAAGCGCAAATTGCTAATGCAAGAAACTAACCTCAGAAACGACAAAACTGTGCATCCTTTTAAGATATCTCTGGAAATCGACATTTGGTGAGGGGGGGGGGGGGCGTCATCTGAAGAGGTGGAAAGGCTGCATCTGATCAAACAATTAGATAGTTTAATCGAGCTTGCTAAGATCTACTCCTTTGGAATTGTGTTAGATTGGATTGAACTGTTACTCAAGGTAGCATCGCAATACAGTTAGTGGTGTTACAAACTAAAAAAATGGCTAGAGCAAATCCTACGGCTTAGGGGATCCTAAAAGATTTGATAACTTTTATTGAAACAGATAAAGTAAGGAGTCTTCTAGTAGAGGAAATAAAAGCAAAAACGTTTAATTATTAAAAATCGCAATGTGTCATTATCTTAATGAATGCATAAACACCCATCCTATACTTTGACAGCCAGAAATAGTTTCCACCATTATTCATGTAGGGCTGAATGTTCCTGTTTAAATTAGTTGTTTAAATAAGACTTGAATTAAATTTGAATTCATGTTTAATATTTAAAAGGCTACTAAATCAGTTCAAAGACTTCAGAAATCAAATCGGGACATGAGTCTATTTAGTGCAGCGGGGTGGGGGGGGGGTGAGACTACTCTAGGGCTCTGTTTAAAGAAATGAAGATCTTTGAAGGCTAGAGTTTGATAGGAAGCATGAAATTCTTCTTAGAATAAATTAGATATGCTTGGGTAGCTTTGAGGATATACAGCATTTATTGCGGCACAGGAACTTTGCATATTATCATTATAAATCTAGATACCTGTCTATTTATGCATTAACTAAATAAGTAATTCATCGTCATCATCCAGACTTTTTGTATCCATTGTACTGCCAGTCCGCTGAATATCATCGTCGTCGACGGGGCTCAGGGCGCTCAAAGCATTGCCCGCAATTTTGGTCGCCTCAAGCCCCTGGTTCATGGTATCTTCCCAAATTGCCGACTTCTCGGTTGTCTCGTCTGTCGCTGAAAGAGAGAGAAAACAAATGCGATCATTCCTTACGACTGTCGTTCAGATTCCAGAGCAATGGAAATAACCAATTAAAAAGAAATTTGATATTCGACAGCAAAACTATTCCAAATTATTAATTTTGCTCTGATGAAGTATGCTGTGGCGAAATATTAGCCGTAACTGATTTACGTGTGTCTGTTGTTGTTCATTCTCGTTGCGTTGCGGTGTTACTTATTTACTACAAACTACTCCAGCCCTTGTCAAGCATAGTTAAAGTTTCAACAAATAGACATAACAACACTTTTGTGAATAGCCAAGCATTTCATAATTGATATTGTGCATATTCAGTACCAGTTTTGCATAAACGTGATTTTATGTGGATGATTCGATAATATTTGAATGCTACTCTTGAAGCAACCATTTTTTTCTTCCGGCTAGAAATATCAATTATGAAATGATGGATGCTTATACAGAAGCCATTACACCAATCTTGAGCCGTATTTGAAAGAAAACAAATGGGTACAAAGTCACGGGACGTTCACATTTGCAAAATACTCTTTATCCTCTACTATTACAGTACCTGGACATCTCAATGGTGTTTGTCTATGTTAGAGTATACCGCGTAAAATATGATAATTACTGCTGTTGTTGGAATTACTGTTGTTGGAATTTGACTGGGTAATCGCAATAAATATAACGTACCTTTGGCACTCCCTGCGAGGGAGCGTGCTTTCACCTTTTCGAGGAATGAGTCAAAGTCTTCAACATCCAGCTCGGGGCTTTAAAAAACAAGCAAACGAGTCAATAAGGCAAGGTAAAAATGCACTTTAGTGAAATCATGAAAATAATGAGCCGATCGCTTTAAGTAAAGGCACCTTTAATAAAAACAAAAAATGCACATATGAGTCTTCAATTTACAAACTACACGCGCGTTATAAAGACGTTCACTTCAAACCTTAGTTTAAAAATCAAAAACCAAAGTTGCTATCGCCCACGAGATTTAATTAGGACAAAATGATAGCGGTATATTATCAACGAAGTCGATAATCTTTGACACTTCATAACATGTGAATTATAATATTTCAAATATCTGGCGCTCAATAGAAACAGGGAGGACAGTCGTTGCAATCCATCATTTTGGGGGGGGGGGGTGTTAGACAGGGAACAAAACACAATAAACAATCTGATATTAGCCTATAATTTTGTCAACAATCTACTGGAATTTCCGACAAATCCGACAAATTTTAAAACAGGTGCTACTGGCCTTCCTGCCTCTGGCCCCTGCTCCTGTCCCCTGCCCCTAGTCCCTGCCCCTAGCTCCGGCCCCGGCTACAACAAAATCGGACTAAGACTAACTAAGACTCGCAAGGCTCTCTCTGATGCGAGTCTTAGTTAAACAATGTTTAGCAAAGTTATGTTGTTGATAAAGGGATTATGAAGTTAATTTTTCACCTGTTCACTTCAAGATTTTCTTGAGAGAGCCAACTTGTGAATTCGTCGCTATCAAACGCCCTTTGACTTTGCACTGTTGCTTTCTCCGCCTATGTTTAAACAATAACAACAACAACAACCGATTAAGAGGATGGCTTGTCAACATACATGGTTTGCCTAAAAATAATAAACGTGTTTATGTAGTTGTAAAAAACTACATGTATGTGACTTGGAAGCGATCCCAACGCAGGAAATTGCTGCTACAGTATATTCCTGCAACAGCGACTTTCTTTCTTTCATGAAAGAATTTTGGTTAAGAAACTATGTTTTCCTGGCAAATCGTAAGGTGTTCATTTTATATGGTCTTGCCCCCCTAGCCATAATTGAAACTAGAGGCAACACCCATACTGCTAGCCGACACCAACAATGCATACATAAAAAACACCCTAAAGATAAGAACGTAATGTAAGAAGCTTCAATCATGCGATTCCGATACGCATTTTTAGAACAAGCCTGAAGAACAATCTGACTTTTCAAAACGTAGGTTGTTCTGTGTTGTGATTTCATGAATAATAGGTAAATTGATGCAAAAATCCTTGTGTAATATAATTCCTGCCAAAATTCCTCGAAAAGCCCAATTGGTCAAGTTTTGTTTTGACAGACACCGCTCTCCCAAAAATAATGTTGGTTGCAGAGTTTAATATCTTAGTTAAATTATATCATAGTAATCTAGTGAACCAAACAGAACCTTCTAACTTTTGCATAAACATTATTATTTGGAAGGGGAGTGGAGGATGCAGTATAAAATATTTGAGAGTTGAGTATAATGTACCGAAACGTTAGCAGGAAATGTAGATATTATGCAGAAAGTAAAGAAGTGGAGTAAAACTAATACCCCGGGAAGAAGTGCGTCTCACTGCAAACAAGACGATGCATAGTATCTAAGAATAGCTGTGCCTGCCAGGCTAAATGTCACTTATGAACACCAACAACGCTAAAACACTTTCTCTTGACGAATCTGTTGGAATTCAGCAACAAGTCTATGATATAAATCATTTTTATCCGAAAGTTAAAATTAAAAATACCTTTTTGGTTGTCGATTGAGTCGAGACCTTTGCTGCCTCATTCTTTGCTTGGGTGTAGGCCTAAAGAAAAGTTCAATTAATCTCAAGACCTTTACATTAATCAGAGCTCTATCGCTATTCATCTGACAGAGTAGAATCAAATTCCTCCCATTAGATTTACACTAGCATTAAGCTTGCCATTTCTTATCTCATCCAGAAAAATTAAATTAACCAATCATAACCTGAAACTTGAGCAGTAATTACATCAGGAGTTATCCTTTTCGGCGTAAGCTCCCAAGTCTTAAGTCATTCATAGAGGTTCATAAAGATGTTTTTTGTTCGTAAAAATTGATTTCAAGGGGGAATGAAAATGACAAAATCCATTACGTGGACATAAATTTAGAATACTACCCCAAAGTCGTTTGGAAATTTACCATTCATGTATGTTGACTTCAGACAATTAACTAATTCATTCCTTTCTCAGCGGAAGGCAAAATGTTTTTGTTTGCGGCACGCAAGAAGAAAAGCGCCAAGAGTAAACAAAATTGTCAAGCAAGTTTGATGCTCGCAATTTTTTGCCACAAATGAATAAACTGACCATCAAGCTCCAGAACGTGTTGCTTTAACCAAGTGTCATCGGGGCGATTTGCTCAGCAAAATTGTCTTATGTGCACCTGGCTTTAGGATCTTATGCTCTTTTCGGAAACTTTACCTACATGCTTGCATTGCGCCAAATCTCAACCCAAAAAAGTTTTAATACAAAAGGCATCGATACGATTAAACACAGGGAAACAAACCTCTTCTTCGAGTCTGAGGTCTTCTTCTTGCCTTCTCAACTGAAACAAAACTTTGAAAAATAACATCTTGAATTTCCTTGCAAAGAAAGTCTGAAAATCATTTGCTTTAATAATCCTTTTTTGAATTCTACTTCAATAAGGTTATGAAAAAAATTACAGGTGGTCGTATAAAGATAAAACATCGCGGTCTTATGAATAAAAGACGTCGTGGATGATAAGCTTTAAGAAGGGGGTAAAGAAGGTAAGGAAGAGCTATCAAAAGAATTGCGTGTCCTAAGAGAGATTTGGAAGGATCGAGCAAGCTTGTAGAAATGCTGATAGGGGCATACTGTATAATTATATGAAAAAACTTGCCCAGCATTTCGTGATGATACTTTCTCAGCAGGTTTTTTAATTGTGTTTACAGACAGTAACATTCTTTGTTGTATGACAGAAAAGGTTCGTCTGCCTCTTCAAATGACAATTCTTTGTGCTTATATCAAATTTGTTCCAAACAAGCTGATAATTATCACACGAAACTCCCTTAAAGTTATGGTAAACGTTTTTGACACGATATTTGGTTTTCTTTCCTTAAAGGGAATCAGATTAAACTATACATCAATCGATGCACAAGAATGTGGCGATTTCAGCCATATCAAAATAATTGGCAAAATTGTAAAATAATACTTTCCAGGCAAATTTATTGCTCAAATGAGTGTACCACCTTCAAAGCTATTTTGTACCCCTGCGTTTGAGGTATCAAAATCTGACTTATATCAGCAGAAAGCGCAGATCCTTAGCTACCAAAGCGTGTCTCAGACTTTTCAAATTCCTCCTCCCCTTGAAACTATACCCTGTCAAAAAATTGGGAAACAATTTTTCTTCCCACTCATAGCTATATTTTTGGCTATAAAAGACAGACCAGAGCAAATACAAAAATTTTGAGATATACTTTGCTTACCCGACATCTGTCCTGGCCGTGTGCAAAGTTTTGAGCCATTCGATTGGTTCCTTGGGTACAAAATAGCCATTTTGTTCCTGTATGTAGACGAATTGTAAGTCCGGAGAAAACGGGATTTTGCTGATCGCACTTGCAAGGTACACTCGTAAAACCACATTGTAATCCGGGTCAAGTCACTTGAAGCTCAAAAAGCTTGTTCAAATAAACACGGCCGTACATTGGATACATGGATGTGCCATGCGATATTGTAAAAGAGACATGCGATCACAACCGCAAAGCAACGATAATCGGCTTAACAGGTCAAGAGATTTTCAGGCCTCAACTAAAAGTACTGATAAAGAAATTATGGAAACCTTCGTTTACATGGGATTTTTTCAATTTTCAAAATTTATGTTTGTTTTAAATTTGGTATCGTTGTGTGCATTGAAAGCTCGGCTACTTGAATGTGAAAAAATCGAAAAATAGATGCTTTTATCCAGAAAACGTTTACCGTAACTTTAAGCAAAGTTAAAGATATATCGTGATGAATAAATATATCGACATGATCTGTCTACAATATTCGACGGTATTTGACGGCTACAGAAGTACCTTTGTGGTAGACCCTTTCTAATAACCCTTTATCGGCTGAATATCATAGATGTTTAGATTGCAAAGGGGCAAAACAAATTTTTAATGAATTCAAAAAAAAACCTTGACATGGCAATCGGCAACAACATATCAAAGATTGATTTTAGTTTTATACGTTTAGCATAGGTGATTTTCAAGGGCTTCCTGTTAAAACTTACAGAATCAGTTGATAAATTTTAGGCATAACTTTCTTACTACTTTTAATGACATGACGATATATATACACTACTAATAACGGCCTTTTGCTTCCCGCTGAGTTGCTTTAGTTGCATTTTATAGAGAATTGTAGCCATTATACAACCAATGAAGACTGTTGATTCTCATAACAGAGCGTAAAAAGCAAGGGAAGCATTCCGAGTCAACAACAGTAATGCTGGATCAGGTTGCAGACAAAGCTATGCGCAGTCCACATAATCCACGTTATTCAGTTAGCAGCTAAATTTACATATTTTCAGTGTGTATATTCAATAACCATTGGGTTATTTGGCAGGATCTGAACTTCTATTCAGGGTTATTGACAATAACTATGCGAATAACTACCCTGGGAAAGTGAGTCTGGTACCAACCGTAGCGAATAAAAAGCAACGTACAATTTGAGAAGATAGACAGAGATAACACCTGACAATTGCTATCATTGATGGAAACGTCAGGCAGAGCAACCAAGATAAACAGAATAAAGCTTCACCGGTGTTACGGAGACAATTACTTTAAAGCAAGGTTTAAAAAAAAGCAGTATTTATCAATTATGTACCAGCAATGCAGTATTTGTTAATTATTTAAGAGACATTTTTCTTAACGCTCTGAAAGACCTTATCACTATCCTTGTTGTTAATTAACTCTAATGTTGTGACATTGCTTATTGTTTTAGCATGCAGGCCGCAAAATTGTGCTTACGCAATATCTTGTTCAAATGTATTCTACAAAATAATGGTCATCATCATAATCATGATCACCATCGTCATTAGCTAGGTCATGTTTCAAAACATCCTTGGTCATGACTTATCATATCTAACAACCTGTTTTCATTAGACCGAGCCGAAATGAACATGCGCTAAAAACAACCGTCCCAATTCCAGTAGTCACTATTCACTTGGATCCGTTCGTTCAATTCCCCTAGACAAGATTCTCTTAAATGATTAACAAATACTGAATTGCTGGTATTTTTTGATACATCGCTTCAAGTAGTACTGAAAAAACAGGCTTGTTTACTGACATTGTGAGTTGGATATCAACGTATTCATAAGAATGATATTATCGATAACATTGACACTTTTATTGGTAAAAGGGGCGAGTTACACTCAATAGAATCATTAATGAAGACAACCGCATTTTCAGGAATGTGTGGAACGACCGCTCTAGATGATCATGTTATAAACACAAAGTGACATGTTGAATCATGGCTAATTTTTTATGATGACGATTGATCGTCTACACCAGACTATAAAGAAATTCTTGATAAAGAATGGAAAAGCAGAAACATAGTATATAAATAACTTTGCAAAAGTCAGTATACTCAAATAAAATTTGATTCGGCTTTGGGATAAATTTACTTAAGAATCCAGAGTGAACCAAAACATACATTGACGATAATGTTAAGACCCTTGGGCAAGCAAGGTTGTCTTTTCAATTTGACGTTTTGGAATATATCCAAATCAAAGCAAAAGACCCCAACTTGAGTAGACTGATAGAGTTTGTTTTCGCTGTTGGATTTTACAACTAAGTGAGAGATTGGCAGCCGCTCATTTGGTCAAAAACATGGAACAAGTTAAACGTCCCATCCTTCCTATTCCGAAACTTTCTATCCAGACCTTGATATAAATTTTCTGTCTATCTTAAATCATTATCTGAGGTTTGTTCTCTGATGAGTGTCGGAAGAATATTGCTTTTGTGTGTTATGTTACCATTTTTTCGTGCTATATTTTCAATTATTCGACAAGAGCAAGATTGGTGCGATTCCTGCCTTTCAAACAGGCTGCCGTTAATGAACGTTTTCGGACATATGCAATTCACTCCCTCATCCCAGAACATTGTTGCTTGAAAATACTTTCCGATTATACAAAATACAGTTGAATCATATTATGTCGAACTTAAGGGGGGCTGTAAGGATTTAGTCTGACTTAGCAAATGTCCAACTTTACCAGGGTTTGACTTTTGACTTGAATATGTTAGGGAAATTAATTAAGAAATGAGAACTGAAAATCAGTTGGACTTGGCAGAAGTTCTGAATATCTGGGGTATGACTTAAAGAGAATCATATGTAGGGCGAATTTTAAGCTGTAAAACTGCTGCTAGTTCCAAGGGAAAGAATGCCACTGAAATGCTGCACAATTTGAACGTTGTATACCAGGAGGTCTAGTAGGCAAAATATAACTTATAGAAATTGCTGCTAATAGTGTAGGCTAGCTTAAGAAAACTCTAATGGAATCTTAATGAAGTATTATTATAATTATTGAGCGCTCAAGCTGGAAGAATGATGTTTTAGAAAGTTTCTCACAAACAACGTAACTGTTGGGGGTTTTGGTGGGCTTGCTTGTTAGATGAGCGTTCAGAACAGAAAAATATCTGTAACTTTTTAGCATCATTCTTACTGAACTGTAGAGCTAAGATGACGGATTTCGATATTTAAAGGACAAACAAGTTAATATCTGAAGAAAAAATAATTGGTATTACCTCTTCCTCTATGGCAGCATCTGTTCTTTTCTGGTGCTCAATTAATACATCGTATCTCCCATTAGCAACAAGCTGTCTTTCTTCTTCGGAAACTACAAAACTAACAAAATAAAACATTTTTAGCAACATTTTAAAGAAAAACAGCAAAGAGCTTTCCAAACATAGGATAAAGTGTCACTGTTTCTTCATTCAATTTCATACAATAATTTGATGTATGTAATTTGTTTCTTTAATCCTTTATTCTTTTTTATTTTTGTTGTTTATTTTGTTGCAGTGAAAAGCTATATGCGATTTTGATATACTGAAGACTTATTCCAAGCACAAGTTATTTTGAGTTGTGCTGATTCACTGATTTGTTTAAACTTATATGTTTACTGAGGGAACGTGCCCCCTAGGGGACAAGGTTCTGTCAAATCCAAACACAATGGTCAAAATGGAGAAAAAGAATACATTTGGGAAGGATTCTCAACTATTGCCACTTTCTGTAAATGCCACTGTAAAAGATCTGTTTTAAATTGAACATTTCAATGGGGTGTGCATGTGATGGAAAGTGTAAGCTAACTTTTTCATCTGGACCAAATGAAGCTATTTCGGCTTGACTTATGGAAAAGAATGGCTGTCCAGCATAGGATTAGCTCAGCAGTACTTTATATAGATTTGAAACACAATGTCTATCTACACAGATTTTAAAACTTTTATTAAAGTCAGGATTGAGCTACAATGCACAACTAAATGCGACATAATTAGATATATTTACCTTCTACTTGGACGAAAATCTTCCTACAAAAGAAATATATAACATTGTAATTACAACAACTAAAACTTTAATCTTTAGACACCATTTTCTTCAGATTTATTGTTGAGTCTTCAGATTATTAGATTTATTTTTCATACAAAAAGGCGGTACAGGATCTACTTAAGAGCTTACTTAATGATTCTAGCAAAAGATATACCTATTCCTTATAGTAGCTTCTAAAAACTTAATGCATACTTCCTTTGTATAGATCATAATCTTACAGTAAGTAAATGATACAAAGAAATTTTCACATGTATACTAGGTACCAAATATTGTGGGTTTATGACTTTTTTATTTACCTTTATGACAAGCAAAAGGTAACTAAAAAAACCTATGGAAAACTTGATAATCAACTTACACCAAACTTTTTGATATCCTTCACAAAATATGGAATTATCAATTACTTTTGCTAACAGGTGCAGTACAAATACTTCATAGTGGGAAATAAGTAACACTGCAAGACGACGAGAATGGACAACAACAAACACACATAAATCAGTTAGAGCTAATATTTTAGCCCTGGCATACAGGGCTTCATCAGAGCAGAAGTGAATTTTTGCAACAAGAATTCCATCAAAGTCCGTCAAGCAGACTGCTATTGTGGTCTTTCCTTTATTTATATACAAATACTTCTTAATAATCACTTTTTTCCAGAAGTGGCTTATTGCTAAATTAGATTTTCTTGCAAAATTATGAAATATTGACTTCTTTTTTGTAGACAAGATAAGCAAGGAGGATAAAAAGATAAAAGAATGTCTAGACCACTTACATCTTCAATAAGGTTTTCAAACTAAAAAGAAATTAAAATAGAGTGCATAAATTACATTTGATTTTCAAATCATCAGATTGATAGAAGCTTTAAGTGTAAGAAATATTGATTTGATTTAGTCATCAGAATCATATCATTTGATTACAAGACTACTGATTTTCAGAAAAAGTCAATGGAAAACAGAAGTCATATTTGGCGACAAATACAACAGTTGTAAATGTACAAACACTTGTACAGGCCTGTTGGCACCTTGGGGCTGAGGGGGCTGGAGCCCCCCAATTATTGTTGAACTGTAGAATGTTTCCTTTAAAACAGTGCACTGAATGAGAAGGAAAACTATGGCAGCCCCCCAGCATGAATTTTGTTCTGATGGCACTGTTTTAAAAAGAATAATTCCTTATGCAATCAACCAATAGTACAAAGTTGCCTTCACCATCTGTGATTTTACTAGAATTGTTAGCAATTATTCTTTGATAGATGGAAAGGTTATTTTCAAATTTTCTGCTTAATATCTCAAAGTGAGGCTGAGAAATCAGTTTCCAAAGATTTCAACTTTTTACCCAAGCCTGTGCTCCCCCCCCCCCCCCCCCCTCCTAAAGAGCAAATTGCATTGAGATTAAATTATATGTCCCCTGTCTAGGTGTTGTAAATATTTTCATTGCTATCATTTAAATCTTCTCTGTTTATTGACATTATTACTCTGTGTTCCATACATACATTTCATACTTGAAAATATCCTCTTGGTATACTAACAGTTAACCTCAAAAAAAGCTGATCTTCATGAAATGAATGGATACAACAAGACACAATACTTTTGATAATGCTTCTGACCACATTACATATAATATAGAAATGGCTTTCAAGGAAAACTATTACCTCTATGCTGTATTCTCTTTCATTATACCGGGCTCTTCTATACCACCTGTGAAATTGTTTATAAATCTGATCAGCTCATAGTTTCTGACAAAATATCTAAGAACTGTTGTCAGATAAATTTGGAATTTCTGAAAAAGGGTACTGTCATAACATAAAAATCTCCTAAGTAATGCTTTGTGGCTAAGGAGTGGAACAAGTGGCCCCCCCCCTCTAGGACCTTGCTGTCAAAGATTATTGCAGTTTGCCAAATGAACTATAAAAAAGAAGGTGTGCTGTATTGAAGGCTTATTAGTGAAAAGAGATTGAAAAAAGGCTTTCAATTCTGTTTTAAGTCACACAAAAAGATTTTATATAAAGAAACATTTCAAGCATTTCTCATACTACTGGTTACAAGTTTTATTATCAAGCTGTGTTTCCCAAAATCTGAATCTATTTCTCATATAAATATTATGTTATTATAGCATTCAATAAGGCACACCAAAACTAGAAAGGTCCTCTCTTCTGGACCTTGATACCCATTATGGATTGATGACTGTCAAAGGATGCTCTAAAAGGGTTAATTTTTGTGCTCAAGGATTCAGACCAACCTGATATTGACTGAAACTTTCTTGTTATGACCGAAATTTTCTAGCAAATTCAAGATGAAATAATACATTATGACAAAGATGCACTCAGTTAATATGTTAAACATTTTACGGTGTAAAAATTCACTGTAAGTTAATCATCATTACAAGAAAACACTACAGTGTGAATATCATGCTTCCTTAAATATCTCAAATGTAGACTAACTTTTAATCATAACATTCCTTAAACTTGCCTTTACAAACAGTTTTACATGACAGCAAAAACTCCAAGCCTCAAATATCTACATTTGCAATAAAATAATTTTTTTCTTTTTTAGAAAAAAACTAAGGTATTATGCTCGCATGACATTTTCATTCCATTTTCAAACAGCCCAGTCTGCAAAGGGTGGCAGTCCTCAACAAGATCTTGTGTGTGCAAGAGCAAATATAAATGTGTGCATGTGTACATGAGTGCTAACAAAGTGTGCAATGTGTGCACACTGCTCAGTTTTGATCCAATGCGTGCAGCTAGCTTCTAATGGGTAAAGTATTTGTCAATTTGTCTCACAATGTGTGCACAGCAATTATTTCTGCAAAAGTGCTTTCAAGCATTCCACAAAATTTTGAGCTCATATAAAAATTTAGCATAGGGTTAATCATATATTTTGTATGATTAAATTTCAATTATTTTGACCCCCTCCCTTGTACTTAGTCAAACCCCTAGGTAAGGGTGTGGGATTGAAATGTAACTCCCTAAAAGTTCACTCAGTCAGTTGATTTTAACATAATTCAGTCCACAGAATGCTCTCTACAGAGTAAATTCTTGACCCTATAACCATGATTGTGCACAATTCAGGTGCTGTAGTTTCCCAAAAAACTTACTTTCTCTGATTCAGACCTTTTTATGCACTTTGCTAGTAACCGGCAAGGCCTCCTCTTACTGGCCCTTGCTTAGGAGAGTTTTTCAGAGAATTGGAATATACTAGTCAATAGATTTATAATTCTGGGAATCAATGGCTTTAGGGCAAGCATAGCTCATTCTAAAATATCAAATCAAAATACTGAGATATGGGATGATTCTGTGGTAATCTATACAGGGTGTGGCCCTTAAAAAATTTCCTGCAGGAGCAACCCCAAAAAGCTGTGCCTCATATTTCATTTGATGCATTTACATGCCAGAGCTTTTCAAATCAGGAAGAGAATATCGTCTAGAGAAACTCAATCTACTCACAAAATGCACATAGCAAAAGTGCTATATACAGGTTCTCTAATTTAGTTATAGACTGCAACTTTTTTAACTTCTGACAATCAGATTGTTCTGATGCTGACAAACACAAATTCAGCCTCTGAAAAAATATTGTATGTGCACATGCCACACTCTGCAGACTGGAGCTCACACTTTAACTTAAACTGCAGGCAGCTAAATTGGTCAAAATTAGGGATGTACCGGATATTCGGTAGGCCGGATAATCCGGCGCCGGATCGCTGATTTTTTGAAAATCCGGTTCTGGCCGGATTTGTTTTCGAAATCCGGCCAGTTGCCGGATTTTCCAGAACTTTAATCATAACCAAGAAAATTTGGAAAACCAAGTCAGACTCCCTTCATACAGTGATTAAAAATGGATTTTCCAGAACTAAACAATATCGACGATAAAACAAGCGCCTTGAAAACAGATTTGAAATGAAAGTGCTCGCCATCACGAAACAGGAAGACTGGATGATATAATTCACAGATTTGGTCCAGGGTTGCTAGATCGGCTTTTTAGGCCAAATTTTTCATTTTTGGTTTTTAGATTTGGATTGCCTGGAAAAATTGTTTTTTGCTTACTACTTAAATTTGACCTTGTTGGCCTTTTCAGCAGACGTCCAAAATTAATAAGTAATTACTACATTCATAGAATAATTAGTAGTTAACTAAAAAGTGTTAACCAAATTTCAAATTTTATCACCCAACCTAAATATTATCTTGATATTAGCAAAGGGTTTTGGAAAAAAGTAAGATTGTTATCAAATTAAGAAATTATCTAACAGGCACAAGCGTAGAAATATAACCAGTGCCTGCTCAATGGATTCTTGAGAGAGTTTTTGATTTGGCCTTTTTATGAGCATTTTGGCTTAAATTGCTCACCAGTCTAGCCTTCGTTTGTAAATTCAATCAGGCAACCCTGAATAGGTCTCTTTGATCTTCTCGCTATACAGTTTTTCGCAAAGTGGCTCAAAACTTTTTATTACTGAAAATTCTATAAATGGTCAGATTATCCGGTAGAATCCGGCCGGATATTCCACGAAGAAATCCGGTAAATCCGGTTCCGGCCGCATTCTGAAAATCCTGATCCGGTACAACCCTAGTCAAAATCATACAAGATCTTCAATCTAGTCAAACTGCGTTATTTCATTGCAAACAGTTACTTTTCTCTTTAAGGTAAGTACCAGTGAGTGTCTGTCCTTATAACTTGGTAAACAGATAAAGCTTTCTTCTCCTCTATCATTGGACAGAAACTTTTGTAAACTGAACAAATTTTGGCAAAATATGGAAACATTTACTTGTAAAAGGAAGCTCAAAATCAAGTTTACAGTTTAGGATACGGTAGTCCGCCGATATGTATATGTGGGATTTATTTTGATCAGGAAGTGAGAAAAAAAGACATCTTACCTTCCTCTTTTTCTGTCATGTTGCAAGCTTCCAAATAAATTTCCAAAGCACCCACAGCACTTTTGTGTTTCAGACATCATGAATAAAGTGCACAACTTCCTTCTTACTCGCTTTGTTACCTTTTCTTCGTGGCAGCCATGTTTAATCATCTGATTATCATGTGCCTCGCGCTCATCATGAAATGTGTACAATTCTGCTTCAAAATGAGGTTCCAGGAAGTTTATAGCAAAGTCTGCAAGGATGTCTCAAAGTTTTTAGTTGAGCCAAGTATAGACAAGAGTTGCTGATTTTTGAATGGATAATTTTTTTCCCTCTTGTGGCTTCATTGCATTCGAGAAGAAAGTTTCGGAAAATTCGACAATTTCGAAGCCTCCTAAAACATCAAAACAACTTTTCCAGATTTATTGAAGTTAGTGCAGAGTTTTTTCTATCGAAAAATGATCTCATCTTATACTTGCAAGTTTTCATAAAGGACTGACAACTTATGACTCGTTGCTTATGATGATTGCGATGTAAAACAAAATGAAATGAACTAATCCTATAGACAAGGATACTTCTTTACTAAAGTTAAGGCAATAAACTGTCAAGTTTATGGAAAAAAGGAACCTGGTAATACAGATTGTGCTGGCACAACCCAATGCAACCGGGCACAAATTTTGCAACTTAACTTAAAGCTCCCACCCCCCTCTTTTTAATTTTATCATTCCGCGTATAATCATAGTTAACAATATGCAAGTAGGTATTGTAGTTGATTTAGTCATAGACGTAGGAGCTGGGAGCTGGGGGCACAGGGGAGGACATGCCCACCACTTTTCAGAAAATGAGGTTAAGTGCCTATTTGCTGCACACAGAAGGGGCTCCTTTCTCGCTTGCATGTGCCCCTATTTATGGAATGCATTGGGCGTCTCTGGGCATAACTCTTGGTCTGGCCCACGTCCCTGCCCCCCCCCCTCCAAGGGCAGACAAGCCACGGCTTCCGTGAACCATACTACAATCTACAACAAAAATTGCATGATCAGACATGCCAAAGCAATTCCAGCTCTTTGCAGTACTGTCTATGCCTCTCTAGTTAACACAACACTGTAAACCATTTGCTACAATAAATAAGATACAACAGACGCAAAGAACTGATCATGAATAAAAAACAACATAACACATTGATGGACAGATTGGTTTTCATAATTAGAAAACATCCAAAAATCTGCCTGAACCTGACTCTGTCAACGCTTGAATAACAATTACACTCTTTTTTATACGAATACCAGCCTCAAAATCGGTCAAAAGTTAAGAACAAATTAAGAACAAGCTGAGGCTGAGCCTCTACAACGTTTTTTCTCAAAATCGAGGATTTTTAGCCATGTGTGGATGCTTTTTCAGTGAATATTCAAACTTGTCGGCAAATGAAAGTTGTTTCACTCACTTTGTTGTCAAATGAGGCCTGAACACCTCTCTATAGTGAAAAAGCTAGCACTTGCACTGCTTACACGCTATCAAATTAAGAACAAATTAAGAACAATCCAGTCTCAGATTTTCGAAAAAATAAAAGAACAGTCAGCCTGAACTTAAATTTACTGGTTCTCATAAAAAGAAAGTGTATAATATTTACAACCTTGTTTGTTATATCAACATACAGAAGAATTTAAAAAAATGTTGTAAGTTCTGTAGATCAGCAAGCAAAGTTTCTAAATTGAAGTGAAATTGGGGCGACACCAATATCAATATTTATTCTCATTGAAATAAATGTTTCAATAATGCAACAGATAAAAATCAACACTTTGCTGTGCATGTGATCACCTCCCTAGAGAGCATGCAGGGAGAATGGAAACAAAAGGATAAGTAAGGGGAGTTGGCCTTTTATGTAAGTTCGTTTTCTTATTCGAATACAGAGAAAGTTCTCTTCAGGGTCCTCTCAAAAATGAACTTGGCCATTCGATTCTTTGATTACAAATACAGAGATGGGAGTTGGAATTGGAGGTTGAATTAGCCCAGTTAACGAACTCCTTGGGAAATGGTTTAGAACTAAACGGTACCTTCAGACTTAAGGTTTGTAGCACGACACTGGAATACAAAATAGAGGAAGAAAATCATCCCATCGAATTCTCGTACAACTTTGGCGGAAACCCTATTGTTTACCTCCAACTTCCCTAGGAATTGTTGGTTTTGGACGCACTTCTATAGTCTTTTGGAAGAATGAACTGCTTCTTGAATGAAGCTGGCATCAACCGAGGGGATTGAAAAGGATAAGATACGAGTAACGGTGGCCGTAAAGCAGTGGACAGTTACTGATTGGTGCCAAGTATCTTTGTCAGAGAAACAACGAAAATTCTGGACTTTGTAAAACTCTAAACAAATTCTTCTCGGTTTATGCGCAGACTGTTAAAGAGCATTACCTAACATCCGTTTGTGCCTACAAGTATAAGAACCCTCAAAAATGGAAGGTGTTATTACCTCCAATGCTGCAAACGTTATTCAGAAGAAAATTGGACTTCTCAAGGTTAAATAAACATTAACTTAATTAAATAGCCGAATGCAAGAATTCTATGGAAACGCCATTACAAAAAAACTCCCCCATCCAACAGAAAATTGAAGTATTGACATGTCTAGCTGTTTTGAACTAACCTTTAAGTCAACGCACTTAGTAAATGAGTCATTTCTCCTTAAATTGACATCCTACTTCCTAACTTTTCCCCAAAATAAGGACAAAAGGGAGCAACCTCTGCCGCCCTTGCCCAAGCCTAGCTGCTTAATTCGAATCTTTTGCAAAAAAACGTTTAACACTGAACAATTGTATGATTACACAAAGCCCCATGATCAAACTTGTTCCTTCATTGATTTCTCTCCCGTAAAACATTCTTGATATCTTCTTGAAGCTCCAAACTAATGTCATTCGAAGGCATCAGGGTCACATCTCGTATGTTCTTATTGCTTTTGACTGCAGCTAAGATCCTCCTGCCTCCGATATCACCTATCTTGTTTCCTTCAAAATCTATTGATTTCAACGATGAATTGTCCCTTATTCCTTCACACAAAATCTCGGTTCCTTCATCAAGAAGATTGTTAAAATCAACGGATAATGTCGTGAGCGATTTATTTACTCTTATTCCTTCGGCAATCGCTTCCCATCCTGCTTTGCCAATCAAATTTCCACTTAGATTCAAATCCGTGATTTCTTCATTGTTGCTAAGCAAATGGCCTATCTTCAAGGCTCCTCCGTCACCTATTTTGCAGTCCCCAATATCCAGAGTATTAATGTTTTTATCACCAACCAATGCTTCTGCGATGTACGTGACGCCTTCATCACCAAGCTGATTGCCATGCAGCCTGTAAAATGCATCAATAGAACAATGAACAGGTTTACACTGGCGTATACGACATGGTAGACATATTTTAAGGGAAAGGACCTTCGCAGGAATACAGTTTCACGTTTTGCGAATCCTGGCCTAAAAATCGCGAAAGTTTGATCAGCGAAAGTTCCTAAAGTAGGAAACTCGCGAAAGATTATTCTCGCTGAACTTTCCAGAGAGCTTTTCTTATTGACCCTCTCAGATACTCTGATTTTATTGTTCTCGTCGTTTTGTTGGTATTAATAAATTGGAACAAAATTGAAGGAAACCTTAGTAGAATATGAAAAGTGAAAATTTATTTCCGCGAAATGTTGTGTCCAAAAAATTACAACCCCAATTTCCACCACTGTTATAACATTAGCCTGGGAATAGAAAATACTCCCTTGGACCTTAGTACCAGCGGAAAAGGCTCCAGAGCTTAAATTTGAGCTTTCGTATTAGTTTTGAGCTTTTGTGTCAATTCTAAACAGAAATTACAACAGAAAAGGATACTTTGATACTTTGTTTTGATACTGATATTAAGCGATCCCAGGAAAACTAGTTAAAATAAAAAACATTATTGTAGCTCTGCTTTTTTTGGCATGCTAAATCCATTGATTTTGTTAGAAAAATACCATTCTTCAATGCAGTTTTCTTAAGGAGTGACAGAAATTCACAAAACTGGTGGGACCAGGATCCAATGCGATTCCATCCCTTCACAAAATACCGTACAATGCGTCACGAAACAACAGTGATTCTGGCTTGCTTCAATTTGCAAAACATTTTAACTCAGGAATTATTTCAAAGTTGCAGATATACAACAAAAGTATGCAAGGCAAAAGTTCTTCTTTATCATGAAGTGTATTTTGCCATTTCATTACCCTTAGTCGAGCAGTTACAGCAGACTATTGCATTGCTGTGCAATTATTTCACTTACTTTTGCCTCAATAGTAACAAAAAACTAGAAACATAACGTAAGCAAAATATCACAAGTAAAAAGTCAATAGAACACAAAATTTGCTTACATTAGCATCTTCAGGTTTTGGTTCTCTTTTATAAGTTCAGCAAGGTGCTTTGCTCCAGCAGGGCCAACGCTGTTCAGGTTGAGATTGAGCATCTGAGGAGAGAAAGTCAAGATGATGTCATTTCTTAGATTTGAAAAGCTGGAAAGGTATTCAGTTTCTACCATCGACAAATAACAATCATACATCCTTTGTTTTACATCTCCGTGATTCTGTACACGCGCTTGTGCGCCAATAATCGATTCTGATTTTTGCGGCAGTTTTGTTTTACAAAAAGGGAGTTATGAACTAAACTTGAAATAGAAGATGGATAATATCAGCTGAGCACAGAAGGACATAACAAATATATGCTCGAAGGAAATCTATTGGGTGCAGCATACAATAGATTCTTCCAGGTTCGACCCTCGTTTCATTTGGCGTTCAGAGATCAAACAACGTTTGACGGAAAATCAAAATAAGTATGGAATAAAGGAATATGCAAGGGAAATGACCATTAAACCCTGTAAGGGCTGCGAGAAGAAGTCAGAATAATTTTCGGCTGGACAATCTTTAGACTCGTAGCAACTAAAGCGTTTTTTCTTTATCCTAAAAGTTAAAAACAATGTAAAACATAATATAAACAAGAACAGCTCACTGATTCCATGCGTAGATTTAACATAAAGGACAATGATATGAGAATGGTACATGCATAACACCCAGTCCATGGATAGGTCCTTGTAACGCTCTGTTGCTTTGTGTTGTCTTGTTGAAAAAATTAATTGCTTCAGGAAAAAAGACTGATGCTGCACCCCCTCTCCCCTGAAAAATGTTGGCTGTAGAGTTGAATATCTTAGCTCTCTCAAAATAATTCCTTTTGTCCATAAAGAACCTCTTGACATTGTATAAAAACATCTTTCAGAGAGGGAGACGGAGATGTAATGGAAGTTCAAAAATTAAGTGCAGTGTAATTGAAATTAAGTGCAAAGACTTTTGCAAGGATTGCTCCTAAATTTTCTGCAAGTGACAAACTGTTAACTCTAAATACAAGTAGGCATTCTTGGTAGATGTTTCACCTTAAGATTTTTTGCATTCTTCACAGCTTCTTTGATCTTGCCAATGTCTTCGTCATTGAATGCTACGTTCCTCAAGGACAAGCTGTCAACGTTGTCAGAGTTCTTTGTTAAGACAGTTGAAATCTCGTCGACCTGCACGGAAATTTTTACCCGGATTAAAATAAATCGAAATATACAAAAACGCTCGCTTTATCTGGTATAATAGCAGAGGAAAAATTTATTTGTATAATCTAGATCTTATTGAGAAAAGAACTGGCAATATTCAACACATCTAAGACTAGCTGCAAAGATTTGGGGTCTCATAAACCATAGTCCTCCCTTGCATTGACTATGCATAAACAAAGGACGAGATAGAGAGAAATGGGCAAAAAAGGAGAAAAAGCAGCTCACTCTAGATGGAAAGGGTTGTATATGCATACGTTTGTACGGGGGGAATCAGTAACTTGAGATGATCTCTCATATGTACTGTATCTATTACTTTCTAACACCAAGACCCGAATTTGCTCTCCACAGCACTGAGTATATGTGGTGGCACAGGCTTCCATTTCAATAAATGACGCATTAAATAGAGCTAACTGTGGCGTGGCGTTATGAACTCGAGTGCTTACCTGATCAGAAGAAAGTGCAACGCTGCTTAATTCCATGTCAGCTGTGTTTTCGATCAAAGGTGCAACAGGCCCTTCATGTTTTGTGTTTGGTTCTGCAGGGGCGTCATCATTTTCGCCGGTTTTTTCAATGCCATCTGGATCATTACCTTTATCCAGTCCTTCGCTATCGGAAATTTCTTTGATCTTTTCCATTTCATCCAAAAGTTCTACAAAATTTGGAGTATTTATCAACGAAATTACTAAAGGTACTGAAACAGTAAAAGCAAGGTGTTTCCGCTACGGCACAGTGCCCCATTTCAGTTAAGAGGACGTTTCTGATGCCTCTCAAGTACAAAAAATACAGAAAGGGGCATTCGCATCAAAGAAGTAAGCATCAACTTTCATCTATTCACTATAATCTATGTCCACGAATAAGCTCACTAGTGACTACTGTAACAAATAATTAATCCGTTTCACAAACCTTGCTCAACAACCTTCTCCTCCTCTTCCTGCACCTCTTCTTCCAAATTATCCTTCTTAACATCTTCTCCTTCCTCTGAAGTTGCATTCTCTGGTTCATTATGTTCTTCTTTCTCGGTTGAGCCATCTTTATCTTCCTCAAATGAGTTATCAGCCAATTCATTTTCGTTTTTAGATTTATCGTCGTCCTCGAGGCTTTGAGCAACTTCTTCTTCTCCAGCCTGCTTGCCATCTTCTTCGGTGCCTTTATTCTCAACATCGCCTTCTGTATCAGCAACAGTGTCGTCTCCTTCACTTTCTTTTTCTTTCTGATCTTCTTGTTCGTCAATCTTTCCATTTTGCTCTGCTGTATCAGTGTCGTCCTTTTTCTTTTCTTCTGGTTCGCCCTCTTCCCCTGTATTCTCTTTTTCTTCTGCCTGAACATCGCTGACACCTTTAATCTCAGAATCAGCTGAAGCTTCCTCAGCTTCTACTTCATTTGGATCAATTTTCTCTTCTTCAGTTTCTTGTTGATTCTCTTCTGAATTGCCCTTTGTATCGTCAAGAGGGGCATCATTTTCTTTCTCATCAGAGTCTGCAACTTTCAATGCAACATCATCTTCTGCCTTCACTTGCTCTACTTCACTGCCACTCGCATCCTCTTTAGGCCCGTCAACTTCTTCCTTGGCGGTATCATTCTCTTCTCTTTTATCGAAATCGTCAAGTGGCTTTTCACTATTTTCTTTTGCTTGGCTCTACAAAATGCAACCGAACCTTTTAGAAGAATTAATTAATAGAAATTAATGAATAAGACTGAAGTACCAAGATCACCTGCTCTAAATTATTTACCCATTTTAGGCCTCCATAAAACAAACCAAACAAAATTGAAGAAAATTATTGAATAAGATCCAGAGAAGAATACAATTTAAAAAAATTACCGTAGGATACCGTGAAAAAGCTCAAACAAAAGGGAATCATATAGGAAACAAGAGGCTACTGAAAATTTGCCGGTTCATATTGTTAATGAAATAACACATAAAAACTCAATGGTTGAAGATAAGAATTTGCCAACGATTCAATTGTTTATTCCAATAATTCTAAATGATTTAGGATTCAGATACTCGAGGAAATGAATTCAGTTTAAGGGTTGCCTTGCAATGAGCTCTAAGCCATGATAAATACTGCCATGGATAAGTATGTGCTTTTGAATTGCATTTTAAAGGTAATAAATTATGATAATTTATTAGAATTTATTAAATTATGATAATTTATTACAAACCTTTGCCTTATATTAACACTGGCCAGGTTTAGGACGTTTTACTGGTTGGAATTTGAAATTTGACTTCAGTTTAGTTTAATCAAATTGGCTGCTTTATTTGCAAAAATGAAATGAAATAATTTAATGATAATATCAACGATAAGTAAAACTTGTCTTTCATCTTGAGTCATTTTTTATGAAAGATACTGACATTAATTATCACGATAGAGTTTTACCATCGACCACAAACGAAAAGTTGAACGAAAAAGATTTACTGATTAATTCAATTAATTCTTTGGTTTTTTGACCTAAGCATATGAACTGGGTTTCTTAATGGGATAACTAACCAGATACCACAAAGATATCGCATAAGAAAAATGAGACCACCTCAGAGCGTCATATTCTGATGTTTTATGCTCTGAGGAGTGTCAGACGAAAAAGCTTTTAGTATGTTGTAAAATGTTTGCTTTTTTCAAAGCCATTTTCAAAAACCGACAATAGAAGTATTAAACAAAATATAGCTCATTGCGAACTTTAAATTGAACATGCATGGTACTCCCACGCAGGAGGAGGTCATCATTTAAGGGGGATTTTCACTTAAGGTAGAGCATCTATCAACTTCTGTTTTTTAGGCGTCATCAGTTTTGCCACCAGTCTCCAATTACCTTCTAGATGGACCAGAGGCAAGCATGGATGCTATGCTTAAAAAATAATCTTTTGACGAGCCTCTGGTAAACTGTGTTGCATAAATTATCAGTATTTCAAACTTCTACAATAGTTTTTAAATTCATCAAGACCTACTAGGGATATAGATGTGGCGATCACATCTTCGACTTCAGGACTTTCCCAACATTTCATTTCCGGTGAACTAATAGTAAATTTGTGGGATGCTGCTCTCTTCGCGGTTCATATGCATGAAGTTACAAAGTGCCAGGGACTCCGTTCAGATCCTACTCTTCTATAGAATCCTTTGTGTTTTTCGTTTTGCGTTTATATGGTAAACAAGCCAGCCCGGTTAAGTGAGATGCCACTGCATGAGAGGTGGGATCTCAATGAGGCTGGATGAATTTTTTCCCATATAAGCGCTGGAAGGTGTGATGAGGCTGGAAGATTGATGAAACGTTCATATAAACGTGATCAAATTTCGTCCCACTTGTCAGCACACAGGCTGGAAGGTGGGATAGAATCTGCATGTAAACATTCGATGATTTCATCCCACCTGCCAGATTATGGGCTGAGAGGTGGGAAAAATTATCTCATATAAACAGGCCCTAAATCAAACCCTAAATGGATTTCTCTTTGAGTATACACTGAATGAATTGTCCATTGAGTATAAAATGACATGTGACAAAGACTGCTTTGAAGAAAACAGCTGAATGTAGTACTAATGATCATTGATAATAACTCGGATCCTGAGGAAGCTGACATTGAATAACTGCTAAAATATCCAGTTTCTGTTGTTGAAACATTACTCGTGCAATTTCATTGTTAAAAAATTTATCGGCGCATGTGCCTGTATCTGAATGGTTTTTCCGCATCATGAAAAATGATAAAATCGTGAATTTCTCTTAACTGCATGCGCTTTAAGCGGGGTAATTGGGGTAGAGTTGAACAGAAAAAAGAAGTCAAGGACTTTAATTGCAGAGATTTAAATCAAGTCTTTAAATCCCTTTGTCACTGTTAAAGATTTAAAATAGATTACATTACAATTCAACTATCATTCATGTATTGAATTTTTTGCTTAAATTTAATCTATAGTATTTAATCTGTAATTAAATTTATAAGTTTGAGAATGACTACATTAAGAAAATTCGTTTAAGAGCTCTTGGAGCCTAAATTAGGAACACTTGCATTACTTTTTAAGAACACGATGAGTTTATCAATTTCGGTTACATGAACTATCATTTTTAACACATTATCATCTACAGACTAAAGTAAAACCAAATTATGATAATTTAGAAGTAAAATAAATTTTACTTTCAATTTGTTTAAGATTTTATGCAAAATTAATTACAACAATAATTATCGGTTATCAGGGTTTTAAAATTCAAAAGAACTCTAAAAATCGCTATTTAAACTCAGGATGGTGTTTTTATCGAGTTTAAATAAAGTTTATAAATGTTGTCTAGCCATAACAGATCATTTTTTGGATTCACTTTCAGTGTGTGCAGCTCAATACGCTTTTGCAAGCAAGAATAAGCAAGGTAGAAGGTGAGGTTATCTTTAACAAAATAAGTCTCGAACACACTAATATTAGGTGATTTTTCGGCTACCTTCTTTTTATTTTTGATCAATATCTGATATTTTAGATTTTATAGAGTGCCGGACGATAAGTACTCTAGAAATATGTGTAAGATTTCCACTTTCTGAAAGATTTTTTAAATTAGCTTTTAATAGCTAAGTGGAATTACAGACTTTCAAGCTCTCATTAATTATAGTATCACGTGATAATCCTCTGATGATTGACAGTGTACATCTAAAACTGGATAACTGAGCTATGTAATAACGTCAAACAAGCCTTCGTTTCAAAATAGTAAGATTGTAGCGGAAATATTCCTTAGATGATCACTGTCTTGACTTGCGGCTTAACAAAACTCGTTCTACATATTGCATAAACTTGCAAATCAGGCCAGTAAAATTAAGAATCTTTACTAACAAAAAACCTTTTGCTGATGGTAAGATCTGTCGATTTAAGCTGGCGAACATTTGAAACAGTATATATTTGATTTTTTATCATCGAAAGGGTCCTGATTTCGTATGAGACACGCATCATCATCATACAAGCCGTTAATGAAATCTTGTCATCATTCAATTCTATGTAGATAGTGTGCCTTTTGTATCTTCAGAAAATGCTTACCCTGTCGTCTTCTTCTTTTTCAGAATGAGATGAATCTTCACTGGAACTGGAGTCCTCTTTCTTCTCATCCTCGGATGACGAAGATTCTGTGTCACTTTTGAGGCTTTCAGTCTTCTCATCTTCTGAATCAGTACTATTTTTATCTCCAGCAACCTCTTCACCTGGCTCTTTAGCAACTTCAATTTGAACCTGGACTCCGTCGTCTTCTTCAGCAGTTAATGTTGCTTCTTTCACTTCAGATGATGTGCCGTGTTTTAAATCATCTTCATCCTCAACTCCAGGAGATGCAATATTTTCTCTTCCACTCTCGTCTTCTACTTCAGATGATGTGTCAGGCTTTATAGAATCTTCTGCCACAACTTCAGAAGATGCGCTGTTTTTTCTTGCATCTTCCTCTTCTACTTCAGATGACGTGTCACCTTTTCTTTCATCTTCTTCCCCTACTTTAGATAACGTGCCAGCTATTTTTAGATCTTCCTCCTCCACTCCAGATGATGTGTCGTCTTTTTTTTTATCTTCTTCCTCTACATCCGATGAAGCGCCACCTTTTCTTTGACCTTCTCCCTCGATTTCAGATGACGCGTCATCTTTTCTTGCACTCTCTTCCTCAATATTAGGCGTTGATTCTTCTTCAATCTTCGGTTTGTTTTCTTCTTCAACATCAGAAGCAACTGAAACTTCTTTGGTTTGTTCACCATCAGCATAACTGTTTGCTTCATCTTTCGCTGTTTCATCTTCAATTTCAGAAGCAGTTTCGTCTTTCGTTTCTTCATCGACATCTTCCTTCATTGTCTCTTCAGCAACGTCATCTTCTTTAGCTGAATCGCTGTGAACATTTTCCTCTTCTTTTTCATCACCATTCTCTTTCTGCTCATTTTTCTTATCTTTCTCTCGGTCATCTTCTTCTTCTTCAATTTCACTTTCACTATCAGAGCTACTAGATTCTGAATCCGAGTGAGAATGATTACTTTTTTTATCTTCTTCAATCTCTCCAAGTTTTTCATCATCACCGGTTTGCTCCTTATCAGTCTCTGTTTCGTTCTCAACCTCGAATTCATCATCATCGTATTCATTAGGCTTTTCTTTATCGTTTTCCTCGCCATCTTTGTCACCTTTTTGGTCTTCTTTTCCATCTTCTTCTCCTTCTTTTTCATCATTTTCGTCTTTTTCTTCCACCTTTCCTTGTTCTTCTGCGTACGATGCAAGATCTTCGCCGGTTTGAGTAGATATATCATTCTTCGTTGCAGATTCTGGAGACAAAAGAAGGCGTGATCAATGACAAATACATAAAGATCAACTAAACAAGGATCATTCAAAGGAATGTGCACATTTTTAAAACCATCCCTAAATTTAAAACAGGTACCTTGTAGCCATTTTCTACTCATTGGCACAACATATTATGTTGCTTAAGGATAATGAATGATCTCAATGGTTCGATATCAGAGCTCCGTACAAGCAACAATTATCATCAAAATTACCTTCGTGGCCATTATACAGTATTAAGAAAGACAAAAAAACTGATACATTGAAGCAAAAGTCGTAGGTAATTTACAATCATTGGCAATAAAAAGTTATGGTATTACACAACTTCAGCTGGTTCTCAAATGATAAGACACAATCAAAAACTGATATACATTTAAAAGCTGAAAATGCAACCTTACTCCTAAAGTAGAACTGATGTTTGTGTTTACTGCTTCCATATCAGTAGCAGCAAAATCGATACAATGTACTTTTTAGACTAACCTGGATCGACAGGGTTCGGTGCTCAATAAAATATCAACACATTGGTAACCAATAAGTTCAAAACAAACAGTTATTATACTCATATTAGTTACCTGGCCTTTCAACGGGTTCTTCTTCATCCTTATCTTCCTCTTTTGGAGCATCTTCTTTACTCTCTTCAGTATCATCCGGCTCTTTAACTTTAATATCCACTACCATAGGAGGACTGGAAGTGACGTCATCAGCTGCTGGCTCGCTCTGATAAGCAAAAAACATAAAAATAGGTTTTATCAAGAAAACAATAAAACAGCATATTGCGTTAATTAATTTGAAGAGATTCAAAAGGTTAAATATTTTTCAGCTACTTCCTCTTGGGGTCAGATGAAAAATTCTACTGCTTAAGCAGTTTCAAAGACTTTAAAAGAAAAGGAAGCCAGACGCGTAAGTTGGAAAATGACACGATCTTTACAAAAGATCGCATAGAGGAAGAAGTTGGTAATACCCGGCATATTGTAATGCTGTCCAGCAGGAAAGAATCTTCATTTGACTGGGCTAATATGCAACTACAATCCTTGCCAAAAATAACTGGAACGCCTTCCCATTGCAGCATGCAAATAAAGCAAGTCTAAATCTACCTTACCAAAATATCACTGCCGCTTCAAAAATTTCGACCCCCTCCCCCCGTACAATGTTGATTTATTTTCTCAATACTTTCATACAGCTTTCAGTGAAGAAATTTTCACTTTCAGGATCAAAACAGCCCATTTGAACAACATTGTAATGGGGGGTAGGGGGGATTTTTCAAAAAAAGCTTCAGCTTTGCGCAAGTATTCGAACAATTTTGGCAAGGATTGTAGGTTAGTGTAAAGACAAGTGAGGTGTTACTTTGTATTGGGTTCTTTAAAAAAAGGCTATTTCATCAGAAATATGATTCACAGGAGGCAGAAAGAGCACGAAGCTGGTTGTGATAAGGCTGACAAAGTTTTCTTTCAGGTGACACTTCTCCATTTATTTGGAAATGCTGCAAAATAGCAATTTTTTACCTCTTTCTTTGAAGACGATGATCTTTTTCTCGAAGATTTCTTCCCTGAATGGGCTTCTTGTGCAACGGAGAATGCAACTTGACATCTGCAAAATATACATATCTTCATGTAAGGTGGAGAAAATATCAAAATTTTCAAAAATTATCATGATGTGTTAAGGACAATCAAAACATAATATCAGAAACATAAGTTCAAAGGAGAGAAATTCAATTTCATGATTGGTAAGAATATGCAGTGGAAATACTATGAAGGTGCCGTCATTAAAAAAACCAGTAGTTCTAGAACCAGGCCTAATTTGAGTGGTTTTATAGAGAAAACCCAGTTCTTTTTCAATGTGCAAATTATGCGCACTAAGAAGCAGTTTAGCAAAGCGACTTCTTGCAGAATAATCGACAGAAGATCAAGATATGGCTGGAACTTAAAGTTTGTTTTAAATAAAGCAAAAAATCTTTTAAGAAAATATGTTACTAATTTATGACGTCACTCACTTGTAACACGGGGCTGCTCCAGTAGTGCCAACAAAGACGAATTTGGCATTCTTGCCACCAAGTTTGCATCCAGGTTTATGCTTATACTCACAACAGCTGCTAACGCGAATGTCCTGGACACCATCAATATAAATCGTCAAACCGAATGGAGCACCTCGATGCCGTCGTGAAATGAACGTAAACGAGGCTGAAGAATATGACGTCATGCTTTAGACAATACAAAGAAAAATAAACGAGACAGTCCAATAATAATAGGCCATAAAAGATGATTGGTATAATTGTAGAGAATCGAAGACGGTACTGCCAATTAGCAATAAGATGGTTTGGTCGAATAAGATGCCGAATAAGTTCGCAATTTGCATATTGTGAACTATCAAAAATTCATCAGTGTCACGAACAAATTTACAAGTGCTTGAATACACATAAGCACTAGTTTCCAAGCATATTTTCCAAACATGTCTCATTTTGGCCCACATTAACTTATGTTAGTTATTCTTTTACTCTAGATGCATGGCTCTTGGTAAACCAGCATTGCTGAATGGGCTACCATGCTTGAATGAATGAATTAATGAATGAATGAATTAGTTAATTAATTAATTAATGAGTGAATGAATGAATGAATGAACTAAAGAATGAATGAATGGATGAACGAATGAATGAGTGAATGATTGAATAAAAACATAACTGCAAACTATTAATACACATTTATTGAAAGTTTAAAAATCTATCATATCAATACAGAGATGATGTATAATTTTGAAAAGTACTAACTTGTCGGAGGAAGCAATTCCCTGAAGACGCACAGAGTGCTGCCTCCACAATGTTGCTGCAGGACAGTGACTTCATGCAGCTTGTGATTTGAAAACATGTCGTTTGTCAAGTGAAGTTGTGGTCCAACAAACTTAATAGTAACTTCAGCTAGTGATTGAAGCTAAATGAAAATAGAGGGGATTTTCAGTATAATTAGCAAAATTGACTCAACCAGGTTTCCTTGAAACAGCGGTTTACAATTGGTAAACTATTCAGGGTGCAATAACTTTTTTGAAATCTGCTGCCCTACTTAAAACTTGTTCCAACTAAAATTTCGCCAACCGGTGTCGAAATGTGCTTAGCTAAACATCGACATAATGAAATTTCATTCCACCAAACGTTGCATGGAAACGGTAGACCAAATTCCGGCTCATGGTGACAAAGGGCCTAAGCCGATAAATTCCAAAACAAAATTACGAGGAGAAGAGGCTTGGAAACGGTGGTTCATAGAAAACAAATGTCACGCACCATTTCACAGAGTTGTCACAATAGAGCAGCCTCGGTCTCCCCTAAATGAAACCTCTTTTTGACTTATTACAGAAAACAAATGTTACTGCAGAACAAACAAAAGTGCACAGTATACGAAAACATCTATTACTTGGCTCCAGCTTACAACATATAGAAATCAGGGCATTAGAGGTACTTTACCTGAACTTTGTGTGCAATTGCAGTATCTGTTCTTGCCAAAATCAGCCCCTGAAGAAATCAAGAAAGCCCGGTCAATAGCGTGCAATGGCTTTAAACAAAAGAAAAATTATTTTAAAATAGGTTTGGTTACTTAAGATTTAAAATTTAGAGTCAAGTGAAAAAACTATTTGGTATGAAAATTACATAGTTGCTTGTTAAAAACAGAGAAAGAATAAAAACAAAAGATCATACTGTTTTCAGCAATAATATTACTAAAAAGGCTGTTTCTTTCATATTAGCAAACTCTGTTTATTAGCAAAAATCATGAATTCAAAATAGATATTGGAATAATTTATAAAGAGCAGAAGTAAAATGAAAAAGGTAGATGAAATCAAATGAAATCGAAACAATGAAAACCATACCCTGGGGACCTTTCTTCTTGATTCTTTCTTTTTCCGAGGTGGATGAGGGTGGGTATGGCGCCGTTGGTACGGAGTGTTATCATCGTCAACAATTCTAGCTGCCCGACCTTCAGGAGGAGCACTCTGCGAAAATACATCAAACGATGACGAGTTTCTGACGTCGTCACTCGTGATGAGGGTAATTTAGCGATAAATAATGTTTTAATGTTAATACTATAACGAATTGCTTTAAAATGTTGGTTTAATAACAGTAATATAAAATACATCATCTGTTCCCTAGCGTTCTTTTCTTTTCAAACAAAATCTGTATGGAGTGAGGCACTTGAGAATAAATCAAATTTAAAAGAAATTAAACAGAAAATTGTGATCCGCTTGAGAGTTGAAAACTCGTTGGTAGGAACAAAACAAACAATAAACACATTTCGTCCTAGCTGACAAGAAATTAAAACAGGACACCAGTTACCTATTTCGGGACTTAAAGTTCATCAAAAGCTGTCAATCAACAATTGGCCAATCAGTTAATGTGATACATCTAACACGCTTATTGATTGGTTGATATTGATTGACAGGTTGCTTAAGCAATTTTAGTATCTGTTGATTGCCTTTTATAATCAGAGTAACCATGGCGAGCTAAAAGTTTGGAAACAAAAAATTGAGAGCTATTTTTCCATTTTAGAGCTGCTTTTGCATTAGCAAAACTTTTGGGATGCCATAATAGAATTTGAGGCATTTTATTGACTTGATTAACATTTAAAAACTAAAACGTAGCTAGGGAAATCAATAACAGGAAAAGTAGTGAAAATATACGAATCTTTTTTGATGTAATGGCGATAAAGAAACCCTTTTCAGCCTATTTTAATTGTTATCGGTTTGAAAATTACATCTTTTAAAACGATTCAAACTATAAGAAAATTACCTTGTATTTGCACACAAAGGTTAATGACTCTTAATTTTATCCCAGTACTGGTATACAGTCGGTGTATTATAAGAAGATGAGCAAAGTGAAGACATGACAATTTTCTTATCGCAGACAAAGATCGTTAATAAAAATTATAACTGGCTGCCTTGACTTGACCAAAAAGTTACAACCTAAAACGAACCTTAGCAAACAGCCTCCGTTTCTGATTATCGAACTCTATATCAGGGAGAGCCTCCTTTTCATACGAGTCTTCCGTAGTAGAATAACTGCTGTCACTTTCCCTTCTTCTACGTTCAGCTGACCCTGGATGGCTGCGAGGTCTGGCACCGGTTTGAGGTCGCGGAAGTAATAACGGTATTATATCTTCATCTCCTTTCCTTGATGTTTCATTCTATGACAAACAAAAACAAACAAGATTTCAAATTACAAATAGAATACATAGTTATTTAGCTAAGGCATTTATCAGCAACAGTACTGAGAACAAAAAATTTGATTCAAAATGGAATCATACCAGGCAGGAAAATTAAAAATGATATTACATAATATACCACGTCTTTTGAACATTAAACAATAAAGCAAAAACTTAAGAGATATTGTCAATTGATAATAAGTTGCATGAAAAGTGATCCTACGAAACGAAAAATGTGTTACAAATGATTAAGAAACCTTAAAAACTCTGTATCAACTTGCTATAGTGAAGTCTTCCAAGAACTGTTTTAGAAAATCGTAGTCTTGGGAAATTCTTTTAAAAAGAGCGTTTGTTAAAACAAGACGATATTGGTCTCAAGAAAAATCTCCAAAGACGACCTACAGACACACATGTATGACCTAACAATTTCCGATATGAAAAATTCAAAGTATAAAGAACAGAAGCATAATGATTATACCTTTACTCTCTTGACCAGCTCTACTTTGTACAGTTCGTCGAGTTTTTTTCTTACTTCGTATTGCCTCATTCTCTTTAAATCAAAGATACATACATATGAAAAACGCCACTAACGTAACATAGGCCCCTGTCCGAAAGACTATCTTTCCATGACCTCTTAACACCCCTACCCTGACCCCTTCTTTCCCAAACTCACCCCCATCAAAGCCAAAAAATGTCATGTTATCACTCCAGTAGTTGGATAAAAGTTTTGTTTAAATGCTAATTGCTGCAGGAAAAGATTTTTTTAATCTTAGGCAAATTTAACAAACAGAATTTCAGCGGAGAAAGACGAAAGCTTGTTCGACGACTGGATTCTTTGAGTGTATTATTGGATAAGTTGTAATGCGCTTGGGTTGCTGGCGAGTATCTATTTTATTCAAGAATATTATGTTGATAATATTGTTAATTTTTTTTTTTACAAGTTATCAAGCTGCCAAACGATACATCCACCTGCTCATATTAGACAAGTTTCACCTGCCTTTTCTTGGATAAGAGAAATTACTTTTAAGAAAAGCTAAGAAAGTGATCAAAAAGAAAGATATGCAAAACTTATTGCGCCATTTGAAGGAAATGCAAAGAATATAACTGTGAAGAAACATCACGTAAATATCATAAGAATCCGTCAAAAGAATATCGAGTTTTCTATTGCGTTAAACGAAATCAGTGTACCTCAAGGTCCAGTGCTTTGTGTACAATCGCTGTTGCTAGGAGATCCCTGACGTGACTTTTGTGCTCCTTCTTCGCCATCTTCAGTCTATAGGCGTTGTTATCAACAATCTCTCCATTCTTCTTAATCTGATTTGAAAAACATTATCAACGGTAAAATATAAGGCAAAACTTAGTCATAAAATACACGGCACTCCAGCAAGAAGCAACGCCTGAATCAGGCTCTGCTCTAGAAACACTTAAGGCCTAAATTCCAAATGGTTACAGACACCTGCAAGTGACATTGACAGCAATATGAAGGTCAACACCATGCTCATACTCTGATAATGCAAAGTAAAGTAGTGTGAATGAAAAAGGCCCAGTGTGAATGATAGTGTGAATGATATTGTAGTTTAATTCATACAGTGGGTTAGCTTTAAGAGATGGCTAGAGACGCAAGGCCCCGCGTTTTTATAAAAGTAAGGTAATTTGCAACTCGCATCAGTTTTCTTCTTTTTTGTTCATCAAGGCATATTCAACAATAACACGGTCAAAGCAATTTATTCATAATGATGATTAAATTTAATTTAATCAGATTTAATTTCACGTGGGGCTTTTGAGCTTCAATTAATTCGCTTGAGATTGCTGTTATTACTTGTTCGTTATGGTCCCCTGTGCCACGTTCCCTCGCGTTTTTCTTGTAGCGGCTCTACTAGTTTTATGGGCAATGCCTATAGCAGTTTTTATGAGGAAGTCTTTCGGCCTCCTGGGAATTTTGATTTGAAAACTAGGGTAAGATGTGTGTCTCGTGGCGTTTTTCATTCCCTATGTTAATCTAGGGGCATTTAAGGTTTTGGCATAGCGTGGGCCTCACCTTGCTTGGTTAAAGCCACAATACAAGTAGGTTGTTTTATTTTCCCAACCCTCCCTCCCTCATTTTGCTTCTTTATGCAAAATGCCTTTTCAGTATAGCTTTGCATGTTGAGTTTTCTTTTATGGCATCGTTAAAACCTCTCATACCTTTAGGCATTTTCTATGCTTTTTAGCGTTTTCTGATGCTATTAGGTAGGACTGCTGCACCGGCTATTAGTGGGGAAAATGGGCTTTTCTTGTCCATTCCCTCCCCTTTATCAATCATATTTGGGGGTTATTGTGTAACTTCCCTTAGTAACCCTTTTATGGTAGGTTGAGCGATTTGCGCCGATGCACCAACGGCCGTAGGATGGTCGATGATGTGGGAACGTAGCCTCATGACTAACCTTCTGATGTCTATGTCAGTTTTTCTGAGGGCGCACTGGTATTTCATTCCCGAGAAAGTAAATTAAAGACACATAAAGCAAAGTTGAAAAGAAGTAACAGCAATAGAAAGCTTTCCATATTTATAGATAATATTTATAATATTCTACAATTAACGGAAGATGACTCTAGCTAGAGTCGAAACGTCTTAATTAATAACCGATTTTGCCTTAATTAATAACAGAATATGTCTTACTGATTATGCCGCCTTACTGATTATCAAATTTGGATTGAAGGGCTCTGAAGCTGGTAGTTTCTAATTTGATTAAAGGTGATTGCAATGATTTATGTCGAAACATAAATATGTTTTTTTCGCCGTGCTGGCTATTATATTATATTCGCCATCATGACGTACAAACATTGCAATCAATTCGAGCATAACCCAAAAAACATGACGGTCACCAAGCAGTGTCTAACTTAAATCCGACATTGTTATCAATTTCTCCCGAGGCGAATTTCCGAGCTCAGGTCAAGGGCATTATCTGAAAGAAGGATAAAGAAATCTGTGGATTCTACTCTTGAGCAGTCGAAGTCACTTAATAATGATAAATTAAAGTTTAACAAAAAGCAGAATAAATTTTGGAAAATACGAATTTTTTCTATCTGCCTATCATGAATTAACTATGCAACATGTTAATTATTTAAGCATCTAGCGTTCCTTTTTGCGAATATAGAGATCAACGCTGTGGCAACGGAAATTCGTAAGCAGTGATCTTTGTCTTGTTTTTGAGCCATTCTGTCTCTGAGGCTTATTAAACCATAGTTAACTGTGACAACGTACGTCATATAAAAACTTAAAGAGGTCAAAAAAAGGATTGCCAACGCAAACAACTGAGTGATCAAGTACTATTAGAAGAACTGGTAGCTTGAACTGTTTGACATGGCTAAAAAGTACTCAAATAGAACTATATTTAACATAATTCGAGCAAAACAAGGTTTGAAAAGCCTCTTTGCTGGTGCCAGCTCACTCTACAGTTCCTTATGGGCTGCAGTTGAAAATTTTTGTTGCGAGTCTGTTTTAAAGAAACAACTCTAAAACAGCAGAGGCCAAAATAACATTTCAAAATTTGACCTGAATTAGGTCATATTTGAATTTATTCATTTAATCACTTTCTTATTCGGGTCACTAAGATCAACATAACTTGCAAAGATAAACACGAAGATAATTGAATCAATCACTATATATCTTTCTCCTATAGTTTGTGTTATAATTTTAGATTAACTTTACTACCAATTATATATGACAGTGATGGTGATAATTATTATAATGCTCATTTTTCGTGATAAAAACAAATCTAAAATTGCTCACCAAACCAGACTTCACAAGGTGTTTTTTCATTTTTGTATTCCCAAAGTAGCCAGCCAGATGCTTATCTTGCAAGCTGTTGTATTTGGCTAAGGGTCTGAAGAAAAAGTAATGACATTCTGTGAATTTCAATACAGAAAAGAAGCGATTCTCTTCATTCTATTTAAAATAAGATAAAGTTGTAAAAATTAGTTGAGAGAATCAAAAATGGACCTATACACAGATTTTTAGAATTCAATTCTAAAAACCTGTGTGTATAGGTCAATTTTCGATTTAATAGCTTTTAATAGAACTTAAAAGCCAGAAATTGGGAAAATTCTTAGAAGATTTTAAAAGTCTAGGTATGAGAAATGAAGCCTTGATGCATATCTACTTTTTGCTAAAATCTCTCAGCAGAAAAGGTCCATCAAATTAATATTTATTAACAATAACAATTAATGATTTCTTCATTTAACGATAATTTTCATAAAAGTTACTGACTTTTATTGCCACTTAAGTTCTGTTGGAATAAAATTGTTACTGTTAATACCAAAAGTTTAAAGCTGAATGAAAACGAAAGAAACAAACAATGTGATCAAACTGAATTCATTATACATATACAATGGAAAATATACAGTAGTCTGATTAAGAATAGCAACTTAGAAGCATCAAGTAGCATATAATAGAAACTATTTGAAGCAAATTATTTGATTAAAGCTAGTTGTCTCCATACATGTCTATGAATGCTAGAATAATGGTTTTGCTGAATAAACTAGTCATAAATGAATCAATATTTTATTGACACATCAGCCAGATAGATTTGTCTTATGTTTTTTATTGGTTAGCTTAGTTTCGGGAAATTACCTTTGAAAAACAAAGGCAGTTTATCCTCCTTCTCTGAAAAAGGGGAGGATTTTTAAGAAACAATAATTCCTCTTCACAGTGATTTTGAGAATTGGTTTTGCAAAACAAAAAAATGCATTTTCTTTTTGAAAAGGAAATTCTCACTTTGCAGTTTCAATACTTAACTTTTCTAAATTTTGCAAACTTTGCAGTTTCAATACTCAAGTTCGGTGACTATACATAGCATATTCCTAATGCATAATGAAAACTTTGACACTGATGATATACAGCTGTGTTTAAGAAAACTCTGTTTTGACAAAAAACTCTGAGAAGACAAACAGCATGTTTGAGAACCTGCTGGAAATACTTAAAGTTCTAAGTAAAAACTTTGGAAAATGAAGAAATGATCATCAACATCTGTGTATGTTTGATCAGATATATCTTTGTTGGCTTTGGTGCTGTACACATCAGTTGAGTGATGAAACACATTGGAAATGCATTGAAAAAAAAGTTAATTTTTGATCTGATCCATAATCAATCAATTATAAAGGCTAAATTAAAGGAAGGGCTAGTTGGAGAAGGAGCACTTAGCTACAAATATTCTATACATGTATTCAGATAGAGGGCTATCAGCCAAATTGGTTTTATTCACAGAAAAATGATCATTCCTTTGTAGATCATTCTTTCAGGGGCATTGCCAAAAGGAGGCTGCCGGGAGTGAGAGAAGGGGTGAGGTACCCCCCAAAACTTTGTCCGTTGGTACATTTTTGTCCGTTGACAAGATTTTGCCAGGCAAAAGAAGCAATTTTTGTACTCTTCCTGTCACCTTTTTGCAACAATTGTAATGTATTTGACATTTCTATACTAGTTGAACTTTCAAAGTATGGCACTAAAGTATGAACTTTTCTATAAGAGTATTTGAACACACCCTTTTTGTAGGCAAAAACCACTTATTTAACCCTCCAAAAAACTCTTTTGCATCACCCCTGCATTCTTTTCATTGGCGACAAACAGGGAAAGGTCTGAACACAGAAAAACAGATCTATATCCTTTTGAAACAGATCTTACCTTTTTTAATAGCAGTCTGTGTGATTTTGTGAAAGTTGATGTTATGTGTTAAAAATTTATAGTCTTTAATTGATTTCAAAAGGGAAAAGTTTATGTGGAGACTATGCAAGACAATGAATTGACAAGACAATGCAGACCTATCTCATAACCATATCAAAATCAGAAATAAAGGTAACAAATGTGTGTTTTTAAACTGAGTTCTGTAAATTTTAAATCCCAACTGCAAATTACCTTGCTAATGTGTTTTTAGTTTGCAAATTACCATGACTGTATCTTACGTGATCAACAACAAGATTTTGTTGTTTTATATTTTTGGCTCTCATCAGAACATTTTAGCTGATAATTTTGGGTTTTTTCGATTTATTTTTGGATACTTAAAGTTGAATTTCAATAGATTGAACTTTCAAAGTTTGTGTGTCTCCCCTGGGCGGTCCATCAACTAAAGTGGAAAGTTAGGGCGACAACCGCGGAGACCAGACATACAGTCTGGCTAGTTTGACTAATTCTAATAACAACCATAATCCTTTTTTCTAGCTCTCGACCTTTTCGTCATACCAGTTGCGCATTTCTTGAATCCATTGAGATTCGACGTTGCATCTGCTTTCAGATTCCAGAAGAACGACAAACAAAAAAGATGAAAAATGATGTTTCATCATTTCTGAATAAGTCGATGATATCGATAATAAAACAAAGTTCATTTATTAAACAATTCGCAGATTTTACAAGACTATCCTTTGCATGAATCAATTTGTAAGTTTTATTTCGGACTGCTAATAAGAAATGGAAACGCTTCCGCTTGTTCTATCATTTTATTTTGCACTTTGTAACCTTTTTAAAACTGAAAGATGTAACAATTCAAATAGGGCAAAATTAAGAGAAAAATACGAATCATACCCTGGATCCAAATGACTCATATTTCAGTCTGTAAAAAGGCAATCCAAAACGATGTTTTATCGCTTTTCGTAAATCCTGGGCAACCAGGCGACACGAGAAAATGTTTAAAGCTCAAATAATTAAACTCCTTTTGAACCCGCTAAAGGCAAATCTGACTGCACGGTTCCACATGGTATTGTCAAAAATTCTTCACAGTTGTGGCCTTGTAGCTTACTTAAACAGTAAAATAACTCATTAGAGGTAACGTAAGAAAACTTAATGCAAGGAGTTGTAGTTTCAGCTGGTGTGTTGTGAACATTTATGTGCCTAGTCTCGTTTGCGATGTCTCCATGAGTTATGAAGCGTTACCATGACAGTTAACACCATAACAATGCGTGATTACGCGCGGGATGTCGCGGGATACATCAGGTCATTGATTTTTTATAATCCCCATTAACTAAAAATCTGCGATTTGAATGCGCAGTTATTAAATTATTTTTCAACTATACGCCAAATAAGCATAACCCTCTATCTTAATATCAATTTGCGGAGAGACCAGAAAACAAGGCAGTAACACTGGCACGGCCGACGAAAAAATTGACCAGGACTTATTCACCATCATAAATTAGCTTTGCATTTCAATATTCTATTCCAATTATATTCTTATCGCCGTTTTGGTTTGTTTCTGCTTATTACCTTTACATCACACATTGCATGATTCACAGAATCGAGTGGACAGCCTATCCTGTATCTCTTCCTTCTGACATATCTTATTTTCGTTGCTTTAATGGAAAACTATAAAGTCTTACTTATTGACTGGAGCAACGATAAACACCCTACTGGATTATTAATTATCGATTTTAACATTTATTTTCAGCCCGTAACTAAGTAATGTGCAGGCGCCTTTTTGCTACAACAAAAAACTGTAAATATACATTCATGTTTCTTTTTCACCATACACATAAGTCCAAAATTTCTTTAATCTTTTAATCTTCTTCATATCGTACATTTTAGGCTCAGAATAAAAAAAATTGTACATACACTACAAAGGAGAAAAGTATTGCAACACCCAAATGAAAATAGCATCCAACAAATTGAAGTTTTGCAAACTTATATCTTTACGCTGAAATATTCACCTAAAAAGTGAAAAGAATCATGCTGAACTAGTAGTCAATTTTTTCAAATTTATTGAGGATATCGAAATACTCAGAATTACAGTATTAACGTAAGAAAGTTTACAGTTACAAGAAAAAAATTATCCAGTGGAATTATACAGTGGAACAATTTGTACAATTTCGCCGTGGTCTTGAAAAATACCACGTTTTCAGTTACCTCTAAAGCTAGCTAACAAGCAGCACTGGCTGTCAATTTAGATCCCTCTTTCCAATTTAGCATGCCTTTTAATTGCTAAAAAAAATCTGGAGGTCATAGTGAATTGTAGTTGACGCTTCAACCGAGAGACTTTAGGGGAATGGACACAAGTTACAAACCTAAAGAGGGCCTGGATTTTATTATTTAGTGCCAACAAGAAACATTCAAGTCTTCAAATAATTAGTTTTATTTAACCAACAGAGATCATATTTAACCAACAGAGCAACTACCTTTGCTTCATCTTTTATTGATTTTATGACATACTGAAATGCCCAAAGCGATTCTTCTACCGAGAATATTTTACCTGAAATTTCCTACTGAGTTACTATTGGGGGGGTTGTGACACCCCCACACACACCCCCCGGTCGCGACGCCTCTGACACGGTTAGTCAAAACCTTTTGTATTGGTGGAGCCAATTTTGCATTTAGTTCTGTAAATGATTTCGTACATCAAGTAGAAAAATAAAAATAAAAGACTTAATGCATAACACCTCTCGATGCAAAACATCGCTAATATGGTCCTAACTTGTCTACAGAAGCGGCAATGGTTTTCATGTAACCACTGGCAACGTCTTGGCGGATCCGGGCTTCTCAAACAGAATAGATTATGACCTACATTTTAAATATTTGCTACTCTGGCCAGATTAAAACGGTTTGTTTAAAAGAAATTCAGATATGAATTACAATGTTTTGGTCGTTTTTTAATTCAGTATTGACATGAGTAAAAATGGAATTCTATTCGCTTTCACCAAACAGTGCCGAGAACTGTATGCAAACATCTTTTGGTGGTACAAAAATTGACAATGGCTTTGAAAAAAGCACAAATTTGAGTAAACTAAAGCTTTTCGTCTAACACTCTTTCAGAGTTTAAAACGTCAGAACTGAATAAATCGCTATTGTGTAGACAAAAGGAGTTCGTTTTCACATTAGGACTCCATTGGTAACATTCTCTTTAGGCAAGCAGCACTGATTGGGCAACCTCAACAGTCATGTGCTCGCGTTTCTGATTGGCCTATTTCGATCTACAACTGGGTATATATAATCCCTAGCGTAGAGTTTTCGATCTATGTTCTGGCATTTTAAACTCTGAAAAGTGTCAGAGCAAAAGCTTTAGTTTACTCAAATGTTTGTTTTTTTTCAAAGCCATTAACAACAGAAGGTTGAACAGGGCTGGAGGATGACTGGACAAAATGTTTTCAATCAAGCGAAACTTAACAAAACTGATCAGCTTGTATGAAAGAGTTTGTGGATGAGATAATTTAGAAAGTTTTGGGCTTCTGTGGAGTCGAATTTTTCTCAAGTTGGCACCTTTAAATGGAAGTAAAAAATACGAGAAGAATGCGCAAAATGGAAAAAAACATGGCATGTGTGCTAAAAAGAGCAACTGAACGTCAAGAAATTAGTTAATTAGCTACTGCGTTTACGTCTGTTTATCATTATTGGTAAGATTAACCTCTTAGAAATTTTGGGAAAAAAACTCTTGATTTTGCATTTAAAGTGTTTAGGACATTTACTAATAAGAAAAAAGATGTAAACAATGTTTCTTTCCAAAAGCTGCAAAGCATTAGTGAAATAAGAACGTGAATCAATTGATAATTGATAAATATAACGAGCGGGATATTTGTTTCTATTGTCACTTAGAAAGATTTTTAGACGGACAAAAACCGGCAAAAAAATGCAATTGAAGTTTCGCTGAAATAAAATGTTCAAGCATTCCAAAGAAGCTTTTTATATCATTTTCCTCGATTTACTTGGCAAAAATCTCATTCTGTCATGGTCTATGTGCAGTGTAACATTCAGGATCTGCAGTGTTGCCGACTACTTTTATGGCATATTAGCATTCCTGATAATGTTTCATTACACCATGACGAAAAATATCGTTTTCCCTGGCTTGAAAACATCGAAAGTGGAAGAAAATAATGTAAAACTGATAACTGCTTTTAAAGATTAGTTGTCACCAGAAAGAGTTAAGTGTCCTGCAGAAAATAATCTATTTTTAAACCTCGAACATGAGCTTCAGATACCGCAAATCCTTGAATTCCTCCCCTCCCTCGAAAAATACCCCTTCTAATCAGCCCCACCATAGAACTGCAAATTGTCAATAAGCCCCCCTTTAAAAAAGTCCCCACTGCTACCATAAATCTTCGAATCGGCCCTTCTCAATTTTTTGATTTTGCCGTTGGTGTTTTATTGAATCACTACAAAAAATCATACTAATGGTAATGAATGTTCATAAAGATATTCCTACTTAAATATATGGGATATTTTAATAATGTTTTCTAGATCGACTATAATTCTTTAAGCCCCCCTCTCTTACAAACCCCCCTTTTCAAAAAAATCAAAATAAATAAGCCCCCAGGGGACTAATTCGAGGATTTACGGTATAGATGCTGGCGGTACTTTGAAGGAAAATCAAACCATTGTCTAGAAAAAGGGGATAGCAGTATTGGTTCGGGGACAACCGTACGCCACTAAAATCCATTAAAACTTAACAACTTTGCAACTTTTACGAGATGTTTGACATTTTTAAGGATGGAACATTCAATGATACCAAATTACAATATCTTTCAATAGTATCAATTCTATGTTGAAAGTATCCAACGAATTTGACAGTGGGAGGCCAAGACTAACTAAAGTGGGGGCCATGGCTTCTTTCAAATCATATTACAGCTTTGAAATTGTTACCCTGGGTACCAGACTCACTATATAAAATAATAGAGACTCTGGTCTAGTGCGCCCCATTTTCGTTCTGGTGAACTTACTTGAAAGAACTGAAGTCTATTTAACAGACTAGGCCTGTGAAACAAGACTGTCAGATAAATAATAAAGAAACTCAGTAGTCAGAGGAGTTTTGGGAAATCTTAAATCTTAAATGTGTTTTATTTAGTTCTTTAAAGTCGACATTCTTAATACAGTGGTAATAGACTTTTCTGCCTCAAGATAACAATCAAATTAGGTTTAAAACGCCATTTGGCAGCAAAAAACATGTGCGAAGCATGAAATTGAAGTTAGCACAATGCAGTTATTAAATGTTAATCATTATCAAATTGTTAATCATAGTCTTTTGTAATTTTCCTCATAAATTGTGTGTACTCTCAACGTCTACTTCCTAACTGTGAAGGCAGCGCGCTTGGACACCGCGGCGGTTAGAATCATCACGTTGGAAGGTCACCACAGCAAATATGGGCAATATGACAAGCGAAGCCCCGTATGCCGGGCGAAATATTAGCTATAACTGATTTATTTATGTTATGTTTTGTTCAATGTTTTATACCAGAGCTAAGTTTATTGTTTCGCTGTGACCTTTGAACGTACAGAAATCTGTACACTCGCTCCTGATTGGTTAATATCAGCACACCAGAACGAGAATGGGGCGCACTAGACCAGACTCTCTATTTTATTTCATATATAGTGAGTCTGGTACCCAGGGTACGAAATTGTTTGCTGCGCAAATAAGCGAGGGGTCCATGGCCACTCCGGCCCCCCTTAGTGGCATGGGCCCTGTACTATATATTTTTAAGGTACCTACAATGTCCGCCAGAAAGTGTTGGAATAGTCTCTTCATCTTTCCTACACAATGTCCCCTCCCCCTACAGAATTTTGGATTCCGACCCGAAAATGACGACGAATGTAGTTTGGAGCGAAAATAGTGTAACCGACGTTTTGCGTCATGTTCAACTTCCTTCCCAACATTGCTTAAGGAGGGGAGGGAGGAGGAGGGATCTGTCTGCTTGAAATAGGGAAATGAACTGAAAAATATGCCTTCACTACGAGTGCAATTTCGGTGTTCCAACTATTTTTGGCGGCCATTGTAGGCCTTCCTGGCCCCTAACTTTTCGTATTCGTTTCTTATGGTGCTTTGAGTGTGGCTCAAAGGCCTCGAACCAGCATATGTCTGCCCACAGGGGCGAGAGGGAACAGTGTTATCCACTACGCAACAGAAGCGGCAACAAGAGAAATTGAGACAACAAAAGTGTGTAAGACGACTTTTTGCAATTGATGCGAAAAAGTCACAATGCCACAAACAATGCAAAAAATATAACTGTAAAAATTTTCATATAAAAGAGAAGGTTTAGACAGCTTGGGTGTTTTTATCCTAGACTCTATGAGCAGTCAGAAATTCTTAGGGTTTGAGGCCATACTTCACGTGTGACGTTTTATAAACACAAAAATCGAGTGTTTGATAAATTTAACTGGTTGAAAGCTAATTTTGCAACATATTCAGCGTCACCATCAACCAACAACGCACGCTTAGCAGGCGTTCACAAGATTTGAGATAAAAAAGACAAGATCATAATTCACATTGATATTACTACAATTAGAATGAGAGACCCACTATGAATAATTAAAATTCAGCGCTAAAAATTAAGTACCAAAATGTTTGATAATTTCTGGGACACCATTATGAAAGTGTTGAAAATTATAATGCCCAGAATATGAAACTGCGACTTAAGTTAGGGCAAACTTTTTTAATGTTTGGGGATAATATTTAGGTGCAAAAACATTTACAAGAAGGAGAACCTTCATTTACAAAAATGGCAGTTTGATTCCATATTGCTATCTTAATCAATTCATTGATAAAAATGAAATTTCAAATTCACCAACGTATGTCTAGTTAGTTGAAGCTGGCTGCATGAAAATGTAACTTTTATCTAACAAGAAACAAAATAAAATACGGTTATGTTACAAAGAATTCCTGAACTTTCGGCTGTTAGTTGGGGTACAAAAATATAGGGGTTACAAAATTATACCTTACAAGATTCCATTATAGATAGTTGTATTTGGTATTTTGATTTAGTGCTTGTCAATATGTTAACAGAACTGTCAATAACAGGGGACAATTGTTTAAGAACTATGTTCTCCTCTCCACCATCTTGATGAACATGTTAATCTCTTATAAAGAGCAAGCATGATTACCTAAAATTGGCCTAAAACGAAAAGCATAAAATCTTAAACTTTGAGAGACAGAATTTTAGGCAGCGTTTACAGAAGACTGGCTCTATTTGGAACCGTTCTAAAATGAGCACAATTTGGGCCTTCCACAGCACGGGACCCGTCGGAACTGTTCCAAATGAAACTGCTAGCCGTACCAAAACGGGATCGCTTAGAAAAAAGTTCCATTTGGAGCCGTTCCAAAATTTTTAAACGCAGCCTTAAGAAGAATAAAGCGTAGGATGAAGAGTTTGGCAAGTTCAAAGCGATGTGGAAATTACTGATTTGAGTTAACAATCTCGCTAGAATATTGTTGAAGTGATGACCCAAACGGTCTGTTGGAGGTGGTTATTCGATAAATGTCGTCGGGTGATCCTTTAAAACAGACATGCAAAGAAGAGGCAACTAACGGTTCTGATTGCATATTTTGTGATGATGTGATGTGAGCGAGCTAATTTACAGGTTACTTTGAAAGTATGACTTGTGAAAAGGCGCAAAAATTTTTCAACAACTGTATAAAGATGTTATACTTTTATTGAATGTTGACGCTAGGACTTTTCGCTGCAAGCAACTTGCATTCTCAAAGCTAGGATTATTCCAGTTAACCATAAAATTTCAAGGATTTAAAGGCTAAGTTCTAAATTATGAATTGAAGATTAATTGGACAAATTTTTTAGAGCCTTTATTTATTTTAATTGTTACGAATATTGACGGTTAAGTGAATAATACGTTTGCTTACTCAAAGAATGTAATTAAAAGAAACATATAAAGATTATCATTGTTATCTTTGATAGATAAAGACATTAAGCAACTTACGAAATTACCATTCAAATCAAGTTTTGATTCAGTTCATCATGGATGCATAAAAGCTAAAAGGCAACAGATATACATCATCTAATTGTTGAATAAATGACAAATTCTTCGAATACATTCGTAGAACACATTGTTAAGCACTGTGACATTATGAAATAAGATATGAAAACGATTGATAGGTCCTATAGATAGGGGTATTTGCTTTCTACAAATATGCAGTGACATACTCCGTTTGGCATTCGGTCAACTTGGGCCAAAATAAAAAGCCAAAATAAAAAGATTGGGTGAAAAATCAAGGTTAGCCAACCAACCCCATTCAACCACCCCCCCAGTGATTTCTATGGATGCAACGAGCAAGCTCTAAACCAAAAACATTAAATCTTGTGTACGGAAACTAAGGGGGTATGGGGGGCTCACCCACCACCCCAATCAGCAATACTCGTCGGAGAATTCGGGCTTTCGTCGGATAACTAACAACTGTTTGACATGACGAATTTACTGCAAGAAATCGTTCTGAATTGCAGTGACATAATTCGTTTGGCAAAATAAGAAGATTGGGCGAAAAATTAAGGTTAGTCAACCAACCCAATTCACCCCCCCCCCCCCCCCCCCCCAGTGATTTCTATGGATGCAACGAGCAAGCTCTAAACCGAAAACTTTAAATCTTGTGTACGGAAATTAAGGGGGTAGTTTCTTTAAAATTAGACATGATTCAAGATGTTATCTTGCTGGAAAATGTCGTGTTTTTAACAATCAAACTATTACAGTTTCATTCTGGTACTAAATTTATTATTTGTTAACTGTATTATCGTTATTCTGGATGAAATACAATACGCAACGTACATATTTAATCGGACAGATTATCAATTCCTAAAGGAGTTTCCTACCTTATTCAAGTCAAAAGTCGGACCCCGGATTAATCAGACTGTCGCTCAGTCGGATCGTTTCATTACCCCCATTGAACGTTCCACTAAACGTAATTGAAGTTATAAACGGAACTCTAGAGCAATTAGATAATTAGATCTCTACTCTAAGACACTTTTCTGGAATAGGTTGCTTGCTTATAGATGAAAGCATTTATGACAGCGCATTTATGAGAGTGAAGGCTTTGCTGTTGTATTTGTTATCTGACCTCTGCCAAACTCCTTTGAGAGATTTTCAGACAGAATCAAGGAAATTAAGAGCCTAATACTTGGAAATAATATAACTTTTGAGACGACTCACCAGGGCATCCTGAGCCATTAGGTCCAACTGCAGCCGTTTCACCATCCGGACAGCATCCATAATGCGTATCTCTACATGCAATCGTTAAGTGACCTATTCGGGCAAAAGAGTCCAGTAATAGAATGATATATGCTGGGAATCTATGAATACAGACAATGTGATATGGAAAAATAGAACATGAAGCATAAACCTTTCAAAGGTGGACAAAAATTTAGCCCTAGAAATTTTAAGTAAATTAATTTCGAAACATTACTAAATATAGTAAAATAGTGTATGATGCTACAACTGAAACAAGCTAAAGAAATTTCCACAAATAATAATGATAATCATAATTATATAACGAGGTTTAATTTCGATGGAAAATCAGGTTATTAGGTCTTACATGCAAGACTTTCATCGATGGCATTTTTTACTGTCGTTTTGCTTAAAGATTTATTCGTTCATGATTTTGATAATTTCGTGAACTCAAACCTGTTTTATTAATTTTAAAGATGCCCTAAGTTGCACATTATCGGAATAAAGCCATTCTGGCTTAGGCAGGATCAGAATTCAGATTTTCCTAAGCGTATGAAAAGTCATGTTCATAAGGCTGGTGTTGTGTACGAAGAAAATGTCTGGTACGTAATATGAGCTCAGTAAGAAGACATTAGCAAGAAGGATTTGGCTTTTTTGTAAAGATGTTTTTAAAGAGAAAGTATCAGAATATAGGGTCTCGGCGAGGATTTACTCTCGTTGACATTGTCATTAACGGTGGAGTAGGATCTCTCGGGCTGATTCGTTTTAATTAATGCTAATTGGCAATGATTTACAGAAATTCACGATCATTTGATCTGATTCACGATGACTTTCGCAGATTTATTCTGACTCATCATGATGATTCTCGATCACGCACACTGATTCACGATTGTTAACACAGCTTCATGGTGATTAATGCTGATTCACAACCATTTGCATTCATTCACATGGCTCATGATTATGCAGAGACACTGCAAAGTTAGAGGGTTCATCGTTTCATTCGAAATTTTATAGGCCTGTCAAATTTCAGTTTTGATAATGAGTGAGTTTTCTTAAAAGGTAGGGAAAATGTTTGGTCGTCATAAGCGGATCTTAACCGATCCAGAACGAATCCTGACTGCCACAAAGTCAAAAGCAGGGGCCGGGGGGTATAGCCCCAGATACTTTTCTTTTGCCATGCCCTCTAGTTCGTCGGAAAGGCTCTTTTATCAGGGATCGCAGAAGCGGGGAGGGGATTAAGGGGCTTCGTTTTTGGCATCTTATTCAGTTTTTATCGAAAAAGAATTTATAACATTACATAATCATGAAATAATTAAATCTAGAGCACTTACGCAAATGATTGCAAAAGCGCAAAGCTCTGCGGACCAGAAATGCAGAGTCGGAAAAATACACAGGAAGATTTTGAAACTTACTTGGCTCGTGATAGCTCGAAGAGATTCCATTTGCAACTTCGCACATGGTACCTGCGTACCCACTTGGGCAGTGGCATTGGTAAGAGGCTTCTCCACCCGAGACACAAACACCACCGTGCAAGCATGGGTTGGGGTGGCATCTGTCTTCATCTGCAAAAATATATTAATCATTAGGAAGGTAGATAACCTGCTTAAGCAAGGTTTCTGGGATTTAAAACACTCGAGAAAAAGAATTTTGTAATAATAATCTAGTTAATCTAAGTATAGTAGGGCAACTATACTTAAATGTTGTAAAAAAATACTTTAAATTGTCACTAAAGATATGTGCATCAAATTTGGATGAATTGTGGATGAATTCAAGTTTATGGACAAAAGACCTGCTGTGTTGCTAAAGTTGAGACAACAACAATAATTTTTGCTGTGAAACTTTCAATAAATCGAAATACAAGAATACAGTCTAAATCCTGATTTGCAGAGTGCTGTGTATACCTATAACGATCATCGATGGTTACTTCTTGCTTTGTATTAATAGTTTCATTCTGATCGTGCTAAGGCCCCTGTACCTAACATCCGGTCTAATTTTTGTAGAATTATAAAATTGGACAAAAACAGATCAGACTTACACAAAGAAAAGTTTAGCCAAGACAGTAATTTCTTCCCAGTTTTTTATTTCTGTATCAAATACATAAATCAGGTTACTTTTCCTACCTCCACCAAGTTTCATTGCTTTTCAAAATACAAGATGGCTGCCATATTTGAAGCAAGACAGTAGCTATATCGATGCTGATAAAGAGACCTACTGAGCCTCACCTTCACAAAGATGGCCTATCCAACCGCCATTACAGGTACAGCGGTAGTCCTCTCCATCTGCCAAACAAAGTCCATCATGATGGCAAGGATTGGGATGGCAAGGGTCTCTCTCTGAAATGAACCAAACTTCTTTAAAGAGCAATCCAAAAGAAACTGAATTCAACATGAAATTTGGAAATCTCTAATGAAACTTGGTTAAAAATATGGTTAAAAATGAACAGAAAAAGTCCTGATAATGACAATAGGAATGGAAATTGTAAGTATTGAAAAGATTCTTTAAAACCATACCTTCACAAAGCCTTCCTCTGAACCCAGGAGCGCATGTACACATGACGTCAGCTAGGTTTTCAAAGCATGTTCCAGCGTTGAGGCAAGGGCTTGCTGCACAGCGGTCTTGCTCTGTAAAATTGAAGGAATTTCTTCATAATATATCTAACATAAGACCGCAACTTGTAAACAATTTTGAACTGAATTTTTAAATTTTGGCAAGTGCAACGTATCTCATGCAATTGAAAATATGACTTCTAATAACCGAGTGAATGAATTCAAGCTTCTAAAGACAACATCAGCTTTCATGTATTTAAATCAAATGCAGAAAATAGGTTTAATTCTGACAATTTTTTCAAAAAGTTCAATATTCCAAAATACCCTCTTCAAATTTATCGCAAACACTTAACTAGAATTATATAGTGTATTCGAATTTCATATTATATGTTTGAAGAGAGGGAATAATGGAAGAACGTTATTGCGATTATATAATAGACTGACCCTCGCATAGAAGGCCTCTGTATCCATCGAGACATTTGCATTTGAAGTCATCTCCTTCTGAAATGCAGAATCCACTATTTTTGCAAGGATGGTCGTGGCAATGATCAATATCTGAAATAAAAAATTTCAAGATATCAGTTTCTCTAAAATTCAAAAGTCGAGCTAAAAAAAGAAAAATACAATTGGCTGGCATTTTCAAATCAAACGACGTTCTAGTCGAATTTTGGCCATTATTGAATCTAGACATCTGTAAAGCAGTTTCCAGCTCAATCGGAATAAGTTTAACCATTTAATCACGGCCATGAGATTTTTATTACTTTGATTTATAAACAAAATCTTGGTACTATGTGGTCGAAAATTCGTAGTGAATTGAGCTTTTAAACGTTTAAAATTGAGCGTATCGACCTGCCATTATTTCTATTCTGAGTTCAGCCTTTCGACCGGAATCTTGAAAATTAGATGATTTAATCGCAACAAGAAATTGCTTCAAAATTTAATCAACGCAGAATCATTGCAATAAAGATATTAGAGTGCAAGAGAAGTTTTATATAAGAACGTATATTTTTGGTATCAGTTCCATAGCAAAATTTATCATCATGTCTTGGTTTCAAAATCGATGTAAACAAAAGCCTTAGAACTTGTTTTCATACACAAACACGCATTACTCACCTTCACAATGTTCTCCTCTATAACCTGATTTGCAGAGACACTTGAATTTGGTTATTTCGTTCAAACAAGTTCCTTCGTTTAAGCAAGGATTTGCATCACAGAGTGAAGCTTCGTCTGCAATCAAATAGACACGGTATCAGAAAAGTCCTTCATAGCTGGTTTTTTTACGGTGAGGAAAGCACCATTGTTAATCAATTCGATGAAGACAGCGCAGAGAGGCAAACGTATTGTGGCTTGATACTTTGATTGAGAAAGTTTTCAATAATTATCCATAGATATAAATTTCATATATAGGATTTTATGTAATTAGGTAGAGATTTGTTCACGCTTTCAGATATCAATCATAAATGGGCCTAGCTTTGGAACGGAACAGCTACTTAAAAGCACTATGTCCCAACGGATTTCACTGGCCGTTTAAATTCCCATTGATTAAACTATACAATAGACCTATTGTTACGGAGCCAATCGGCTAGTCTTCAGTGTTTTATCGGTTTACTGCCGGGAAATAGTGCCTTTAAATAATTTTATTGGATAAAACATGGTCTTTGAAAGCTTAGTGCTCGCTATTGGTCTTTATAATACGAAAACATTGCTCTTATACAACAAAAATGGAGAGAATGTTATGGTGTGGACTTCACTCATTAACATCAGTGCAAAAAATACACTTTAAGTACATTCCAATACAGTTACAATGTTTGGTTTTTATTAAAGATTGCACATAGACCAAAAAGGTACTGAAGCCATAAGCTTACCTTCGCAATGATGACCTTTGAAACCATGCGCACATTCGCATTTATATCCATCATCAGAATCTACGCACTGAGCAGAATTAAGACATGGGTTTGGAGAGCACTGTGTTTCCACTAAAAGAAGAAAAGATTTTGATCATTTCTTGGTTAAAAATTTCTTAATTTTGAAAAACAGATGTTATTCTGACAACTGGCTTATTCTTGCTTCTGAGTTTACTGTAATAATTACTTCGAGTATAAATAAATCCCTTACTTTCACAATTGCTTCCCCTGTATCCATGACGACAAACACATCGGTATTCTGTGAGTGATTTAACCATACATGTGCCAGCGTTAAGACAAGGAGAAACTGAGCAAGGCGATGGAGGCACTGTGAAAAAGGGAGACAGATCAAGTTTGAATTCAAGTTTGAAATATGTGTAAAAACTGATCTTAGGGTGTGAAGTGTCGTGGACTATGGATCCAAGGGTCAGTGGTTCGAGTCCCTGGCATGACCAAACATTCACTTAGAGTGAGGGTAGTCACTTGCTCTCTGTAATTCCAGGCATTGAAATCACGATGTCGGGTCACATCGAGTAAAGAACAAGGACACTGCTTGACAAGACAAAGTTCTCAGTGCCCTAAAGCTACCTTCTGAAGCTAAGTAGTAAAAAATACTATACTGATCTTGAAAATATGATTAGGGTTTTTAAGCAGATATTATCCGATTCAGTTTGTTACCTAAAGACAATGCTCAATCTGCAAATCTTGTAAATTGCAGGGAGAACTCTCAAAAGTTAAGGCAAAAATGATAATGAGCAATTTTGCCGCTATGGGAGAGAACATAGAGCTGTTTAACAAAATTGGATCTCTAGAAGATCAACAATCATTTTCGAAAGACGCATGTCTTATAGATATAAAATCACTTTGTTGTGGGTGGAACATAAGAAATATTTGATTGTGAAATTTCCTTAAAAGTTTTTCTGATAAAAGAATTCAGAACCGAATATAGGCTTGCAACACTGATAGACGGGTACCTTCACAAAATTCTCCACTATAGTTATTGATGCAGTTACAATGTCCTTCCCTGCATGCCCCACCATTCTTGCACTGAGTGTACCGACATTTGTCTTGGACTATGGAAGCAAATAAAATGTAGATATAATGTAGATAGGTCATTATCAACTACGATTTTGGAGCACAGCTATAGAAATGTGCTCATATTCAACTGGGAGTGACAGTAACTCCGACGATAATGTCTGCCTATACCATCGAGTAGCAGAACCTAATTTGCAGGCAACTCGTTTTTGATGTTCATTTGAAAACGACCACATGAAATTGAGAACAACTATTAAGGACTGTGGTACACATAGCAATGTAGTGATTAGCTCAAATACAGTCTTTTAAAATTATTTTTGAGTTCATGTCAGTTTTCACTTGCCTTAATAAATCAGCCAACTATAAGTCGCTTTAGATAAACTTGTCAAAATTAACATTAAGATAATCATACATAGCAGAAGAAGTCGTAGCATTCATATAAGGAGGAATTTCCAAGTTCTGTTATAAACGCACTGGATGTATTATGTTTTCTAAATCGATTTTAAATCGATTAATTAAGCTTTTTAACCAGTGGATAACTCAAACTGCTATTAATATTTTCGTTTTAATTCCTTCACCATGAAATCAGATCACCGATACCTTGATTTGTTTCTAGCATCTGAACTAAGATGCTACAGACAGAAGACCAAAATATTTAATCCTTTTTGATATGTTTTTAGCACTGCTTTTCTGGGTTTTTTCCCACGAGGAGAGCTTTCTTCGTTGAAGATGTAGCAAAGCTCTAACCATTATGAATTCCACTAAACCAATGCTTTATGTGATGAGGTTCTCTCACAAGCAATCAGTTAACTCTTTTGACGAAAACATAATCTTAAAATCATGAATAACCATATCAATAAGTTCTTGATACATACGCCAGTTGGTAGAGTCACTTACATTCACATCTCTGCCCTGTGAATCCAGGGGGGCACATACATGACACGAGACTTGAGAAGCCGATGCCACTACTTGATGAACATACACCTCCGTTTAAGCATGGGGTCATGTGACAATGGTTGACTCCTTTCGAGAAAATAATCACAAAAAGGTCAATATTTTTAGAAACATCTTTACATACACCGAAAAAAATGGCATACAAAACATGACGTCAGGAAAAGAAAGCTTGTGTGACAGTTAGAAAAAAATGTATTTGCCATGCGTAAAGTAATTACAGGGTACCGAGAGACAATGATGCATGACCTTTGGTTATTGCAACCTCCACCCTTATGGAAATTTTGGACCCTAATGAAAGTCTGCCGACGAACCTAGCTCCAAATTGGACCTTTTTCTACCCGTTGCTTGAATTTCAAATTTGGATTACAGTTAGGTCAGATATGGTGCACTCACAATGTTCAAAATTGCTCGGCTATGTATGTTGAGAATCCGGATAGGCATCATTTTTTGCTGGAAGTCATATTCGTAGGAGAGCGTTTCCTGACCCTAGGCGACCCGTCATTCGTTAATACGGTCAAAAAACACCTTGACGTGTATGATGGATTATCCTATCTGTATTTTTTAGTTTCGCCAACCTGGGTTTCTAAACTTCCCATTGGGAAATTCGTGCATGGTTACTGCAAATATGAAGCAATGTTTATAGCCATACCTGAACAGTCCCTGCCCGTGTACTCGGCAGTGCAAACGCATTCGTAATCGTTGTTTACTTCATTGCAAGTAGCTCCATTATGACATGGGTTTGGCTGGCATTTGTTTAGCTCTGAAACAGAGGTTACGACTTCACTCTACTGACTAAAAGAGCTATGGGCTATAGGCAGGCATTAAGGGCTTTGAAAGTAAAGCCAGAAACAGAGACAATTAGGTAGCTATTCACTTTTTATGCAAGGCTTGACTAACACAGTAAGATCTATCGAATTCGATTTATAGAATCAGTTTTTCCGTCAGATATATTTGTCACAATCAGAATACATTTTAATGTGTAATTCTCAAAGTATCACCAGGCGAATTATAATGTGACTGCAAGGAAAAATCATTGATTTTTCATCCAAAGTAACAAATTGAAAAGGTTATTGATTTCTGTTTGATTCGTATTTGCTACTTAGCATCCGGAGGCCATCAATAACCAGATTCAGCAGGTTGAGAATTCAATTTTTCTTTCAAATAGCCACCCATTATCGAATACGATAAATCTGAAAGTGTAGATAGGACTTTAAGCAGCATTACCTTTGGAATTTATTTTCTTAGAGTGCATATCAAAATGTCTGTTTTAATGCAGGGATCAAGGGAATCACGGTGGTGTCTATATAAACATTCTTGACAAATTAATGATTTAAAAATCATATTTCAGGATGGAGATAAATTTACTTCACCGAGGATGCTTTGAAACACTTTCTGCAAAAACAAATTGCAGCTATAAAGTGGCAGTGTGTGGACGATGGGCTGCTGCGATTTTTCGGCAATGACAAAGCGTTTACTCAAAGCTTGTTTAGGCAAGCGGCACATTCTAATAGGCAAGCGGCACTGATTGGTCAACCTTTACAGTCATGTGCTCGTGTTTCTGATTGGCCTATTTCGATCCACAACTGGGTATATATATTTCTTAGCGTAGAGTTTTCGATCTATGTTCTGACGTTTTAAACTCTGAAGAGTGTCAGACGAAAAGCTTTAGTTTACTAATGTTTGTTTTTTTCAAAGCCATTTACAAGTTTTGTACCACCAAAAGATTGTTTGCAAAGCTTGTTTTTACAATTCGCAAAAGAACCTCAAACTCGATAGATTCTTATGAAAGGAAGACCTGGACAATCAGTTGACTGTACGTAGGTGAAGGCGGTAACAACGAAACTAGTTTTTCTCATAATAGATGAACCGAATAAAGACTAATATACGATAAACTTAGCTTAAAACAGTTGCTATGCTACATACCTTGGCAATTCAGTCCCTTGAACCCTTGTGGACAAGTGCAGACGTACTGCCCGTTAGCTTCAGTACAAACTCCATTGTTATGGCATGGATTGGGATGACAACGATCTTCCTCTATGAAACAAAAAAAGTTAGTGAATTCTGTATCGTGTTTACAAAGATCCATGAAACCTTTTTACATGGATGTGGCCAGCTTGATAAATGTACAGTTGTGTACGTCTAAGTGACAAGGCAATCATGCATGCTTGTTTTTACATTCCAGACAAAACTTCACATGTTTCTTAATTTTTGAAAAAATTCCCAATAAGACAAAAACAAAACCTTTAAAATTTGATATATTCGGGCAGAAAAGGGTCAGAGGAAGAAAACAAAATGACCCTGTACTTTTTCAATTCCCCGTGCTATCTTGCTCTTAGCAGTACAAAGTTTATACGTGACTGTCTTATATAAAATAACTTTGATTTGTCGGGTACATATGCTGTATGTTTTATTTAAATTCGTTGCACTACTCATCGTCAATCATGCAAGATTTAATAAAAAACTATTTACTGGTCTGTTATATATTGATCGGTGCCGCATAAGCAGTGTTGCACACGCTCTTTGTGTATAGAACAGCTCTAAGTTGCTACTCCGAGTTTTTCACTTAATACGACCATCTGGCAACTTTGATCAAATGACAGGCACGTATGAACTTAAAAAGCTAACTTGTACCTAACTTAAAATCCATGCTCAAAATAGTAAGAACACATTAAATACATCCGAACCTTCATCAACTACAGAGGACACTTCAGGTGCTGTTTCACTAGGGTATTTGGATGATTTTGTTGTAAATAACTTCAAGTCTTTAGTTGTTCATCTGGTTCTCATTCTTTTAAAATATCGCAGAGTTTTGAAAAATAAAAGCAGATGAAATCTTGGCATTACAATGTTTCCTTCCCTAAGGGTTATTCCCCTCGACGAAAAAGGAACAAGCCATGATTCAAATAAAAGCAAACAAAAATTTCAGCATTAAAATTTCCTCTTAAGTCAACTGATTTTAGATTGTAAATACAAAGGCTACCTTCGCAGTCACTGCCTTTGTATCCACTCGGGCATATACACTCATAGCCATCTCTCACTTCGTTGCAGGTGCCTCCGTTCATGCAGGGGTCACTTTCACAGTGGCCTAACAGGATAAAGACATTCAGTGAGTTTATTCAAAAGCTGGTAGATATGTTCGTCAATATTTAAAAAACGCATATGAATTTGCTGAAAGTGTCTTTGTTTTTGCTACTACGGTGTTTGGACGCAACTATCTACTCAAAAACGACTGTGCTCTAAAAATTAAGCTTCCATTTGAATTCTTCGATACAAAACATGGGAGTTTGTATTTCAGAAAATTAGGTGTGTGGCTTTGCGTAAGACAGGCAAAGAATCATTGCAATCAAAGCGGTAGTTACCACTGCGCAGTAGCATAGTCTACTACAGATGATTTTATATGGGTTGCGACTCATTTCGATCCTTGCTGAAAATTTATGAGGGCTTGGATGCAGGATAACTGCCTAACGTATCAAAAAATGTAATTCCAAAATTTTGTTTGTGTCTGAGAAAATTCACTGCTTTTCTCCCACTACAAAAAATCTCAATTTCCGCCAGTGAGAAGAAAGGTAGAGGATTTGCTTCTTCACTTGGCGAAGTTTGTTGAACATTCCAAAGGATCAAACAGTATATCAGCCGATTACATCAAGAACGACAAGCAACTTGTAGATTGTACTCGAGAAGCGAATTTCATGATAGAGATATTAGCGTTTTGTGGGACTGATTTCCAAGGACAAGAGCCTTTTGGAACGATTTGAGAACAGTTAAAATGATGTAAAAGATCAAAAGTTTCCTTTGTAGATGAGATGTAATTTTTAATTCTTAAGCTTTAGAATTTAGACTAGCGTTTCTTTCTTGGGTTTCATATAATATCTAAAAGCATGTGGTGTACAAGTCACTTTCCACGTTATTTGCAGAAAATGGCAATTCAGGTGCATGTTGTGTTAATCAGTTGGAGTCGCAGTTCAAATTTACTTGATTATTGCTGGTGCTCAAAACATAATTAAAAACAACTTGTTGCAGTTTTCGTAAATAAAACTAAGGACATAAACAAGTGAAAGACTGCAAAAACTTTAATACGAGTGGTGACTGTTTCTAACATTTCTTGCTGAGCTCCCTCTGGGTCAAAAGAAACTATCATGAAATTATCAGATACAAATCCAATCAAATATCTGTGTTGGTTGAAGAGGAAATCATCTTCATGTCTATTTTATGAACATACCTTCCTCGTGTTCGTGGTCGTGTTCTGCATAATCATCATCATCCACGTCGTCCAAATGGTAATGCGAATTGTATCCGCCATGTGCTCTTTGGCGGGCTAGTCTGTTCAAAAACTGTCTGTACGACATCATGATTGGAGGTCTCGGGATGCGAGTCGTCACAATCGTTTTTTGTCGAATAGGAGGTGCCTTAAGGTAAACATATCCAGGATGCGAGTAATAACGGGAATGAGGGTGAGCGATGAATTGTCGTTTCGTTTCCCTAGCGCCATCAGCTGCTTCCTCCGGAGCAACAGCATCAGATTCTGAGTTTTCAACAACATCCGAATTCTCAGATTCTTCGGATTCACTTTCTTTCGAATCCGATTCATTCGCTCCACTTCCATCATCTACATTATCTCTCTGGTATCCTGAACCCGATACATCTGAACTGCCATCATCATTTCCGTCCGGGTCGCCATTATCCTCGGCTTCTTCGTCAATTATTTTCCCAGGCGACACTACTCTGGTCTGCGAAGCATCCGACAAGACATTTCTCTTCTCTAGGCGTTTATCAATTGTATTCGCAAGTAATGTTTCATCCGAATCAAGTTCATCATCTGGTATCAACTCTCGCTTGACGATTACGTGTTTACCAAGCGAAGTAAAAATAACGTTTAGGAATAGTATGGCAAAAAACACTGTATACGGCCTAACGGCCATTTTTAGATTAAATTGAACCAAAAAAACTAAATATTTCTCTCAATTATTTGCTATTACTGTTCGGGAAAGCAAAGATAACTCCGATGGAACGAGTTATCACGGTTGAATGAGCATCAATTGTTTGTTTACGGAGAAACACTAGTCGCCTTGTTCAAAGCGCATGACCTTAGTGATCACGATGAATAGGAAACAAGTACAAACAAATTGGAAAATTTCAGAGCGCAAAAAAGAGTTTAGTGCTAAGAATTTACAGTATAGGATTTAGAGCTGTTTACACCTCAGTGGCAAATGTCGTCCTATCTTAGAAGTCTCAAGGCTTGGAATGTAAATCTCAAAATGGCTGTTACAGACTTGTTACAAATTATCTGATAAGTCAAAATAGCACCAACTGTGAAAAAAGAAACGACTGATACGGTGTTTCCAAATTAAAGGCATTGGAAAAGGTTTCCCTCCCAGAGTCTTGTCTAAACTGTACCAGCGATGTACCCATGCTACAATTTTTAGAGAAAAGGTGGCAGCAGTCAAATAACCATCTTAATCATAAGTGGTGAATAATGCAGGGGCATGAATTATAAATGAGTTTAAAAGCGGTTTTATGTCCAGAAATCTTAGAGGTTTGATATAAATGTGGGACCCCCAGCGTCCTTTTTCTTTTCCTAACTGGCTTCCAGTGGTACGTCATCGTCACATACATCATCATCACCAATTTTCTTGCAAAGAAACTTCTCTATTACATAAAAATCCGGTAAAATCCGGATAATCCTGCCGGATTCTTTGAAGAGATCCGGTAAATCCGGTTCCGGCCGGATTCTGAAAATCCTGATCCGGTACACCTCTAGGCAAAAAACTTTCACTCAAAGAAATATGTCCAAAAAAGTGTTGCACGTGTTTTACTAGAGTCGTGTCTTGTTCTGCCAAAGAGTTCATTTGTACCAAAAGTTATCTTTCATAAAGGATGTCACAGGGTGAGACGTCTACCAACCACTACCAAATCAGATCTTTTTAAACCTTATTTCCGATACCGTTACTCCGTTTGGTGCGGTAACTAAAGGCCTTCAAAATAGGGCAGCAGCCCAAATTGAAACTGAAACTTTGAGGCTCCGCGCTCCTACCAAACCTTTGATAAAGGAAGTCGGTTGGCAGCAATGTAACTTGTAATGGACAGACAAATGAAAATTATGATGCCCAGGAGTCTGAACAATTTAGCCCCTATCTATCTTTGGAATATACAAACAGATTATAGATACTAATTTGAAGCTGCCAAAAATAAAGTCTACTAATTAACAAAAATATTCTTGCTTAGAAAACATTGAACAACCAACGAGAAGAAGCAAAACAGGAAACCTCAAAAAAGCCTTATGAAAAGCAATAATTAGTACTATACTCTTCACTTTGATTATTAGTGTAATTTCGCTGGTAATCGTTAATATCAGTTATCAAGTTAACTTCTCATTGCTAATTAATCAAATTTCTATAAATTCAAACTGAAGGTCCCTTGAAAATCGGCAACCTCCTTAAATATTTGAAATGAAATAAGAACTAAAAATTTGAAATGAAATAAGACAATTTGAAAGAAAAATGGAACTCTTCAAATGACGTTATGACTGTTCCTTATTCCAAGTGACATCTTCAAAGACAGAAAGTTTCTCACATATCCATCACCCCCCCCCCCCCCAAAAAAAACCCTAGCAAACTGACCCGGCTTGAGCGAAAATAGACAATAGGCAGACTAAATACGATGTGGATAAGAGATATAAACTACAATTTATAAGATATGCTACAGATTCCTACGTAAATTTAGATCAATTCTATCAAAAGGCACTTGTCACCATTTGGGCTTCATATTCAAAATTCAGGCTGAATTTCTGGTCTAGCATAGTTTCCAATTAATAATGAAAAAACCTCTACAGGTCCTTTTCATTCAGCTTTTGCTCCAGTTTCTCGAATTCTGTTTGACTTATTTCATCAAGTTCATCAGTAACCTGAAGAAAAACAAACTGACATTCGAAGAAATTCTACACATCGAAGAAATTCTACAGTTAAATTAGATTCTTAGGAGAATCAAGCGGAGGAATAGGAGAAAGATCGATGTCATTTGCTTGACGTTTCCAGGGGCGCATCCGGACCAAATTTGGGGTTGGGGCAGTTGATAATGGGGGGCGCTCCAAAATTTTCATAAATTGGTGATGAGAGTACGCTGTATATAACAATTTCCAACCCTAACTATGACAGAAGGTCCTCTATTTCCAATTATATTTCGCGCTTACCTAAAAAGGCTTCACTGCACTTTTTCTCTTGTTGTAAAGATATTGTTTCACAAGTGTTTCAGTAATTTCACAAGTGTTTTGTTTTAATCTGTCAGATCTAGGGAAAGCCTATACGCTATGGATGAAGATTCACCTAAGCGGACTGAAAAACCTTTGTCCATTTGGAAACGGCATTACAAAGTCTTGAAGTGAAACATTTTCCACATCAAAGCGCCTTTTTTAAACCGTATAAAAACCTGCTTACAGCAAATATTTGGAAGCAGAATAAAGGAAATTAGAACCACTCAGAGGAACAAAATCTCCCATTAGGTACAAGGTAAATTTTCTCGTTGATATTCAGAAAAATAGGCACGACATGAATCAACTGAATGAGATCTTCTTCAACCGATTAGTGCTTGGGTTACGGGAAGAGATAAACACGAATCGATTAATCGCGATAACACGCGTTCCAGTCTTAACTAATAACAAATCTGCCAGCAAAAACTGCAGGTAGTGTTAACTGTGTCTGGTTTCTTGCATTCAAACATTTGATTGGCACCAAGAGTTCTGGTACGGTAGAAAATAATTAGGCTATAGTTGCCATACATATTGAACTCAAAGCGCATATATCTGTAACAGATAAATGAATAAACAAATAAATACTTCTTCGACTTTGACTACTTCTGGTACATAAAACTGCAACATGTTCTCGACGCCGCTTTTTAATGTTAATGCAGAACTTGGACAATTGGAACAGGAGCCCTTAGTATGAAAAGCAGTCGATTAATCAAAACTTCGCAAGAGTGACGTCATAGAACAAAAAGGGGTTTTGAGGATTGCGTACACCAAAGATACGCGCACGTCAACAGATTTTGAACACAATAAACAGGCAATGATGAAAGGTTCTGTTGCACTAAGCCCATAGTTTTTTAATCTAAATGCCAAACGGCTTTTCATTTAGATCCAAGACGACCAATACAATTATATAGTTAAAATGTGCCAATTCACGAAGCAAAGAAATGAAATCAATGTAAAAACACAGCCTAAAGTTTAGGGAAAATACCTGCATTTAAAGGATGTTCTAATACAAATATTACTTAGGTAGGTAAACAGAAAATCTACAATTTTTGTCAAAATCGCACCTGCATTTTCAATTTTACAACTCCAGTGTCAGGATCAAATCCCTGTATTGAAAGGACTGGAGATTAGAAACATGAACTGATTTCCTGAATTAAAATTTTCTAAAAAGATTTATAAAACTAGGATAGTATAGCTGTATACAAGAAGCCTGTAAGCACTTTCATTCTATAAGGACTTAACATCCAGAATTTTTAATGATTGAAATTGTCAATAATGTTAGTTTTGAGATCGCAGGTTGCGGCATTGCACAGTTTACAGGTTTACAAAGCATTTTGCAAATATGATACATCTAAATCAGATGTCTGCAAAAACTGGTTCTTGAAAACAAGTGTAGTGCAGAATCTTCTTCTAAGTTGCCAAAAAAACCCAAACCTGAAATAGTTTACTGAAAACCAATGTTAACTTTATCATCAGATCATTAACTATTTATAGATAATGCTCATTGAATAGGAGATTAAGAGATATTTTACTTATATGACTAAAGACTATACTTCACAGGCTAATAAGCAAGAATATGGCCAAGAGGTAAATCCAGGAAAACAACAAGCTACAATTCACCAGCCTGCTTGATAGCGTTTAGTGCAATATCTGGACATCAATGCTAATCTAAAACAGATCACCAGTTTTTACAGGTAGGAGCTAATTTCAGCTTGTGCATGTATTTAGCCCCAGGGGGGAAAGTAAATGTAGTCACATCTTTCCAAAATTGGTTTTTAAACATAGCTATGTGAGCTGTGTGAGTTTTATCTATGACCATGACCACAAACCAAAACTCAGATTTTGGGATAGTTGGAGGGTCATGGTAGCCAACCTTCTGATAGAAGATACTACCTAATGATGATTTGTGAGCATAGGCTACTTTAAAAGTTAAATTACTTGGTTAAATCTTCTCACACTTTAACTGATTTTACAACTTTATAAGTTTCTACACTGTGTTTTTTAAGTCTACAAACTGCCAGACCTATTAACCAAAAAGAAATAAAAACAAGGGTGAAACTAACCTTAAAAATTATGTCACCACCATCTTCTTGTACTGTAGGTCTACAAAAAACAAAAAGTAATTCAAAAGGAAAAAACCTCCTGCTATACATAGCAAAATTTGCAAACAATCTTTGGGTGGTACAAAACTTGAAAATGGCTTTGAAAAAACAAACAATTGAGTAAATTAAAGCCTTTCGCCTGACACTCTTCGGAGTTTAAAACGTCATAACATTGATCCAAAACGCTACGCTAGGAAATATTATACCCAGTTGTAGATCGAAATAGGCCAATTAGAAACACGAGCACATGACTGTTAAGGTTGACCAATCAGTGCTGCTTGCCTATTGAGAATGTTACCAATGGAGTTCTAAGATGAAAACAAACTCCTTTTGTGTATGAGCAAAATTTCAAAATTTTACATGGAGCATACATTTTTGGCATATGTACTTTAAATTAAGTTATGTGGCAATATAATAGTTCCAAGCTGCTATAATGGATAACCAAATAATTTTTTATACTTACACTTAAAAAGAGCTAAAAACTCAGGATTATCAAAGAGAAACTTTATGTGGCAAAGAGGTTTACATTACCATTGACTGTGACTATAGGACTTTTCTTAAGATCATCCTTCAAAATTTAGAATTTACAAAAGGCATTATTTTGCATATCTATATAACAAGATCATTCACAGGTGCCATTTCTGGGAACATGAGAATTATGCCCACCTTATTCTGGTATCAAGTAATTCTTTTATCATTAGCACAATCTCATCATCATCATCAAATGAGTCTGTTGATAAAAAAACAAAATGTACAAAATCAGGAAATCAAATTCTTGGACAAAAAAAATCATAGCAACAAAAATGACTATAGGCAGCAATTTACTTAGCTGAATTGTGAAGATCCTTCAATTGTTGGAAAAATCACTTATTCAACAGGTTAATTCAATTTCAGATTTATTTCAAGTTTGTCATGTTCATCTGCATACTATGAACATAAAAGTTAATGAGTGTTTACAGAAGGAATTTGTGAAAACTTACACAAAGACAGATATTTCCAAAACGTCAACAAAAATGTGCAAAATTGAGCAAAATTTTTCCAAAAAAAATAAAAAACAGCCCTACTAAAATGACACTGAAGGTATATACATCAATGGCAGACAGGTTACTTTAAAAAGCAAGGGACATATGGACCAAAGAAACTTGCAATCCCAGGAAAAAGCAAGGGGCATTTGGTAAAAGGCTAAGCCATTGATGCAATGATTGAGTCTGAATGTTAAATGAAAAGAGGGTGATTGTAGCCAATTACAAAAGAAAGGGATTATTAACACTGGATGTTTGCAGCTCTCTTAAAAGGTATCTAGAAAAAAATGTTATGGAAATGATCAACAGCTGATTCGATTAACACCATTATTGATTAATGATTAATAGAAACAAAATTGTGAAAACCAGATTCATGGAAAAAACTGGCAATTTATGAGCAAACAACAAAAATACCTGCTTCATCCTCAGGAAATTCTTCATTCATGACTGGCAAGTTACTTGCAAAGAAGTCCATGATAGTTGCAAAAATATCTGGTTTTAAAACTGCCCAAGAGACATCTTCATTTGTCTAAAAATAAGCAGTATAGGAAAAAGGAAATTAGATTTAAAAAAATAAAGTCAAAACATGATCAGTTTGTCAAGCACCTGAACGACTGTTGGTCCCCACAAAGCCTATATTTGAATGACTGATGTAAAAGATCATAAGTGAAACCAAATAAAATATGTAAATACACATTTTTAAAGAAATTCACTAGATATATAATACAAAATAACAGGATCTAGCCTCGGTATAAATAGCATTATCTAGCTCCAGAATGCTTCCCACCATCAGGATCCACATTTGTATGAATTTAAAACAAACAAAGAGTAAGAAATAACTATCATTTAAGAACCAACAGATGTAAACAACATGAAATAACAATGACATACCCTTGTTATTGTGATAAAATCTGGCCCAAAGAAAACAGATTTTACACCATTTGTTCTAAATAATTGCCTAAAGAAAAGTAATATGCCAATTAGATACTTTAAATTTGCTAATAGTAAAAACATTTAGATGTAATTTGGAAACTTCTGTGAACATAAATAAATCTTAATATGAGCATGTCTTTAAAAAACTGTCACCAACAGGCTCAAAAGCTTCTCAAATTGGTACATTTCAAATTCCAACTGATTGTGAACATTGTAAAAATAAGGAACATGGTTGATCCCAACACACCTTTTAACAAAGACTGTTATTTTGCTTTGTTTTAATGTAACAGTATGAAAAACCTACTTCACATAAATAGCTTATTAAGGTTTGCATTAACAAAGGGCCAACAACAAGAAAGGAGTTGAGAAAAGAGATAGAACACATCCTGAATATGGAAAGGAACATTATGACAAGCAGTCTTCAATGAAAGTTGAGAAACACACAAACAGTCAAAAAGAAGGCCTCCTTGATGAATAAACAAAGCTATGGAAATAGGAATAAACAAAGCTATGGAAATAAAAAACAAAAAACGCATTTTGGTACCACAAAATTCGAAATTGGCATGGAAGAGCAGAAAATGTCCTACTGAAGTACTTTTCCTCTTAAACTCCTTGAAGTAAAAGCGTCGGATAAAGTCAAAAAGTGAACTGAAAAATTATATCTAAATGCCAATTAAAAGTAATGTGAGAGACAGGAAAGCGTGTCTGTACTATCAAATAAAAAAAGGAAAACAAAATTTATTAGTAAAGAAAATTTTTAATGTAATAGCAGGCCCTATGTGCGTTTCAATAGAAAAAAATTACCTTGCCAAAGGTGATCTGTGTGCATGTGTTTGTGATGGTAGATCAACAGTGCCAGATTCAAGAACTTTGCATCCTGGTAAAAATTTCAGACTGTTTGGATTTGGGGTGTCTTGTATCCTGATAAACATATTTCTTTTTTGCAGAAAACCTGTGATACAAAATAATTCATCTGAGGCACTGATTGGCAAACCATGAAGTTACTAAATACTGATTAAGAGACTATTAGAAACAAAAAATCCATACCAAAAGTTAATTTTACAAATCCCTGTTACCGGTCGTAAATTATTAGCAAAAGTTAATTTTACAAATCCCTGTTACCGGTCGTAAATTATTGGATGCTTACTTTTGAAATGGTATGGCATGAGTTGTCAGCTCATATTTGTGACAGGATGAGAAAACCATGAAATCTTTGATCAAATGCAGATGCAGTTATTCTTGTATAGAACCATTTAAGTGGCAATATGGTTAAGTTTTCTTTCCTAATCTTCATAATGAATTGCAATATTTTTACACTGCAGACCAGTCAAGATTTTACGGCAAGATCTCGCTAGTGCACAAGCTTTTGCCTTGACATGCAAGAATGCATTTATGATGCACATTTTTGAGTGTGTGCAAATATTTTGCACTTATCTGGTTATAATCAATTTTACATCTCAGGGAAATTCAATGATTGAGAGTTGAACTATGCTACATAGCATCAGTGGCTGTTATTCAAATTCCTAGAGGTTTGGCAAGTAAAGAAATAATTCAAGAAATAATGTTTAAAAAGGCTAAACACATGATAATCCTAAAGGATGATATGAAGCAAGGCCACCAAGAGGGGGATAAGTGGGCAAAATGCCCAAGGGCCGCAAGGTCTATGGAGCCTCATAAAGAAAGGCATTTAATTTCAAAAATGGAATTAATCAAAATTAGACAATTTTTATACTTGTATGCCTAAAAAGTAGTACACATAAACATTTTAAAAAATTGCAAGAAAATGACTGTAAAAAATATTTTTAAGTTTATTTTAAGCTAATCTAAAAAACTTAATAAAACATTTTCCAATTTCAGCCCAGGGTCACTAAGCTACTTGGTGGTTCTGTTCTAAAGATGATCACTCAATTTTTTCAATCACTCCCTAAACCACGCCAAACCATGACCTTTATTTGGGTGTGCAAGAGTGCACTCGTAATTTTACAAAAAATTGTCGGGAGTGCAGATGACATAGTGTGCTGTTGCTGTTACTGGAAGTAGCCAAAATCATACTACATGCTTACTAACCTGGACTTCCAGCAGCAAGGAACCAAAAACGAAAGGAGCAGAAGGCCAGGAAAAAAGGAAACAACGCCAGAAAATTAAAGAAATCTTAAAAAATTATGGCGCAGGAATCAGAGGTTATGAAACCTCTCCTGCTTCTTAATTCTGCGATGTAACTTGCGAGTGTCTCTTTATCAAAGTTTAAATAATACCTGGTAGAGACCTAGGAGAGCATAATATTCTTTTCTGAAAATTTGTTGTGTTCACATGATGCATGCATCTTCTGTTGAGTAGTATACATCGACGCGTCATCGTTGCAAGCGAAATTGCTGCCGTCCTTGCCGCCATGTTTTGCAATTTGCGTTGAGCACCAAAAGGAGGTTGGGTTATTATGTAATTCCAAGAATCAAAAATCATCTTTTCTTTGTGTTGCATGGATTTCAAACTAAAATTCACAAAATATTATTATTTTTTTAGGAGAATTTCTCATCTACTTGTATTTCTCTAGTTCTATTTTGCCGACTAAATATTTGTGATCGATGTAAAAAACATACAGCAACAAATCTATTGTCTATGTTTTACAAGATCTTACAATGCGCGACATTTTCACAAAGTTGTTTCAGAATGGCATACGTAGGGTGCCAACATCTTAGTTAGCCCTCCTGCCGGCAGCCAATCTATTTTGCCTTTCCCAATACCTTAGGCACTTGATAGATTTCATCCAGTTTACATACGTTTACAGAAGAAAACATCTCAACGATGTTGTTAGTGTACCTTTGTTGTTAAAAGAAGTGACGTGTTTATTTGTTGCAATCAAGACAAATTGACTATATAAAGAAGTATAAAAAATAAGCAAAAAGAGTGAAATGTCATATAGCAAATCTAATCAGTAGAGTTCGTGCTTTTATTTACATTTCTTGCTACAAGGATTCCGATGGAAGATTTTGTTAGGCAATGGAAGCTGTGCTGATCGAGCAATGTCATGTCTTTCCTCTCGATCTGACCGATCTCACCACACCTCGTGATTTCTACGTGGACGTCGAGCTGTGGCGACTATCTACAAGGACTCAAATGCCTAGGATCAGTAGCCCGCAGTAACTGAACCATCTTCTGATATGTATGCTGTTCCTGAGTATGTAGGTCTAAACGAAGCAATATTGCTTTGCAACAATGGATCGAGCAATGGTACATTAAGTTGAATGAAAATTGACTTTTTAAGCGCATTTTTCAGTTCACTGTTAGATTACGTTGAGACAAGACTCTTTATTACAGAAGAAACTGCATGGAGGATTTGCCAAAGTTGCTAAAAATGTAAAGCTGTGCTGTCCTCTAGAAAACCTCCCATATTACTTTTGTATGAGTCGTTTAAGTATTATCTGAAAATGTACTCTTAGGTCCCCAATAAGCGTCCCCCCGATTTTTTTTTCGAAGAAATTTCTGACACTCCCCGCTCTTATAAGGATCCCCGTTTATTAAATTTTCAATTTTGGTAGGAGAGCCCTTCAAAAAGGGTGAGCAAATGAGGTTGAATTGGTTAGTAAAAGTAGTAGGACGTTATTTTTCCGTTCTACTATGAAACTATCATCTTGATGTTTACGGATATTTCTTCTTTAACGTTGCTTGGTACTCTTTTAAGACTAAATACGTTAAAAATAACTGCATCTAATATTTTGACAAAGCTTTTGAAATAATCATTAAAGGCAAACAGCAAACACAACGCAGCTTTTTCTTCTAAATAAAATATTCTAGATTTCTAGGGAATGCTGTTGGGATAGGGGGAAATGTTGATATATGATCGCATTCCTTGTGTGATTGCATTTCATATAATGTAGCTACCCAATATACTAAATTCTTCACATCATATATCCAATTTATGCTCACATGTTTCGCTTGAAATCTGATCAAAAATGCAAAAATAGGACATCGTTTAAACAGCGAAACAAATATGATGGAAAAAATGATGATTACTCTACAAGTTCGTCTACAAGTTCGTATATATTTCTAAATGAATTAAATGAAAAAATCTTTTGATCATCTTAATCTGAGCCACGTCCAAAGAGTTTTCTAAACCGACTTCGCTTCTTCTGTTTCTTTTCAATAATCTGGTGCAACGTAGATATGATGTTTTCTGCCTCCTGGTTTCTCTTTATCTCACTTTCAAGGTTTCTCTCCAAAATTTTCTTCTCTGTAAAATATTCGTCCAATTTTCTTTCGTACACAGGTCGAATCTTCATTTCCCCTTCCAAATCCTTTAAAGCATCTTCTTTTTTCTCTCTTTCAACTTTGACTTCTTCTAACATCGCCTCAATGACCTTCTCTAGCGTCTCCTGAACACTCGCCTTGTCTGTCTCAATTTCGAACAGTTTTCTTTTACAATCTTCATACCTCTTCATTTCTTTTTCAAATCCCTTCTGAACGACCTCTTTTCCTACCAATGCAACCTGTAACTTCTTTTGACTATCAGCATGCTGCTCTTTTTCCTCCTTTAAGTTCTTGAAAAGCATAAAAGTTTCCAAATTGATGAAATCTACTTCTTTTCTTTGCTCATTCAAAGCTGATCTGAAAATTTTGGCCTTGTCGGCTAGCTCCCGCATATCCTCGAGTTCATCTTGTATGCGTATATTGGCTTGAATTTCGTTCTTATATGCTAGTTCTAATTCATTTTTTTGATCTGTTATTGCTTTGTTCATAGACTGAAGCAAATCAACTTTCAACTCCAGTTCCAGATTTCTACCTGCAAATGCGTCTATGCACCTCTTTGATCCGTTGGCCTTTGCTTTACACGCTTTGAGTTGAACACCAATGTTTTTACATTTCTGTCGCAATACATTTCTTCGTGCCCGCTTGGCTGCTACAGCACGTTCTATTAGCATGGAACATTTTTCTGCTGGTTTCTGCTCTCCTTTTCTGATAGTTGCATAAAGCTTACCACAAAGATTACTCCAGGTTGTCAACTGTCCTTGCAAAACCTGTTCAGTTTTTACTACATCTTCAAGTTTCTTCTGTAGATCCACATTCCTTTCTTCGGAATCTTGCAAATCTTCCTTTGTGAACGTTTGCTCAAATTCCAAAAATTCGACCAGGCTTTTTAATTCTCTTGTTTCTTTCTTCAGATGCTCATTTTCTTTTATAATCGCAAAGACTTTGCCTTCGATTTCATCTAAAGTACAGGCCCTGCCTTCAGAACCGTGGTGATTATTCTGCAGAATGTTGACATCTATATCAATCTGCAAATAGTTAGCTATTTTGCCAATACAAATTTGCATCATCTGCAGCTGTCCAACATGATCTGAGTCTTCTTTTAGATCTTTAATTGTCCGAAGGCATATCCCACCAGAAGCTGCATCGTCTTTCCATTTTTGCTCATTTGCGACTCCTTCATGTTGCTCAATGAAAGGGGAGCTTCTACCATTAATCATTTCACCCCCTTCGCTTCCGAGGTCCAGGGAAGCAGACTGAGAGCCAGACTTTTCATCATTGAACTGTTCTTTGTTCAATCCTTCTCCGCTCTGCATTTCCAACACTTCACTTCCTGATAAGGTCTCATCCTCTTCATTTAAGTTGCCACATTGTTGCTCTGATCTTGAATCTGACTTTCAAGACATTTGATCCGCATTTCCAAAATCATCACTTCCTTTGTCTTCTCCTGCAACAGATCATTGAAATGTCTTTTCAACATGTATAATCATAACAAGACATGTTCTTGGTAATGAAGAAATGTTCACAACAGGCCTTGTTTCTATGAAGGCCCAAACATTAAAAAGGGGCAATGTTCTACATATTTACAAAAAGAAATATCACTAGGACTTTGACGGATACCATGCAGATTGAAAAAAAGAAAAAGACCCTTATGAGTGGTGATCATTTTGTTATACTGAATTTTCTCTCAGCCGTAAATTAAAAAGTTCATATGAGATACTAGGCAACTGTGCAAACGACCCGATGATTGACATCTCGGTACCAGGGAGATGAAACTGAGACCTTTTTTCGACAATTTTTAGGAAAACATTGTGCAATGTGACGCTACGTAACCTTAGACTCATTGATGTAATGTTTGCTGGCTCTAATTTCTTTTGCTCAATTTTCTAATTCTTGTCTACCAAAGGCTTAATGATTACAAAATCTGTAAAACTAGGCTATCATCGTTATATAATGCTTGCAATAATACGTCACATACTTAACATGCTTAATAAGAAGACGTGTCCTGATGTATGTGATATATTACTTCCTAGCATACGTAGACAAACCATGGGACTCTCTTTCTGATGCAAGCCTTACATATCGTTACATAATGCTTGCAATAATACGTCACATACTTAACATGAGCTCTAAAGTATGTGACCCAAATATTTACTTCCTAGCATAAGTAGACAAACCATGGTGCTCTCTTTCTGCTGCAATCCTTACATTTTTCTGCTGCTAAGTGGCAATATTTTACCATCCCCTATATATTAACGGCCAAAGGTGCATCAAACTGATATGGAAGGATATTCTCTTTTCAAATTAAAGGATAGTCTTCTTTCTTATGCATATGGAATTTGTCCGAAAATAATTTGATCCACTTTGCAAAGCACGCTTTACATAGCCCAAACTCACTTGAACCGTTATACATTTTCATTAACACTCTATTTTCCAAATGTTTGCAATAGTACGTAGCATATAACAATGCAGTTCAATCTCATACCTGGACTGCTTTTTGCAAGGGTATTTCTTTTTGCTTCCTCTCAAAACGATGAATGTGATCTTGAAGGAGTTGCAACTTCTGCTCCTGTTCTTCAAGACGATTTTCAAGCTTCAAACATTCATGTTGAATCTGTTCTTTCTCCTCAAATAACCAGTCAAGCCTTTCTCTCATTTGAATGTTTTCTTCGATCAGGCTCTTTGTCCAGTTTGTGCGAGGTATCCCTTCAGACATTCTCATTTTCTCAAGCTGAATTGCATCTAATAATAGATAGATGCTTTTTAAAATCAAGCCATGCCTCTAAACAATGAAACCAGCATTTTACCCATGAAATTGAATGATTCTGCAATTATACGTTATTTTTGTCTATAAAACTCCCAGTGAATGAGAACAATCCAACTATGATAGGCTACTTTGAACTTAACAAGTTAATGTTACATTCTTTACTTTTAACCCCGATTTTTCGATAAATGCAAGCAACATATTGGAATAAAAAGACTGCCAAAAAATCGTCTCGTCATTCTTAAAAAAAATCATCCGAAAGCTTTGAGAACAATTGATCTTATCTTTCACATTCATATCTTACTGAATATGATAGAAATCAGCAAAGGCGCATTTAAGATTGGAACATTCCTTCTTTAACTATATGCATTCCCATTTCTTTCACTTAAATCTTTTCGGTAAGTTAACTTTTCTTAAAAAAGTAAGGAAAATTAAAAGTATGCCCTTTGAACTAACTTACACTTCTGCACAATGTCTTCAAGGTACTCCAATCTCTCATTCAGCTCTTCAATCTTCTTGTTCTTTGTATTTAGCTGTCGCTCTTGCAGCTCTGTTTCGCGTACTAGAGCATCTGTATTTATCAAGGTAAGACCACTGTCTGTCTCTAAAAGGCCTTGAAAGCTACAGCTTTTTTGTTTTTCCTCCTTAACGATCAGAACTCGTTCACAAAATGCCAGTTTCTACCTTCTCTTAATCAACCAACAAGGTTATGGCAAAACATTTATATATGTTCTGTTGATTTATATGCTGCTAAATGCTTATGACGTCAAATTAATGTGACGTATTATACAGAGGTCGCGGGCATTTTTTTATTCTAAACATTAAATCATCTTCCTCCAATCATGTCTTGCAAATCATCAGCACGCATTAAATGATATCCAAATGTTATTTATTCTCAGAATTGTATTGCAACAAAATGAGAAGATTCTCGCGATTTTCTGTCTCAGACTCTTCGATTTCAGTGTGACATTTATACCTTTGTGCTTTTGATCATAAAGAACTTTAAGAATTTTTGAAGAAAAAAGCTCTTAGTATTAAAGCCCTTCTACTTTAACAATATGACTTTTCCAAAAAATATCAATAAGCCTTTTTTATCAATCTGTGATATGATTCAAACTATCACACCAGGGACTAAGATTTTTCTATCAAAGAGTTTGAGTCCTTGGTGTAAGTGTATGGGTCAAAAACAGAAAGAGACTGGTCATCAATTATTAATAATGCATCTTACAAATTTGGAAGTCATGGTTCTACTGCCCTCCTATTAACTTTCTTCAAAGCACTTTTTTTATATGATTTTTTAATCATTTCTAGCAAAATAATATAACAAGTTACTTTTATGGCCAATCTCGAAAAGTACCTTCTCTTTTAAAACACAAAGCACACGGACGAATGTTGATATGTTCTGCATAAAGAACGGTAGACTTTGGAGACAAGGCCACTCGAAACGGTGGCTAGAGAGCAATGCCCCCTATTTAACAAAATTGAAAGTCCAAACATTCTATTTGAAGAAACTGAGATAAAAGAAATTTCACGAGTCATTGAAGAATTATTTGAAAGCTGAAAATTTGCCTCTGTTCCTATAAAAAATGCAACTGATGTGTCGAGCAAATACATTTATTACTATGTACAAGAAAAATTAGAATTCTTTGCTTAATTTTTTATTGATACGTATCATCCTTAATCAGAACAAAGCGTCTCGATTTACTTACTACCTGAAGTTGCACCGGCTGCCACAGAAGGTTGAGAGATTTCCGAATATGATTGATTCCAGTTCGCTGGAAAATGCAATTTTTCAAGCAATTTTACTTATTCTTCAGATCGGAACAAAACCTCTCACATTGTGTGGATGGGACAAAGGTACCAGTTACACTATACCGGATTGCTATCGGAGCGGAGTTTCTTTCATATCAGATAGGGCACTACACCACATCAATCCGGTACACAACGCTCCACTTCGAAACAAAGGATTTTCTTATTGTTTTCTGCTTGAAGCAATTCGATTCTTTAAAGAACAATGGCCATTTCTGAGATTTTGTTGCTATTGGATAATGCCAAACCGGAATCGTCCCCCAACATTTTCGTATTTATGGCCCTTGGATGAAAAACTTTAACACATCAGATAGCAACACAACCTCGCTAACCGTCCTACGAACCCCATCATTTATCTCTCGGTTTCATGGTTGTTTTCATCATTTTATACATAGCTGTTGAAAACGAATTCGCAACAGCACATAGATTCGAAAATATCATCAAAAAATTAAATCTGGTGGATTTTGTGTACCAGAAATGCAAAGGAATGCAGGCTTATGAGCGAGCGGAGCGTCGTAGTGTAACTGCTACCTAAAAGTTACTCCGCTCTGCTCCGCTCTGCTCCGCTCTGCTCCGCTCTGCTCCGCTCTGCTCCGCTCTGCTCCGCTCTGCTCCGCTCTGCTCCGCTCTGCTCCGCTCTGCTCCGCTCTGCTCCGCTCTGCTCCGCTCCGATAGCAATCCGGTATAGTGTAACTCAAGCCAAAATCTTGATACCGAGGTTAATCGGGACGGCTGGGAGTTGTACTTGAAACCTTGTATAAACTACGTTTGAAGTTTCAGTCCTATCGTCCTTCGAACCAAACAATTACTGTGTAGCCAAATAATAAAAGCTACTCCTAGCACTTACATTTCAACTGGTAAATCGTTATATAAGCAATTTTCTTTATTCATCTTGTAGTAGAGAGGCATATAATTTACTTGTAGTCTCTGCTTTGCACTTTATGGTTTCACGTACCTAAGCTGGCCCCGGGGCTCCGACGCCCTTGATAACTGCCCCCTTGACCAAGCCCACTATGCACGGTCATTTCCATAAAACATTAGTATTTACGATGTATTAATTGCTTGAAATTTTAATGATATCCGGTTAAGTAGTTACCAACGGAGATGCACTTGTCTTGAATGCAAAATCTTCATCTGAAATTTTTTTAGTCAGGAACATTACATCAACCCCAAACATTATGAGTTAATTGGGACCGACCATCCCATGAATCATTCTGAAAACTGTATGTAGTTATTTTGCTTACCATACTTCTTCCGCCAGGAGAAACCCTATGACACCCTATATAACTTCATAAAATTTCTTTGGGCCCCTATTTGTTGGTGGTCCCCGGGCAAAAAAACAGTCCAACAGAAGTGCGGCCCTGTTCGAGGCGTGCCCTGGGCAGCGACAACACGGACTGCCTCACCGGCGCCGGTGATTACCTTTCTCCAATATCATCGCTTGGATCTTTGTAGGATCGGCATCATGCATATCCTCTGCTGTCAACAGTAATCAGGACGGGGGAAGAGCTTTTGCATATTTCGCATTCTTATGACAATTGCATATTGTTATGTTCTAGCCTGCACCGCGGAGCATTGAGAAAAATGAAGGGTCTAAATAAGTGGGGAGGGGGGGGAACCATATAATAAGAGGCTTTACTGGTAGTTCATTATTTAATATTTGGCATTTTTTGAAAAAAGTTGAGGGCTCAAGCCCCCAGCCCTCCTGCTCCACGGTGCCTGTCTAGAGGGGCTGCATTGCAATTTTGGTAAAAGCTTTGGTTTAGATGTTTTTTAACAAGGGTAATAGTTCAAAAGATCGCATAATAATCCGACGAAAAGAATCTAATGTATATTAGCAAGATAAAATAAGGAACTTTACTCTTTATTACAAATTCTTTATTATCTACTTTATCTTGACATTAGGCAAAATGTTGATCTGGCGACTTGAGGGCACACAGCTCGACTTGTTTCTTTTCGCAATTTCGTGTCTTGAAGTCAAATTTTACATTTCCTCGTTTACTTTTGTTTGATTTTGACAGGAAAATAAAACTGATTGCTTGGTCAACAAAGGAAAGGGAAAATGAAAGTCGAAAGTGAAAGAGCAGTCTCACCATGTAAATAGCTTGTTTATAATCGGTTTTTATTCGCCACAAAAACATTGTAGGAAACGAAAGATACTATGCAATACAAGAAGAGTAATCCGGGTTTGCGAAACAACTGAATCCAAAGAAAATCTTGTCGAAGGAATTTTCCACACTTTCCTGGCACAGAATTTCTTGAAAATGATACATGGATCAGGCATCGCGGAGCGTTGAGAAAAGCGGGGGGTCTAAAAAACTGGGGGGGGGCTAAAACCTTATAAAAAAGGCTTTACTTGTAGTTTAGTACTAATTATTTGGCATTTTTTGCTAAAGCCCCCCCCAGCCCCCCTGCTCCGCGGTGCCTGTGGATTGGAATACTACCCTTGGTACCAGACCAGGGCCCTGTGGCGTAACGGACAGACTAAAGTTACCTTTGGTTCAAAAACTAAGTGCCCCTAACCTTTAGTGGCCCCCGACAAAAATGCTTTCTTTGCTATTTTACTTTGAAGCAGGCATTTTGGATGTGATAGACGATTTATAAGGGACCGCAAGTCTGTGTGAGATCTAAATCTAAATGAATTGAAAGTCTTTTCATAACCATTTTGTGCTTCTCCTATATTGTTTTACGAATTTTTATGTGGGGGGGGGGTCTTGAACTGAAATATTCCCAAGGGCCCCGACTGCTACTGCTAGAGCCTACAAGATTGGGAAAGGAATCTCCATTCTCCTCCAGATTTCTTGGGCTCTTGTACCCAGAGTAACAGAATTCGGAAATTTTATAGTTTTATGACTTGCAAAATTGTTCACCCATTGTCTTGTAAAAATAGAGCTGGTCACCACTCAGCAGCATGTATCAACAGTCTTGGCATGCAGAATTTTGGCTGAAATGACCAGAACGGCGCAATTCAACTTGCATGGTACAGTGGATTTCTACTACTTTTTGCCTTGATGATCCTCATATACAAGCTTGGTGATCTTTCCTCGAACTTGCCTTGTTTGCTCAGAAACCCCGCAAACATTAAAAGTTGAAATTTTCATGAAAGCTGAGGACATCATTTTTTTCTTGCTTCAATATCAAAATAAAGATGCACTACTTAATAGCAAACACTTTTAAATGGTTTTTTTAATGCGCACATACCATTACGAAAAAACAAATAGAACTATTATTTTATCTTGATGCCATGAAATGCCATCAAAAACTTACCAGCCATCTGTTATTACATAGCAGAGCCCATTATACGGATTTTTGTCACTGCACATATTCAAAAGGATCTAAAAATGTTGGCTTTGTCTTTTAATTTTTCGATCATCTTGCCACTCGAGCTGATGTGAAATATGATGTACATTTTTGTTGATGATTGAGATTTTGCAAACATTATTTTCATGATAATACACTTTATAAATACAAGAAATCTCGATATTACAAAAAAATAAGAACACCATATGAAATGAATCAACCACACTCCTAAAAATGTCTTACAAAATTGATATTTGGTGCTCTTAGGGATAATTGATGAGATGTAGCTGTAGAAACATCAATGTTGAAATGGAACCATTATTGAGAGCAGCCGGGACTCAAATTTCCAAAAAATAAGAAGACTGAGCCTCGGTAAAATTAGGTGGTTCTTATAAAAAGCAGAGTGTGAGTCCTAGGATGGAATCAAGATTAGGGTCGAGCCTTTGTGTACATAAAGAAAAGGAGGAAAACCTCCTATTTTTTATACAATGGAAGGTCACTCAGGCTGGAGGGGGCTCCACCTCTCCACCTCTCCCCGAAACTGGCCCTGTTTCTGCTCGTTGTTGTGGGAGGTTCTTTGTATTGTACGTAGCAATTTGGTACGATGAAACTGTGACATTACCCCCGGTTGCGTTACTCTGACTCATAACAAACTCGAAGAAATACTGCATGCAAGCGAACTTAGGATTGGGAACCAGAACTGAGATAAGTTGCATTTTCAAGGTGAAGTCAGAGGTGTTCGGATTTATTCTTCATCAGATAACACTGCTCTGGTCCAATTTACAGGACCTGCCTTGCTTCATTTACACACAACTGGTGCTACTAGGGCAGCCTGACTGATAATAGGCCGCTGGACAGAACATCCTCTTGCTTTCTGGCGTGTGGAGGAAAACGGGAAGTGTTGGTTCGCAGACTGCATCCCCTTCTGTGACTGCATAAATTTAGGACATCATTTGGATGTTTACACACACACTGACGGGCAGGAAATTTTATGCTGAATGGTGTAGTTGCCCTTGAAACAGAACAGGTAATTTGATCAATTTGATGTCGTGAACCAAAGCAAAGATAGGGAATCAAATCAGTAACGACGCGAGCAAAAGTTTCGAAAATATGAGTGGAAATGCTAAGAAATCATCCACTCACCCCCGAACGATTTTTCGGAATCAAAAGGAAGGTTTCATGGAAAAGAAAACAGGCCTTCTTAGTATGTGGAAAAGTAGATATTTTGTTTTGATGCATGATGTGTTGTGTTATTTTAAAAAGGAAGAGGAAAAAGAGTCCATGACACCGACTGGACGAATTTTTTTCAATGATATTGTGTCTATTGAGAAAATTGGGAAAAAAGGAAGGCCATACTGCATTTTCATAACTGAAGAGGAAAAGAGACATCTGATGAGCTGTTCCTCAGAGGAAGAAAGAGTAAACTGGATCGAATCTATCAAGCATGGTCAAGAACAACACAATAAACAGGAGAAATTTGACCCTGTTCGTCGCAAAAGTGCGAAAATTGGAAAAGATTTCAAAAGGGTGACTATACAAAAAGATGTTGGTGGGGGCATTGGTTGTACAATAAAAACTGTTGGCGGTGCAATATTTGTGAACAGAATCATTCCTGATGGCCCGGTGGCTGTCTCAGGAGTTTTGAGACCAGGTATGATATTTTTGCTCAATTTTTGAAACCAGGAAGAATGTTTTAAATTGATGCGATGTTTCATTTTTCATAATTCCTAAAATAAAAACGAGGGGGACCCAACCAGATGAGAATAGTTTCCGTGAACCAAAATCTGCTCAAACTTTGAAAACTTTGTGCATGGTAATAAATTAGATCATCCTGCCCCATGTGTATTTTACTCCCAGAAATGATAAAAATATCCTTCACATGTTTGCTGTTATTTGGCATATGTGTGTACAAAAACCAGCCTCGTGTGTACACAAGCAAAAAGTAATGACGACCTAGACGATCTGCAACTCTGAGGGTCTTCAAATTCAAATTTCATTAAAAGCGTCAATTATTAAGACAGTTAAAGAAGAATCATGTGCAGCTGGATGAACCATTTTAAATAGAAATTGTGCGGCTGCAATCGCGGCTGATACTTGATGTGCGCAGGGGATTTATCCCCCACACAAGGCAAAAATTCCAATCTGGGCTTCAGGCAACTCTGTCATTTGGTCCTTAGCAGTTGTGGCTGTGAATGCATCCATTCTGTAACATCATGTCTCCAGCCATCCCAGACCTTCACCTTGCTGCCCAGTGTTCCCCATTCTATCTACTCTGACTCTTTCAGATCCCCCATTCAGCTTCCTTAAGCTCTTAGCTCTGACTTCCTTCCTCCATTTCTCCTTCAACCACTGTTCTTGTCATGCTCCCTCCTGGTACAAGCTGTCCCATGTTTTTAAACTACCACCTCTTTACAGTCTTAACATATCATTTTGGCTCATGTTGGAGTTGTACTTTTGGCCTGTTTTTTTGTGACAAGACCAGAAATGCCAGAAACAAGGGTGCAGGGGGCAACCACCCCTCTTCCCCTTAGATAGGTAGGGAAAATTGTGCCAAAGTGTTATTTTGATAAAAGTGTCCTTGACATTGGCATTTTGTGATTTTCAAAGAGATTCCTATGAAATCATTACTGTAGCCTTATTCATGAGGACTTACCTTAAAACTTGTAAAAATAATATCTTGTGCCAGAAGTAAGCCCATTTTCAAGATGCCTACATCAGGTCAAAATAAAATGGCAGTTTAGTTATTAAAGAATTCATAGAAGATGGGAATTATCAAATGCAAGAGTTTCTAAAAACATTTTGGTGTTTAAGCCAGGTTTTTTGAATATTTTAAATCTTTGGATTCAATTTTTTTATTTAAGGTGATCAAATTGTGGACATAAATGGAATAAAAATAACTGGCTGTCCTGTTGAAAGGATAAAAGATGTGATAAAGGAAAGCCCAGAATACGTTGTTTGCACAGTGAAGCCGGTAACACATTATTCTAACAAGGAGGAAAATAGCCCAAATTTGACTAGGACTGCTTATGCCGAGCTAGACACAGATTATCTGCAGAAAAAGACAGAAGGTAACCACCAGGACAGTGAAGATGAGAAACATGACGGTACTAACAGGCCCCTTAATTATGCTGTCATCAATTTTCCTAGCTCTCCAGAACCCATGGAAGAAGGAGCAGAGAAAAGAGATACTTCTCCCAACTATGTAAACATGAGTGGTGAGAAACCTGGGCTACAGAATTATGCTGAACTTGATTTCTCAAGAAGATAAGCCTGCTTAAAAAATAGTTTTCATATGGTTTCCTATATGCCTCTTTTTATACAAAGTTAATCAAATGGGATGCAGATATTTCTGAAAGGCTCTAGGTATATAAATCCAATATTTTTAAGGCAATATTTTTGTAGGAAAACCTCTTTTTTCATGCAAAGATCTTCTTTTACCAATATTTGTAATTTCAACTGGATAATAATTGTAATAAAAGTTTCCTGACATCCAATATTTGTGAGGCAATATTTTTGTAGGAAAACCTCTTTTTTCATGCAAAGATCTTCTTTTACCAATATTTGTAATTTCAGCTGGATAATAATTGTAATAAAAGTTTCCTGACATCCAATATTTGTGAGGCAATATTTTTGTAGGAAAACCTCTTTACAAATTCAAAGATAGTCTTTAACCAAAGTTTGTAGTTCAGCTGTATAATCATTCTAATAAAAGTTTTCTGACATCATTATCAGATAAGATTATCAGATTTTAAATCATTAGGATTTTCAAAATAAAATGCTGATGCAATGATACAACTTAAATGACAAATAAAGTGATTTAGTGTGTCTTGTCAAGTTTTTAGTGAATTTTATTCAAGTAATTTTATTATTCAGAAATTAATGACCTTAAGTTTGCGATACTCATGTAGGAATCATAAATGTGATAATAAGGTATATAACTGTAGAAAGGACTCTTGATTAAAAAGCTGTAAAATCTAAGCAAGGGGTATGTATTAAAAACTCAGTCAATTTGAAAAACTAGGACCCTGGCCAACAAGTCACCTATATATGCAAAACATGACCCAACATTTCTTGATAAAATTTGTTTGGCATTTTGGCCATTTCTTTATTTCGGCCAGGTTTTCAAACTTCTTCTAAGAATGCTATGCTCTGCTATGTCAATTCAATGTGCCAAACCAACACATTTATAGGATGAAGGTTATTGGACAACATGAAGGAAAGGTCCTAAATGAAGCACTTTTGTAGTACATCAGATACAGCAATTGTAAAAGAAAATGATAAAAACATGACAATAAAAGCTTAAAAAAGGTGAGCTCCAAAATCTGATTTTGCCAGAACGTAACTAAAAATTTCACAAGAGCATCTGTTCTGTCTCTTATTTAATATTTACTAATAGTGAGTATTCTACAGCAAAGTTATCATCCACAATTACTTTTCAATAATGCCCATGGATGCTTCATAGCAAGCAGATTAGATTAGTATGTTATTAAATTTGTTATTTTATAATGAGCATTAGATTTTACCCCTGATGGTATTTATGCAGTTTAATGTGTAATTTGACAGAAAGGGTGTAGTCTGAAAAACGTGTGAATAATATGCAAACGATTATTTCTTAGTCTTGTTTATAGCTTTGGCTCTAATTTTGTTATCACTGGCCTACCACAAGAAGACACATTCCTGCCCAAAGGAAAACTAGTGAGATTTAGATGAAAAAAAATTATTTGGATTGCATAGAAAATATAAAAGGTTTTTCAATGAATACCAAGGCATAGTGAAGAAAAGAAGCAGAATCAACTGAGAAAAGTATGGTAAATTGTCCTGTAAAGAACCTGAAAAGTACATATTTGCATAACAAGCAGCTGTAGGTCAGTTGGTAAAGCCTCCACTTTAGAGCTGAGCAGGATGGAATTCCGCTTCTCTTCTTTCTGAGCTAGCTGAAGTGTCAGAATGAGCATCAAATTTTCAACTGCTCCATTAAAAAGACTTTTATGTGAATCACACAAGCCAGCTACAGCTGGAAAAATTGACTTGAAATTGAAAGTGAATCTCAAAGTTTTTAACAAGGAATCAACCTTGTAAATATATCAACTTTTTGTATTACAGAAAACTGTGATAACAAGCCTGGTGATAAACGTCCTTGTTAAAATATTTCCTAACTGAGTAGCCCCCCTTTAAAAAAACAAATGGTCTGGGCATTTTTCCATTCTATTAAATGGTCACTTTGGCATGACAAAATAGGAAGCTATATTTTAGATTTATAGAAAATTTACCTATATTTGACTTGGTTTCCTATTTGACTCTAAGCACTACCAACATGATTACACATTTTACCCACCCCCTACCAGTTGGAGCAAAATTTGCTGTCTCCTACCATATTTACTGCTATCCCACCTCAAAAAATAAAGCTGGGCTTTTTACATAGGGGTGTAGTACCAGATTGGGGATTTTCATAGGCTCATTGTGCCACTGTTGCAAAGGATTGGCTTTACTCAGACCAGACTGTCGTAAAAATGTAACATGTGGTTGCTTGGTTAACATGAGGTGGAATTTATTTCTATTAAAGAGGAACACTATTTTGGTTAAGCCAGTCACATATTGCATCATATCATATGTGAAGTCAGCCAGAAAGATTGTGTGAAACTGATATAATTAAAGAGCTAAATATAAATGCAAATATAAATGATCTTTCAACACAGACTGTTTGTTATCTAGGACCTTTAGAGCTACATATTTGCTATATTAGCATTTTAACGGTACAACTACAAAGTAGATTAAAATATACTAAGATCAGATCAAATGAATGTTACTCGTAATCTTGGGTTGATGTTGTTTTATCTAAGGGGTAGTGTAGGCATAGTTTTAGGGGCTGGAGTTACCTTACTGAATAAGTGAAATCCATCGTATTTCAGGTTATAATCGGCACCCACTAGATCCATGAGTGTAGATAAGAAGGTACACACCATTTGAGTCATGAGTCATGAGTTGGTCCGTTGAATCTTTACTTGCTTGGCAAAACTTGGGTGATCGGTAGATTCGCGTGACGGTAGGCGAAATCGGAACAATATTTTGCAATCTGTTTCTTCATCTTCAAATTTTGCTTCCGTGAGCAAGCTACGGAGGTTTAGTGCAGTTGCCCTCTAAATGACCAACTATCACATTTTTCAGTCTAGATATTTGGGCTCCATTTGGGGAGGAAGAAATGCGAATTGCCTTTAATATAATCTCTACCTAAAAGTGTGTTTTGAAAACTTTAATTCTTAGTTGCAATTACAAGTCCTTCTTACCGCGGAAAATCAAATATAAAGCTAAGGGTCCATTTATCAGAACTCCCGTAATACCAAAAATTATGAACCCGAAGTAGGTGAATAGGTAGCCTCCAATAGTAGGCGAAATTGAACGAATCAGTGAGTGTGTTGCCATTGATAAACCTGAAATTTAAAGTAACACGCTTAACATCATTTAAAAACTTTTGGTTTTAAATCATTTAGCTATATCTGATTTCAAAGAAGACGACTAAATAAAGAAAATTTGCTTCAATGGAACGTTATTGTAACAAAAGATTGTGCTTCAAGGCACGTAAAAGTACTACAGGACCTACGTAGGCTTATGTGCCATGAACCTGGAAAATCTGGGTACACGTCGAGTACTCTGAACCATGTCATTAGAACTTTATCAAACGTTAAGTTTCATTCCTGAAGCAAGCATTCCTGAAGTATATTTTTTGAAAGTCCAGAAGCCTTTTCTACTCATCGTAGTATGCAAGTGACGGACATTATATTCAGTTTTTCATCAACTAAACTTCAAATAAACTTGCTAGGCATGTTTTCGGGGATGGAAAGGACAACAAGCAAGGACAACATGAAACGAAATGGAAGAAATGTAAATGGAAACATTTTGAAGCTTATTGAATTTGAAAAAGATGTATCCGCACACAATACGTTCATCATTGGCCATACCCTGGGTACCAGACTCACTTTATAAAACTCTATTTTATTTCATATATAGTGAGTCTGGTACCCAGGGTACATTGGAAATCAACTGGACTATAAAATGTAGAAACTACACAGAAGCCAAGAAAAGTTTAAACATAGCCAGCAAATAAGAAAACCCAGCCCACAATATTGGATATTTTCAAATCAGAAATCATTGAAGACCGAAAGTGGCTTTAGCCATCTGTCACTCAACTTTTGGCCAATCAATGAGTAGTGTTTAAGCGTTTGAGTTGTACCATGTCAGCAGTGCAACCTGCCTCATGAAGAAATCATATGATCAACTTTAATTCATCTTGAGTTGGCAGGTCTGCACAAAGAGATTACCTAAGGCCGTGAATGAGTTCTTGAAAAAAGCGGTACATACCCCTTACCGAAAAACAGAGGATTTTAGCTTTGTGGGCAGTCTTTTTGGCATACATTTTATGGGATGCTTTTGGCAATTTTGGCAATGGTGCAAAATAGCTTTTCGCACACCCCATCACTTTTAAGTCAAGTGCCCCCCTTCCTCCGGGGAACGCACATCTTTTCATTCTTAAAATTTCACAAACACAAAGGAAAGAAAGAAGACGTACACAAGGAATGGAAAATCCTACATCAATGTGATTAGAATATTATTCCTCAGTAATAAAGAGAGTTTAGGTTACTAATAGCTGCTCAACTAGCTGAGCAACGTTGCAAAACAACAAACTCACCTATTGCCGTTCCCGTATCGTGGCCCGGCACTATTTTTGTTATGCTGCTGGTGATAATTACTTGAAGTATCGATCCCCCAGTAACTAATGGTATCAAGGCCAAGCAAAATGTGTAGATGTTGTTAACCAGGATCTGAAAACGGACGATATACGGAAATAAAATATGTTGCCTAGAAATAGAACAGATGCTTGTGATTTGTTGTAGAACTTAGTTATCGCCTGTTGTTGGTGTACAATCACTGCCAAAAGTCTTGGAACACTAACGTAGGTTTTCAAAGGCAAATTCAGCCACCCCATCTCCCCTTAGGAACAATGTTGATTTACTATAGAGAAAAGAAAGGAGTTATGGAGCACGCCTTTTTGTGTGCCTTGTATGATACTTTTCTATACTTTCAACATTGTTTTGGGGGAAAGGGGGACGGATGTAGTTGTATTCCGGAAGCACAGCGCAAAGTGTTGGGTGTTCCAAGTAATTCTGGCAGTGATTGTACCTAGCATGGTGGGTGTGACTGAAGGATATGTGTGTTAATTGCGATTCCTAGGTTAACATTGTTTGGTGAGAATGGCTTGTTTTGAAACGTTTGCCTTCTTTCCAAGCCAGATTTTTATGCTAGATAATGTTTCGAGAACAGTCAATTTGATGCACCCACCGGATGATACTGTAGCCACAAAAAACTTTTAAACCCACAAACTGGAAAGACTTTCGGAAAAATGTCTGCAAGGTTTCTTGTTTGGGAAAGCTTTCTAGCTTTCAGACATTGGCCTTCATACTTCAAGAAAACATTTGTTCAGCGCTGAACAAAGTAAAATGATCAGGAAAGGTAATAAAGAAGCGTAAAAAATAGAAATATTGGAGTTTTTTAATTGCTTTGAAGTATTTCTCTTCCTTTGATCGCGTTTTGCAATGTTTTTTTATTTTTCCTGGAATAAAATTCTCGATTGTTTGCATGCGTTTGATAACCACATAACTTGACAGCCAGTTGATGTTTTAATGGTATTGTTTTCAAATTACATGAATACCGAGAAACGGTGGTACGAAACACCCGTTCCACTTCTAATCAATGGTGTACATCCACACTAATCATTTGATTAATCGTGGGCCCAGACCTTGTGGAATGTACACCTTTTGAACTTCATATTCCCAAGTTCAGATTAATCATGGGTAACACCTGGCGAGCACCTGGCGGGCACCTGGCGGGCACCTGGCGACTTTTTTGTCGGTCGCGGCCAAATAAGCTTTTCACACTGGCTATCGACCACAATTTCAGAACACCTACTCGATAAACGGTTACAAGATGGCAGCAGCACGAAAATTCACAGAAGCGCAGATCTTTTTCCTCGAGTCCGAATTCAACAACGGACTTGCCTCAACTTCCATGACAAAGTACGGAGATCGATTTCGATACTTAAATGAAAAGACTGGCTTGCCTATAGAAATTATTCAACGGTGGATAAACAATCGATCGCGTGGGCCTAGACCAACTTGCTTTAGGCCCAACCCTGTAAACGAAGATGTTGACATGGAATCGGAAGAGAGCAGGAGACCTGCAAATAGCAATACAGAAACGCGATGTTACAAGAAGCCTCCATCCACAAAATCCGCAACTGGATATGCAGTTTTCTGTGGAGAAGTCTTTCGCGAACGTAAAGACGGTAAGCCGACTGGCTACTTGCTTACATTCACCAATGGCCTAAATGTATTTAACCTTCGGCCGTTTGGGATTTTCATTCACGATATGAATTAGCTTATTGCCAAATACAGGCACCGCGGAGCGTTGTGGAAAGGGGGGGGTCTAAAAAAGTGGAAAGGGGGAGGCTTAGAATTAAACGGGCTTGACTGGTGAATCATTTTTTTAATATTCTGCATATTCTACAAAAAGTGGAGGGCCAAAGTCCCCCCAGCCCCCTTCTCCACGATCCCTGAGGCAGTACAATATTCGGGGTATGAATATTGAAGCTATAACAATAATAGGTTTTATCTCTCTTTCATTTTATTTGTACCTGACTTTATCAGCAAAGTCATATATTTTTCTAAAGCAAAACAATAAGACAAAAAATCCAGTTCATGATATCAACTTCATCCACCATAGGGTAATTTCACCCTGATTGAGTATACCTGGAAACATGACATTTACATAGCTTTTATTTTGTGAATAAATCGGTAGATTGGGGCTAAGCTGCAATGAAAACAAGCAGTTTTCTTTGTGTGTTTGATTACTTAATTTCTATTAAATTTTTTAGGCATGCATGCTACTTTTTACATACAAAACACATACTCAATAAAGGCAATGTTAGAAATTTAGGCAGATAAGACCTGACGGGTGGAAGGATTTGTCAATAGGCAAATTTTATATTTCAGTCTAGGAAAAAAATAAATATTGTTATTCATAACCAGGCATAGTCACAAAAGTCAACATGACCCTTTTTCTGTGAGAACTTGAAACAATTTTCTCAGATAATGTTTTTTTTAATCATATATGTACACACACCATTTTCTTCCAGAATTCAAGGGAATGTCATTGCATGATAAGAACAAGCATGCACATTCCATGTGGCAAGAACTGCCAAAAGAAGAACAAAAAAGATACAAAGAAAAAGCGAAGCAGAATTCTGACAGGAAAGTTAAAATAGAAGAAGTTCAGGGCAAGGCTAGAGAAAGGTTGATTCGCCAAAGTATTCAAAGGATACAAGCCGAGGTATGCTACCTTAAAGATCTCTAATGTGAGCTCCAAATGATTCAGGTAGCATATTTAGAAAACCCTTTGGAATTCTCTTTGCAAGTTTTTTTAGCAAAGGTCTTTAGAGAAAAAAGCTTTCTGAATATTGGGAAACAACTCTCTTTTACATTTATTCTGGTTTATATCTTTGGCTTGTGTTACACTGCAAGGTTCATTTAAAGAAACCACAGGCATGGAATTTGGCCTAAAAGATTGTTGAACATTTTACAGAAATTTGGAGCATAAATTTTTGAAGGAATTTGTGGGAAACGTTTTTTGGAAAACGTTTTTGCCTTGAAAAGACCCAAATCCCTTTTGTATATACAGTCCTTGTTTCTGTATTCCTAGGTTATTGTCATGTTGATTTACAGTTTGTTAGTTAGAGAGGATTTGCTATTAAAGAGTTTGAATAGTTAGAGAGGATTTGCCATGAGAGAAGACCTTGACAAAAAGTGACTGTCTGATCTCTTATGCCTTTTCAAACTTTGGCTATTGATTTGCTAGATCTTTGGATCAAGTCTGTAGAAAAATATTGGTTTGGAATCATGCTTTCTTTGCTAAATGAAAAGGTTAGACTATCATTGACTTAGCTCCTTTGGTCACTGAAATAACTGTAATTTGGTTAATTCTTTTTTGTCTTTACATAATAAGTGTTGTGATAGTGTGCCTTACAATCTACTGTTAACCTACTATTGGATTTAAAAAAATTTGAGGCCATTAAAAATACAACAACAGTGTTTTGTATATTTTTTATATATTCATGTCCTAAAATTCAGTAACTTTATCATTTTTCTTCAGATGGACTTTCTAGACCAATTTGGATGCCATGGATTTGCCCTTATCCCAAACACTCCTGATGGACTTGTTTTCCCAGGTTCCAAGAAAGGAGAACAATTTCTTTTGGAAAACAAAGATGTTGGTCATAAATTTTCTTCTTTTATAAGTATGTTTCCTTTCTTTCTTGTCAATTTTTGCAAGGTATCTTCTTTGCAATGCTTATATGCACAAGGACAACACTTGTAAAAAATTAGATTTTTGATTTACTGTATGCATGGAAGGTGGATTTATTCAGGCCTGGCCACAAGACTTTAAGCAGGGGAGCAGTAATCAACCTAGTAATTTCCAGATGAGCTATTTGAAAGTAAATAAGAATATTATATAAACAAAGGAAAATAGATTTCAAGGAGAGCAACTTGCTTTTTGAACAATTTAGGAGATCAATCTGTAGCTCCCTCCAGCATTTGACGAGAGCCTGGAGGTGAGCAACGGCTATGGCTGTCCTCAAATGGCCAGACCTGTTTATTAGCTACATTTTAAGCTTTTCATTGTTAGGCAGATAGGAATTTTTTTTGTAGAAACTTGCTGATGCAGTAATTCTTTTTTACAACAAAGGGTGTCTTATTTTGACCAACCTCTGTCTTTAAATGTAAGAACATGGTAGTTTAATCTGCAACTGCATATTATGTTATAAATTAAATTCTTCTTTCTTTCCGAATAGAGCATCACCTTACTTCAATTACATAAGTGATTTAAAAATTCTGGTTGAAAATAAAACTTATTCCTATGCAGTTTAGTAGACATTGCTGAATGTAGAGTATTTGTCTCCCATTTTCATCATAAGACAGTCTAAAATTTTAAAATGAAAAGTATAGCTCTTCATTTATAACAACATTTTATTTTGCCTCTATGCTAGATTTGCCACATACACCTGACTATAGTCAAGATGATATCAGGAGATTACTAAATGAGAAGTATAGTAAGTACACCTTTGAACGTTTTTTATCCCATTTAGAAGAGGCATACAAGATGAGGATGTACTTAACACCTTTTAGTATATCTTTCATTTAACAAATGAGTAAGAATGGAGTTACAACAGTCAACTTCCAATCCAAACATTTATAACATATGGTTAAGCTACAGTTTTTTATTAACAGAGACTGCACCATCAAAAGTTTGGATTTTGCTTGTAAGATAAAGCCAGGTGGTGTATTCCTGAAGACTGAAGGATAGTGGCACTTTAAAAAGTTGTTAGTTTACTTCAATACAATATACTGGATTATACTTCAATTCAATACTGGATTTCTAATTGAGTTTATTCACTGAGTTTATTGTGAATTGTGGGGGAGCTTGTGCTATTTTATGGTGTTATTGGGGACCATTTTGCTTGCTAAATTTAATAATGGTGTTATTGGGGACCATTTTGCTTGCTAAATTTAACATTTATTAATTTTGTTTTTTCCTGCAGGGAAATTCACTGGCACCTTGAAGCGGGTTGAATATGAGAAGTTCAACTCTTCATTTGTGGTGAAAGGCTGGCCAGAAAATGTCCCCTTCATGCAGCCTGGAAGGTTCAGCCAGAAAAGAATCAACGCAGTAATGGAGGCAATGCCAGGGATAGGGTTCGAGAATGTTCAGCAGAATATTGCGATTGTCCAGGAGGGCAATGATTCTTCAACAACGGAGGTCCAGGGGACTGATGAAGCGTTTCTTCGAGATCCAAACGATGTTATTGAGGCTGCTTTTGCTGATGATCCAACGGTTATTGACGCACAATGCATACATAATGGGAAGGCCAAGAAATTCAATGCCAAAAAATTATCTTTTGTGAGAAAAGGAAATGTGGTCCCGGTTATTCCATCACCGGAAGATTCAGAAGACAAATTTTATCTGTTTGTTTGTGGTGGAAAAGCCAAAACAAACAACATTATAAAGGGAAAGTGGCTTGTAAAAAGTGGCGACAGGGACTTTGTCAAATCGCGTGACGAGGCATCTGTGCTTGAAAGCAATGTTTACGTTAAAGACGGTCAGAGGCTGGTCCTGCGCGAAGAAGACTTCGAAATCAACGAAGCAGGTTTTTATCGTTTAACGATCGCAACAGCACGAATGATCGAGGCTTTGCACGAGGGCCTGAAAGTACTGTAATAAACTTGGAGAACTTACTACCTCTTCAAGGAAGAAAGATTGGTCTTCTTACTTTTCTTCAATGCTTTTTGGTTTCTTTTTTACTTATTTGCAAGTAACGATACTTTATATAGATATATATATAAGTTAAAACGTCAATCAAGTTTATGTTTTTTCTTTTCGTACTTTGTTTTCTTGGCAGTCACAGGTTTCCTTGAAGTGAAAGAAACTTTTGAGGCACTAAACAGGAAAGGAATATATCAGAATACGGTCCAAACATAATTTTTTCCCATGAATGGGCCAATAAAATTGGAAGTTTCTGAGATTTATGTGGATTAGTAGAGTCTGTTGTGACTATCAGTGCCTTTACAAGCCTGACAGAGGATAAATCTTGCCCTCAGCTCATTGTCTCTTGCCCTCAACAGGATTGAGGCTGGAACCAGAAGCGGAAAATTCACTTTTAATTGGTAGGCGATTGAGATACAGCAGGGTTTTTTAAGGAAAATTTAGAGTTGCACATTATTCTCGGAAGTTCTGTGTTGAAGGAATAATTTTTGGTTCTTATACAAGTATAAACAAAGCGCACTGTACAAGTAAACATAGAAATTATGCATGTTTCGTTGCCTTGCCTATGGAGGATAAAATGTATAAATAACACTCAATATAATAAATCTCTCTTAACGGATTTATAATAAAAATTCCAATTTTCAGAGAAAACGAACAGATTCTAATTCACCTTGGAAGTAAATTATAAAGTATACTATAATAGAACTTGAAGAGTGTCTAGTATAAGATTGGTATGCCAAACTTCAAATAAACAAGGTTTTTCAATGTGATAAGCGCTTAGCAATCCGGCACTCCCCGCCGTTAAAATAAACCCCTTTTATTACCCCCTCCCCCCTGTTTCGACCCTGATGTCAAGCAAAGGACATGCAAAATCTGAGAGTTTAGTAACGATGATTTTAATTGTATTGCTACAAATTTCTTATTTTATATGTTGTGCTTCTCATGTCACTAACCGTCATCGCGCTGGACACTATGCTGTATATGTTCCTGGAACTAGTCCATCCTCTCCCCTTCTTGTTCCGGTTGTTGAAAATGTGAGGAAACAGCATTCTTTCTCGAAATATCTTCAAAGCATTTTAAAGTTCGCATTTAGTGCCGTCTCTTGGCGGGTTGATGATCCTTTCGAAGGAATCCCAGAAGAGGAAATTTGTTTAGAAAATGTCCCAGGGTTATCAATAGACCCTAATAATTCTGATAGAAATTAAGACATTATAATTGACTAATGTAAATGAACTTTCAAGGCCGCTAACAAAATTTTTTGATAAAAATAACGCAGAGAAGATGCATAAGAAAATTTTCATATCATTTTATACTTTTAATTATTAAGCCACCTCTTGATTAAGTCCCCTTCTAGGAATTAAAAAAATTGAAATTAAGTCCCCTCATGGCTTAATAGAGCTTTAACAGTGTGCTTTTTTACACAATTTTATCGACTTATTTCTTCATTAAAGTGATAATGATGTTCGTCAATTCGTGATCGAATATGACCATGACAACAGAAATATAATAAAAAGAAACAAAAAATAAATAATAGAAATATTGTTATCTATGGGTCCGTGAGTGGCTTATGAGGCCAATACGGGCATGGAATCCCCTCCCACATGTCTGACACCAGTGGGAGGGTAGAGTATTTGCTGCATTCTCATTCTTCATTAAAGTAAACATGTTTAGAACAGCATTTTTTTTACAAAAAGCCTTTAAAACTGCAAATTTATGTAGAACTGCTCGTTAAACAAAAAACCAATCTCTAAAAACTAGAAGTACAGGAGTATGGAGCCTTAAACCCAAGAAAAAAAAATTTGTTCTACTAAAAAATTCTACGTTAAATTTTTCGAATTAGCCGGAATAAAAAAACTGCTACTAGAACAGCATTATTAGAACAATTACTTGTTTTAGTAATGATCCAGCGGCTCTGGGAGCAAAAAACTTTTTTGAAAGTCGTTTTGCCTGCGATTTTCTCAAAATTATGCGACATTTCATCAAAATCTCTAAATATTCCAGCTAATAACTTTTTTTAGCAAGGGTCTAGTCACTTTTTCAATTTCGCCGCATATTATTTCTCAAATTTCCGATTTTCTCAAAATTATGCGACATTTCATCAAAATCTCTAAATATTCCAGCTAATAACTTTTTTTAGCAAGGATCTGGTCACTTTTTCAATTTCGCCGCATATTATTTCTCAAATTTCCGATTTTCTCAAAATTATGCGACATTTCATCAAAATCTCTAAATATTCCAGCTAATAACTTTTTTTAGCAAGGGTCTGGTCACTTTTTCAATTTCGCCGCATATTATTTCTCAAATTTCCGATTTTCTCAAAATTATGCGACATTTCGTCAAAATCTCTAAATATTCCAGCTAATAACTTTTTTTAGCAGGGGTCTAGTCACTTTTTCAATTTCGCCGCATATTATTTCTCAAATTTCCAATTTTCTCAAAATTATGCGACATTTCATCAAAATCTCTAAATATTCCAGCTAATAACTTTTTTTAGCAGGGGTCTAGTCACTTTTTCAATTTCGCCGCATATTATTTCTCAAATTTCCGATTTTCTCAAAATTATGCAACATTTCATCAAAATCTCTAAATATTCCAGCTAATAACTTTTTTTAGCAAGGGTCTGGTCACTTTTTCAATTTCGCCGCATATTATTCCTCAAATTTCCGATTTTCTCAAAATTATGCGACATTTCATCAAAATCTCTAAATATTCCAGCTAATAACCTTTTTTAGCAAGGGTCTGGTCACTTTTTCAATTTCGCCGCATATTATTTCTCAAATTTCCGATTTTCTCAAAATTATGCGACATTTCATCAAAATCTCTAAATAATCCAGCTAATAACTTTTTTTAGCAGGTTTCTGGTCACTTTTTCAATTTCCCCGCATATTTTTTCTCAAATTTGCGATTTTCTCAAAATTATGCGACATTTCATCAAAATCTCTAAATAATCCAGCTAATAACTTTTTTTAGCAGGTTTCTGGTCACTTTTTCAATTTCGCCGCATATTATTTCTCAAATTTGCGATTTTCTCAAAATTATGCAACATTTCATCAAAATCTCTAAATATTCCAGCTAATAACTTTTTTTAGGAACGGTCTAGTCACTTTTTCAATTTCGCCGCATATTATTTCTCAAATTTCCGATTTTCTCAAAATTATCCGACATTTCATCAAAATCTCTAAATATTCCAGCTAATAACCTTTTTTAGCAAGGGTCTGGTCACTTTTTCAATTTCGCCGCATATTATTTCTCAAATTTCCGATTTTCTCAAAATTATGCGACATTTCATCAAAATCTCTAAATAATCCAGCTAATAACTTTTTTTAGCAAGGATCTGGTCACTTTTTCAATTTCGCCGCATATTATTTCTCAAATTTCCGATTTTCTCAAAATTATGCGACATTTCATCAAAATCTCTAAATATTCCAGCTAATAACTTTTTTTAGCAAGGGTCTGGTCACTTTTTCAATTTCGCCGCATATTATTTCTCAAATTTCCGATTTTCTCAAAATTATGCGACATTTCGTCAAAATCTCTAAATATTCCAGCTAATAACTTTTTTTAGCAGGGGTCTAGTCACTTTTTCAATTTCGCCGCATATTATTTCTCAAATTTCCAATTTTCTCAAAATTATGCGACATTTCATCAAAATCTCTAAATATTCCAGCTAATAACTTTTTTTAGCAGGGGTCTGGTCACTTTTTCAATTTCGCCGCATATTATTTCTCAAATTTCCGATTTTCTCAAAATTATGCAACATTTCATCAAAATCTCTAAATATTCCAGCTAATAACTTTTTTTAGCAAGGGTCTGGTCACTTTTTCAATTTCGCCGCATATTATTTCTCAAATTTCCGATTTTCTCAAAATTATGCGACATTTCATCAAAATCTCTAAATATTCCAGCTAATAACTTTTTTTAGCAAGGGTCTGGTCACTTTTTCAATTTCGCCGCATATTATTTCTCAAATTTCCGATTTTCTCAAAATTATGCGACATTTCATCAAAATCTCTAAATATTCCAGCTAATAACTTTTTTTAGCAAGGGTCTGGTCACTTTTTCAATTTCGCCGCATATTATTTCTCAAATTTCCGATTTTCTCAAAATTATGCGACATTTCATCAAAATCTCTAAATATTCCAGCTAATAACTTTTTTTAGCAAGGGTCTGGTCACTTTTTCAATTTCGCCGCATATTATTTCTCGAATTTCCGATTTTCTCAAAATTATGCGACATTTCATCAAAATCTCTAAATAATCCAGCTAATAACTTTTTTTAGCAGGTTTCTGGTCACTCTCTCAATCTGAATTTCTATACACGATTCAGTCTTTAAAATAAAAGAGAGTATTTGCAAAAGTTTGTGTAGTTACAGTTCCAGTGGACACATAAGAATTACTAGAAAGGCAAAGGTTTTAAAAAACACGCAGAGCTTTTTCTTAAAAAACATTCAATATTTACAATTTACAAACTATTTACAACTATGTCGTTGTCGCTTTCTACTATCTCGCTTTCCTGTTCTTCGTCGTCGGTTGTTTGTTCTGCTTCATCAGGACTGCTATAATCAGACTGATCGCTCGGCTTTATTTGAATGTCTGAATACTTTAAATCTGAATACTCTTCATTGTCAGAGTTCAAAAATCCAGCATCTTCAAAATCCTTGATGCAGACTGCCGCGTAGTGGAATAGCTCCCTAAGTTCCTTTCGAAGCATGGCATGGGCTCCCTTGTCAAGACGAGTTATAGGAGATATCATCTGTAATGAACTTTGCACTTTCTTTATTTCCTTTCTAACGTTTTGCAAAACATTTCGCATTTCACTTATACAGTGTTCTTCTTCTTCTTCATTTCTTTTCCATGTAACATAGATATCTATAGCCTTCCTTTTCACTTCAAGTGGAACGGTGTTTGAAAATTGCTCGTTGTCGATTGAATAAATCTTGGATTGTAGACATAATGCTTCCTGGAAGCTAATCCTCGTTATCTTAACTTTCGCTTGAATTTCCACTTCCTGCAGTTCTTCATTGAATACAGAAACTGCATTTTTAATTACTTTTACTTTAGCACTTATGCTACGGCTCAGAGACTTCGCAACTTTTTGTCCCTCTGAAAAATAAACATGATCCAATGAAAAGTTGGCAAAAAGATTTAAAGGAGTCATCACTAAACAACATCAGTAATAGCAAAATAAACAATCTAAGTTGAATTGCAAAAACTAATACATACTGCAGTATTTCCTTTTCAGGGTTAATAAGAACCATCGTTCAAAAGCCAAAGCTCTCAGCTTTGAAATCAACTCTGCGCGCCTTTCATTCATTGCCTGTGACACCAAGTCTTTTCGAGCATTTTTTCTGATTGACCATCTTTTTTCAACATTGTTTTTCTTTTCAATGGCTACGAGACGTTTTTCCACGCTAAAAGAAAAAGTTCCAACTTCTTTAGAAGGGAATTAGACTTTTACTATCAAAAATAGATATATATATATACTTTGTCAGCTCTGTCATGAGTAAGGAAGCTGGCTCGGTGCTGACATCATTACACACGTCACTGGATCACGCAGTATATAAGATAATGTACAGTGAAGCGTACCTTTTCAACTGCCGCAGCTGCGGCAACTCATCTGCTTCATTAGGGTTTTCATTCTGCAGTATCTTCTTACTGCAAAACAAGAAACTGTCTAAGGAAGCACCAATCTCTTAAAAGACCAAATTATGCAGTAAATTTTAAAATGTGTAGAACTCATCAACAAAACACAAAAAGAACAGAAATTGACTAAAATATATCCTGTAGTGCAGTGGGAAAGCCTGTATTCACTGCATTATAACATATTATGGCCATGTAAGACACCTGTGATATTTTCATTGTGTAAAAATAAAAAAAACGACAAACCTCAAGCAAATATGTTGTACTAGACATTGAATATAATCACAACGCCAGCTGTAAGAGTCACCCAAAACCAAGGCTAAAATATGGTTGAAATATAATCAAGGAAAGGCAATACTGCTTTTGAACAAAAAATTTCATTCATAATTGGCGATGATGGAAAAAAATAATGGGCCATAGTTGGTGGTGCTTGAAGAACATTATTTCAGTGTAATCTACTGCACTGAAACATTCCTTCGGAGCTATAACCGGCTACTATGAAGCCCCCAAAGGGATATTTGTATGTCACTTACTTTTCTTGTTCTTTATAAGTGATTCTTTCATCTCTGTCATCCATATTTCGATATCGTCATAGCCATCTGAAAGTGAACATCGTTCAATTATCTATGCTAGATAACATAATAATGACAAGGTGCCACAAGCCCTATGTTATCTTTTGAAAAACGTATCTGAAACATAAATACGAAACCCGTCAAATAAATGATGTGAAAAGAGTAAACCGAATAAACTTGATGAGTTAAGGTTATAAAATATGGGATTATACATAACTATGGATTAATCCCTCAATGCATGTAAAATATGTACCCTATCACTGAAAAAATATGCTGTCAAAACATTATAATTATGAAATGAGAGAAAAATAAAACATAATCCACATTACATATTATCTTGTTTTCGTTTAAAAAGTATATAACCAATTTAGGTTCTGTTTGTGTTATATATGTTTTTAATTATACCTTTTCGTAAACAGCTAAGATAAGATAAGTCCATAATTTTCTTGGGGTCGTGCATATTACAGAATTTTTATAGTATTCTTCTTTTGTAGAGCACAAATAAAATAACAAAAGGTTAAGATACTTAAAGACTTTGGTTTTATGGTATGATCCAAATTTTTAAAAACAAATTTGTTAATGAGAAGCAACAAATTAAGAAAAAAACAATTAGACATATCAGTATAAATCTTGCAAAGTGGTATTGTTGCAACTCACAGTTCCTAGTTGAAGCCTTGTTGACCTCTTGCAGTAATTTTGTCAGCTCCTGACTGGCAGCATCCTTTGCATTTGATGCTTTGTTAATTCTCCTAACGATAAGAGATGCTGAAAAAAGACAGAAATCCGATAGAATCATTTGAATACGGGTAAAAAACACATAATATAGTTATAATCTTAAATCATTCCACGAAAAATATAATGGAAAAAAGGATCAATTAGAATTATGACTCCAGCAGCAACAGCTAACTAATCTTGAATGCCTCCAGCTGCAACTGCTCTTAAGTCATACATTGGTCAATTACTTCCTATTTATGTTTTTCTTCATCAATGATAATAACAACTTCACAGAATGTTTTACCCACATAATTTCCGTTCAGATTTGCGGCCATAGTAAAGAATTGCATCTGTTAGTGCATCATGGCGGTTTGCTTGAGTCATTTCTTTTGTCATTGCGCAAAATCCTCGTAAATAGGACCACAGACGTTCACACTGCTCTCCATCTGGTTTTCCAGATCCCTCAATGTATTGTTGTGCAAACTTTATCTAGCAATATGTACAAATAGTTGAAAGGTTGATTGGAAATGAATATAATGCTATTAGGATTAACAACAAGGACTAAAACTTCCTTTTCATTTTTCTTTCCTGTTTGATGCTACATTGCATAATTCTTAACATAAAAATACTATAAATTCCATCACATAAAATTGGTAGCCACATATCCACAAGACTACTAGAATACCCTTTGATAATGAATGTGACCACTGTGAGGAGAATACGAAAACAGAGCATACTTGGCAAGGTGCAGAATGTGCATATGCATGAAAGGATGGCAGGATCAGAGTAATCTTCTCAAGCAGGTCTTGTCTTCCTAAATTCTGAAGAGGTAAAGAAAATTATGATTTAATTCTTGAAATTCATCTAACAAAACATTATAACTTCTTTGAATGCTCTTGAAAAATAAAACTATAATTCAATAAAATATCATAAATATCAACCAAAATGATTCATCTGCAAAATCATATCTAGAACAAGGGAAAATTGACATCTGGGAAAATTTTTGACAGACATGCAAATAATATATATTTAAATATGATTAAGCAGAAGTAGCAGCTTTTACCCTCAAATGACTGGATAGTTTACAAGCAATATCATATGAGATATTGATACTGATCTTCAGTGTATCTATCGTATCCAAAATATTCTGGATCAAGTAGACAGAGTATCCAAGCCTGCAGATAAATATTGAATTGAATTGAGGTACTACAAACACAACAAGAGGAAGTTTCAAATCAACAAAATCAGAATAAAAAATGTGCTGTAACTTTTAATGATTTAAAACATGAAAGAACTAAATGAACAATAAGAACTTCACAAGCTAGATTGCACACAGTTTCTTTGATTTCCCATTGGATGATAAATTGAAACACTCTGTACTAGAGATTGGAAATATTACATACCTCTCACCATGCTTTAAGTTGACAAATCTATATGGTGTCTCATGTTTACAAACACTTCCAAATATTGCTTTCTCATCAAATAGCTTGTCCTTTCCTTTTCCAGTCATAACATCCAATGGACCCAGGGATCCCGCAGTAAAATCATTGCAGTCCTTTGGTAAAAGCATATAAAGCTTGTTACAAGAAAGAAAAATTACCCCTTCCTGGTAAAAAACACACTAATACTAATTTGCAGGTTGTGCAAAGTTTTGCACTGTTAAGTTTGAAATGAAACATGTTTTTTATGCTTACATTTTCCCCTGCATTCTTTGTTCTCTGTGTCTTTGGGTACTCTTCTATGAATTTGTCAATGACAATTTGATCCTCAATTACAAGGTTTCCATGACGGGGCGGAAGATCTAACATACCACGTGTCTTTCTCCTGTGCAAGCCAAAACATGCATCAAAACTCTGGAACAATGAGCCTTCAACCTTAAAAATGAAACATTAAGTTAAATTTGAGGAAACAAACAAGATTTTGAGATATATAGCTGAAATTACGATATGTTGGTGAGACCATTAAAACTGACATGGCCATTAAAATGCATCATATTTTCTATGTGAATTCTACAATAACAATACCACATAAGACAAGTAAATAGCTGAAATTTTGGCAATAACCAAAATTCATATTTTTTTACCACAATTCATAAATCATGCTTAGCTATTTCTGGTATTTATTAAAAAGTGCCATAAATCAAACAAAAAAGATAACAGTATGTTCCTGATTGCAAACCTAGCTTGAGAAACAAATGAGTTAAAAGTAAAGTTGAAAATTTAGTACTAACACTTGGACAAGCAAGGCATGATGTGCCGGCTTTTCTATCTGGGCAAACTTTTCTTGTGTATCTGATCCTGTATCGAAAATATCTAAACAGAAAAAAGCCTGAGAATTCAAGACAGCTACACTAACTTTAGTGAATTATTCTATATCTTGCATTGATACTACATGGAGATTGAAATTGTTGTATAATGATGTAAAAATTAGCTTTTTGTACATATATATACAGTATTATCTCTTGCAAAATTTATATTGCTTAACATTTCAATTACAAGATAGAGATAATATAGAAAAAGCCCATCATTTTAGATATCAAGTATTTATAAGTATTTTAAAACATTTTACATACCTATATTCCGCAAAAGACTCACTGTTCAGTGAAGAAGCAAGGTTTACCTGAAAATTCAAAGAATATTAGACATTATATTGTGTGATCATTTGATAAGTTTCTTGCGTACAACTGAAATCACATATAACAGATAATATTTATGCTAGCCAATGATTTGTCTACAGCAATTATACAGATAGGTAATGGTTGTGGAAAAATTGGTAATTATCATTCTCAGCCATCTGGATGATCCCACAGTCATATGCATAGTTGTAATTCAGTGTTAATACAATAATGTATCAGTTTGAGCAACAGGACCAAGGATAACCTAACAGGTCATGTCAAAAGTCTATTATATTTTTGGCAAATAAAATTTTCATTTATTGGTAATTCTGTATAAATACAAAGAGGCCTAAGTGTATATTCAGATTAAATGAAGCAGGTATTTAGAAGAACAAAAAGATCAAATTTACTGCTGGTAGCTTTACCCTAAACTCTTTTCAAAACGTGTTTAACTGATTCTCTAAAGTTATCACAGGTACTCACCATTTGTGGCAAAAGTGGAGAAACTCTTTCTTTTAATGCACTGACAAAACTGCTGATTGAAACTTTGCATTCTAAGAACAGGGCCTCTAATAAGTCCATTAATTCAAGACAAAATGCCACCTTTGGTAGAGTTGGACTTGCTGGCCACAAACCACATCGTACAAGTGTTTCTGCATCATTCAAGCATGAACAAAAGCAAATCTGGCAAAGTCTTTGGATCCCTGGAAAAAATAAATTATTACAATAAACTCAGTTTCCCCATATAAAGCATAGGATGACAAAAATATTGCACAAAATCATCAGGCTTTATCAATAACTTTAGATGCCTACTGCATGAGCAAATAATCAGGGAAATGTTTGCTTGCATTAAAATGCTCTGATTGAAGAAAAAGTGTGACAAAATGATGTGTGATGATATTGATTTGTGGCTGAAAGTTGATTTGTGGCTGTGGCTTACCGTTTGGATTCAGTACTGTAACACTCCTTATTGATGCAATACAATTATTGTCATGTGCTATCATTTTTGTGATGTCAAAGACTGGTGTAAACCCATTAAATGGAACAAAACATCCATCCTAAAAACATTAAGAATACATAAATACAGTGTAGACTTGTGAAAAAAGAATGCAGCAAAACAAAAATACACTGCATATTGATGTTAACTTTTGGCAAAACCAAGACATCAGCCAACATCAGTCCAAAGTCAACAGCCAACAGTCAATAACTCAAGACATATCATGTTTTCTGTCCTAACATTGGCAAAAAGTTAGGATTTGGTTTAGTACCTGATTGATCTAGATGGAAAAAACTACAAATACATTGATAAACAGGCAATACAGGAAAATATTGTCTGATCCTTGACAAATAAGATTTGCTCTTATGCCCTTTTGTTTGAAGATTGCATAATGAAAGCAGTAATAAGAAAATGAAAACCAGTAATAATAAAAAGTAATAATGACAACCAACATATTGGATGTTTTGTACAGAAATTTTTTTGTTTGAATAGTCAGCAGATGATCTATAAATTTTCAAAATTGAAAATATTTGGAAAACTTCACTGCGTCTTTCAATCAAAACCAGAGTATAAATTGGCTTTGGTGCTGGCCTAAGTTCTTGACATTCTTGTTATGGTTTGCTGTCAAATAAGTAAAACTTTAATCATACACTTGAATAAAAAGGCAAATATCTTACCTTCCACTCTTCAATAAAATGCAGTCTGTTTCTTTCCCTGTGCAATTGTGTGGCACATTCAAGACAGAAAAACTGACCCGTCCCACAGTCAATACACCTCAACTTGGCATTCAAATGGCAAGTTACACATTGCTGATCAGACCTTAAGGCAGAAACTTCGATTGCTGCATCGATCATTGATGCTTGAATCATTCTCCATCTTTTATTTTCCATCTCTTTCCTTTCCTTATATGTTTTCTTTTTGGCTTTAGAGAATCTATAGGGAGAGTGAACAATTTCAGCACCTTAACTGCTTGATCTAGAGTTTTTCCAGCATATTTACCACAAAACTAAAAATAAATATGAACGCTGTCTTAGATGTGACCCCAACTGCATTGGAAACAGGGCTTTGATGATGGGCTCAACCACAATCAATATTTTTTAGGCATGTGCGTCGTGTTTAGACACTGCAGAGAGAGTTAGGTTGAAAAAAATTGTATTACGTACCCAATTGGAAATCCCTCTGTTTCCTGGCTACTTTCGGCATCTGGCTGAGTCTGGGGAACTTCGGCACTGGCATCATGTCTTAGGCCGATACCACTTACAACGCTGTAAAGAGCACTTCTGTTATAGCTTGGTCTTATCTTCACCCTTTTTTTCGATTTGACCATGTGAATAATGGTGCTATCATCAAAAACTTTTGGTTTTTTCCGTGACCGAGAAGCCATGCCAGATCGACGAGATCGGATGGGTCCACATCGGCTAGGCCTTCTGGTCGTCAACCTCTTTAGCAATGTAATGCAAAGCCGCATGCGCGTCAAAAAATATGCGAACACCTGGTTTCAAATAGTTTGTAATGGCAAACCAGGTGTTACCCATGATTAATCTGAACTTGGGAATATGAAGTTCAAAAGGTGTACATTCCACAAGGTCTGGGCCCACGATTAATCAAATGATTAGTGTGGATGTACACCATTGATTAGAAGTGGAACGGGTGGTACGAAAACAATATGTATAAATGGATTGTAATTAAACACGGACCTGAAAATACAGATGAATATTTTCAAAAATCCATAAAACAAAATCATCTGGTATGAATCATTTACAATTACTTGTTATTTCAATACCGAAAACGAGCAATACTAAAAAATTGCACTTTCAGATCTACTAACAGAAATTCGTGCCAGTACCCCGTTTCTTGCAATCAAATGGTCCGCGCAACTCGTTCTTTGTAGGACGGGGGATGCTTCACTGTTAGAAGAGCTTTGTTTTTTCGTCTTCAAACAAAAAGGCCTGTTCAAGATATTTTGGCTGGAAAGGACACCATGCAATACGAAAGGTGATTTGTGACATAAATATTTTTAAAATGGCATATTTTTAAGTTTTTGCAACCACTCTGCAGGGACCAATGAACATAAAGGACACAAACACAACTGAAATTTTTTTCAGAGCAAATAGTTGTGAGGGCTCTAAATAAAAACAATGGAAATTAGATTCTACACCGTAAAAATAATTTGTTTGGCAATAATCTTTGCAGCAGGGTCAAATGCGATGAACACATCTTTCTTGCCCACTTTTTTGGACCTTTAAAAGTTTAAAGAATCAGGTTTTCACTTGTTTTCGTGGAATTGTATAGCAGATCAAAACATTCCATCAAAGGGATCCCTGACTCGATTTAAATGTCATTTCAGATGCCGTAATAAAAAAGTCTAAAATGACCCAGCTTCCAAGCAATATTTTGTTTGGCGTATGAAATCAGGCGAAAGTAAACATACCAACATTAAATAGGCAAAAGCGACCAGAAATATCGACCAATTCATCAACAGCGTGTCTTTGTATCGCTTTGTTAATAACCCAACACCAATTCCTTGAATTACCTGAAATAAACATATATTTCATTGATAAAAAAGCACCGGGAAATAAAATATTCGATTGTAGACCTGTTTCGTCCAATATCAAGGCTCATAAATACAGCTAAGATTAATATCCTTTCTTTATTATTTTATCTTAAGTAGGTGGGATATATACTTAGACTTAAGCTTATTAGAGTTAGTTTTCTTAAATAAACATCGCACTATATATTCCGGACATTTATCGCTCGAAAGATCAATAGTACAATGGCACGATAAAAACTCTGAGATCTTTTTCTTGTCTCGAATATTTTAAAGTTGGGAAGCATTTTAGTTTGTTGGGAATACGTGCAGTTCCATATTTGGCTATATCTATAGGATACAATATCAAATTCACAAATTTTGTAACGTGGCTCCGTTGTTTTAAACTTAGGGTTTCTTACCTTATGTGGGTATCTACCATTGGAAAACATTCTATTCACAAAATATGGATTTAAACTGTTAAATGTTAGATTTGTCCATCTCAAAACATGGTAAATTTTCTATGAAAGTTGATAGCTACATTCTTTATCAAAAGTTGTCTAACATTTCATTGACATCTTTCAAAAACGATTGAATGTGGACATGAAGCTGCTACAGGGCAGATCATTCGGCTTTCAGAGACAGTGAAAATGGGAGGTAGTATTGAAAGGAAAAAGATCCACATGAGACTCGAACTGTTTTTTAAGAAACGTCACCAAGTGAGACACAAAGCAGTTCTTTTAGAGGCTTTAGCAGACTATGGGCAAGTCAAGTTAACCCTGTCTGCCTCCCATTTTATGCAACTGACAAAGGGCAAAAATAACACTGTCTTAAACCAAAGGAACCGTGTAGGACGGTTACCAACAGTCTTAGCAAGTGGTCTGACTAATTACTATTATAGGTCCTGTGGTCATTTGACTGTATTTTTCGTGGGAAAATAATTTCCAGTTCCAAACTGGCTGTGGATGGAAACTACAAAATTCTTTGCAGCCAGTAAAAAATCAAAATAATCTGCAAGACTAGCAAGAATTACTGCCTATTTTCCAACAATTGGCATTCATCTTTTGAGCTAGCATTCGTAAGCCGATTCACGTGAGAGAAGAGCCAAGATTGCGATAAATTACCTCCTCAGTTGCATGGAAAATAAACCTTATATAAGTGCTTAATTTGGTGATTTATGTGGTTAATCGTCTTAAAGAATGCGGGCACAAAAACTCCTTATTTCTTTAGCGGGTGTGAATAATTTGTGGATGGGCAATAAATGCTGGAACACTACCGCTGGGATGAGATGATATCCAGGGCCATTCATTCTGTTCCAAAGTTTACTAATCATAACATAAGGGCTCCTTTAATCAAACAATTTCATATTTTGCTTCTCTATAATCTACACAATGCACTTGTTCTAATCGAAATCTCAACAAATTGCGCCGAGATACATTCGCATACAACTAAGGCATGCATTCGCCGAACCCAAGGCTCTTCATTTCTCGGTACCTTACCACGTGACTTGCCTCACTGAACAATTGCAAATGAAAAAAGCTGAGATCAGTTGCTTTCCTTTCAAAGCTTGATTCTCAACTCTCATAGCCAGAAAAAGCAGCAATCTTCCATTGCCATGATAAATTATTGGTTGATACAACCACCCAATTTATTTTTTAGCGAAAGTTTGCATTAAAAGAGGGGAAAAACAACTATTTCAAATCAGGGAAGACGTTCAGCTGCAGCATCACTGAAAAAGTGCTGGCTAAGTGTGAAAGCTTTTTATGTAAAAATTGCAACAACTATACCAATTTACTCACTATTCCAAGTATGCCAACATAGGACAAAACAAATCCATTTTCTCGTGGGCCAAGCTTGAAATACTCCATTGCAACTATTGAAAACATTGACTGGAAGATACCAAATGGGATTCCACAAATACACTTGATTGCAAGGAGGTATCCTACATTTGGGAGACTTAAAATTCGTAGTATTTTCTTGACATTGAAAATGGAAGAATCTTCTTTCGTTTCGTCTGAAAAGGGCAAAATATCGAGTTTTAAGGAAAATAATAAAAGTTTAGTAATATGGTATGACTGCATAAGTATACTGAAATCAGAAATAGCTATATCCTTAATGGTTGTAGGCACATCTATAGGAAAAGACAAAGACTTATATACAATAAATACTTGTAGGTATACAGGGCATGGTACTTATCATGGTAAACTACAAAACTTTTTGCCAGGTCTCGAGACATTACGTCAGGGATCCAGCACAAAAGGAATCTGGAAAGCAGCCTGCCACTAGAAGAATTCTCAACAACATACAAATAGTTGTAACAATAAAAAAAATTGGGCTCTGTCAATGACCTATATGCTCAGATTATACAGAAAAGCCTCAAATGGTGTGTGGCGAATGAAGAAACTGTCGCGAAAGCAAAATGAGAGAAATGTTGAAAGAATAGTGGGGAGAGATGAAAAGGTAGTTTTCTGAGTTACAAGCATTGTGTTTTCATCTCAATATTGGGGTTACACAGTGGATGAGATAAAGCAATCAAGTACATTAAACAAATTAGCTACAAATATGTTTTTTTAAGTATGGTATAGAAACTTCAAAAACACTGCGAATATTACTTTCACAACTAACCATCTTTAATCTTTTTTTCGTCTGGTTTCTTGACAATATCTTTCGTATTTCTTGGTATAAGAGCAAGGACTAGGAAGACGCTGAGCAACGATCCTATAGCTGCGGTGGCAGCAGCCGTTTGTTCATTTGCTGCTGAGGTTATAAGGCCTCCCAAGAACGGGCCAATAATCATCCCTACTCCATATGATATGCCCAGTTTGCCAAGGGCAGCTGCTCTTTCTAAGGATAACAGGGGCAGAGTCAGTAACAAGGAGTCAGTCTGGAGGTGTGATTAAATTGATCAACGATTTTTGCACAGTGGGTCATGGCTTTTCACTAAAAAGTCTTTTGGTTGACGATGAAAGTCATTGTCAACCAATACCAACCAAAATTTCATAACAACGAATGTATCGAGCCATGTTTTCCAGCATAATTAAAACAAGCTAAGTTTTGTTAGTTTATTGCATTCTTCTTGAAACACTCAAAATATTAGCTTAATATATTTTCAATAGTTGGATACATTTTATTACAGGAATCATGCCTCTTAATAGTTTAGTGTATCATTCTTGTTTGGTTGTCCCCAAGCACTGATGGCCCTTTCCAAGATAGGTATGTTTGGAAATTATTTAAGAACAACTCCTATGCAACAAGGTTAGATAGATCTGAGAAGAAGATGTTTGCAAATGATGTTTTCTAATTATTGTATTATGATACATACCTTCATGAAGGCTTACATCAGTAATAACCATTTGTGACCCTGTTAAAAAAATATGAATCCAAAGGTAAGGATATCTCTAAAATCAAGAACTGAAGTTTACTTTTGACTCAAGTGTAACCTAACACCTCCCAAATTTATACTACATTAGAGCCAACAGCAAACACCTTAGAAAAGCCACTTTTTTGGAAAGTCTGGGGATCTGCACCAGTGGCGTAGTGTAGTGTGAGCTGTTGACGTGGGTATCAGCGCTGGGTATGGCCAGCAGGCAACACCCCTGTGGTTGACCAGGGTGGGGCTGTAGAAGAGGGGGGCTCAGTCCCTTCTACTTTTCAAAGGGAGGCTGCACCGCTTCCTCCTTTTTCTGGGTAATTCTAAAATATCATGGCTAATTTCTGCCATGGTCAAATATTTGATTGAGCCAATCTATTACTTTTTGACATTTGCATTCATACATTTGTTTGAATACCTACAGTCAATATATACATTCGTTTAATACCTACAGTCAAGGCTGAGGGCAGAAGAGGGGTCGGGGTGGGGCCTTGTTTTGTGTCGTTTTAACCTTGCTGTTAAAAGTGCTAGCATTGGAAATGATGCTAAGAGTCCCCGCAATAAATTATAGATTATTGGTGGTATCGACTCTGCCTATAGTGCGCATATAAATCTACAAAACTTAATGACTGTACGAATAATATACTTCTATTGCAGTGTTCTCTAGGCAGGACTTCTATAATCTATCCTGCCCCCCCCCCCCCCCCCCTATCATGTCATGTTCATATTCGAGTTGATTAGAGAATGATTTCTAAACTAAACAACAATCCCATATCCTTTATAATGATTTAATGTTGCCAGATATATGAATAATTGATAAACCATATCAAGGCAAAATGGGTACCCTGACAAGGCAGATCCCTGTAGGCCCCCATACTATAACTCTATTTGAGTGCCCTTCCCTTCAGTTTTGGTACTAAGGTTGAAATGATGAAAAATAGCATTTAAAATTTTACATTTTGCTTTTCTATAATCTACACTATGCACTTGTTCTTATCTAAATCTCCACAAATTGCGCCGAGATGTCCAAATCCAAATCTCCACAAATGGCAGCAATCTTCCATTACCATGATAGATTACTAGTTGATACAACCACCCAATTTAATTTCTAGCAAAAGTTTGCATCAAAAGCGGGAATAAACAACTGTTTTGAATCAGGGAATGCTGTCAGAATTCCGTATTCCTGGAAACGAGATGTGCTGCAAACAAAGGTTACTAGCCAGAATCCACTGATCTCAATAGAAAGTGTTCTTTAAAAACAGGGATACAAAGTACTCATAAAGATATGGAAGTACTAGAATCTAGGGTGTACTCATTGAACTGCAATGGGTGGTGGAGCAAGGATGCAACAAATTGGATTTTATTTACTTATGAAAGCAGCTGTTTTCTTTCAAAAACACCTGCCTTTTGGGAGGGTGAGGTGACATCCAAACAAGGACATGCAACTTCTCAGAATATATAAATAATTAGAGACAAAATGTAAGTAGTTGCTAGAAGATTGTAATTTCTGTAAATTTATCTTTTCCCGTCCCTTCCTTTAATAGCCTTCCATGTTTTTTCAAGATAAGAAATCTTAATTCTACTGTCAAAACACAAGAATAACTTAGCATTTTTGAACTTACAAGTTAAAGAGACTGATTTTATTTTAAATATTTCCTTGATGCGTGTGAATATGCCAAAAATTTGAGAAACATAAATTTGACAGTTCATTATACTTCTTGACAAAAATGCTGATAATTCTATCTAAAAAAATAATTTGTTCACCTTGCATACTATGCATTCCCACAGAAGGGATTCTAGACAGAAACAGCAAAGGTATTGAGTTGGCAATTGCGAGCAAGGAATAAGCCATTGATGAGGCAATGAAAGCTAGCAAAAGAGCTGCTTTGCCTCCAAATATATCACCAAATCGTCCATAAAATGGCCCACCACAAAGCTGAACAACAGCAAATGTTGTTTGTAGATAACCAAAAACGACTGGATCAACACCAAGTTTCTTTGTCAAATACTAAAAAGACAATAATGTCACTTCTCATACTTCTACTCATTGAAAATAAGTTCATGAAGAATTTCTGCATATGTAGAATGATTAAAAATGGTGATGCCAGAGCTTTTCAAATCAGGAGGAGAGTATCATCTAGAGAAACTCAATCTACTCACAAAATGCACATAGCAAAGTGGTATATACATGTTCTCTAATTTAGTTATAGAGAGCAACTTTTTCAACTTGTGACAATCAGATGGTTCTGATGCTGACCAACACAAGTTAATGTTTTTTATGAATACTATTCTAATTCATGAGCATTTCAAAATTTCAAAGAAAACGTTGTTTAGCAACATTCCAAAAATGGTGATCTTTTAAAATTTTCCAGTACCCAAAAAAATTTATGTGCAGCCCTATCTTCTTATGTGCATTAGACAAGCCTCTGAAAACAATCTTGCGTGTGCACACTCTGCAGACTTGATGGATGATCTGAGCGTAAAGTATCCCCATGAGTAGTTTTGGGGCGGTTGTATTTCAAAGACAGAGACAGTGGCAATTGGAATTAACTGCAATTTGTGTAGTGAGATGAGCATTATGATAGAGCTATAGCTCCGTTCTCCCTGAAATAAACTTATTCAATATGTCTGCTGCAAGAATGGGGTAAAAATTACTAGACGTACCATTTGGCAGATAGGATAAGGTAGCTTACCGGCATTACACCTATCTGGATCCAGAAGCATGTTGCATAAAGAGCCACGTTTAAGTGGGTCGCCATTACGGTCCTCATCTTCGATTCACAGCATTTTTTTAACACTGTTTCTTTATCTTTTTCCCCGCCCATACCAGAATTCTCTTGAAGTAGGGCCTCCTCCTCAGCCCTCCCCTCTCGGTCCCCAGAAGACGTATCTCTATCTTTATCTTCGTTTACATCCAGATCATTTTGATCTGAAGATTTTTGCATTCTCCTCATTGCGAAGATCTTATTTTTGAATGATTCACCACCACATGGACAGGACACGTACCAGTTGTGTTTTCATTTAGCTGTTAGCTGTTACTGTTATTGAATTGAATGGGCCGAAAATGCGAACGCATGCGCCTCAAGGACACTCACTGGACAACTTTATCTCAAACAGGACCCCTTTAAGTCAGTTCTGGGCACTACACTACACAAGGATCAACATCGACAAAGATATATCACAAAAGCTAGAAATGTAAAATTCAAAGGCCTTCCCCCGGACGAAAATCTTGGCTTGGAAGTAACTCTATAAAAAACTGTCTAAAAAATTGATGGCTACACCTTTTTTGTTAATAAGATTGTTATGAAAATTTTTCCAGCCTCTATATTCTTGAGAAATTTTAGCTTTGAGCCTAAATATATTTTTAGGGTATTTTTGTTTTTTAGGGTCTACTGTTTTTGAAAGTCCTCTTTTTGAGAAAATGAGATGTGTCAGGCATGCGATTCTCTGTACCCTAGGCTCTGATACCCATAGGCACTGCGGAGAAGGGGTACTGGAGGGGGGCTTTAGCCCCTCTATTCGTCAAAAGAGCAAAATATTAAGAAATGAGCCTACAGTCAGTCAAGCCTGCCTAAGTTCAGTTCAAGCCCCTTTTTTAACTGAGATGACTAGCATTTGTTTGTGGAGATATTAGTCCTTTCCAAATGCAGGTATCGTCAGTGATGTGCCTAGACAATTTTGCTTGGGGGGCGTTCAGATAACAAATTGACCAACTTTACTTTCTTGACCGACTATTTTTCAATAGGAAATATATTAGCAATGAAATAAATAATCATTTATACGCTTAATGATAACAAAGACTATATATGAATATACAAGGAAATCAGGTTTGTGGATTTTGCGTTTCTAGCGTACTAATATTTCTGGATTTTGCGTTTTTAGGTGAATCCACGAGCATCTTTTGCGAAAACCAATTTTTGGTTAATCTGCAAACATTAACTAACAGCTTCTTTTCAACTCTTCATAACAATGATTTCAGTTTACAAAATTTTCGCTAATCTATAGGATTTTATAAGGCTTGCATGGCAGCAGGGCTGGAGGGCCGCTGACAGGTTTCAAAGGCTCTGGGGCAACACGGAAAGACGAGGCCCCTGCGAGCGGAGCGAGCAAACAATTTTTGTGACCACACCTTTAAGATTAGCTTAAAATACATCTCAGAAAATTTCTTGCAGTCATTTTTCGCAGTCATTTCTTGTAGGCATTTCTTATAGTCGTTAGCTTGCTACTTATAGCATGCTATTTGCAATACACTCTTTTTTGTACGGACCAGTAAACTTAAGTTCAGGCTGACTGAAAATCTGAGGCTGGATTGCTGGCGTTTTAACTCTAGGGAGTTGTTCAGGCATCAATTGCCAACAAAGTGAGTGAGGCAACCTTTATTTGCAGAAAAAGCACCCACACATGGTTGAAAGTCCTCGTTTTTGAGATAAAAAGTTTTTTATAATTGCATTTTACAGTAGCTCAGTCTCAACTCGTTCTTAATTTGTTCTTAACTCTTGACCAAGTTTGAGACTCATGTTCTTATAAAATTGCTTTTATAAAAAAAGAAAGCGGACTACGATCAACCACGAAGAACAAAATAATTGAATTATAGGTTAAAATCTGGCCGTGGCCCCCTCAGCTTTCAAAATTTGACGGATTGTCGGAAACATCTTTGTTTTGTCGGAAAATTCCCAAATTTGAGCAGTGGGTAATTCTCAAACTTTCAGCGACGTCAATTACTTGGACTAAAGTACTTACCGTGATTTCGAGGAGCAATTTACATTTTTTAAGAAAATACTAGTTTCCAAAAATCAAAATGATTTGCTGCTCGGATATTGTCAGCTAAAATCCGAATTTGCAAGGCCCAAACTTGGCTATCGAAATTGGTCAAGATTGGTCATAATTTAAGACCCTGTTTACACGGGATCGGATCTGAAAAATTTGCCTTTACACGGGATCGGATCCGTACGCGTATGGATCCAAATTGCGCAGATTTATGTGCTCACTCCAATATTGAAATTTTGGTGGCAATTATTCAACCTTAGACAGGAGAAAATAATCGGTCCTTTTTAGCGATTGAAGCTATTGTATCTACCTTCATATTTTTGTCTTTTTGTTTCTAAATAAGATGCTCCTTGGATTTGTTTATTTTGTTTTCAAGCACAATTTATCAACCTCCTTATTCATTTTTATAAAGCAGACACTTTGATAAATAAATTTTATTGCTGTGGATAAACCAAGTCGAAAGATTCGAAACAATATATTTCCTACAAAGTACTTCGAAGTTGACATCTTCCGCCAAATTTTGTATCCGTCCCTGTTTCGATCCGATCCCAACCATTTACACGAGACCTTTTTGGGATCGGACCCAAATGGGACCATCTTCAAAAGCATTCCAAACAGGTACGGATAGCAGATCCAAATGCGATCGGATTCGCCAGGTCCCGTGTAAACGTAAAGCCAATCCGTACCACTTTGGGTACGGATCCGTTTGGATCCGATCCCGTGTAAACAGGCCTTAGGTTTTTAATTGATATTGAAGACCGGGACAGTGCCAATTTTGTGCTTGAAAATTTTGTCCCAGATTTGAAAATTTATGCAAGTTATGTTGCATAAGGTAAAATAAGAAAAGAGACGATCAAAACCATCGCTTTCCTCCAGTGGATATTTAATTTTAAGAATAAGATTTTATCGTTAAAATTTGTTTCAAAGAATGCAACATCCTGCGAATTTGAAGCATTAGATAATAAAATGCTTCTCTTCGGCGGCAACCATGGTAGCATTAGTTATGGCTTGCCTAATCGTGTTCAAAGAAACATTTAGTTATGGCTTGCCTTATCGTGTTCTTTCGCACCCTGATTCTGACGTTTTATGCTCTGAGGAGTGTCAGACGAAAAAGCGAAAATCACAACTGGTGGAGGACCCGGGCACAGTTGTGGTAGGTCGTAACGGTAGAGCGTTGAGAAAACAGAACACCACTTTCTTCTGTATTCAAATCAAAATCAAAACTCCTCTTATTTCCAATCTCTCGATTTATATGCTTCTATTAATTATAATTGACATGTCACGTGATTGCAGTTTACAATATAATTGGTCCTGTTAAAATAGAGGATTGAAAACCATGATCGTCAACATCCAGGAGGAACAAGCCCCTTCGAAGAAGACGACAGATGAAATGATCCATCCTCGAGCTATACACCTTTTATAAAAACCAGTAAACTAATGTTCAGGCTGGCTGGGATCAGATCGAAACAGGTACGGATACAAAATTAGGCGAAAGATATCCACTTCGAGGTACTTTGTAAGAAATATATTGTCTCGAATCTTTCGACTTGGTTTATCCTCAGTAATAAAAATGTTTGAAAAATGCAAATTTTGTAGGCTTTTCTTCGACAACATGAAATGTTGAAAGTTCATAGGCCCCAAAAAACAGGAACTGGTTTTATAATGACCAAATTCACTAATATAGAGCTAATTATAAGAAATATTGTTTCATGTAACGTTATACGTTTTTACGTTTTGTTATGTTTTGTTATGTTTACGTTTGCGTTTACGGTTACGCTTACGGTTACGTTTACGGCTACGGTTACGTTTACCCTTAGACTTGAAAAGGTTTGTGTTCAAGTTATGTTAAAACACCACAAGCAATCAGTACTTGACAGACCAATTACCAGTTTAACCCCCTGTTTCTTGGAAACGCCCAAAACTACTCAAAAAAGTTGGTGTTGTGTTACGATACGCTATACGCTTTGCTATGTCACGCCTACGGTTACGGTTACGCTCGCGTTTCCGTTCACGTTTACGGTTACAGTTGTGTTTACGGTAACGGTTACGGTTGCGATTACGGTTACGGTTACGGTTACATTTGTTTTAACGTTACATTACGTTAAGTTATGCTGAGTCACCACAAGCAATCATCGTCAAGCTTGATAAACTAATCACCCCAAATTTTTGGGGTTTGACACCCTGTTTCTCGGAAAAGCTCCCTTAAACACGTTATCGACATTCGAATTTTTAATCTACGCTCAAAACTACACTATGGCCAATCTCCACTGACGCTTATTTGCAGCATTTGTCTGAATAATTTGCAGAAAAAACTTTCGAGAGGAAAGTGTTCGCGTATAGAAAAATTCGCATAAACAAAAATAGTAACTTTTTTCTTAAACAAAAATTGTATCAGATAGCTCTGAGACAACATCTTTGTCCTAAGAATCTCGCATTAGCTGAATATTGCCCGCAATCAGTCGAGCTTGCAATGAGCAGAATTCTGTACGAATGTTTCAGCAAATACTACATAACAAGCGTCAGTGGAGATTCGGCTTTAGAAAAAGTTTTTATCGTAAGTTCTCCGCTCGGATAACAAAACCCCCCTCCAGCCTCTGGACTTGATAGAATATGCAAGGAAAAGCTATATAGAGTCACCCTTTCGTCCTTCGTGCATAGAGTTCTTAAGCGATGACGTTCAATATTAAATTTTTAGAATATTTGAGTTGGATCTCATGTGGGTATCATGAAATACTTAGAAACGTTCAAAACCAGCTCTATACTTTAAAAAATTGGCAGAGATATGGCATCATAATACAGGCTCTCTCCCCATCAATACTCTATAATTTTATTCTTTAAGACTTTGCAATCGGCAGTTGGTCCACAAAAGCTGTATTTGGTTGCTATAATTCTTTATTACTAAATAGCACCTAAATATTTTTCATTTTAAGTTTGCTACATCGCTTAGCATATATGACCTCCTTCTATCTACGCCACTGCCACTAGAGCAGTTTAGGCACCATAGCAATTTTAGCAACAAAACTAGCCACCAGAGCAATTTCATCAACCATCATTTTCAAAAATTTCTGGGGAGCGTTCCCCCTACCCCCTAGAAGCGTCTGCCTGGGGAGCATTCCCCCTACAAGTTTTACTATTATCTTTCGTCCAGGCCCAGGGCCCATAAATCCTCTCCGCGACCCTGGCTGAACGGCTCTTACTCAAAATGGGAAAACGTCGAGAGCAAAATCCCACAAGGCTGTGTCCTGGGGCCACCTTTTTTACAAGATACACCACTTTATGGCAGAGACAAAGGATTGTAATACCCCTTGCGCAACAAGCTTCGTGTATTGCAACCAAGGGAGATTAACTTGAAGATTCTATAAACATGAAAGAAAAGGGAAATTAGACGACATTTTTCGGTAAGGTAAAATGATAATCTTGCCTTGATAAGAATAGATGACAACCCAATATTGCCTGAAAAGCACTTGATAAGAATATCCTGATAACTCAACTCCAGTGTGATCCCAATCGATTACTAGCAAATAGTATTCCTTTGCTACATTGTGAGCACTAGGGTGTATGATACCCATACCCACTCCCAATACATGCCCCTCTATCGGTATTTCTGGGTTGTCAGAATCAAAAAAGCTGGTTGAAGTGCGAAGAATAGTGGTGCATCAAAACGTCTCAATTTTTAACGATTTGCATAAATAACCTTAGATTAATAAAAAGTTACGAAATAGGATCAGGTTTATGGACATTTGTAAAGTGAAACACGATATCATTAGCCGCAATCTCCATTAATCAGCGGAGGAGCATCTAGAGTTTATGGCCCCAAGCTAACGAGGTTGCAGAGCAAAGAGGGATTTCACGACTCAGTTTCATATTTTTAAGAGCATGACAATATTTCCTGGAAATATCTCTTGAAAGAATTTCAGTTTTTATAAAAATTACATTAGTATTGCACCAATGCGAAGAACTTTTCATTTGGATATAGTGGAGCGCAACCCGACTACAACGGAAGCGGCGGAGGCAGGTACAGGCTAGGCCATTCTCGTTCCTTAGACACCCAATCAAGCTGCAAATATGATGAAGAAATTGTTCTCTGGCGGGGGCAATGACAAAAGTAGCTGGGTTGGAAAATCGTTGCATGTTGGCAGACACCAATGTGTGATTGAGGAGATCATTGCAGAAGGTAATGTTTTGATAGAATAGTCTAGCTTTGTTCGATTAATTCTACACAACTAATCTGCCTGTATACCCCAGTCGACTTGCGAAATATAGATAATGGCACGGAAATAATTTGTCGTTGCTATAAGATCGAAAAGGGAAAGCCTGGAGGTTGCTCGTTAATATCAATATTTGAACAGCTATGATATATGAAAGGTAGCAAATTTTAGGCCTACCAAATTTTTACCGGTTTGCTTGGCTTTAACTTGGAAGAAACATTTTTTGTAATCATATTTGCTCCACTAATATGATAAAATTGTTAATTATTTTTAAAATACGAACTGAATGTTGCACAACAAAACTACGAAAACAGCCTCAAGCACAAGTTGAAATTGGAAGAATTGAAATGTTTTGTAGCAAATATACGTGATAGGTGTATATATATCTTCCAAAGTGTTCAGTTTGTTAAGGTATATGTTTTCGCCTCGAATGCAACTCATAAATAGCAAAAATATTTGGCTATTTATCATAATTCACAACTTTTGTGAAAGAAGGATACCGCCATTAAATACTATGCTGTGAGGGTTTTCAAGGGGATACTTCACTTACTATGTTGAGAGATTATACATATCAGCTTTAAATACTGGTTACTCACAATTGAAAAATCAGGAAACCTTGAGCCTTCCTTTAAGTAAAGATCAGCTATTCTCATCTATCTTGATAGCTGCAAAATCAGGAAGTCTTGCTCAGGCTTCTTTCCTTAAATTTTGAAAGGACCTTTTGAAAACAGGAATTATTTTTATCCTGTAAAATTTACCAAAGGATGATAGCTGAACTGAACAAACCTTTTTAATGTCAATGTCAATAAACTGAAAATATTTACACTAAATAAAGAAATTTAGAAAAAGCTTCATCTATGCTAACACTACAATTTGAATAACAACTCAGTTTTTAAAGATGATATCAGTCATATTACAAATATGACATTACAAATTTGATTTAAAGAAATGCTTAAATTTTGTAGAGGCATAATCCAAGATAATTCATACATAGTGTGGATCATTATTTAAAAATAAATCCACAGATGCATCAAGCTTTGAAACTTAAATGCCCCGAAGGGTAAATTTATCTATATTTATCTATCTTTTTAAATTTTTAATTGCGCAAAACTCTAATTGGAAAAATAGACTAGATTATAACATAAATGGGCAATCGCAGAAAGGCTTTCTGTTATTCTGTGTTGGCTTTTTGGCCATAACATTTTTTAGCAACATCATTTATTTGCTTTTTTGGTTGAAAAATTAATCTGAATTATGGCCAGGTTATTCTAACATAAAAATAAGGTTTATGGAGGTTAACTGGTTTTTTAAAATATGTTTATCAGGGGCCTTAATCAGGAAAAAGATTCTGATTATGATAATGCCCAACTGTAACAAGTGACATATTTTTAGTTTTGCACACTAATTTCTCTAAGTGAAAGGCCCTGGTTAGATGTGAATAAAACATCTTAATAATAAGTTGTATAAATTTGTGTTCAATGCAGAAAATCAAATACAGGCAGTTTTTTCCAAAAAGAAAAGTTTTGAGAAAAGTTTCAGTTCCTTGACCAATATTGTTTGCATAACATATTTTTTGGTTTGAAAGTTGTTTTATAGGAATAACCTTAAGATAAAAACTTTATGCATAGAGGTTCACTGAAGTATTTCTCTCAGATGATAATCTTAGTATAAGAATGTTTAATGGGATAAGATAATGTTTTCATCATTAAAACCAGCTGTACACTCAGCTTTGCAGTGGAGTGCTTCTCATAACAGCTGGTTTCACCATCCTTTGTTCAATTTCTTCTAATATATTTCAAAATATTTACTCAGCAATTGCTAAAAACAATTTTGAGCTTCTAGTTAATTGGCATTTAAATTAAGTGCATCCCAAAGCAAGGTTTTGTCAAACCCTGAAGCTATAGTTTAACAGTGTATAACAGGCTTTAAGTCAAGTTTTAAATATAAAAACTAAAATCCAATGATGCAGAGTATTCAGAATAAAGAATCTCTCAAATTTGAAGGATTATCACTGATATTGTCATAATAACATTATAGGAGAACAACTTTTGTTGAGAAGATCAAGGTATTTGTGAGCTAATCTCTTTTGATTGTAGGAGGCTTTGCATTGGTCTTTCTTGTTAAAACTTCTGTTGGCCAAAGATATGCTCTGAAAAGAGTTTCGGTAAATGAGATGAAGAACCTTGAGATGTGTCAACGGGAGATTGAAGTTTTGGTTAGTATTTTTGCAGACCAAATAATATGCCTATCTACTATTTAAATTAGATTTAATTATGACTATTGTATCATCTATATTATATGATATTTAATGGCTCTTTGTAATTATCTACCTGTAAATCGTCCCTATTTTTTTATTTTTTGCTGTTTGTGTACAAATGATGATTCATTTATTCTATGTGTAGCATATCATCTTTTTCTCATTAGAGTTTGTTTTTTTGAAGTGCTTAATTGAATACCCATCTGATATTTAGGTTATAGATATTTTAGACAGCCAAAAAACCTTGGTACGAACCAAGACAGTTCATTAGCAATCTCCCTGTTGATCTTCTTATAATTTCCTTATATTCATACTGTTGAAATTCCCTGTTTCTAGAAAATAATATCTGGTCACAAAAACACAATTGGTTATGTAGACTCCACTGTCAATGTTCTTTCTCCTGGAATTTATGAAGTCTTAATTCTTATGGAATATTGCAAAGGCAAGTTATTTTGTCAAAAATGTATTTTTCTTAGCAATTTTTATATTTGCACTTTTTAACAATTATTTTAAAATGCTATAGTTTTAGGAAAGCATTTCTCACCCTCAAAGCCACATGGAGTAACATGATTTTTTCAGCTCTAACATGAGTCAATACATTTCTTGTTGCTTTGAAGATAGTGTAGCTCTTATGTGTTAATGGTGTTTATGGTATAAAGTTTTTATGGTATACAGGGTGAGATCAAAATGCAGAAGTCCATAGGCCTTTTAAACTAAGTTGGCCAGCTGTTACGATTCTTTTGCTGCTCTATGATAAAGGCTAAAATAGTGTGTACAGGTTGTCAAAGTTGCTTGAATTTCTGATACCATTCGAAAGAAACAATAATTTTATGATAGTAAGAAAAGCACAGTTTAATTTCTTTTGGAGATCAGTGCCTATTAAACTTAGTGAATTGGAAGAGTTAGTAAAACCAGGCCACTTTGCAGCCCAAATTTAATAATCAAGCTAGATGCTGGTGTTCAAAGAAAATTCCAATAATAGAATCCTGTAAGCAAATATTTTTGAGCAATTTTTTTTTAAGTTTGGAGCTTTGTGGGAACAGGCATGGTCAATAGATTTTTATGATAAATTGCATTGAAAAATATGTAATAAATCTACTACCATATGGCTTTAAAGTGAAGCAGTAACAATGGGAACTCAAAATCATTAGCTTTATAGCTGTCTTATCTCATAGTCTATCATTATCACATATCAGGATTGCTAACCATGGTACATTAAAGCACTTAAGAATTATCACTTTGACAACATTTTTCGCTATGAAATGTCATCGCAATTTTGCTCTATATATTTCTGGCCTTAAAGACCCATTTTCTCAAATGAAAAACGATCACAAGGAAAGTTTAAAACATTGCAACTCTTCCACGAAAGTGGAAAAGACAAAAGGAAGGTATTGATTTAATGGGGACTCTTTATACCAAATCTGATATGAATGAGATAAGATGGTTTGATTCTTATATAACTGTGATATTTTATTTGCTCATACAATGCTTGTATTCATGAATGCTTTGATTTTGGATGAACTGCGCATCCTCTGTCATAACTTCCTCTGCTTACTTTAGCTGGCCATGTGGTTCAGTTGATGAACGAGTGCTTGCAGACAGGTTTCACCGAGAAAATGGTGCTGAAAATATTTTGTGACGTATGTGAGGCAGTTGCATATCTGCATGGTAATAATCCACCTATTATCCACAGGGATCTTAAAGTGAGTTTTTTGTTTCCGTTGAATATATCATCTGTTTCTTTTGAATATATTTCCAATCAATAATGTTTATAGTAAGGCAGAATTGAATTATATTTGAAGGTATTAGTGTAATACAGATAGGAGTACAAAGCTTGCTAACATATTTACTTGATATGACAAAATTTTCAAGCAGAGGAGAAGAAAATATAAGTTGAAACCGTAGGAATTCAAGCAATATTTTTTGTATGTATTTGTTATATTGTTACATTATTATACCTTGCTTATTGATAAGCATCATCGTATAACAGTTGTAGACTTCAAAAGTGACAATCTTTCCCTTTGAATTCTCATTACATTCACACTCTTCCCAATTCAAATGAAAAATCGAAATTTAATGTAGGTTCAAATTATAAAATAAAAGGGTTGATTTATTGACCAAAATGAGTTATGTTTAAATTGAGGCTGGTTGTTTTTTTGTTTCTATGAATTTTCAAAGAATGACAGGGGTTTCATTTGAACATTTTCTGCTCAGTTTTTTGGATTATCTCATAAAGATAACATTTATTTTTATCATACCTGACAGGAAATACATCACACTTGAACAGTTGTAATTTTGCCATACCTGATAGTTGACAATAAACATTGAAATTCTAGGTTGAAAATGTTTTGCGAAAACAAGCAGGACATTTTGTTTTGTGTGATTATGGGAGTACACACTTTGGCTTCATAGATCCAAAGGTGAGTTCTAACCAGAGCTTTGGGTTTGCTAGAGTCACAGATCAAAGGGGCAAATATGATTTAATACAGTTATACTGATAGAATTTTTAAGTGTAATCAAATGGGTCTTAGGAATCACATTTTTAATGATGAATACAGTAAGCCATTGTTGAACATGGTTTTCTTGGAAGATATAAAATATCTGACAGAAGTGTGTTGCTTGAAACTAGAAATTCTGGCTTCAAACTTTACATCTGGCAAATCTTTTTCTACTTATAGCAGTTTTAGAAGTGTATTGGAAACGAAGCTCATAAACCTTTGCATAACTACGCTGTTAAAATAGTTTTTTGTTCATGATGTTTAAGCTTGTCCAAAAATGTTGAATCCCTGGGTCACATGGTCTGAAGTTAAACGCATGTTTTCAAAAGATGCGCTAGCTGTACTCTCAACTATTCCCAATCTTGCTGTTTAATTTCTGGAATAGCAACTGAGTCAAGGCGGTTATATGTTGAATCTTAATCGAAGAAAACCAAGTGGATTATTGTTCAGAATCTACGTTGACTCTATGTGTTGTGTGTAGGGAAGATCTCTGAAAATGTCAAAAAAGTCATAGACCTTGGATGCAGCAGACTTTATTTTGATGTTTCGGGCCTCTTGTAATATTGTATAGTTGAAATTTATATAAGTTGCAGTTCTGTAAAAAATTTACAATGAAAAGTTTGTTGCGCAGACTAACCTTGAAAAAAACATCATTAATGGAATCATTTTGTTTAAAACCGCATTCCATCTGATTAGAAAACTTTAATAAAAAATGTTTCATCTAGAAGGAGTGTTTTCTGTACCGTCCATAGGTTGATGGAATTCCAAATGTGGAAGAGGAAATTTCGAGGTATTTTTTGTTTTATGCGATTCAATTTCTTGAATAACCATGCATGTTTTGCAAGAGTAAAGCTGAAAATGTTTGATTCAGAGCCTTTGTGCAAGTGACAGTAATATTTTGCCGAATGTTGACCAAAGTATGGGCTTTTTTAAGGAAATTCGTTTGTACGGCAAATAAATAGCAAGGTGTGCCGGACAAAGTGGACCTTCAACAGTATACAGTAAATTTGCTTCGCTAAGAAGAACCAAAATTTCTTAAAATGTACAAGATATTTAATTAAGTACCTTGTGATTAAAAACCCATTTTAGCCTGATAAATCATAAAGTTTTTATTTCAGAAACCATAATGGTTCAAGTTATCATCAAGTGCACCTTTTAGACAAGTGTGGGGACTAACAGTTTATAGGCTTCGGTAATGAGGGCGTTGGATATCAATTTCATGTTTTGTCTTTTTTGCAGTTATACAACGCTTGCTTACAGGGCGCCTGAAATGGTCGATTTGTACAGTGGCAACAGAATAACCGTGAAAGCGGACATCTGGGTTAGTTACGCCTCTTTAATAAGTTTCTATTTCATTGGCACATAGCGATATAAACGAACAATATACTTCTGCTAATCTTATTCTTGTTATAACCAAAGGAAGTTTAACAATTTTTGTGGCCATGCAAAAAAGCTTTGAAAAAAAAATTGTAGAGCATACTAACAGCATTTTCGTATTACACTCCTCAGAGTATAAAACGCCAGGATCCAAAAGAACAAGATTGAATGTGCCCAGTTGTGGATCGAAATAGGCCAATCAATTGAATAAAAATCTGTTTTGTCAATAAGACTCTATAATCTAACTAGAAGGAAGTTATCAATTCGGGAATTTTTTTTCAAGATCCGCAAAGTTTAGAAATATTCAGTTGTGAAGAAGAATACCAAACGATCTTTTGGCCTTTAACAAAATTTGTCGTTATGGCAGATCGATTGTGAAGCAATAGGTTTGTTTTGAAGATAGCAATATAGAATAATAATTGAGAATAGTTTGTAGGATGATAATTTCCGTGTCGGTTACTTGATGCCGAAGGCTGATTTCCGTAAAAGATTCATCGGCGCTGTCAATTCTGCCAGAACACACATTTGTCCTTAGCCAGAGTCTAGAAACATCACGGTTCCACGGCTATGAGCCGGAGGAAAGTTATGTAAAGATGCAGTAGTTTTGAGGAAGGCCAATGCATGAATTTACAAGAGTCTATAAAGGGAAAAGAATATTCTGTTGTGTTCCAGCCTTTTTTTCCTTGCAAGGCGTAAAGACCAAATCATCGATGATTTTACATGAATTCAATCTCTTGCTAGATACAGAGGATACAAGGACAATTTGGAGGAAGGCAAAAATGGTGAAATTATATCGGGAGGGTGATTTAGGTTTTTTCTGAACCCTGTCCCTAACCAAAATTAAAATGCAGGATAGGCAGCTACCTACCTTGCCGTCTTCAGCCCTCTACCCCCGTGTCACAATCAGCCACCTTTTTGATACTGGGTGGACAGTAAAGCATCCAAGCCATAAGTTGATCCTGAATTCGAAGTTTAACCTCCAGTACTGCAAACCAGGGCTCTAACCAAGTAACCTATTGAGTACCATGTAGTAAGTGTTGCGCAGGGCGTTTTATTACCCGAACAAGTGCTTATTTTTTAAAAGGCTATTTCATTAAAGTGGTATTTTTCAAGATAATTTTATAAAGAATTATGCAAATTTGCTGTTATTCTTTTGACAGGCCCTGGGATGTTTGCTATACAAACTCTGCTTTTTCACAACTCCTTTTGGGGAAAGCACCTTAGCCATACAGAGTGGCAATTTCACGTTTCCAGAGACCACAAGATTTTCTGAAAAGATGTACACCCTTATCAGTAAGTATGCTTTTAACTCCTAGAAGATTCACGAAACGTCACAGTTGCTGATTCACGGAGTGCTCCCTGATGTTTAACATCTTTGATATCTTATATTTTATATTTCGCACATCTGATGTTCTGTTGGTTTTGATTCAGCTTTTCGTCTTGCATTGATCTTTATTAAAGCCCATTTACCCCGAGAGAATGTCGAAAAATTCATTTTATTGAGACCTGTCTAGTCGAAAAAACTCTTTTATTTAACTAAAGTAATTACGATTCGATCTCAGCCATTAAATTATCAATCAAGGAGGCATTTCCATTTCATTCTGAACATATTTACCCAGGGTTATCATTCAGAAATTACTATATGCTTTGCAATTGGCCCTGTTGAAAAGCCTATTTACAATATGAATTTATTTATTTAAATAAATGATTGCAATCTAATTCGTAATAAAAAAAGTAGAGAAACGAAAATAAGAGCGGTGTTTGTTCACGTTAGAAACCCTAGTAAGCTTTCAATCTAGATTTTAAAGGGTGGCAAGAGTCTAGATCCTTCCAAACAGTAAGGCTTTTTTCATTAGGTATCTACTTCAAACTGCAGTTTTCCATATCGCCGTGCCTCGCCGCCTGGGTTCCATATAAATGTGATTGGGTTTGAACATATTCTCGATATACCCTGAGTCAAGATTGGAAGCTTTGATGAAATTTTTGTATCAACAGATGACAGTCTAACCAGCGTTGGAATTTTGTCAAAAATGGGCAAATTTAAACGTTTTATGTATTCTTTGTTATTCTTGCTTCGTCCAAATTAGTCATTATCTCAAGTAACGGCGATTACAGCTACGAGAACATTTATCCTACGATCGCCATCCATGTGCATTGTATCTTCAGGTATAACGTTACCTTAGCATTGACTGGTTCTTGCTTTTCTTTTCTTGCAGAAATGATGCTGCATGTTGATCAAAACAAAAGAGCTGATATTTACCATGTCGCAAACTTTGCCTTTGAAATGACCGGAAAACCGTGTCCCGTTCGATGCCCTGAGGTAAACTTTACACAATTGACCTAAGCAGACTTAGATATCTTTATACTTCTTCAGTTCAGATTGACCGTTCCGATAGTCAAGAATTTATTTTCAAGCTCAATCTCGTCTGTTTCACTGTCAATATCGATAAATGTCCCCTAAATCAGATAGCTCTCTTTTCTGATGTTAAATCATGGCAATGACTGTACAGTGATTTTTCTCGCCATTATGCCGAAATGGACGTTTATGATGCTATACTTTAATAATTACTATGTACTGAAGGATTCACTTGTCCAATAATACATCCATAGTGTGCCAAAGGTTACTTATGAAGAAGTAATTGATTTATAGTTATCAATTGTTTATTATCTTAGACCTCGACAATTTTTCATCCTACCCACATCAGTGCTTTGATACCCTTTCACAATGGGCAAATAAACTGGTATATTTTTTGTTTCCGGTCCGTCTGATTTTGAACTTTCTGACTTTTAATTTGAATCTCTTTAATGAAGGACCTCTTTTAAAAGCTTTTTTTCGGAACCTGTTTTCTTAAAAATGTCTCTTTGTTAATGTAGCATTAATTTTTCTTTAGGGAAAGGAGGTGTCAATCAGAAATCAACAAAGAGCAGCCAAGTTACCAACGCCTCCTGCAGAAAAGCAGGACAGTAATGACGGCAAACTAGTTAAAAGGTAAACTTTATTTCTGGTTTCAGCTGCCACCGTATCGACTTTACTTTTCTTATGTTCTGTGCTCCAGCGGCATTAGAGCAGATTTACAATTCAATTCAACTGTTCAATAAAGTAAGTTCGATTTAAATCATGAGGATCATGAATGTAACCAATAGTCAGGAAATTGACTATCCAATCTGTCAAATTGTGAAAACTAGTCAGTGTTTTTGTGATTTTTTTTCTGATCTGAAACTTTTTTGTAATAATGACATTATGTAAACAATGCATATGCATCTAAGCACTCTGCAAAATAGATTTGTCCACGGATATCAGACGGAAAATTGTTTGTATAAGCATCCTGCTAATTTTACAGGGCGCCACGTGAAGCTCAACAACCAACATCAGTCGCAGCCAGCAACGTGCTACAGCAACATCAACCAAGGCCTGCGCAGCCTGTCTCTACCTCTCTGGCGCCAAGGCAGAGACCGAAAGGCGTTACGAAATTCTCATCTGCCAATGATACTGCGAATCCGACTCCATTTAAGAGCGAACATAGTGAGGTTCTTATTCAGCAGCAGCAGCAGCAGCAACAAAGCTCTAGAAATAACCAGCATCACCCATATGACACGCATGAAAAGCATCGTCATCAAGAACAGCAACATCAACAGCAACAGCAACAGCAACAGCAACAGCAACAGCAACAGCAACAGCAACACAGAAATTTTACACCACAACAGCTACAACATCAACAGCAATCCAGTAATCAGAATGCTGCGAGACAAATGTTGCCACAGCAGCATCATGTCAAACAGCATGCACAACATCCCCCACCACACCCACAGCAACTTCAACAACAGCAACAAGTTTTTGATCAACAGAAGCAAATGTTTGAGCAACAAAGGCAGGCTTTTCAACAACAACAGCAACGCCAGGCTTTCGAATTACAGCAACAGCAACAAGCCTATGAACAGTTTCAGAGGCAACATCAACAACAACAGCAACAAATGCATCTTCAGCAAATGCAAGAGAGGCAGAGGATGACAGAATATAAACAATTGTTAGAACAGAAACAACAGCAACAACAACAGCAGCTAGAGCGCCAACGATATTTGGCGGAACAGCAAAGACGGCAGCAAGAGTTGCAAATACAGCTTGGTGCGCAACAGCAACAGCAGCCCCAACTAAATGTCAATTTTGATCGAGTAGACCGGGGGCTTGATTTCAATTCCGATCCTAACAAGTTCAGAAATTATCAACAAACACCTAATGTTCCTCAGTCAGCCCCAAAGAACCCTTTTGATGATAATTTTTCTTCAGGTAATGCCCCTCCGGAGACCGATCCCATTAAGCAGCCGAGTTTAAATCCTTTTGATTCGGTTTTTACCGACGTCAGTTTTCCAGTCACTGAAACGAAACCTAAAGAACGGAGTTCGAGTTTTAAAAGCCATTTTCGTTCACGTAGTGACACATTTTCTGATTTGGCGAAAAGAGTGGAAGCCGGTGATAAGGAAAATGATTCAGAGAACTTTTTATCCGTTAGGGAAACAATCAGTCCGCACAAATCGTCCCCGGACGTGAGGCTAGGAGAGGACAATACGGAAAGTTACCCAGCAAAATCAAATGGTGCAGAAACAGACGCGAGAAACCGAGGTACTGGAAACAACAAAACCGAGGATGGCATTGTGAAGCTGCCAGAAAACTCACAGGCCTTTCTGCAAAAGTGTGCTAGTTTCCCCGATTCAAAAACTGCTGAGAAAATGCTCATAGACCTCGAGAAACCCTTAATTTTGAGATCAGACAAGCGAAACGATATCGCAATTCGTGCTACCAATAGTGAGCCTTTGTTTTCGACACAAGATGGCAATGGAAAAGTCGAGACAGGTAGAATGGAAGAAGATGACCCAAAGGAAGAAAAACCGACACTGGACGAAGCTGATGAATTTCCATTGATTTCCCCTAGTTCATCGGTACCGGACAGACAATATGTTTACACTAGGACGTCTTCATGCAGCAGCGATGAGGCCTCAGACAAGTCAAAGGACGAATCGAGTGAAAACGACACCGACGAATCAAAGGAAGAATCAGACTATGCCAAGATTCGGTCGCCTTCGTTGTCCTCGCTTGAGGAGACAGTTGATCATTTTGAGTTGGAACCGACAGGGAATGAACGCTCATTGTCAAAGAATGCTGCCGAAGATGTGTTTGGATCGGCACCGTTTACGATTGGCGTCTCAAAAAAATTAGCAAATAAACCTGCTAGCGCCTCTGTTGAATTCTCTGCTTCAAAATCGTCGAATCACGAAAAGGCCCCTGAGATTTCCAGTTCGTCATCTGGGACGAGGTCTGCTACCGGTTCATTTCATCCGGATCCATTTAATGTTGCGAGTAAGGGCCGGTCCCCTGATTACAAGAAGGAATTGACGGTTGAAGAGAGTACTCTTAGTAGAAGTCCGACCTCGGAAGACCCCTTTGGACATGCACCTTTTATTAAAATAGTCAAACATAAGCGGCCGCTGTCTAGCCAAGAGTTAGCCGAGAAAAATAAAGGACGCTCGAACCCGAGAATTCATAATCGCAGACGGATGCTGCCTAAAACTCCACTGAACGAATGATGTCGTGCTCTGTAGTCAAATGTAATTGGAATCGCTAGACTTTTTCACGAATTGGATTTTCCTTCTAAGGGTTAGAAATTCATCTTTAAATTTTTGCACCTCTGATGATTTATTTACATACTTCATCAATTGATAGTTCTCCGGACCCAAAATGTTCCGGACCCGGATAAATAAATCGTATATTTTGATATTACCGTTCAATATTACCCTATTACAAACGATGGATTCCCTCTTTTCCACTATGTCCAGTATCTTATCTTTATATCTCCGATATCTATCTCAATAATTTCATGTCCTTATAACCTGTTCTGCAGTCAAAGAAAGTATTCAGTAAAACATTTTTTTCAATTGATCCAATGATGCTGGGAGAACCAATTATGGAATAAATTGTCCTTTTGTTTGTATCAATGATCCTTTTTCCTTTAAATGAATTGTTACATGATGAAAAAGTGAAGAAGTCAGATTTATTTGCACGCCGAATATAGGTGACTGAGCGTTTCTGCCCGGCCGATGTCTTAAAATATAGATTTAACAAGTGTGTTGGTTCTTGCAGCGCCGTAACTGCCTGTCCAAACACTACGTCACATCTTAGCACTAGACATATCAGAATTACGCTGTCCCGTCTCTTTTCAACTCTTAGCTGCTGCGCTGTGTGTACACAGGGTCTGAATATAATTTTTTTACCCAAGCAGTTAATCTTCTATCATGAAATGATAAAGTTAATTCTTGTGTAAACTATACTCGCTGTTCATTCACAGGGCAGCTCACGAATGGTGTGCAATCTTTAGAGTTAGGGCTTTAATAGAGTTGAATGACGTTTTGATGGGTTTAGTAAACATGTACCCTCTTCTAATATGAGACATTTTTTTGGAATATTACCCTACAAGATATAACTTGCGATAGATCTTTTTGCCTGCTAATTTTTTATTTCTGATGAGAGATTATGCCCGAATCATTTTGTCTTAAAATTCGTGGCTATTCATTTATTTAGCCGTCGTTTTCTTATACACCCAAAGAATTATTGCCGCACGACAAACTGCGAATAGGCTTTTGTAATTTGCCAGAGTTATGATTTGTTATGGACCTTTAATTTAAATTTGTTTGAATTGCAGGAACGTCCCCCAAAATTCTCCAAATCTCTTCTCTATCTTAAAAAATCACGTCACATCACAAATTTTTTTAGCGATCTGAAAGTTGACTGGCTATAGAATTATTTTTATAGCTTGATCATAAGTTGTTGGTTTAAAGTTCAAAGTGACACTATAGTTATTGTTCTGGAACATTTAGGTCACGAGAGTACATGTTTACAACCATCTGTATTGATTTAACCCCTTCATGGTCAGTAGATATTATAATCAAACATGGTATTAGAAGCAATGAGCCAACTGCCCAAAAAGCAACTTTTAAGGCAGAATTGTAATGCATCAACGATAATATTTTTATGAAACCTTGATGTATTTTTACTATGATCGCAGTCATGGTAAATTGGGCCTAATCAATTAATTTATTGAATGATTATTTGACAGGTTACTATAGATCTCTTATCCTTGCTTCTCAGCTACATTTACCTGTTTTATGTTAGAACTGACTATTCTTATGCATGTATCCCCCTGGGTATCATATCCTATCAGTATCGTGATGGGCAGGCGCCAGCAACGGGACTAGGGGGTGGGGAAAATAAAAGGAAATTTATGTCATGTCCTCTATACCAATAAACGGCGCTAGAGAAAAAACCCTCATACCAACTTTGATAAATGGCCAGCTTTTGGTTTCGCAAAGGCAGGTGAAAATCATAGACTCACTTCACAAAGAATACTTTGCTAAAATATTAAGCCTCCCCCCCCCCACACTTTTCTCATCGAGTTAAGATGATATACAAAAAATTCCTGCGGAAATTTTGTAAACGTGTTCCCCTGGCTCCCTAAGGCTTCATATGGGTGTCGAAACTTAACAGTACTGTGTCGTTTAAACCCATACTTTTCCGGAGTTAACACTATACCCATCTCCACTATTAACCTGTTGGATTTAGAATACAACGAGCGTTCAGAATTTTAAGGAAACCAGCTCTATTAATTGATTTTACTTCTAAACATTTTGGATTTTTGAGGAAATGCATGATTATAAATCAACTTCATTAAAAGTATGGTCTTACTTAATTTGATTTTAGAAAGATTTGTCACAGAATCACAAATATTTGCAAGTATTTTTTATCTTACCAACAAATGCTTCTCAATATCAACTACTATCCGAGCATGGTGCCAGCAAGTTATATAGATAGCATTTCAACGCCGAGACACTTTTCAATTGCTGAATAAAACGATGCAATACGGTAAACTCTCGATAACTCGAACATCCAAAGAACCAATGAAATGGTTTGAGCTAGCGAATGTTCGAGTTATCGGGGGATTTTCAAATGAAAGTATTGGACATCGGGTGTGTTTGCCATGCCTTGGCTCTCTTTAAATCAGCTTTGGTTGGAATGTTCCTGTCCTCCGTGGTGGCAGCCCGGGGGTGTACTCCCATTAAGGCCTGACAGGGGGGTCCAGTCCGTTTGAGGGTCTTACCAAATGGGTACCAAATTGCCCATTTTCGATAATAACTGAACTGCTCAGTTTAGCTTGCGATTTATTATAGACAATGAACAAGATTTATCTTTCCCGAAACAACAACAATCAATAATGAAGAAATTTGCTAAAAAAGGACCGGGGAGCACAAAGAAATGGACGCTACCAAAGGTAATAATTCCGGTTTTTATGCTACCGGTTAAGGGTTTTTGTTAAAAAATACTACCATTTGAGGGTTTTTTTTTAAAAATTTTAGCGTTGGCCCTCTTTGACCCTGATCGAACCCCCCTGTCATAATGGGAACCCCACCCCACGGGTTTGGCAGGCAACATCGACAACAGTGCTTTTCTACCAAATGAGGTGGAGGATGAAGCAATGGTTAGAGACTATGAGCTTTTGCAGGATGCTGTATCCATCGGTTTTTTAAAGATATATAAAAGAGACAATGACATGTCGTGCTACTGTAGGGGCAGGTGCAGGTATGTGGTAAGTCCACGATTGATTTATACTTAGGATTTGCAGTGTTCAATTTGCGAATCGCCGTCGTTCGATTTGGTTTAAGGCGAGACTATCCGAAATACACTGTGACGTCAAATTTGCGTCACAGTGTTACCAAACCGAAAAATTTTGTCGGTTGATTGAATTCAATGGTCGAAATGCAATAGTTTATATCTCACAAACTATAGAAAATTTTGAAAAAATAGCAAAGTCGTGATCAGCAGGTTCGACTCCTTTAGATTAGCCAATAAAATGCAATTGCAAATTTTGACTGGTTCGTGCATAGCTGAGGAACAATTTGAAATTATTACGATAATAATATCTTTCTATTTTCCCATAAAAGCGTAAAAAACCTCCCCGATTTGGAGAGGATTTCAATTGAAAAAATACGTTGGATTCATTTTCCACAAGAGGGTACGGCACATTATGTCAAGATATGTCCAGCTTTTCACTTGTTGCCTTCCTTGACTTGCTACAGTGTCTCTTTTAGCCAGTTCTTTTTCTCCCCTTCCAAAACTGCAAGAGAGAGACATTAAACAAGTCAACTTATTTCCACGAAAAGCAAAATTTTCAATAATACCGTTATTTTAAACAATATTGTATTTCAAAATGTGTATACCTTCCTGCTCGAAGCAATGGATTGACGCCTTTCTGGGCTTTCTATTAACTTTAGTATTCGGGATTACTCGGAATTTCTCGTTTAATTTTCGTTATGATTGACGTCGAATCACGAGGGTCCAAGGAATGAAGAATGCTGTATGCTGTACGTAAATCTCTCTGAAATGCAATCACAACAGCTATCGGTGCTGTAAATTACTACTGAAACACAACACTCAATGAAATGCGGCCGAAGAAGCGAAAATTTGCAAGTCACCAGACTTGACTGTGGTGACTTTGTTTTGCAGAAATATGCAGGTACCTTGCTGGCTATTCCATGCTTTTTAAAGACGGGCAGGCGTAGACAGGCCAACTTTACTTGGTAGCAGTGACGGGTTGCGACGTAGGGCTCTTATAGGCCCAAAATTGTATCTATAAATTTCACAGTTAATTCACTACTCATATATATCTGAATGTATGTAGCTGAAATGGACATTTAGGCCTAAATTTTGATTTTATGAAGAAGAATACCTACGGATGGTTTTGTATTATCTAGTTCATTCAGTATCCTATCGGGTCAATATCAGGCTGGTGACTAAAACACACAAACAGACGAAAGTGCCAATGTCCTGGAAAATTGTTATTAGAACAGTATAAATACGTAAGACGAGATGGACCATATTGAAAAAGCAAGCAGGAACAAGGGATTATCAAAGAAAAGATTTGAAAGGGAAATCTTTGAGTTATCAGCAAAAATCAAAGACATCGAAGAGAAGCTTGTATCCTTTTTCAATCCTTTTGTTCACTCAAGCAGGTCTGAATATATCTTCCTTCCTGGTTATTATCGATCTGTTTCTTTTATTTATAGATTTTCTATTATACTGTTTTCCATCCCAGGTTCATCAAATTTGAATCATTGTTTTTTGAAAATTTTGTCTAATCGAACAAGATTACTCCCGCTTTCTGTAAACATATGATTTGTCAAGATACACCAAAACTCACAATGCCGCAGATTCCTCCCCCACTTTTCAATCAGTCAATTAATGGAGAATATCAGTGATTAATTCTATAGCAGGAATTTTTAGTTGTTTATAAGAAAGTTAAGCAATTTCTTATAATTTTGGAGGTGTGATTGCTAAAAATGAAAGGTCATCATTTTACTAAGATTTTAAACTTTAAAACAGGAGGTATTTCTGTTTATGACAGTGAAATAACATTATAAAAATGTAATCACATGAACTTAAAACTAAAGACATATTTACAAAGCAGTCAATTATTAATTGGATGTACTGTATTTTCATTGGCTACACAAGTTTATATTTTTTCTGATTTTTGATATCATGCTTTTCTTGACATGTATTCATGTACAAAGGCTTGTAGCATGTACTACATTTTTTGTATTTTTCATCTATGATTTTTCAAAGTAAGCTCCTCTTAGTTTTGAAAGTAAGATTTTCAAAGTAATAAATAACTGAAATTTAGTTCCATGTTTTCAATAAGAAACTTGTTTCCCATCCCAGCTCAGGCACCTATTTGTTATAGAATGGAAGATCATGATATTATTATATAACAAATACAAGACAATGTTAAAAAAAATAACATTGGAATGCGATTTTAATTAGCAGGTTTTCTGGATGGACCCTCAAAGTAAAGAAATCTATCAGATAGAAGTTTGAATCTGAAAAAGTTAACATTTATTTGAAATTTTTACAAAGAGCTACCTAAATCTGTGGTTGAATTGTAGATAATTTCTTTTCTTCTGTTAGCAACCGTAGCATTTGTTATTTTCGAGTTACAAGCCTATCTGACAGCAAAAATATTAAGATCAATTAAGGATGGCCTCATTCCACAAACTATTGAATAGATCTTTTGTTATTTTTCAAAAACATGTTTTTGACATTGACAGTTTAATTTCTTTTGTAAAATGATATTATGCTGCTTTAAGAATTATTTTCATAACAAAATATTAAACCTGGCAGTTTCAAGGAATGAAGCCTAAAGCAGATGTAACAGTCTGACATCAGTATAACCATTTATTAGAGGAAGTATAAAAACCAAATATTTAGTTCTTAATTGAAATTTCTGTCTAGAGACAAATAACATGAAACAAACCTCTCAGCTTCAAAACCAGATCCCTGAAGTAATAAACATATAATAGGAGTAATTTTCCTGTGTTCAGTTTGAGTTACTCTGTTATTGTATCTTCTCTGGTGCTTATTTAGGACTATCATTTCCCTTTGTTTGTGACACTACAATAACATCTTCTGCAGCATCATTTCCATTTATCTGCCAAATGAGATTGAATTTTAAATATTGTTTGAAACCAGAATGAATAAAACTTAAAATAAGTATTTAAGAGATAAGATAAGTTTCAATGAGGAATTCTTGTGTAATTTTTGTGATGTATTATGGTATTTTCTTAACTTGATGAATAGAAATCTCTTAATCCAAAAATACCAGACAAATCACACTATGCAGCCCTAAGGAGTGAACACCAAGGAAAACTCAGTGATGTAAAGGCACAGAGAGATAGCCAGTTTAAAGAAAAACGCATTGTGGATGCACAACTGCGGGAAGTCAATCAAGAAGTCCAAACCAAGGTTTGAATAACAAAATCTCTTAAAAGGATTTTAGACTTCAGTTTCAGTTTCATTTTTCAAATTCCACTACATAAAATTTGTCACAATAATTCAATAAACAAAATAGTAAAAATTTGTATTATATATATTAATAGTTAGATCAAAATAGAATGAGACAACGTTACAGAAAAATCGAAGACATGTAAGTGAAGTTATTACAATATACATTCAAGGAAAAAAAGAGAACAAGACAAATTGTGTGGAGGGAATTTCTTAAGGAGGAGCTCTCTTAGTCATCGACTTGAGAGTTTGTGCCTTAAAACCTGTCACCAATCTTTTAATTATAAATGAAATACTTTACAAGATAAGAAGTAGATCTGTAAGATGCCATTTGATATTTTTCTATCAACTGGCATTCTTCCTGGTAAATATTGATGTTGCTTCTTGTTTGCTTTTGAGATACTACCTAAAACTGAAGAATAGAAGCTGGCTATTTGAATATGATCTTTATCCCAACTTTTATTAATCTATTTTGATCAAAATATACTGACCTTTACTTTTCACCTGTTTTAAATGTATCATAGTGATAGAAAGTAAATTATAATAAAATCATCATATTTTTATTACATATTTGTTTAGATTAATACAAGAATGGATGGTGCTGTAAATTGTTAATAGCCTTTCAGTTACCACATCAAGAGGATAACATCACAAATCTTAGTCATATATAGTTAAAAAAAAGTATAGACAAAAAGTTAGTGTTGTCAAGATTGGTGGCCAATATTATACATTTGCTGTTAAACTGATTTGATCATCTCTTGGAATATTGTTTTAGAATGATGCCATTGGCAAGTTGAAAAGCAATCTGAAGTACAAGAATGTTGAAAAGGTGGATAATGTCATAAGGTAATATGAATATGTTGTTATGGATTTATGATCACCAATCATAATTATCAATCATCAACACAAATTATAATCATTTATCATTCTCTTAAGCATTGTCATCATCATGGTCATTCATGAGTCAATTGTCACCATCCTTCTCATCATCAAGTCCATCATCATTATCACTACAACTACAGTTTTTGCTATTAGCAGCTTTATTATTCATACACAACAGTTTTTCTGTTCACCATATGTTTTTAGATAATTTGAATATCAAACAAACTATATTTTATTGCTTCCCTAACATCTCCTGAAGAGTGTGTTATTCATGAAACAGGCTTGTAGAGATGAAACCTGTAGTTTGACTTTCTTTAACTTCCAAGTCTATTATATGGCCTCTATTATATATATATATATATATATATTCCAGATTGCGTTGTCTATTCTGACGTGACAGTGCTCGATGTGCAAAAGCACAGAGCAATAGATATAATAAAATAGAATATATACTAGAAATGAGACATGTTCTCTGTTACTCCGAGTTTCGTGCTTACGCACTCATCAGACAGACTATAATGAAGAATATTCCTGTTACCGCGGTATAAATATACTAAAGGTGTGATAAATTCCTAACTTTATCACACCTTTTTTATATTTAATACGGGCGTAAACAGGAATATTCTTCTATTATAGTCCTGTCCCTGATGAGTGCGTAAGCACGAAACTCGGAGTAACGGAGAAAGTCCTCAATTTTTCTAGTAAATTATTCATTATTATATATTATATATATTATATATATATATATATATATATATATATATATATTATATATATATTAATATATATTAATACTATATATAGGTAGGTCATAGATTTTGATAGAAAGTAAAACTACATGGTTTGTCTCTACAAGCCTGTTTCGTGAGTAACTCACTCTTCAGGAGATGAGTTACTCACGAAACAGGCTTGTAGAAACAAACCATGTAGTTTTACTTTCTTCAAATCTATGATATATCACGCTCTACGTGTTAACGTATTGAGCACTGTGCTACGGAAGTATCAAAAGACAAATATTCTATATATATGTATTATTATAGTGTATATATATATATATATATATTTGAATCTACTGACACCAATGTAGTAAGTATATGTTTTTTGACTTGTATTCCTTAGACTTCAGTTTTCAAAAATAGGATTCTTTATGGTTTTAATGTCTTTGAAAAACAGGCAAAAGCGCCTAATTTTAAATTACCACAACAAAAAACAGGGTCATAAAATTGCATAATGCATGTTTCATAAACCCTGCTAAATGTTTTGATGATTTTTGTGTGTGAATGACATAACTAAAATAATCTTGTTGGTTATGGTGGCCAAAGCTATTACTATTTCATGACAAGGTTTCTCAGTTTCCCCTGATACAAGAAGCATGTTTTTATGCATTCAGATTCTTGTTTCCAGTCTTTTCTAAACTTGATAAACTTGAATTGATCAATGTCAGCTAGCGTGACACTTGCATGAGATGTTTTTTATGGAAAAATGGGAAGTAGAGGAAAGTAAAACCATTCATGGTATCTTTTAAAAGTCCATATTAAAAGTCTCATTTTTAGTTCTGGATGCCTTGCCCTGAAACATAGGAGCTTTGCTGCATACCTTACCTCTTAAATTCTTTGTTTGAATAGGAGGCCTTACCTCTTTAATTCTTTGTTTGAATAGGAGGCTTGAGGCTCAGCTTCAAAGGATGCAAATGAAAGCATCAGAAGAGCGAAGAATGCGCCAAGAAATCTCAGATTTGCAGGGATCAAAAACAAAAATCCAGTAAGTTTTTAACTTAATATGCATTTCGACAAGTTTCTGGTTTTACATAAAACCTTCACATAACCTTTTCTCATTTAACTTAGACAAAAGGCAAGCTATATTTTCATTTCATTTTTATTTTAAGTAGTTTTAATAGGCTCCTGATTGTGTTTAAGAACCTTTTATAAATTTCTGTTTTTTCTAAAAGTAAGAAAGTTCTGTCAATGTTGTTGTTAACTGTTCTTCTTAGGAATTTTTTAAGAATAAATACCCTATTGCAATCGTGAGCTATCTATTATTACATTAATTTAATCATTAAATTTTAGACTTTTTAAGTTTTAGGATAATAGATCCTTGTTAAAGGCAATGGGCAAATACTAACATCTCTTTCAGCCCTCTTTCAACCAATCATTGGCCAATCAGTGTGCCTGGTGCCACTTATATGCTTTTTGGTTGCCTATATCCTTTCAGTCTTCTTAGATACCTTTTCAGGTTTTCTTTGAGAAGAATTTGTAACAAATTCATGATATTTCTGATTTTTGTTTGTTCTAGAGACCTGAAAGATTTGGAAGGGGAAGTTATTCTACTCAGAGCTAAACAAAAAGATCTTAGAGCTCGTCGAGATGTAAGCAATTTTAAATTTCATGTTTATTTTTTTTAATTTTCACCTCTCTTCTCGCTTCTGCTACGATTTCTAAAAAAAAATTTTTTATTTGCTTTTCTGTTAATTTATTAGAGTTGGGGAGCCCGCATTTTGTTTAACTTTGAGATCAATCTTTTTGCAGGAGAATCTACAACTAATAACATCTATTAAACGAGAGGAAACTGAAGCAAAATCAGTATTAGAACAACATAAGAAAGCAGAGGATGAAGAATGGGCGATATACAAAGAGAACCTATCGAGAAGAGATCAACTAAGAAACCGTATGTTTTCGCACTTTATCGTTTGGGATATGAATTATTCAGTGTTTTAACCTTTGAATTTTCTAAAGTGTCTGGTACGTCGGTAAAAAATGCCTTATTTGCTAGTCAAAGCAGCCCATTAATGGATCAGTGTGTCTCAATCCACCACGTGTTTCTTTTTTGCAATCTTCGGTGCTCTATTTGTTGATAAAAGTGGTTTATCTCTGGATGTTGATGTCCCAACCCCTGTTTTCTGGATTGTGCTATACGTTGGTAAGAATATCATTCATAGTGTCCTCGTAGACATACTTTAAAGTGCCAAGGCTAGAGCGTATATGACATTTTGGAGTGATAGTCCTTTGTACTTATGTACTATAGAAGCTGCCAAGTTTAGAAGATTTAAGATATTTTAGGGTGTTTGCGCATTTTTGAATTTGTTTATTTGCCTATTGGACTTCCCTATCTGTATTTCTGTACCATTCATTATCTTTAGAAAGAGACTCACTACTAAAGAGAAAGAGAGAGTTGACTGATCAGTTTAGAAAGAACCAGAGCTCTCTCCGTGATATTTGGGCACGAAAGGACTTGCAGTGGGGACATTTGTTGAACGATCAAGATTCAAAATCGAAAGAACAGAATCCAATGCAAGGCCTACAGATTGTGTAAGCGTTTTCGTAAAACTCATGCAACTTGAAAGTAGGCAGATTACGTTATCCTTTCGTCATAAAATGAGTTAGTACTTGCACCTTGTCCTGTTTGAGCTTTAGTGCTTGTTATATATTGTAATTTCAACAATGTTTTATTGTTTTCAATCTTATTATTTTTAGAACTGAAAGAAAGAAACCGTTTGAAGACGATATAATGCATTGTAATGTATTGCTCTCCTTCTTGGAAAAATATGAGACACAAACTGACGGGAAGGAGTTTGAAGGATCTGAGCAGAAAACAGGTAACTTTCCGTCTTATTTTATATATACTAAAAACTGAGAAAATCAAACAGTGTTTTGAAGTCGTCCGTTAATAATCTAATATCCTTTTATCGATATCCGATGTGACTTAGACACAAAATGTCTCGGTTTTTAATAATGGGTGATTATTCAAATGTGAATGAAGTTCTGAAACGTAATCTGTCAATCATTTAAGTGTGCTATTTTTTTCATCGTAGAGTAGTAATATATCTTCTGAAAGTAACTTATGTGTAAGCAGAAAGCAAGACTTGAAAAACTATAGCAACTAAATCTGTAAAAATCAAGTTAAGCACAATTTGCTGAATCTTTCTGTTGTCTTTGCTATCAAGAGTTCTCCGAAAAATTAAACAGAATTTTTCTCATCATTGGAAAATGTTTTTTTCAGTCGAAGAGTTTCCATGAACAATGCGATTAGTTGAATTTTTATTGCTCTAGATTAAATGTGCTTTAGACACTATTGTACACCATTTTTAAAGCCCCTGTGTGCTATACGAAGTTGTTAATTTTGTTTTATTTCCATTTCAGCGCAAGAAGTTTCATCTGAGCCTAAAGATGACATTTACCAAGGAGTAAAACGAAGGCCTAGCAAGCGCGAACGACGTAGAAAACAACATTTTGCTGAGGTATATTACATGATATTATTTTTTTAACTGTTTCCTGAAGAATCTTCATAGAGATGTAATACTAGCAGGCATTCGACGCAGATGGTAAAAAGTGTCGAGGGATGAATTTAATGATATCTACCTACCATTACATAAAAGGTATGAATTCTGATTGGTCTTATTTTCAATGTTATTGGATTGGTTCGTCTCTTGACTGACATGTTTTGAACAGCCATATTCGATACTGGATACATACATTAGTCACGCCCCAGACAATATGTTCATGTAAAGTAATTTAGATTTATTCCATCTTATTGATCAGACTGTGACACTCACTCCTCGAATCAACCCAAATCCCAACAAAAAAGTCTTAGGGCATACAACGGTTATAGTCGTGGTTGTGTTCATTTTTCGGCACCATGTCTCTATAAAGGGCGGATTTCCAAGGGGCTAGCATCTGGCATTTGTGCTGTTTATGTTTTCAATAATCACGTGACACATTCATACACCTGCTTCGTCATTGATTGTGCTTTTTTCGATATCTTGTATTTGAAGAGATAGGATAAGAATTTCTTATATAGTATAATGAGGTACTTTTTAGGCAAATTATCTATGGATAAAACGGTTCTATCTTACCTTGTATCCTGAAGACTTACTACGTTTTGCATTTTAGGCCTCAAAAAAGCTTGAGCTCCATGTCTCTGTTCTTGAGCGTTTCGTTTCGTTGGGCATCCAACCACCGGCTTCTTTGGTTGATTTACCACGAGCAAAATCAGCAATTGAGGAGAAAAAGGTATGAATTTACAAAACTGATTAAAGCAGTGAACATCACGGCGTCATCTAGGCTCTTTTAACGATGCTCAGTCAAATTAAAATTTTAAGGAACCGAAGGAAAATGAAATTGTTATTTCTTAGTTCATATAGCCTAAGAAAATACATATGTACATAGTATTAGTGATCATGTTTTAGGATTGCCGGTGATAGCAATGTTAATATTGCTAATTTTCATTAAGTTTTTTGGAATTTTTGTCTCTTGCAATCTCCGCTGTTAGCGAAATTTGGTCTTAATCTTAGTTATGAATTAAGTCATCTTTTGTTGAAGTCCAGCGTTTCCTTTCCTTACAACTGCAATAGAGAAGTAACTTAAAGTTGGAAAGCACTGGTTTTGAAATGAAAAGACAGAGTCGAAGCCATATAATGCTGTATTATCTGCTTATATTTTTTTTAGAAATATTTTATGGAGAAACAGTTATACATCACAAAACAGTCGAGCATTAAGCGCGCGAAATCGAACCCATTTATCGTACCCATGTCAAATACAGACAATTTACTAACGACGAATAATATTGGTCTTGACATGGAAGCAGGAACCAATGGACCGGAGGAGGAAAATCAAAGGAAAAATAGTTTCTTCTATAATCGTAGGAGACACAAAAGTTGCCCCTCGCTACACAAAACTGTAGACGAAAGCTCTGATAAAGATGCCCAATTCTTAAGAAATGAAACCTCGGACAGGGATTCAACTCAATCAATCAGCGGCAGCAACAGCGAGTACGAGCCCGAGTCACCGAGAAGTACGACGTCATCATCAAGTTTCGGCAAATTTCGATCTAGTTACGATGACCTCAAGGCAGCTACCAGTGAATTACCAACAGGTTTCATTGAATCCCGATCGCCTGATAGCGAAGAAAAACTGCAGTTTTACTATGATGATGAGAGGGAGGCCAAAGATTCTCGATTTGATGATAGCCGCAAGAGTTCGAAATTCCAGCTTAAGGTTCACTTTGCCAATGATATTCGAGAAGTTCTGGACGATGCAAACGTCCTACATGGTGGATCAATGGAATATGGGCATGAGCGGGGAGCTAAGAACAAGCAGAGAACTGGGAACGAGCACGGAGCTGGTGACGAGGTAGAATCAGGTTCTGTATTAAACAGTGAAAACCTACATTCAGATCAAAGCAAAGGTCTGAAAATGGGTGTGAATGGAAAAGAGGTTCCAGTAGAGCAAAAAGAAGCAATAGTCGGGCAGTCTTCCGTAGGAATCCCTATACATATGAATAAACCTTTTAGTAATCATGGTTGGCAAGACGAAGATTTAGCTGTTGAAAGCCAATTTCGTAGGTTGCACCGAGTCGAAAGTGGGCAGCACTATTCTTCGGGTGATGATGAATATAATGATAGCAAGGGATTTACTGACGCAAGCGAACTGCAGTTTTCAATGGATGACTCGCCGTCAAATTCATGCGTTGAACAGCAGTCGACTGCGCAGAACATTAAGTCAGGTGGCATCAGCTCTACTCGTTTTAGTCATCAAGTGACCGATGCATTGCCCAGTCAGCCACGATCGACTGGCGGTTGCAGTCCAAGGAGGTCAATGGGATGCCTTGATAAAAACGATGAAAGCGTTGAAGTAACGACCTAACCTAGTATTTTTATCAATTATAGTAGATAATTTATACATATGCTGCCACTTGAAATCATATAATGCATCTGGCATGTGTTAGATGTTTAGTTATGCCCGTCTCGCGAATGAAAAGTGTTTCCACACCCCACTTGACACGCAAGCCCCCTTTTCTTACATTGTTGCTTAGCAATTGGATTTTCCAAAATTAAATTGCACTCTATTTTATACGACCGTTCATGAGGAGATTTGGCCAGATAGTTTAATAGAGATTAGAAACAAATGAATAAAGCATCCAATACAGCCAATTTAGACTGCAGAAGTGAAGGTCGACCTTTCTGACCGCAACAAGTGAAGAAGCCTATTCTCAGTCCTAATAAGCACCCCCATTCGTTTTTACGCTTGAAAGTACAGTTAGTTAATCGTATTAGAAAATTTTCCAAGACCCCATTTTATTCTTACTCCAATAGAGTGTGCAGATAATTGTTTTGCTAATATTTCTCCGGCTAGATTATCAATTTGGGGATTAAGTAACTATAAAGAAAGACTCTCCTAACTCTGAAAACCAGAGTTTCTAATAAAGGCCGACAGACAGAGATGATCCGTAGCCAGCAAAATCATGAGTACAAGTTGACATTATGAGAGCAGCAAGCAACTCATGCAAATTTAAGAAATTATAGAATTATTATAGAATTATAGGATCGGTCCCAAACAAGAATAAGAATAGAGATTCTATATTCTGTGCTTTCGTGTGGTGCTGCTGGCGTGATGTCAGATATATTAAAACTGGCCCATCCAATTATAACTGAGAATTTAGATTTGCACACCTTTCCTATATTTTCATTTACTCATTGGCTTACACGAAGCGGTGCATTTTTGATGTGTGTTCTCTGTGTTCTTTACAAGGCAAAAGGATACAGAGCGTGTCAGATGGTGTCGCTTGCCTGTTATCAGTGCACCGATATAAAATGCTTTTATGTAACAGTCAATCCTTCATCGCGTCAAGGGAGGGCGCTTGTTTCTAAGTCACGGTGATATAGAAATTTTGTCTTATAAAGATGATAGTTTGCAGCGCCATTTATGTACAAAGTTTAGGTTTTTAAATTTTAGGATTACCTGACAACTATTCTAAGCGTCTTTTAGTAAGATGCCGTCCGGGTTCAGAATATGTTCGTGTAAATATTCTTTGCACTTAGGCCGTTTTTTAAATCTTCCTCTAATGTTCTTGCTTCAAGGTTTTCAGCAGGAATAATCAATATTTTGAGGGGGTTGAATGAACACATTTTGATAAAGAGGGAAGAAGAGGGCTGGAAGGTAACAAGAACATTTGTCACTAAAAACAAACGCTATCGATTTGTTATCGAATATATAGACCAAATTAGAAGCCCGAGCATAAAACTCATTTATACCTATAAGTTCATACATATTTTGTTAATTTCAAGTCCCTCTGTGCTCATTTGTCTAATATATAAAGGTCATTTTGTACGATCCTTTGCATAACTTTTGACTAAACAGGAACAGTCAGGCTCACTCCCAGGGCCTTCGATGACAATTGTGCTCAAGTGCCAATGTCTCTCTTGTCAACAAAATTAGCGAATCCTCCTTTCTTTACACTAGTTTTGAAAATTCTCTGTCTAAGCACCCCCTACATTCAAATATTCCCTCCTTTTGCAACGAAATTTTTTTCGAGGGAGTCGCACCCCATACGCACCCCATAGCAACGCCCCTGTTCACTCCTAAAATTGAAAATTACATGATATAAACCCTTACTATATCCATATTATATTGCTGATGCTTTAATCTGGGACGCCAAAAGGTCGAGTAACGCCATTTCCGTAGAAAGTTTCCTATTGGTTCCCCTATTATTGGTCCTAGGACCACGACTCCAGTTTTCATGGAGTGTGCGGGTCTACTTCGATTTTATCATAAGATGACATCTTGCATCTGCTATAGCCACTTCTTACATGTTCTAGTGTGACTTAGCTAGTAATGGAATTTCTGAATAAATGGCAGTATATACTAATTGAATCGTCTGATATTAACATAAAATGTTTGAATGTTTTTGCTTTCAGAATTTTGTTACAACATAGAATTTTGTTCTGATGCATATAAAGAATTCGTTAGTTGCTGCCTGTTTCTTTTGTGTATCTTCTTCTCACCGTTTCAGATACTATGGAGTGACTAGTTTCGATGAACCATCAGTTTAGAGACCATATCGCAAAGTTTGACTCAAGATAATTTACCTCGAAATATTAAAAGACAACAGCTGGCCGAATGGCTAGGCGCATCTATCCACCCACCCAGCAGCTGATGTTTATACAATGGCATCACTTAAGAATTAACAGGGGTTAGAGGTAGATTTAATGTTTCCTGGTCTGATCAAAGAAACATGTTATTTTTGCAGGAGTATTGCTTGCATAGGAATATTGCATATGCATAGGAATCATATGCATACTGGACTCAATTTTAAATTTTTTAAGAACTGTTTGTGTCATGAATTCGTGTTAATGGCCCCGAAATCAGAATTGAGGGATGTGTCACTCTTTCCAAACAGCACACGAGATATCTTTGAATAAATGGAGTTTTAAGGGAATTTTGGGTAATTTTATTGAAAGCTGAGGTTGAACCAAAAAACTAAGAACATTCAAAGATCATCTGAAGGCATTGAGGCAAAATCCCCAAATTTTATAACGCAAACATTGGAATAATTTTGTTAACAAGAGCTCAAAACCTTGCGTTATTGTCTGCCTTTTAGTTCTATTTATTTTGTGATCACAACTTTGATGTAAGAGCAGAATATGGACGATAGAGTCTCCATCTTCCACGACGAGCCTCTTTCTGGAATGCATCTTCTTCTTTAGCTCTTTGCCCCCTGTGCAAACTTCGTCTAAGTAATAAGTATTGGCCTAGCCGTGCGCCAAAATGGAAGGGGTAAGAAAATTATTTATTTTCCCTTTTATTTTGTTATCACACTTTCTCAGTAAAGTTTTATTTATATATTTATCACTTGCAGAATGTGCAAATGGAAAGTCTTTGTCTGATCTCAAATTTATGTTTGGGTATTTTATCAGTTAGGAAAGTTTCATCGCCTTTTTAATTTTTCCATTCCAAAAAAACAATGTTCAGTAACGACATTTGCACGCATAAAATCTATCAAAGAGAACTTTGAAACGTTTCAAAACCAAGTTAGGATTGTTCTACGTATATAATAATAAAACACTTCCTAAATTGAGTCTCATTTCATTAAATTTAATTTATGCTATTATGATCAGATCAATTAGGTTCAAATTTCTGAATAAATACTGGAAGGCTAAAAATGACAATAATCAAAGCAGGAAAAATAAGCAAAGTTTTTAAGAAATGAAGCAATCAAATTAAGACATTTAAGCTGAAATAGCCTAAAAATATAAGGGCAATTAGCCTGAACTAAGGTGATTATTTTTTGTAAGCAGGAGCCTACCTTTTTGGGCAAGTTGGGCCGGAGCCGTTGCTTTCATGCAAATGGTACCCCTCATGTCAAATACTGTATCTACCTGACGTGTCAAATTTTTAAACATGAAAATAAAACCAACAAAACTAACAAATGATTATATTTATGTGTATTCAGCAACACTTCTTTATCCGTTTTCACTTAACGTTGAGGTTGTTCCTAATTGTTTTCTGTCGATATTCAATAAAGTAAACCCACCACTATAGGCCTGATGAACACAAAACAAAGCTTCCACGGCTAAGTGTCGAGTTTTGTTCAGAAAGGTAGGGGATGCCCTGTGAATCAGCAATGATCGCTGGGGGTACTGTCAATAATAATTCTAATTTTTTTCAAAAACGCCAAAACTCTTCTTATTCAAACGAATGCTCAATAAACTGCTCAATAAAACATAGAATGTACTACATAGGATACAAATGTTTCATCAAATGCGTGTGCAATTACATTGGTAACATAATTTATTGATGAAACTTGATCAGAATCCAGCTGATTTTGTTCCGACACCAAGAGACGGTTAGAGACTTGGTCTCAGGAAGGCTCAGCTCTGTTTTCCACCTCCTGTCAAATTTTGGAAAATTTTGATTTGATCCAAGTTGCATTTGATAATTAAATTCTATTCTAAGGTTTTCTTGCATTCCATATATTTCATAAGTGCAGTAATGCCAAAATAAAGTATGTTTAGTTTTGTTAAATTGCTTCAAATGATTTTTAGCAGCAAAAACAAGGTAAAAAAGGGGCCAAGAAACAGAAGGAGAAAGCAGCCAAATCAAGTGATCAAAACCCTAGCCAAGCAGCCACTGCTGAAGATGCTCCAAAAAAGAGCAAGGCTGAATTAAAAGCAGAAAGGAGAGCATTACAGGTAACAAACATTTTTATACATATGCCAACTTTCTGACATTGTCGTGGCAGCTTAAATATTAATTTGAGCCCCTACCCTGGGACATTGGCAAACCCACATGCAACTAGCCGCAAATGTGCAGCTGGTTTAAGAGGAAAAACAAACATGATTTAGGGAATTTGGCAAGTAACTTATAATTGTAGTTGGCTATTGATTTGGTTGTATTTCAGTTTTTTCTGGACATTTGTTTCCAGGTTTTACTTTTAAGTTTGAGTGGCTACTGAAACCTTTAAATAATTATTTTTTATGGTCAAAGTGTAAAATTTATTAGTCTAAAGTATTTGAACAAAATGACACAAAATTCAACTTTAAATAAACCATAAATTGGACTCAGCTGAATGAGGAATGGATAAAAGATTTGTGCAGGATTTTGAACAAGAAAGGGAACAAGGTAGAATACTCAATCTTAATTTATTGTTGTAAACTTAGTCTTGTGAAAACAAGAACAAGAAACAAGAAGACTTATTCTTTTAATTTGCAAAAGGGAAGTCAGTTCAGCGAAAGGCTAAAATATGCACATAACCATTCAAGTTATAATTTTTCCCCCCTAGCAAGGAAAATATTGATAAATTGCAGCATTCCTTTAAATAGTGACTATCAACTGAACAGTAGCAAACTTTTCAACAATTTTTCAACAACGCTGAATTATTTTTGTATCTTAGTATTAGATGGGAAATAACACTTAAGTCATAAAATGGGTATCAGGGCCACACCTTTCATAAATGTTGGAGAAACATGTAGAGAACTGGAAAAGCTTCTGTGGTACTGGACTGGGCAAAACAGATCCCTTGATTTTTCACAGATTTTGTCAATAGATTTTTCTCTAGAAAACAGTTGAGGGCCTACCTATAGAAAGCCTTTTTCAAGGCATGATAAAACTGTTTGGTACCTGTTGCCCCCTGACCCCCATCCCAAAAACTTAAGCAGTGTTCACGCTACAACCTTTTGAAAGTGCCTTCAGTCACTAGTTGATGCAATTTTGCTTGCTAGTTAGCTGCCAGGTTAGTGTAGGCAAAATGTCACTCACTGCATAGATAAAGAGCCAGCATTTATGATATTTCTGACAAGTGATAGATCTGCTAAGTGTTCCCTCTTTCGTTCTCATTTTACCATCGGTTCTGTCGCTTAAGGATGATTGTATGCCTCATTTCCCAATTCTCGTATTTCAAATTTGGCTGTCTCTGATAAACATTAATGCATTTTAAACAAAAGAATTCCTAGGAACAATGCATTGCACAAGCTTTTTAGTAGCTGCCAATGTGAACAACCAAAGTGGGAGCAAGCAAGCATAAACTTGAGCTCTTCAATAAGCGCCCAGTGCGAACATAGCCTTAAACATAGTCCTTTTTAAGCATTATTAAAAACGTGAACAACTGAAAAAGTGAGAAAGTTACTTCTGTTTAATAGTCTTTAATTTTATATTCATTGGGGTAAAGTGCTACCAAGTGGAGACTAGCCTTACTTTTTCAGCAAGGCTGATGAAGACTGAAGGAGAAAGTAACCGTTTTCATTAATTTCATAACAAAATAAAGGGCTTAGATTCATTGATGAATATTTCTAAATCGGACTACACTATCAACTCCTAGAAAAACAATTAATATACACAAAACCATGCAAACTGAAGCAGACTATATTGAATAAACCAGTAATGGAAAAAATGACAAAACAATTGATGCACTTACACAGAGTTACCTGAAGGGGAAATTTCTAATAGATAAAAGTAATTGTAAGAAAGAGCCACCAAATCCACTTTAACAAAGTAAATTAGACTAAAATGAAAAAGAATGAACCCAAGGAAAAGGCACATAACATGGTGAAATAGGCAAAATTATGTCATTGCTTGCTAACCTGCTACTTGGCAGTGCTCAGCAGCTGATGCAAAAAGAGCCAATTGATATTTAGAGAAGGAAAATATGTTTTAACGGAAAATGAAGCATTTTTATATCAACTTTATTTTATTTTTGTATTCCAGGAAGCTCAACGTGCAGCAAAGCTTGCAAAAACTGGAGGAGAAGTAGCACCAAAGGCAAAACCTGGAGCAGAGAACCAAAACCAGGCAAAACAGAAAAACCAGGACGGTGAGTTGGTTAAGGAAAACAATTTTCAGTTGCACTATAAGCAAACAATGTCTCCTTAGTTCTTTTTCACGCAAAGTGTGAAGCCACACTGTTGTTGTGTTACACAAGTTGATCTTACAGAAAAGCTTGTTAATGCATGGTTGCACTAGTTAGTAGTTTTGTAGCTAGTTGAGTTGAAACAGTGAACTTGAGTATCATGATATGGAACATTTCATAAAACTTCTTCTTTTATCAGTATGACAACTGGGAAAAATTCTTATAAAAGCCTTATTGTTAGTTATGGTTTCATAATTTTTTATGAACCATATTTTGTTTGATTTACATTGAATACAATGCATGAGTATGTTTAAAAATGGTTTTTGTTTTGATTCTCTGATTGATTACAAGCATTTACCATTCAATCAAAATTGTGTAGATACATGCAAGCATTAACATAACAGCTCCTATAGGTTACATAAAGCTCTTCTCATTATTTTTTTGAAGATTTAAGATAATTTTTCTACTTGAAATTTGTGTAATTAATCTAACATGTAATTTGCATTTGAATTACTGAGATCGATATTCCATTCTTGGATAGGAAATATAAATTCTTATGATAAATAGGTGTTTTTCAAATGGTTTGATTTTTATTGAATTAAATATCATAATTATGAAAATCTGGCATGGGTCTTTGTGCTACCTTGAATGATAGCACAGCTGTATGACCGAAATTCTATCCAGATGCTTGTAAGATTGGCCTTTATCAGATTAGTATGAAGGGAGTTTTAAGTTACTTCTATTAACAAAAGAGTTGATACAGATGCAACAGGTGCCTTTCAAAATACTAAAAGACAGGTACTGACAAAGTTTATTTTTCAGGAACTGGCCAAAATGCACACAAAAGACAGGATTCAAGAGTATCATACCAAATTCAGATGGATGATGAACGGGTCCAGAAAAAGGAAGCGAAAAAGCTGGCTAGACAGCAAGTAGGTTTTCTTTGCACCTGGATTGACCCATTAAACGTAATCTGACTGGATCTCACACGATTTGTATATTTGTCCTGGCCAATAAGAGATGTCATTCACTGGATTCTGGCTCTATAGATAGTTTCTTGGAAAAATTAAGGGTTTATTAAAAATCCATTACTTGTAATTACTATTAGCTTTTTGACATAAGTACCAGATGAACATACGAAGCATTATTGAGCTGTATTACCGTTATCATTTGGTCTTTAGGTTTATCCAACCATCCATTGCCCAGATTTAAACCTCAATAAATTTGAGGTGAGTTGTACAGGTTTTTAAGGCCACAGAGGACTGGTCATTCTCATTTAAATGCACATGCACGCACCCACCTATTTCAAGGCTTCGTCCAGAAACTGCTAAGATTCAAAGTCGCAAATGAGTGAATTGGGCTGTTATTTCTAGGTTCCAATAAGAAGCAGGGTACAGAAAAAGGTTAGCTTGTTCTCGCATCTTCATCAGTACGAGAAAGACACTTCATTGACGAAAGAAATCAGGTGAGCTATGTCATTTTGTAATTAGATGTGAATCATTGCTCAGCTGGCATAACTTTCTATTTGATACATCTGTATACATTTGGTACGTTGAGAGGCTCATCCGGGTTTTTACCTAGACTCATGCTGGAAGGTATGATAGAAGGGATCATAAAATGGGATCGAGGAAGGCAGCGAAGAACTTGGGAAGGTGATATCAAGGAGTGGAGCGGATGTGACAGCATTGGGAGTGCTAAAAGAGTGTCTGAGGATAGGGTGAGATGGAGGGTCATTGTAGCCACCCTTCTAGTAGAAGATGGTACCTGATGATGATGATAGCCCGTTGGAATACTATGGAAACGTCTTTGTAGAACTTGCGTATAATCCCGAAGAATAACTAACAGTAGCATCTGGGCACTAGTTGAGTCCAGTTGTCAACATCTTAAGACATGTATTGTTGTATTCCAACTATTATTTGTAAGGGTTTTAATACACCAATCTGAGCACTCATTTGCAGCTTGCAGTTGTACATTGAAATCATAGCTGGCTTCTTCAAAATGTTCGTCTGCTGGCTTCGTTATCTAACTGCAACAACTTCACGTCATTTCACATTCTTTTGTCATTTAATGCATTTTTCTTCTGTTTATCCAGTTCTATCTCTGGAGCCATTCACCCAGTCATAATCAAATTAGGATTGCAGTATGCTGAAGGTATCATCTCAGGTGCCAATGCTCGATGCATCGCCTTACTTTCAGCGTTCAAAAAGGTATGGCCAGCGTTTATCGTTTTTTCATCTGCCAGCTATATTATAATCATAGTTATGTATTTCTAATTCAGGTATGTGAATATGTACGCAAATGAAAGCTACTGTTTCTTAAGGTCTGCCATTTAATTCTCGATCGCTTTAGTGCTCGATCGTAGGTTTTTAACTGTAACAACGAGTTTCGTGCTTAATGCGCTTATTAAGCAACAGTTGCAACAGTCAGAGGTTGATCCAAATGTCTTGCTTCATACATACGATAACTTGTTTATTCATGTTAAAATTCAGTTATTTCAAACCTTTGAAGTTTTCCTGTTTCGAAATGTTGGCATATTCAGTTTATCCAACGACCAAATGGTCAAAATTTGTGCAATGAAGAATTTAGTATATTATATATGTCACTTCAGACGAATTCATTTTCACCGGTTCAAATTTTGGATGAAATTATTTCTTATAGTTTGCGCCTTTGGAAAGAATAACCTTTATTTCATTTTTTCTTAGTTTTAATAAAAAATCTCTCATTGCCAATTTCCGATATTAGAAATCCAAATAACCGTTTCTTCTATTTTATTTCCATGAAAATATGTAGTATGTTTCAAGGAATTTAAAAGGGTTCAAGTGTTCAAAATTTTAAGGAAAAGTTTATGTGCCCAAGGTGCAATTGAAACTGTTGTCTTACTCCGTGTTTGCATTTTTAGTCTTCAGTGTGTTTTACAAGCTACAAATTTCATTTTTCAAGACAAATGGCCAAAAACTTGTCCCCGTGCACCGTTTTTCTCGACCCTGGTCAAACCAATCACGAATTCAGCGACGGAGCAAGGGATACTGATTCACTTCTGCTCAAATCAAATGTTTTTTCAACAGTCGATTTTCATTTTCTGTACGAAGTTTAAGCATTTTGAATTTAAACTGCTTTGCTTATCCTTATTGATTTTATTGGTCATGCCAAGATTGATATTTACAATCAATGTTTTACGCAAATATGAGCTCCCTAAGTAAAGGTGACTAAAATGTCGGATACGCATAGGCTTTTAGATGTCAATCATTTTTCTGTGTTTAATTCCTAGGTGATTGCAGATTACACAACACCGCCTTCAAAAGAAATATCAAGGGATTTGGAAGCAAGAATAAAACCGTACATAAGGTACCGAACGATCTTAGAAAATTCTTCGTTTCAGTTACTCACTGCCCCTGCTCCCAATATTTGAGAAATTTTTCTATTCTAGACTATGCTTCAGGTAGCAAACGCAGTGTTAAACATACTCGTATCCTTTCTAGCTTTCTGACGCAATGCAGACCCCTTTCCGTCAGCATGGGCAATGCAATAAAGTATCTTAAAATTCAGATTACAAGCATACCCCCTGGCACTCCTGAGCAAGAGGTAAGCTGTTTTTGTTCTTTTAAATTCCTTGGGTTTCGTTTAGCCTCTCTGTTTATGATCGTTGTATCAAATCAAAATTGGAACTTCTGTTTTGGGGCATTCGAATATTTAACAGTGAAATGGCATTGTGAGAATTTAGCTTTCCAAAAACCGCATTAATTTGCTGCCGGTACGCTCATTTCAATGTATAGTAAATCGAAATTTTCCCCTTTATACCCCGTTTCAAATTCAGATTTTGTTTGTTTTGGCAATTTTATATGTATATATGTAATTCGCCACAATCCTTTTATTTACAGGTAATAAAAGTTAAAAAAATTATATGAATTAAAAGCAAATATAATCACCCCTCAAGTGGCATGGATAACATTGAAAGGCCAAGCTGACCTAATTTCCATAATGATCCCCTTAGAGGTGCAGGTTTAACAGGAAAATGAGTTGATCTCTGAAGCTGCCTAGAGATAAATATTCTGATTTATTATTCACTAGGCCAAAGACTCTTTATTAAAATGTATCGATGCATTTATCAGTGAGCGAATTATTCTGCCTGGTGAAGCAATTTCAAAGACTTATGCAAATACAAAAATTAATGATGGTGATGTTATTCTAACTTATAGTTGGTGAGTGCAATATTTTCTGGCTAATTATTTTGAATGTATGTTTCTTTTCTCCATTTTTAACCCATTGATCTTTCGAGGGTTAGCCCCTGAAGTTATTTTTTCTAGAGTCAACGATTATCAAGCGAAATTTCTTATAAGATATGCTAACATGCTTTTTTGTACATTTTTTAATACGTAACTGTTGTCTAGTAATCGTATTAAGCGTGAAACTGGGAGTAACAACTTAGAACTGTCCTGTTCTAGAGAGCAAAAGGTTGTACAGCTCTGCTTATACCCTATCGAACACTTTTTGACAGACCAGTGAACAGTACTTTTCATGACTGTTTTCTAGTAGATGGGTTACACTTAATTCTAGCATTACAAAGTAGCGAATGTCTCAAATACTAGTCATACCCATGTTTCATTCGACCACGATTTCAGTCCATGGGTGATCTCCAACAGCAGATCTTTGCCGTCTTTCAATAATAAATCAAGTTTAGTTGCATTTGAGATGCTTTATATCTGATATCTTGATTAGAACAAGTTTAAGTAAAAAGCTTGGCTAAAGAAAAAAATCCTTGAGCATAGGTTTTTTTTGTCTTTGACTAAAAACTCTGCAATATTCCATACATGAAACTTTTGGCACGGGACTACCACTATAAGAACATGTCCACACTTTGAATACATTTTCTGCTTTGTTTACAGTTCTTCTTTGATTGTAAACATTTTGAAAGACGCTTATGTAGCTGGCAAGAAGTTTCAAGTTATCGTTGTCGACTCAAGACCAAAATTTGAAGGTATTTGTGTTCTGATTTATTTCTTGCTAACAGTCTAACTCAGTTTGTTATTTTGATCATTGATAAATGAATGTTTTTTCTTTCAGAGTCTTTTCGTTCTTCTAGTCTTTAGTTCAGCCACCACCTCCCCAAGGAACTGAATTTAGACGATTTGCTGCAAAATGTCTTGCTTTATTCTAATTTTAAATAAAGTTATCATTTGAGATTTAAAGCCCTTGTAGTTTATCGAATAAATTATTTGAGTTATTTTCGCGTGCTCCCCTTTCACTTCCACAGCACTCTCTATTTGTACTATTCTAATATTACAGCATATTATATGTCTTATAGTTGTAATATTTCAGTTCATCTTTTTCTTTTGAATGTTTTATTTCTACTTTGAAGGCCGCAGGGTTGCTTCTATTTTCATTGGTCTATAACGTTTTAGATGGATAAAGTTGTGATGGCTTTTGTAAATATTTTATACTTATTGACGATATCCGCCCAGAACCAGTTTTAACATCTTGTCCATGAGATAAATAATTGAAAATTCAGAGTCTTAAGAGCTAGAATTGTTTCTTTTCTCCTGGTTTGATTTAGCGGCGATTGTAATAATTTCTTTCTATTACCAACTTACGAGAAAGATTTGTCTGATTTTTAGGTCGCGAAACCGTTCGTAGGTTGTCAAATATTGGCATCAAATGCTCGTACGTGCTGATAAATGCTGCATCGTTTATTATCAAAGAAGTAAGATACTCATTGTGTGTAATTTTATAAAGTATAAAGATGGTTGTCATTTTATGTGCATTTAAAAATTTGAAATTGTCTATACCGCTATTAGAAATTTCTCTAGTCGAAGATCGCTCTATGTCAAAGTAAGATTAAATGTCTTTTGTGTTTAATTCAGTATGAGCTCTATCCAAAATTTTGGCAAAATATTTTTAATAGGGCCATGTAATTTTCAGTTGAACACGAAGATTGCTATTAACGACAGATGTTTCTTTCTCTCTCTATTTCTCGTTATTCTGTTTCTTCTCGATTGACCTTTTGTTTATATTAAAGAAAAAAAATTCTTAGAACGTATTTAAATATGTGAACTATTTCTTTGCAACGGAGGGGGGGGGGGAATTAGCTTGCTAGCCCCAAAGGGTTTCTCTAGGGAAGATTCCCAGGAGTATCCAACTACCCTGAGCAACCATTTCTGACAATTAAATCATTCGAACATTACTCCATTGTGCCTCAGTTGGTTTTTGCATTTTCTCACACTTCTGGTGATCTTAATCTTGTTCCAAGGGCCCAGTGTATTCAAATTGTCAATTAATTTCTACTTTGGTTGCCTTTGAGAACTAATACCGCAATTTTTGTGGTTTCCTAACCTACATTGAAATATGAGAACCATATGCCCCCCTCCATTTGGGCCTTTCTTGTATTTTGAGCTCAACAAGGTTATTGAGAAAATCGCATGCAGATGGTTCTTTGTTCTTTATAGGCTTAATTTTGTAACAAAACTCTATTCCAGGTGACAAGAGTGTTCCTTGGCGCCCATGCATTGCTGGCTAATGGTTACGTAATGTCACGTGTTGGCTCTTCGATAATCGCCATGGTGGCAAAAGCTCACAATGTCCCTGTTCTTGTTTGCTGTGAAACGTTTAAGTTTTGCGAAAGAGTACAAACCGATGCCTTTGTATTCAACGAGCTAGGTTTGCCTTTATTCTTTGATTTTCACAGAAGCAGAGCCCTAGGCTTCCCTAATCCTCTACCCGTTAATCTTTTGTAGTAGTTTGGCAGATTTTTTTAAAATTGACCTGATCGCAGGGATGGTTTAGCTGAAATGAAAAGTTTAGAGTGGATTTTAGTTTTTCAACGAGACTTTGCACTTAGGATAATGGATGTCGTCTTTTGATACCCGTATGTATAATGTGAGGTACGATGATTGAAGAAATTGGTAAGACAAAGTCTTAAAGGCTTAGAACATTTTTCCTTCCGATCATATATTGTTAATTTCAACAGTATTTTTAATGGTCCTTGTAGTTTCAGTGTATATTTGAATAAATCATATTGCCACAGTCTTGAATTTTATAGAATTTCCACCAAGGCAAACGGCACCCCTCTATATTTGAACTCAAGTGACTGATTGGATTCATTTCTAATATTGATTTATGCTGCTTATATGGCGAGCCATGTTTTTGGGGACATTTAACCATAAAAGTCTTAGTGATTATGACGGGAACTCTCCGCTCTGGCAGTAATACATCTCCTCTTGATGTCGCGTCATTTCTGTAGTGTTGCCGCCTTTGATACATCACAAATTCTTTGATGATTTATTATTGCTTTTTCATATCTCATTACACGTTCTATTATTCTTTTTCTCTAGGCGACCCAGATGATTTAGTCGAGACTCGCATTTCGAAGACCGACGGCAATATTTTAGAAGGTTGGAGAGACATTTCTTCTTTGTACTTGCTAAATCTTGTTTATGACGTCATGCCTTCTAGTTTTGTGGACATTGTTGTAACTGAATTAGGCATGATCCCGTGTACATCGGTGCCTGCTGTATTGAATAAGAAATCATAACCAATAACCTTATGAATGCTTATATTGTCTTCGGTGACTTCGTATTCTAAGATAGGCCAAATCGAAAGTCTTTCTTTGGCCTGCATATTAAATTCTAATCAACTGATTCGTTGTTCTTTGCCGCTATAAAAAAATCGTCTCGATTGTACTTTGCTTTCATTGGTTTGCAGTGGCCTTCTAGTAAACATATTTTCAATGTTTTTGGAGTAAGGAATAGCTTTTCCCAATCTCCTAAAATATATTATGTTAAAAAGCCCATATAATGGAGTTCATCAATTTCCATGCTCCATTTCACGACATTGCTTCTCACTATGTAAAGAGTCAAAATAATTTGAATTGTTGTCATCCCCCCTGTGTTTGGTCCTAGATTCAAGGGGATGGATTGGGGGGTGTGCCCGGTCCAATCGACACAATAAGGTCTTGGGGATGGACCAAGTACAATAATCGATCTTGATTGATAGGAAGCCTGTCATGGTTAGTGATTGTGAAAGTTAACAACTCCTTATGACTCTCTCGGAGGTTTTGAGATTTCTGTGGTAGGTTTAACATCAAGTATCTAAAGTTTTGGGTTCAACATCAGATAATTGGTGGTAGATTTAACACCAATTACCTGAACGTTAAAGCGGTTCCTTATCAAAGTCAGGTCCGCGTTTCCGCGTTTTCTGTTGGTTCATTTCCCGGAAATGGAAAACATGGCGTTCGCATATTCTCGCCTTTGGTTTACCTGGGTTATGATTCCAACTCGACCAGCAAATGAACTTTGAAACTATTTATCAAGGGTTGTTTGATATAAAAGATCAAGTGGTATGACTTTTACTTTAAACTGAATACAAAATGCTTATTGCTTAAATGTATATTATTTTATACAACAACCTATGCAAATGCAAATGCATTGTTTACAAAATTGCTACATCGTAACTTCTTAATTTTAAAATGTACATTGTGTACATTAGCAAGTAGACATTGTTGTACCGATATTTGAACATCGAAATTTACAATGATAATAAATCATCCGTGTGATTAATTACTTATAGGTTTATTACCAGAGAAACATATTAAAAAGAATTGAGCGAGTGGTAAGCTACAAATAATAAGTGATTTTAGATACAATTAAATTTTCTTTAATTCCTCATGTTATCTATTTATAAGATGACATAACAGTCAATTTGTTGAAATGGTAGAACCCTATTGCTTTAAGTTGATTAAAATTCCCAAAGTATGGAAGCGCAAAGCAGCTTTTGGGGATATTTGAGGGATATATCTTGGGAAAACCCACGAATGACCATTACCTGAGAAAAGTTAGCCCTAAATAAGTTGGTTATTATCCTAAAATTCCCTGGCATTTGGCCTGTGAGCCTGTGGATATGCTCTGTCATCACCTCTTTTGTCATTTAGGCCAATCGTGACAGTACCTCTCTGTTTTTTATTACTGCCTAATGACTGATGTAAGTTTTTTAAACCCGATTTACTTGGCTAAACTGTTTACTCTATTTTCATGACAATTAAAGCGGCAGAAATTCTGGGCAGGGGAAGACTTTGTGCAGTTGCATTTTCCAGTTAAGGCACAGTCGCATGTGGCTTTGGGAAAAGCTGGTGTGTTGTAAGCATATTGGCGCTCGCGGTACAGCTTTTAGAAATCCTAAGGCTGTAATTTTTCTATACAATGTACTAATGTTTAGTAACTCTGTAATCATTTCGCCTTTTTTGTAGCAGTTTGTTGTATACATTCTGCCAGTTCGATTTCAGGGGTCCTGTAGACAGAGACCTCGTTTGGGCTTTTTCAGCTTGGCGGTAATAGCTGTAGCCTTGGTATGTTTGTGGCATGGTTTGAGGCATGGTTTGTGGCATGGTTTGTGGATACTGTTGCCAAGGAGCACTCCTTGAGAATACGTTAGCCTGTGGATTGTATGATCCGGCAAGCGGTGGACTATTGTAACCCTGATGTAAATTATCCGGCAGAAGCGAAACCATGCGCGCTACGGCAGCGTTATGTGCCTGTGCGGTTTTTGCCTCGTTTACAACCGATGCAGCACCACCCGGAGCTCCATTGTCCGGTGTTATGTGAACAATGGTGGTGGCTGGGTTTTGGCTGTCTTTTAGTGGGGCAACTTCATCTTTGGTTGTCACAACCTTGTGTTCTGCTCTTTCTTTTTCTTGTTGTTTAGTAATGTCCTCTATAGGTAAATCGATCGGCCCATGCTCGTTGTGAGGGTTGCGCAGCGGAGGACTGTTCTCGTGATGCTCCGCGTGGGTATAGTCCTTGTGTTTTACAATAACAACAGAGGGGTTGGCTTTTTCTAATTTCCCGACAGGTGGAGTAGTTCTTGGCGGGCGCTCATAAATAACCATTGGCGTAGGTGTAAGCGGCTCAAAATCTGTACAACGAAAGTTCATTTTACAATATTGTATTGTAAAAAAATTGCTTTTATAAATCTGAATTCTTGGGATGAAATAAGAGAATGAGTTTCTTTCGGGAAAGTTTAGTTTGATGTCTTTTACCTCTTTTCATAGAAAAGATTGAATTGCCTCTTACCTGGGGGTTCAGTTGGGTGAAGGGTTTGTTCCTCCTCTTCTGGTGAAGCAAAAGCGTATTGTTCTGCAAAAAATGTTTGATAGCCTTTTAACCTTCCTCGGCGTGTAAAGTTATCATTTTGCGGGAAGTTTATTTTTTTAGCAAATAGTTTGTTATTGATGAAGTTTATATGACTTTTTATTGGCGTCGTAGTTTAAACATAAAGCTGAACAGTCGGGTGGCATAAACACCTCGGATCTGTTTCATCACAACTTTTATTCGAAACAACTGTGAATTTTTATAAAGAATCATGTGCAATGGATCTTTGGAAGCTGCAAAGCAGAGTATGAAAGGCGCGTGCTTTTTGCTTGCCATCATACTGTGAGATCAGTACTAATGGCTCAATTTGACGCCACGCTTAAAATGATATCAGTCATAGGTATACATTATACCGACTATCTTACTGTCGCAAAGACAATCCTCATTACAATTACCATTGGTTGGATTGAAATTTGAGTATCTGAAGTTTTAGAGCTTTGTGTCGTTGGGTGTGTGTCAATTGTACGTTTAGCCAAAATGACACTTACTTTCGCAGTTCTTGCCTTCGAATCCGGCCGCACAGAGACAGTGATATCCGGTTTCGTCATAATTAAAGTCCGGATGGGTTATTCCATCGATGCATGTTCCATTGTGGTAACACGGGGCCGATGTGCATGCTGGGAATGGAACTGCGAAGAAGAATTCGCAAGAATGTTATATCCACGAAATTCAAGCGAGGTTCTAACGATATATCTTATGAGAATTAAATTGTGAGGTGGTAGGAAGATAAATTTGCTGGAAATACTGATTGCTTGGGTCACCGCAGCTCATCGATAAGGCAGTGCACCATCCTTATTCCGAAAGGACTCAAGATTATTGAAAGCATATTTGATTAGCTGGAACATTGAGCTTCAAAACTGTTTCTGGTCTACAATAACCTACAAGCGCTGGCTTCAAAGAGTAAAGCTTCGATGATAGCTTTAAAATAATGACAGTGGTAAGTACCAAATTCGCTGACTTATAACAGATAGAATTCCTTCTAAGAGTAAGATATGCCTGTTACTGAATAACAGACAACCTTGCTATAAATATTCATCATAGTTTCGTAGCCTTCAGCCATAACAATAGCAACTTTAAATATGCGCCTAGTTGTTCCATTTATTACATACAGGAGTAAGCCGTGTCACAGCTAGGCCTATTTTATCGGCCATTATATCTCCAGTTGCAAAACGTATTTGCATCTCAGCGCATCTTTGCACTGGAGCCTGGTATGATTAATAATAAGTAAATCGACTGGCTGTGACGTTTCTAATTTTGACATTGAGCTTCAAAACTGTTTCTGGTCTACAATAACCTACAAGCGCTGGCTTCAAAGAGTAAAGCTTCGATGATAGCTTTAAAATAATGACAGTGGTAAGTACCAAATTCGCTGACTAATAACAGATAGAATTCCTTCTAAGAGTAAGATATGCCTGTTACTGAATAACAGACAACCTTGCTATAAATATTAATCATAGTTTCGTAGCCTTCACCCATAACAATAGCAACTTTAAATATGCGCCTAGTTGTTCCATTTAATATATACAGGAGTAAGCCGTGTCACAGCTAGGCCTATTTTATCGGCCATTATATCTCCAGTTGCAAAACGTATTTGCATCTCAGCGCATCTTTGCACTGGAGCCTGGTATGATTAATAATCGACTGGCTGTGACGTTTCTAATGGAATAAGGGTATTACCTTCACAGTTCCTTCCACTATACATGGCATTGCAGAAGCATTTGTATTCGTTAATATCCTCAAAATGGAGGTCTGGGTCATTGTTTGATGCTACGTCGATACATCTCCCATTATGCAAGCAGGGCGCAGAGAAGCATGGTGTTGGACCATGAAGAGTCACTAACATAAAAAGGGAAAGGAAGTGGAATTTAACGAAGCAAGCCATTAAGACTTTAAGAAGGATATACTCAACCATGTTTAAAAGAAGCTTGATGATCCATTTGCCAAGCATGATTAATGACATGGTAGTAAATATTATTTCTTATATATCAAACAGCAAAATTTATATTATACTCATCACATTGCAGTATTGTCATCTAAAGACAAAATTGTATTTGATGGAATGATCTACAACGCCTCAAGTCCCGCATAAAGATGCAAATTAAATGATTGATTGAATATCGAATCTGAATTACGTTGTTGAAACTTATTTCTATATATTAGACATGCATCTCAAGCATCTTGGCATTCATTTTTGGCTTTTTAAATTTCATGCTTACCTTCACAGTTCCTTCCAATGTACCCAGGTAAGCAGTTGCATTTGTAACCATGAGAGTCGAAACTGACTTCAGGAAGAACGGAAGGATCCAGGCAACTGGCTCCGTTTTGACAAGGGTGTGACCAGCATGCGAAGTGTGGAACTGAAACAAAGTGTTTTGCTACATTCTACGAAAGTTAATGTTTATCGATAACGGTCGAGCCACTGAAAAATTGAATAAAATTGGTAATATTGGTAAAAGCCACCTTAAAAGCGATCTAAAATAGGCTGTGCACAGCCATTTCTGTTTCGACAACATCATTGAATTGGACTGATGAAAAAAGGCTTCGTATAAACGGTCAAACCACCTAAATTTTGTGTAGGATTTCCAGGAGTCAATTGAGATTAATCTTGTGTTTGATTTCCATATCCAAGGGTCTGGGGTTCGAGTCCTTGACATCACTAAACACTTAAGAGTTAGTGGAGTCACACATCCTTGCAATTCAAGGCGTAGGATTCACGAGGTGTGGTCGCATCGAGAGGCAGGACCAGGACACCGCTTGCTAAGCAGGCATTGTCTGTAAGTATCCTAAAAACTACCTTTAGATGCTGGATAGAAACAAATACAAACAAATGCAATTGATTACTTTCGCATTGCTTTCCGCTGTATCCATTTTGGCAGTAGCATTCATAGTCATCTGGGTGTTTCATGTGCCTTCTGTATTTCTCATCAGAAGAATCGAAGCACGTGGCATTGTTCAGGCATGGCACTGAACTGCAAGCCCCAAGACTTGTCTCTGTAGAGAAATTCACAGCAAGGTGAGTGTCTTGTGATTATTTAAATTTACAGTATTACTCAGAGTTGGCTTATTGATTTGTACCTTGCAACTGTACTGCGAACTGTTGTTTCGATGTTGCAAGCGATATATCAATTTTTTCATCATCTTCGCATATCATACAAAATTACCTAGTTTTTAACCACGATTCAAAAACGTTGCATTTATTGCTCCTGGGGATCGGTGCACAAATCGAATATAAATTCACACTCAAATGCATTCATCAGTGGAAAGCAATATTCAGATTAGGGGAAATTGTTTATCAAGACGTGGGTACTTATGTCTTTTTGTTAATTCGATGTTAATTGTTTCCAGCAAGATGATGGTTTCCAGCACGAATTTCTTAATCTAACATTTTTTAATCAACCTCTAAAACTATTTGATCATTTTTAATTCATTACGCCTTCGTTCACTTATTCTGTCGAGTTTTATTTTTGATTTTGTTACCTACCTTCGCAATTCTTTCCTCGGTATCCTTGTGGACAGAAACATTTGTAGTCTGTGTGCTCAATAAGAATAATTCCTTTTGAACGGCTATTGGAATTATCAACACACAAACCATTGTGTTGGCAAGGAGTGCTTTGGCATGGGTTGAAAACTAAAAGAGAAATTTACTTTTAATACATCTTCACATTTGGACTTTTTTGTCCATGTTAGGTGCTATTATATTTGCCCTCTCTTTTGCTTCTTAGGACCTTTTTACTGTCCGCAAGGGTCGCTCTTTGAATTTAGGTGACCGTCTTTCAAGTCTCAACCCCCCAACTTCCATGATGGCCTGCTATGACTTATTTTGCCTGCTCTTGCATGTGGTGGAACTGCTTTCATTTAATGATTATTGTGAAAGATTTAGATATTCCTCTTAGCATAGAAATGTCGATTGACTGTTGTTACCAACATGTATAATGATAGCCCTTTTTCTGCTCGTTTTCACTTGCTCTCTGAGAGTCTTTTGTGTTTCTTTCCTGAGCGTTGAATATTTTTTACCAATATGCCGCCATCAAGTTGTACCACCAAGATTTCCTAACGCTTAGAAGTAGAGCTTGAAAATCTTGCTATGCTCAACATTAATCTTATTGACAGCAAAGCAAGATCTTGTAATGACTTGTTCAATCTGAATTTGTTTTAGGTAGGACGTACCTAAATCTGACTCTTTGCTATCAATGAAGGTGCATACGTTTATTACCCACAATGTAGCTCTAAGCTCTTCAACAAAAAACTTTGCGAATTTTCTTCGTCCCTTTGTGGTTTTCCTATCTCTGTTAAGACCAGGGCATTTGAGAATCATTTGAGTTGATAGACAGAGAATACCAAAGAAAATCATCTGCATTTTAACAAGAATAAAGAAGTTACATGATTTAACATACATTCGCATCTTGCTCCAGTGTAGCCAGCTTTGCACTGACATATGAAGATTTTTCCATCTTGACCAGGAACGCATTTTCCTCCGTTTTCACAAGGATCTGGACTGCAAATGTCACCAATGGCTGTTAATAGCACAGATAATTGTTAAGTAAATTCTTTTTAATAATTTGATCATGACTCGTCATCAGGCCTTTGCATCACTCATCACAACCAGCTATGGTTATAGCTGTTAGAGGCCTTCATTTCATCATGTTTTTAGCGTAGCTATACCAGCTACAAATTAGATTTGGGAAATCAGCAAAATTTTGAAATGAATATCCACAAGATCTGCCTAATGTTGTTTTTGTTTATAGAATTTCTCTTAAACAGAACAGAAAACATGGGCCTAGACAGAGTTTGAATGACATGCTAATTTTGCCATATATTACTCTATATGTTGGCATTGATTTGATAAAAGGGTGTATCTGATGCTTCGTTTAAAACCAGAATTATCTATTCTCGCATGCACAAATAAAATTTTGAGTATAATCGTTAATGAAAGGTATGAAGAGATTCAACTCACATTTGCATTTGTATCCGTTGCCAATAAAGCCAGGCTTGCACACGCAGTGTCCCTGCTTGCAATGAGCATTTGTGCTGCAGCCTTCACACTTGTCAACTACGTATCGACAAACAATGTGATTCAGTTAGACAAGTATTGAATGCGTCATCAACACAAAATCAAGCTTATCATTCTACGTTACTTTACAGTATCATGCATAATATTGGTCGTAAAGTTTTCCTGAAAAGAGTATGTTTAGACAGTTTCAGAGATTCAATGAATTGGTCCATGAAGAGACAATGAGGTGTGCTCACTGAGCACTCCGTTACATCGTCATATAATAAGAGGTTGAAGCAGTCTGAGTTTTAAAAAAGTCAGCATGTCAAGTTCATTAAGTGTGCCAAATTACACGCTTCACGTTAAAATCCAAAAACTACCATTATTTTACACCATTCTGCTGGACTACAGTAGCTTTCACAATATAAACATTTCTCCGAGTTTAAAAGTTTCTCATACAGTAGGCATTCGGGGTCTGAGTTTGCTGGTCTCACTTCAACCAAGCAGCTTCAATTGACTCAATTTGCAGTGATATCATAAAGAATGTTATTCTGTTAAATTGGAAGCTTGCTCGCTTTGTATTAATAATATATTTCCATTGCTGATACTGTGCCAATTTAAATGATAGCGTTTATCCTTTCCAAGGCAGTTTTATGGAAAATTATAGTTTAAAGAAATACCCTCGCACAGGTTGCCCCCGTATCTTTGCCGGCATCTACATTCCATTCCGTCTTTTGTATTGACGCATCTACCGCCATGTTGACATGGACTCCCTTTCGCACAGCTATCTACCTCTGCAAAAACAAATTTCAATATATAGGCCTTAGACGGAAATTGCTAGATCCGTATACTTTTGGAACTGCTGTGCACCGGATCCGGTATACACGGTTAGATACTTTTGGGTCCGTATACTTTAGGTCCGGATACTTTGGGTCCGGATACTTTGGGTCCGGATACTTTTGGGTCCAATCTAGTTCACTTTTTGGGTAAACAGGGTCTAATATACCGGATGAAATTTTATCTTAAGAATTATGACTTTGACAATAAAGCAATGCAATACTTCTAAACGATATTTATTATCTAGGTCAAACTCACTTTCACATTGGTAGCCTCTGTAGCCCCTTATGCAATCACAATGGTATCCTCTCACGTTATGTGCCAATCTGCATGTACCTTTATGGAGACATGGGTTTGGATCGCAAGGGTGCAAGTCTGAAATGTAGTTGTTGACGGTTAAAGGACAATTTGTAAAAAATGATAAAAAATAATGAAGTTTATTGTTAACAGGTCTGTTAACGTTGCCATATAGGTACATTTCTTAAAAAAAGACCTGCACATGCTATAGAGAGTAAAACAGAGAGTTTTAAGTTTCTGGTACAAGTTTTACGGCTATTGAGAATATATATGTGGTTATGCATGGCTATAAGAACTGAACATACCGTCGCAGTTGACGCCAGCATACCCTGACATACACTGGCATTGATATTTGCTGCCTCGGGGAATGCAAATCCCTCCATTTCGACATGGCGACTTTTCGCACGGGTTGGCATCTGCAACGCAAGAAAAGGAGGGTCTTCTCTTTGCCTACTATACTCATTAAACTATATTTGTTGTATTTGTAAGTAATTTGAAATAACTGAGCTCATTACATTTAAGATTATTTTATCCTTACTCTGTTCTGTCCACCTACATTTTATTTAGCTGCTTCTACAACCTTTATAAGTTTTCACAAATATTTTTTGTACATTGGCTTTTTAAAAAATTATCAAATTATATGCATTCCATGCAAGCCTATTAAATATTGAAATTAGATAGCCGTTCTGTCGTTTTATAGATTAGAGAAATCAGCTCAAAGAACTTAAGTTTCATCAAATTTAAGAAAAACATTCACATCAGCAAAAATCACAGCTTCCCTAATATCTTCTCTTTCTACATTAGCAAACATCTTTGTTGCTTAATCTGGTCAAAACCCAAGAAAATAATCACTGTTTTAGTAATTGTGAACCAACTTCAAAAACCGTTTCATTTCAGATTTTTTCGTTTGAATTTTTTTTGTTTTATGTTTTGGTATATGTTCGCCTTAATAAAATGGTTCATTATATTGCCATATGATCCGAAAAAGAATGTCAGTATTCGATGTAATTTGATTTTCTCTAGACAGACGTGCTTTTGTGTAATTTAGAATTTTACTACTCTAATAACCCTTAATGCAGGGGGTGTTTTATTTTCGGACAGAATGAAGTTTCTTCACAATTCTGGACGATGAAAAAGTGGAACCAAGCACTTAGATTTGCCCAAGTTGTTAATCTCAACGAAAACTTTATAGTATTTATTTGGCAAATTCAATCTTATCGAAACATTTCTTCGTTTCAAGGATCACATCTACAGCTAAGTTTTCTGTTGGTACAATTTTATCGCCAATATCAGGCCGCTAACGGCATGCGCTTCATTATTGCCCTATTTCTACTTTAACCGAACATGTGGTGGGGAATTCTCTTGGCAATGCAAAGTAGTCCTTTCATAAACTTCTCCTACTTTGGAAATAAGAACCTCTTTCTGTTTTCTGCTGTTTAAAGTCAGCATCAGTAGGAAAAACTTACTTCAAAACTTCCCAAAGAATTATCTTTGAAGTCTCCGAGACTTTGAATTTTGTAATCGCCCAGAATCCTTTGCGGTTTGAGGACAGGGCTGACGTATGATCCCGTTCACTCTCAACAGGACCCTGTGTTATGTCTACTCTGTCATGTCTTGCCTAAACCCCCTCTTGTCATGAACCCCCTATTGTCATAAACGCCCTCTTGTCATAAACGCCCTCTTGTCATAAACCCCCTCTTGCCATAAACCCCGTTGAATTGAACGAATAGGAAATCTGAACGGATAGGTTATTGTTAAAGTAATTTGAAGCTGTCAGATTATGTCAAGATTTTTGCATTTATGTTAGCATGTTAGGAGTTTCGCTTTATGAAAGCTTATAGTTCAAGTTAGGATTCTCTTTAAAAACAGGCAAGTTTACGCTTTGTTATACAAATTTTCTTGTTAGAGAAAGCTCGCAATCCTTTGCGATGGAGACGCGACATTTAGTCCGCTTTTAGCTAATGTCTGCTTTTTCTCTTATTGAAAGGACATATCCTTTCAGATTCCCTATCCGTTCGACCTTTCCTATGCGTTCAAAACAAAGGAGTTGGCAGACAAGAAGTACTCAGTTTTTCATCGTTTTTGCATCTATTGTTAAATCGCTATTATTTACATTAACATTACTGAACTAGTAAAATTTAAGGTTTAAAACCGCCAGTTACCAAGTAGCAGCCATTTTATTTGATGATGTTGGAAATATTTTGATATTGTCATTCAGAGAGTTTCAAAGGAATGGGAAATTTAGTGATCTCATTGTGTTTGCCTGTTTCATTTTTAATGGTAGCGTATTCCGGTAAACAAAGTGAAACTCTTTACATTTTGATGTCTCTTAGCTGCTTGGACAATTTTTTCGCATCGTTGCTCCAATGTATCCTCGCACATTATAATATTTTTCTTCAAAACCCATCCAAATACTGCTGAGCTTAATACCTTGACTAGATCAGCAGAGTTTTTTCTTAAAAGTCTTAAATTCCAAAGCTTTTACCTTTCTTCACTATTTCGCATGCCAAACGTCTGGTTTCATTTGCACAACAAGGGTGAAGTTAAATATACCTTTTCGTTGCATTCACAAAAATGGTACTACTTGGGCCCTGGCTACTTAATTCTACAATCCTTATGCTTCAGAAGCATTTTTAAAGGTTACAATCCCGTAGGGATAACATGAATTTCATTAGAATTATCAAGATAAAATAAGAAAACTAAGGAAAATAAAAGTTACCTTATTTTATCTTGGAATTATTTAAAGAAACAAGTAATGAAATAAAAAGTGGAACAGAGTGGACCTCCATATTTTCTTTGATAGTTGTTATGAAAATCTGCAGACACCTCTCTATTCTGTTCCTATGTTATATGTTCCTCCCTGTATTCAAAATGATTTCTCTTAAATTTCTTGCTAGGAGCTGGCATCTCGGGTTAAACAGGACAATTTTCTTGGACAATGTTGGATCTGTCGGAGGTTTTGCTACTTGATCGGTATTTTAAAAAGGATCCCCCCTCAAAATATATCCCCCCCCTAAAAATTGACTCCCACAGACCAACTGATCTTTACTGGTTCGTTTTGTTTCGTTCTTATTTAATAATGATATACTTGATATAATAACATTCCATGCATAAATTGCTTGAACTGAAAGTGAGGTGCATGATTTATCAGATGACAACACTACAACTTACGTTGACAATGAGCTCCAAGAAAACCCGATGGACATTCACAAACGTATAGATTGTGGATTGTTCGCTTCGCTTTTTGGATGAAGCTTTTTGGTTTGACACGAGAAACTCGACTTCTCTTTGAATTCTTTGCCTTTTCGCTCATAACAGCATCAACAACTTTCTTTGTTATCTCTGCCACAGTTGCCTGATCAACCTTGTGAGCGTTTTTGTCATGGTTATCAAGGTGGTCGTCATTATGACGCTCTTCATCCTTGGTAAGGGATTCAACCTCTTCAGCTACTCCTCCGCTATGACTCTTAAATTTTGCTGCATCTGGTAGAACGACATGGTCATGGTGGCCCTGCTGTTTTAGGTGCGCATGAGCATTAATCTTTATGAGCTCGTTATCCTCTTCTTCATCATCATCATCATAATCTGTGTGTGGGTGATGTTCTGTGAATGGGTGTTCCCCGTGGTGGGGATGTTCCTCGGCATCAGCCCCATGTATGCTATTGGCCTCTTCATATCCAACATGATGATCATCACCATCGGTATCAAGATGTGGATGCACTTGTTCGTGTAAAGTATCAGAATGAACTGCTTCGGTGTCATCACTGTAGTGGTGTCCTCTATGCTTGTGTTCAGGACTCTCATAAACAAGCTCCTGGTCATCAGGGTGTTCATGTGCATATGCATGATCTTTGTGAAACAGATGACTCATAGACGACCATTCAGAATTAGGATGATCGGAATCAAGTTTCGGTAGCAGCTTATGCATATCTTGGTGACTTCCATGGTGGAGGTCACTATTCGTTGCTTGGTCGTGTTCTTCGTATAACTCTGGGTGATGGTTCGGTGTAAAGCTATTGTCGCCCAATGGCTCTTCATCTGGCTCGACAACATCAACAACACTTTCATCAGCTCCATGAATAAGGCTTGTAAGAGCTCCTTCGTGGAGATGTAATTCATTGATCTCTTTCAAGTGACTTTTGCAATTTCCTCCGTTATGACAGGGGTTTGGCACGCACGGATCCCATTCTGCAAGTGACAAGTTCAAAGTGTTTGATTATGAGGTGTAAAGTGTTTCTTAGAACATTAATAGAACATTACATGTTTATTCAAATATTTAGTAGTGATGAAAACTAAAATTTCTTGAGCTCTCATATCTTGATCTAGATTTAGCTTTGCTGGGGATTCAGGGATAGACAGGACTGCGAATTTCCTCAATCCTGCTAGTAATTATTCAATTAGATTTAATGTACGATCTATTTGGACCTTTTTGCGTATAATCAATGCCATTCGCTACACAACATGTAGCTAATTCAATGTTTCGCTTATGCTCAGCTTTCCTTCTAAATACTGAATGTCACACTTAGAAGCGAGAAGTTCTTCGCAGAACAAATTATTAAAGCAAACGCTGTATCTACCTCGTTCACTTTTATATGTATAAACAGATACCATATTAGTGTATTATGAGGAATCATGATTTTACGCACCTGAGCAGTCGTGTCCGTGATAAGGAAAGGCACACTCGCAAGCATAGCCATGTTCAGTGTTTGATGCAATGCATGTTCCTCCGTTTCTACATGGATTTGGGAGGCAGATGCTCTCTACAATCAGATACAAACAACAGTTAAGTTCTGTCATATCTTATGCTAATTGCTTAGAATTTAGGGGTCCTTAATGTGTAAAGAAATTCTTGTAAAATAAAGAAGAAATAGTTCCATGTCAGTCCTGATTTGTTTATTAGAAATTAAATTACTTTGAATTTGAAATTGTTGATGCTCAGTTTTTGTAGTATGCAAACCTCAGCCCCGGGGATAGAAATAGGAAAGAAATACTGAATCAGAATTTTTTTTGCGAAATAAAGTTCTTCAACGAAAATGAAATTTGTGCTTTTGGAGCATTCGTGACCCATGCTCCTTTAAGGAAATTTTCTAAGACTACATTAATCTGAAGTAAGGGACATAGAACGAAATATTTGTGAATGACCCCATTTTAAACATAAGGAAGTGTGTCTATTTGAAAAGCCGATGCTTCGTTTGATGAGTCGAATAAATTTACTGTAATTCAGCCAAAATTTGAAATGTAGGTTGGTTTCACTTGGCTCCGTTTCATTTGAAACATTGAGCACAGTTTTGGATTCCCTTGGCTACATGTTCATTATTTGCTAATGATAATAGATTATGACTGATGAAGTAATGATACTTACGCTCACACTGGCCACCAAGGAAGCCAAAAGGACAATGACACGTGTATGTGCCAATGCCTTCCATGCATTGACCGTTGTTGAGGCAAGGGTTAGAATCACAGAACGCTTGCACTGCAATTGAATGAAAGAACGTCTTACATCAAAACGATATGACTATTATCATATAAAACTCAAGCAAGATTTGTGTATATCATAGAAATGCAACGAAGCTACTTTTCTATTAACCAAGCATGCAATTGACGATCAGAGTCTCAAAGACCGTAACTTACGTAACAATTCTAAAACGCCATTTATCATAGGAAATTGCCAAAAAGCTAATTTAAGCACAACGCATCTTTTGAGAGATTCTTTTTTAACCACGTGCAAAGCAATGTCCCAGGAGGAGTCTTCCATTTTTACAGACTAGTGATGAATTAAATTCTTGCATTCTTATCAAATCTTGTGTGTATACTTACTCAACTGCAATGTCTTTGAGATGAATTTGGCAAACTCAGGTGGAACATTCACCTTGGTCCCTTGACAAAGCTAGCTTCCTCTTGGGACATTGCTCTGATTTGGTGCGAAAAGAAGATCTCAAGAGATGAGCTTAGCTTACAAATTTGCTACACCAGCTACGGTCTTGATCTCTTGCTGACAGTAAATATAATACCGCTCAGTAGCCAAAACAATGTTATAAGGACTATGCATTGATGGCCTTTTTATCGTGCCTTGTGTAGAAAAGCCAAATTAATGCTCTATGAGCTGCCTCTCAAAAACAGGACCAAGAAACAGCCTGTTTCTATCATACCTTCACACAATTTTCCAGCATAACCAGTTTCGCACTCGCAAATGTATTCATTCTCTCCTTCATAGCAACGCCCTCCGTGGTGGCATGGATTTGGATGACAAAAACTTGAAACTAAGAACAAAAGAAAGCAAAATAATGTAAGTAGAATAGATAAATAATCTTATGGATAACGAGATCGTTATATCCCTGCTACCACCTTGATATAAGCGACCCCCACTCCGCAAAAATTGCTTATCAACCAGCATGATGCTGTTTACATGTCACATGTTCTAAAATCAGCATCGATCTGAGAGCAGTACTGTGGGGTGTCTGGGGGGGACTGTACTGGGGCTATCTCTTTTGAAAACTAATTTTAAAAAAGCGTTATTAACGTATCGAAGCTTTGAGCTTTCTCGGTCACCAAACTCTTTATCATTTTTTAAGGGGAAGGGGAAGGTTGAACGGTTGCGGGTCTTGGCTCTCTCGTTTCGCTATTTGATGCGAGGCAAAGTGGCCAAACTTTTAGAAAGCTCAGCTGCAATGCTGAAGGTTGGTGGTGTGAATCCCGGTACGACCCATGATTTGGGCACTTTTTTCCAGTCAATCCAGCAGCAAAATTGTACCGAAAGGCATCACGGTTGCGGCTAGAGACAGCAAGGAAAGGAGCTGAACTGCTCCCTTCTCTCCCATAGTTCTGGCCCAGGACAAGTTCTCTAGGTTGTGTAACACTACTGTTGCAGAGAGATTGCGAGGAAATTTTCTGGTACAAATGAAAAAATAAGCTAAAAACGAAAAAGCTTTGTACATTTGAAGTAATTATTTGATAATGGTTCACATACCTTCACAATGAGACCCCCTGTATCCGTCCACGCATGAGCAGATGTATCCAGTATCAGTATTTTGACAAGCTCCATTATTTTTGCATGGATTAGCGTAGCAAGGATTCGTCACTATGTAAAAAAACGTTAAATTCTCATGTTTACCGTATTTATAATAATTTTGGGATTTCAATTCAATGGAAGTTAAAATCCTTGCGTGTTTTGCAGCAGGATTTTTTTGCGATGTATTATGTAATCAAAGGGCTGTGTGAGAGAGCACGAGAGTAACAGAGATGAAAATGGACGAATATACAAACTCTATATTCTGTGAATCTTCAAGGCATGCCCTGAAAAGAAGCTGTAACCAGCAAAAGTTTATAGCTAGAACCATTTTGCTATATATCTTGTGTTTATAAAAGAAACATTTGAGGGAACAGAATGGAAATTCCTGACTTACATTCACAAGATAATCCGTGGTATTTGATTGGACAGATACAGTGGTATGAGTCGCCATTATGGGTGCATGTTCCACCATTGAGACATCGGTTTGGAAAACACTGGTTGCGAACTGGAATTGGAAGAATTTGACTTACACTTAGAAGAAATATGCAAATGGAAATAATGGCTATGAGATTAGTATTTACTTAGGGAATCGCATAAGGAATGCTTTAAGACATCAGTTTAACAATCGAACCAGAATTTATAGTAGCATTTAGAAACTAGGTATTTCTTACACAAGCTATTTTTAAAATCATTATTTCTTTCTCAGAACTGGGCAGAGCACGTTTTGTTCAAAAGAGACAACTATTGTACCTTTTATGAAAAAAATTTAAGCTTGGTGCAGGTAGTTCTTTTATCAATAATTCTTTTTATCAATGACATTTTATATATTTTCTAGCTAGGTATGTGAAGGCCCTTAAATGTTTATTTGCTCGCATGTCATTGCGCTCAAGGCGCTTGCAATCCTTTGCGACGATACTGTGGACAAGATACATACGCTCGCACAGATCTCCAGCCCATCCTTCTGTGCAGTTGCAAACAGTGATCCCGGCTTTTGCTTCTGTGCAGCCACCATTCACACATGGATTTGGAAAGCATGGGTCTTTTTCTGGAATTCAAAATGTAATGTCAAGCATTTCTTTGCAGATTTTATTTGGGAAAATTCGCGATTCACACGCTGCCTCGGCAATAACTGCTAGCATTGACGGAAAGGATTTTAATATAAAAAGTTTTTGTTCAATTTTATAGAAGAGAATTAAACATTATGATAGACTTTGTGACTGCACGCTTGTTTCAGTCTTTTTCTAAGTTTCTTATTCGCATTTTTCATTGCCATTCCATGTGTGGAAATGAAAAGTTATCATTTTTACTAATGTTCAGAAAAAAAGTTTTACATAGAATTTACATTCTAAAATTTTAATTTTGTTATGATTCATAACAACTTGTACGCGGTTTTCTTATAAAGTGATTGTTAAAAGTAATATCTAAAAATGCGTTTTTTAAGGGTAAGAGTTTCTTATTTAAAGGTTGTTTAAGGATTCTACGAGGAGAGTTTCAGGACTTGTTTAAGAGTTTTAATAGAAGGATAGACGAATGAATATTGTAGAGCTTTTATAAGAAGGTTTAAGGATAGATCCTTTTTTGTCAATTGTATTGTATCAGAAAAATCTTTCTATATAGAATTTGACCAATAAACATTTGATGTTAATTCTTGGCTCCATTGAAGACAGCATGGCTTTTGAACTCAGATTTAAGACATACGTTTCCCAGGTATGGTAACTCTCAAGTCGAAGTTTCAAAGTTTTTATTTTCTTTCTCTCCTTTTTCTTGATTTCCCATTTCCGTTTTCTTTATTTGATGCAATGTCTAAGTGCTTTCTTTGCTCACAACATTATCTTTCTGCATGATTACATATTTTCAGTTATAGTCATTGTTTAATTGATAGAAAGTAATTTTAAATTCAACACATGCCGCGATGAACTTTCTTGGCATTGCTAATGGGAATATGTTCATATTTATGAAAGTGCATTCATGTCTGCATGCTTACCTTGGCAGTCTTTCCCTCGATATCCGTCCTGACAAATGCAAGTATAAAATGGACCCCTTCCCATACACGTTGCTTTATTTGCACATGGATTGTGTGAACATGGGTCCAGTTCTGAAAGGAGACATACAGTGAAAGCATGAACAGTAAGCCCTAGTAGAGAGGATGCTGCCTATAGAAATAGTTATACTCCTATTATTTTCATGTTTTAGATTCTTCTTCTTCAGATGCATGTTCCATTTGTGACTTGTGAAAAAGTGAATTTTCCTTCCTTGCAATTGAAGTATATGTGCATGTTTAACTAATTTCTTGAAAATTACTCGCAGATTATCCAGAATAGCACAGAAAGGATCCTGGATGTGTGCGGCAGCTAAATCGAGCACAGAATAAAAAGTGACAGAGAGGTTAGGCAGGGTTTCATTGAAATACCTTGGCATGTTTCTCCTTTGAAGCCAAGTGCACAGGTGCATTTGAAATCACGATCCGTTTCAACACACTTTGCTCCATTCATACAAGGATGTGAGACGCAACTCAGAGGTACTGAAATAAGAATTATTCTTCGATATTTTCCAATCTTACTTATGATAGCATTATCGAATGTTTTTTAATAGCCTGGGTATGACTGTTGAGACAAACGATTGTCTGTTGAAACATGGCCGGAACCTCCATAGACAGGCCAGAATCTAACCCCTCCCCCAATCAAAATTAAGATGTATTCGTTTTGGTTACTAGTTCTCATTCACATAAGTCAAAGATTGTAGCTTTATGGATCTAATCTCCAAGATGGTTTTTTGTCAGCGAGAAAGAATCGTGTAAAATGGAAGGACAAATTTTTGAGGTACAAAACACTACAAAATATCTAACCTTACAGCATCTTATGTGATAAATCTACTGTTTTATGTGTTAACAGCATCGATTGTTACCATTACATTATGTGTTACTAGGGTCAAGCTAAATCGATGTGATAGATGTTAACTTACCGTGACAATTGACTCCTTTGTAGCCATATGAGCAAATACATTTGTAATCCGCGCCAACTTGGACACAGATTCCACCGTTTTCACATGGATTCTTCTTACAGAGGTCTGGGACTAGTAAATAAGCAGACAACGTATCCATGAAATTGTGCTTACATGTTGTTATCAAGCTAACTGCTCACTTGCTATATACAAAAGGTCACGTTGCTCTTCGGGAAATCTAGTATACTGTTTCTTTGAAATAGGTCGTGCCATGTTGGTTATAGACAATTAAAGGTACAAAATTTGTATCATTCTATGTAATGCTAAGTGGCCAGCTACGCTGTTTAAAAGGAATCATTTTATAAGGGACCTACATGTGGAAGCTCGAAAAAATAATGAACTTAAGAAACTGGATCTTGAGCTAGGCTCCTTATGCAACAAGCTTGTAGCGCAGGCAAGTAACTGCGGGCTACGGACTCACACCGTGGTGTTGTTTACCGAATGTTTACCAGGGACTTAAAACACAGAACTTACTTGAACAATCTTCACCATGGTAACCATCCAAACATTGGCAGCTAAAGCCACGATCAAGCATAACACAAGTAGCGCCATTTTTACATGAAGTAGCGGGACATGTTGTTTGCTTTGTCACCTGCTTGACAACAGTTGCTGCAACGCAAAATATATTATAGCGAAGTTTGCATTTCACATAAATATTTTCATCAACAGTAGTTAAAATTATCTAAAATTCTTAGGTTTCTTGACTGGGGCTTCGAGGGCCAAGCGCTAACTATTCATTTTCTATCAAACCTCCATAGACTGTTAGTTCGCGTCCATATTATGGTCAATGGTACCAATGCTTTAGTTGCGGTTTAATCTTTGCTTCATATATACCTCTTGGTACAAGCAATTAAACAAGTATTATAGATAAAGAGATATACAACGAAGACATAACGTACTTGTATTACAACTGCAATCTGCGCACGAGAATCCTTCTCTGCAAAGGCATTCAAAAGAGGTTCCCACATCCTTGCACAAGCCGCCATTCTTGCAAGGGCTATCCCGGCAAGGGCTGATTTTCTCTATAAAGAGAGACACATATTTGAGCACATTCCACAAAGTACTTTTCTATGCATAATGTGTCTTTCTCCTAACCAGGAATTTTCTCTATTCAGGGGGCTAATTTTCTTGGCATAAATGTTGCGGGGACGAAAAGAGGAATTAAACCGCGAGTCAAAACGTCAAAGAGCATGCGTAATAACGAGTGTGATAAATACACTCTTTTCTTTGCTTTGATAAAAAGAAAGGGGGTGCTAAAAGAAGGTGCGAAGGGGGTGCTGAAAGAGGGCGAGAAAGGGATGAGAGCAGGAGTTACAAGAGAATCCAAAAGGGGGTTAAAGGGGATAAAAAAGGAGTGAGTAGGATGTTAGGGGGGGGAGAGAAAGGTGAAAAGGGGATAAGGTGAAAGAGGTAAGAGGTGGATAAGAAGGAGGGGGGAAGAGAGAAAAAAAATGGGTGAGAGGTGGCCTGTTTTGTCTTCGCAACAAAAAGTAACTCCAGTAGGACCTGGTGTTGGCTAATGACATAAATCAATATGCCTCGATCCTAAAGTAGTTGTTTTGTAGAAGAGTAACTTACCTTAAAAATTCGTTTTTCGATTTTAATTCACTCCTAAATTTTAATGGGTTAACTTGAACTTTGCAAAGAGCGTCGCGTGGATTCACCAACATTTTAAAAAGCTTCAAATTTTAAATAAAATAACCTTACGGCTTTTAGTGATTAAATGAGCTTGTAACATACAGGAAACTCAACAGATAAAACAACGCTTTTTAGTTTGAAATCGTGTTTGGGTCAATGATCAATGATGTTTCATGCATCTTTCTCCAAAAACTTGTCAATGGTCATATTGAATTTATATGCAATATTCCATCCAATTTTAAATGAAACTCGTTCCAACATACCTTCGCATAGTTTTCCTTCATATTCTGCAGAACATTGGCAGTTGAAATCAGATTCTAACTCAACACATGTGCCACCGTTTCGGCAAGGATTCGAAAAGCACGAGGCGGGAACTAAATGAAAAATAAAGACTCGATAAACATTTAACACGATGGCATACTGAGCAACAGAAAACGTCAAAGTTTCCATTGTCATTGCCAATGAACTTATAACATTATAATTGTCTATGGTATAACACGAACAGTATAAAAGAGCGGAATAACATGAACGCAAACGATATTATGATTTCTCTTTGACTATATTGTGTGCTATTATGAGATTATGCTAGATTTTCTCAGAAATATAGTTATTTGATTGCTACTTTCTCGACGTTAGAGAGACTCGCGTAAATACCGACTAACTTAATTTGCATAGACATTTTAAAACGCATTTAAAAATGAAGAGGTACTATATGTTGGCAAAATGGATCTGCAAATAGCTACTGCACGGCTGTTTCTGATAGGGGGAGGCTCGTGCCCCCTGTGACTCTGATTTTCATTTAGTTCCTATCTATTGAGACTAAGTTCCTATCTATTTGCTTGTTTTCCAGTCCCCTAACCCCATTAGAGGTCCGGAGCACAGGCTACTATTTATTTGAACTTTCAAATATTACAAACTACATTCAGTTTCCACAAATTTTATTACTGTTTTATTCCGTTGTATCGGCATGGTTTTAGAAACCATTTAATTTCTCCCACTTCCTAAAAGGCGCTCAAATTCAAGAGTGCTTTCCTTGAGTTTTCAATGAAATATCGAGACCTACGTGAACAGCTTGGGCCTTTGTAATCCGCCTGGCATGAACATAGGTATCCATTATCATGAAGAGTGCAGGCTCCATCGTTCTTGCATGGATTTGGTTTGCATGTTACAGCAGGAACTGAAATAAGAAAGTAACAGGTTTCAATTCATACTAATGTGAGACATGACAGGGCTGTTATTGTGCACGATGATGCAGTGCTAAGCTTAGTCCAAGATCAAGTGGCCTACTAAAAATTTTTAAAATGAATCCAGAAATTCTTTTATCTTTGCTTGTGCAACTTCAGGACTTGGGTTAACATAAGCTATAATTGCAATCGAGCAATTTTAATCTTAATTGAAACTTTTTTAGTTGAACTTTATATCTATAACTTCCTTTCCTATTTTATCGTAAAAAGTACAGATTAAACTTGGGATGATAAAAGGGCAGCTGTTAGATTGAAATATGCAGTCAGCTGGGATACAGTAATCGAAATATGTTGCAACTTGTGATTGAGACAGTAGACGTTTTCGAGAGAAGCGTCTATAACATCTTAGAGTTTGATGTAACTGTTAAGGAATTTCCGCCATACTTTCACAATAATGTCCGCGAAACCCGCTTCTACAACTACACTTGAAGCTTGCGCCTCTGTGGTGGACACACGATCCTCCATTGAGACATGGTCGATGGTGGCAAGGGTTGTGGTGGTGGTGATGATGATGATTATGAAGACCCAGGGACAGAACATCATCGCCTAGGTTTAACATGCCTTCATTTCCTGCAATAACAAATACGTCACACATTAATGGTCAGGGTTTTTCTCGATGTCACCCTTCCAAGGCAGAAACAGGTTTGGTCAGTCTTGATAGCAAAATCAAGGTCACAGGTCAGGCAGTATATAATGAGAAATTTAAGTAGAGACTCATTCCGCAAAAAGTTGATCTTCTTTTAGGTATGGTTATTACCGCCACAACCAAGGCAGTAGGGTGATCGAAGAATACTTGATGTAAGCAAAGTACGACCAACTGGGACGGAATCGCACCTTTAACCATTCCCCCCCTCCTAGACCAGGTATACCCGTTCCTGGCAGTCAAGTGCGTAAACTATTTGTCAAATTGAAGCAATAACATTCATTTTCTTAAGTGAATTGATTGATTAATAACTTGATACCAATTGCGCGTAAAGAAGGTGATTTCTTTTGTTGGGTAGGTGATTCACTTGGATGTGAGTAATTGACTGCCTTAAAAGTACACATGAGGTAAGATATACATTTACAAAATGTTGAAGTGTAAAGGAATGTTCTGGCGCCGCGTCCTAGATAAAGTGGCTTTACTTATAAGTAAAGTATAGTATACCAACACACTTGTATTTGCAATTCAATTTTACTCACAGAAATCTGGGGTTGTATATGGTTCCATTTAGTTTTTTAGCTTTATTAAAACGATTTCTTGATTGCAAGACAGGTACGTTTGTAACGAATTTCTATGCTGGTCACAGTGAGTATATCAAAATAGAAATCTACCAAGATCGTTAGGTAAATTGTACCTTCAATAACTTACTGCAGTAACTAACAGTATCTGTTTACAACAGAGACATTAGATTTAGATCAGTCTCTCTATCCCATGAATATATTTTTTTAGCTCCACATGCTACAGTTTTAAGTTTGGCAAAGTAGTAAGAAACTGTGGTAGGAACTACTGGACGGGAAGAACCCACCCCGGGTATTGTATTTGCAGTTAGGTTATAGTAGGACAAATTAAATACTCTTCAGGTGTAGGTTTGTCCCTTACCTCCCATTGCAAAATAAACAGTAAAGTAAATATAGGCTGCCTACCGTATGCGTGTGAGATATCGTGGAAAGCATTGGGAGAAAGCTCTTGAAAGTTATTTGGAAGGTCAACCAGCTCAGACCCAGCAGGCAACGATTGCTGTGCGAAATTTCCTTCATCTGCATCATCAGCAATAATCACTGGGTTGTGGCTGCCGAGCCCATACAGACTGCTCCTCCGAAATTTTGGAGTGGGTACTGTATCCTTAGCTGTACCTTTTTTTTCTTGTGCAAACGGAATTGTATGCGCAAAACCCTTTGCAGCGATTTTTTTAATTCTTTGTGAAAACCATTCAGGGTACAACCTTAAGTTTCTCCTTTGAACTTCAATGTTTTGTGTGTTTTTTGCAGACGAGGAATCATGGTTGACTGCGTCTTGTGATCTTGATTTGCTCTTATCGATAAGAAATGCTCCAAACTCTGATTCTTGTGGTAAAGCATCGTTTTCTCCATTTGCTGCAAAAAAACACCACGATAAAAAGACAAAATGTATAGCTAGCAACATAACTAAAGTTTTTTTTCAAGTAAACTTGTGCAATTTCATACTATCTACCATTTTGTCCCGTACAAGTAGATAAGAAGCGCGGGGTATGTTAAATGATGGCACCAGCTCAATTTTACACATGACTGGGCAGCAAAAATTGCCCCTTTAGCTGCTCGATGAACCGATGCTTATGACATTAGACCGGGTCACCCGTCGACACAATGAAAGTTGTAAATAAGTGGATTTATTGCAACGACAGCACCTATTAACATCAATTTTAAAGCAGGCAAAGGTTAGTGTGTGCGGCAAAAGAAACGAAAATATTTGACAATATTTATGTTTATGTTAGGTTTAGATGCCTAATAAACCCTATGGTTCTATGGTAGAAAGGTATCAAAAAGTCAAGGTGAAATGGAAAATATCAATGTTTTAGTTTCAATTCTGAAAGCACAAAAACGACCAAAAAGAGAATGAGAGGCAATAAAAAGCTTGGGTCTAAAGCCAAATGTGCATTAAGCGAAACGCAAAATGCATTAAACTCAGCGAAAGCAAGCGACCATCGAATAGAGAGCATGCGGACATGATTATTTTAAACCCATGCCCTGGCCGCTGCGTTTCGCTCAGCAGTTCAATTTGGTTGATTTTTTCAGCGATCGCCAGCGAAAAGTTACGTAATTTTATGCAGATTGCAAGATGGCAAGCTTTGAACAGTTGTTGTCTCAGGAAGATCAAGGCAGATCTGTGGACAGCATAGAGCAGATGTCAAAAGATAGAAATTCTGTATCTCGTATTTTTAATGAATATTTTTAAGATATCGAGGGAAAAACTCATGATCGCAAAGTTTCATCTCCAAAATAAGGTGATGAAATTCGTCTCTCTTTTAACGTTCACAAAATAACTTTGTCGCCTTCTGGACTCTATATTTGCAACATAATCTCTGTCTTATAGCTAAAAGAAACGCAAAACGCTGCCTATTCGCCATGTATGATGTTGATTAAGGGCACACGAAGGCGCCAGAAATGAAGAGGGAAACATCTTTAACCGCATTTCGCTGGTGAACAAAGGAAATAATGGAAATTCAACTGCCAGCCGCGCAAAGCGATCATTGAGTTTCGCTTTAATGGAGATTGGCCTTCAATTTTTGCAACTTCCAGCCAACTGTAAACTCCCCCCACCCCAAATTGTGATGTCCCCGATCATCGTTCTTATGCTGTTAAGTGATTAGTGATACTAAAGCATGGCCACCTTTTCACTGCAGTAATTCACTTCTTAAACGAAAAATGCCTGTAAATGCCCTTTGCTTTATACTGGAGTTTAAATACATTTTTTCAATCAATGTCTTACTGTAATGCAGCACTCCAATTGTAAATTTAACCTAATGTGAAATAAGGAAAATTTTTAAACCCCTAAAGGTTGATTTGCCGGTAAGGAATATCATTCCAGACCGCCCCTGATGGTCCAAGGCTAGGGGTCTAAGAAGATGTCGAACAAACCAATGTTTCAGCAAAAAATTGTTACAGACCACTCCCTTCACAGCGCCAAAAAACAACCTGTAGTTGAAAATGAAAAATGAATAAGTTTCTCGTTTGTACGCTCCGATGGCTGGTTTTTTCAAACATAAGAACAGAGTCCTATGTAGCTTTTTGGGCTTCCCTTTTTCATTTCAGTTCTCTTCATGGCCTTAAATCGTTTCAGGCAAAACGGGTAAAAACTGTTTTATCCAACCTTAGGTAGGTAAGTAAAAATAAAATATGCTAAAGGTTCAAAGAAAGTCCATTCTTCTAGCATCAAAATTTGCAAAGTCGGAATGACATCTAACATCAACAACGACATGAAACTTTCAGTGGCTTGTTTATGATCCTTCCTTTTTGACTTGTCTTCGGCATCTTCGCAGCGTTCCGGCATTATATCATCTCGCTTTAATGATTCGTCTATAAAGGCTCCTCCGCCTCTCCACTCCAATCTTCTCTTTCCACTGTGGAATTATGCGGCTCTGGTACCCAGGGTACTTCAGTAAGCGCTCCATCGCAGCGCATCTGAAAACGATCATTCAGTTTTCTAGGCATTGTAAAAAACTGCATGAAGTGGAGAATGAGTCTCTCGATTGATTCTTGGAATCAGGACCGCCGATAGGGGGGAAACCTTATAAAGTAACGATTTCCATTTTTAAGAATGGAATTGATCAAAGGTAACCAAAGTATGCCTTCAAAATGTTTCAAGGTATACTTAAAACGTTTTAACTAATTACAAGCAAATGAGTGCAATGTATTTTAAAGGGCCTCTTCAGCCAAAAAACAATTTTTTTATTGACTAAAACGTTAGCATCTGGTGCATGTATTATGGCATGTTTTTGCAAAATTCCAAGTAGTTTTGAAGTAATAATGCTTTAAAGTTGCACCTTTCCGAGAAAAGAACGACAAAAGCCGAATCAGTTTGGTGACATTCTGACGTCACAGTGTGCGGCTCTCGTTCACCATGAATTTCGTATATCTTCCACCGAATCGTGAAGGAGTCATTGTCACGCGTTGATAACTGCATCTAAATCTAGAGCAGGAGCTTTTTAGGATCGAAAAGTATTAAATGTTTACAATCATTCTAAGTTTGCGGGTCGGAATGTGTCAATGCTGTGTCACGACTTTGTTTTGATCACCTGTGTAGGCCCACAAAGCTACGGCTTCCTGTTCCAGCTCTTCCCTCGCGTATAATTAATCGAAATTGACACTCCAGTTGTTCTCCAGAAACGATGAACAACTGAAGGCTTCAAAATTGATATCTGAAATGTTCAAACTAAAAGCCGTTGGAACAGAACTGAGAGTACCATCACTTGCAGTGTTCAATTTGCGAATCGCCGTCATATATCATTGCCGTCTTTCGATTCGGTTTGAGGCAAGACGAACGAAATACACTATGACGTCAAAATTGCGACAGATTGTCACCAAACCGAAAATTTTTTTGTTGGTTAATTCAATTCAATTATCGAAATGCAAGAGCTTATATCTCACAAACTGTAAAAAGTATCAAAAAACAAATAACGAATTCGTGATCAGCAGGTTCAACTCCTTTAGATTAGCCAATAAAATGCAAGTGCAAATTTTGGCTGGAGAGACCCTTTAAGCTAATGGAAGGGCTTGGTCGCATAAATTTTGCACTCATTTTGTACTCATTTTGCCTCTGCTTTCCAATCCCAGGGCCTTCAAAACCTCTTGTTGTCCCTGCTTATAATGAATGCATAACGAGCAAAGATACTTCATTTGGATCAGGACTCACCGGATCAGGAAAAAGTTGATCCTAACAGCAGAATTTTTTGATAATGATTATTGTTGTTAAGGGATTTCCTTTTCGATTAGAGACCATATTACGGCCAACGATCACGAGCATATTTTGCGCAGGGGTGGACTGGCTGGTCGGGCTATTCGGGCGATCGCCCGAAGGGCCGGTCGGTTTAAGGGCCGGCTGATAAATGTGCAAGAAAATAAATTAGCTTAAAAAGTGAATGCGAGGCAAAAAACTATACCCATGCGTTGATCTGTTTGCCTTAAATTTTCAGAGATTTTCAGAGACAGGGATTTTCCGGGAAAGAATAAATATACACGCGAGTACTCCAAAACCATCAAACTTATGAATTCATTATTGTCACCGCAGCCCAAACACACTCCTTCAGGAAAAATATTATTATATTTATCATATTCTTGTTATATTTTCTCTTGACGGTATTTCCTTTTTGGCGACATATTATACGGTAACACCCCTGTTTCAATGCGATACATAAGATTTTAACCTGCCCTGATGCCTTTTTATTTAGCTTTTGCTTGAAGCTGGTCATGTCTTTGCCTATGCACAAGCTATTGCTCAATGTAATAAATTAAAAAGTCCAAAAATTGGAGTTCACTAAGCGATTTGCTCTGTGATGTGGAGTAATGAAGAGGACAAGGGAAGTACGTAGAACAAGGGAAGAGCAAAAAAACTTCAACCAAAGGTGGTGCACAGAAATTTCTTGAGGAAAAGCTGCGAGACTTAAAAAAGGATTCAGCTACGATACAAATCTTTTTTTATCAAGCAAAAGCCACAAACGTCACAAAAAACAGCAGGGTCTTGCTCTTTTCAATAAACTCATATTAGTTATGGTAAGTTTATTAGGCCTATACTATCATAAGTCAAATGCACCCCCCCCAACAGGGGTATGGTGCTGCACGATAAAATTTCAACAGGGGTCCCCATGTTTTCTTTTTGGGGTCAGAAATTGACAGCTTGATATTTTTGGGTTGCTGAAAATCATTGTGGTTTTTCGGAGGATTAGGAAATTAATTGTCACAAGTTGAGTGTGATAGAAGCTTTTCCACCTCAAATATATAAAGAACAGATAACGTAGTAATTTTTCGCAGCCAAACCTGGAGTCCTTCATGTTAATGTTCTTAGAAAAACACCTGTTAGATGACATCCAGAACGATCACATTATCAACATATAAGATCCTGTATTTAGTCAAACCAATGAGTTAAAATTTCCGTTCATTTACTCTTTAGTCAGGGCCGTAAATCTGTCATGTCAATTGGGGGGATCAGCAGAGCAAATGAATATAAAGTTACGGTATGTGTTATGGAAACAGCTTGAGCAGCAAACGACTTAAAAAACAAAAAGAAATATTATTAGATTTTTTAGGTTTTTTCAGCTCTATAGAAGGAATTTACAGATTTTTAGCACGTTTACTTCTTTATAATTGAATTGATAACATTTTTCAGAGACAGCTTGAGGAAATTGAGCCTGAGGGGCTGAGAATCGCGCTTAGTGATGTAGGAGGACCCACCATGGCTGGGGCCGACGCGAAAGAAAATTTTTTAAATCGTACCTTCTAAATTGCTAGAAAAGCATCTCCCAGACCAAGTTTAACAAAATATTATACCGTTCAGGATAGACAAATCGACGTTTCTCAGAAGAACATTGATTATTGTTCTGGTAGAAAATGGGAAAGGGAAGAGTCATGCTTAAACTCTTGTGACAGACGTCGGGGAAAGAAAGAAAGGTGTTTTCTATTCGAGAGCAAGCGATTTTTTCCTGAAACCATATCAGATTAAAAAAAAATAAGGATGCATCTAAGAACATATTAGGGCTCAAAACGAAAACTTCCTTAAAAAAATAGAGGCTGAGCAAAAATTATTAATAATAAATAATAAATGAGCTAATAATAAAGGGTGTAGTCATTGCTTCTCTCTATATTACATGCAAAAGTACCTCTTTATTGACGTGGTACTTTTACGCAAATTAATTTTACCTCTTTCCCTTTTTGTCTTTTGCCCTTGTTCCTAGCTACAGTTAAAAGCAAAACTCAGAATTTCATTTTTTGTGTCTATGCTATTATCATGTCACTAAATGTGCAGTTAAAATCAAGGAGCTATTATGGAGGTCTTGGTACCGCAATTCGACTAATAGAGGTTCAAAAATTCGGAACATTAGGACCTAGGCTTTGAGGTAGGATTTTTATAAAAAGGCGGGTAATGAAAATATATGTAATGTGGGTTTGTGAAAATATGTGTAAACGATTCTTTTCTTACATGTTTTTGAGATTTATTCAAGGGGTAATATTTGGGGCTAATCCCCCACATGGGCTGACTCGACACCACTCTGCAAACATAAATAACTGCCATCAACACTAGTCCACTTGCGCTTGACACCATGACATAGTGGTTGAGGTTTGTTGCAAGAACACATAAAAACTTAGTTTGGTTCTAACGCAGTGACCAGAGATTCCTTTCTTCAAAAGAAAATGACGATAATTTCTCAAAAAAATCGTTTTGCTAAAGATTTTTTTTGGGGGGGGTCCAGTCCCCCCCGTCCCCTCGGGATTTACGGCCCTGCTCTTTAGTTAGCAAATTACATATTTAACATGTTCTGTTAACCAGCATTTACCCATGCACAAAATTATTGAATTTAAAAACTTGTTTTCCTTACAGACTAACATTTACCTGAATTTCCGTGGAGTTTTTTCTTTGCTATTATTGTGGGCCGGTTTGATAAAAATTTGCCCAGGCCAAAAAATTTAGCGAGTCCGCCCCTGATTTTGCGTTACAAATTTTTAAAATGTCTTCCTGAACGAAGATATCGATCAACATTTCAAATCAATCTTTCCAAAGCTTACACCTTTTCCTTTTTATTTGTGATTTAGATAGAAAATTATTACTAAACAGATGAAAATAATTATGAGAAAACTAAAACTTTTATCCAACCTTGAAATTTTTAATAAATTGAATGTTTTGAGCCCTTATATATTTTTAAAATATTGTTATTAAAAGAGATCGAATAGAAATTGCGCTTTTTGATGCAATACTGTGTCATTCATTACAATAGCAAAACAGGCAACTGCTGGAAACAAAAATATGCGAGCTGAGGCACATCACGTAAATTCATGTTATCTCATTTTTATTTTTCTGTTGGGAGCAGGGGCGGATCCAGAGCCAACTTGAAGGAGGGGCAGTTGGTAATAGGGGCGCTGAAAAATTTTCAAAAATTGATGGCGAGAGAACGCTGTATACAACAATTTCAGATCCATTCTCGGAATAAACAACATAACTTTTAAATAATCCTTGAAGCAAATTAACCTATCGGTCTCAGAAACTCTTTCACCTGATTCTCATTTTTTGAAAGGAGCGCACAATTTCCAAAAAGGGGCGCCATACTTGCTTCAACTCGTCGATGGAGGGGCAACTGCACCTAGTTGCCCCCCTTAAATCCGCCACTGGTTGAGAGATTGATACATCCTTTGTCGCCAGTATAATTGAATGTAAACGTCGGTACCTTGAATGTAGGCCTCTAGCCCCACCCCCAATAAGCTGCCAAGTCCGAGTCTTTTCTAAATCTACCATTGGCTTTCAGGAAATTCCATAGTTCGGGGATCTGTGCTTTCACGCACAGACGTCTACTCTCGCTTCTCCTTGTCCGCTGCAATCAAAACAGGTTTCCTTTTCGTTCATTTTTATATTAAAGAACGTTGAAATAAAAATAAAAGATCAGCCATTATGGCTTAATTGATGCTAAAATGTGGTTCTGTAAGCGAAAAAAATCTTAACATCTTCCCGATGCGTTCTGATTCCCTTTCCAGTCAAAAGCCCTTCTATTTGCCGTGGTGGATTCACCCCATGCACAAGCTACAACACAACAACATTGCCCGCGGCATTACACGTACCCAGACCCTTTAATGTAGAAACAAGTACTCATCAATGTCCTCATGTGTTGACGTGAAGCCAGCATTAACTGCAACTTATAATAACTAACAAAAATTTGTGAGTATCGGCACACTTTCTTTGTACAGTCGCTAAATCTATCTTTTCGAACTCGCTTCAATGCCGGTGAAAATGAGACAAATGCAATTATTGCAATTCCTTCTTCAAGGTTGCCCCTGTAAAGTTGAATCCCTTCTTTCCTCCCAAATCAATGTTGGATTTGTAGGTCTATCATTTTTGCTTCAAAATCATTCATTCAACATTAAGATTCGGGGAAGAAGAAAAAGTTATTTTAAAGTGTAAGGTCTTAAATATTTTTGTCCAGGATTGTAGCTTTTCTAGCCACTGGCATCGGCCACTTCATATATTTTAGTACTCGAGAGAAGATTTCGCATGCCCCCCCCCTCTTTTCAAAACTTCAGATAAGATGCCCCTTTGCAGTTATTCAAGTTGCCCTTTTCTGCTAATTGCATAGCCAAAAATTGCCCTATAAATACTTAGGCGCAATACGAAATGAGCAAAGAAAGTGGACGTGACCTTTTGGGATCATGATCTAAAATGATTCTTTGCTGTTATGATGTACCGTTTAAATTCATTTCAAGGAAAGAGACAAAGATTTTGAGCATCATACTCCCAACTCATGACGAATAGATCTAACGAACAATGTCAAAACTACAGGGGGTTAGCATATTTGTAGTCTGGGTACTAACGTCTATATCGCAACAACAAAAATACAGCATATGCGATCTGCATTTAGAAACACCCAAACTACCCACTCGCAACTAGGGCCACCGAAAGGTGGCAAATTGCCATTGAGGATTAGCAGGCCATTGAGGATTAGCAGTAATTAGCAAGAGGTAACAATATTGTGCCTAAAGTTTTACAAATTTTTAAACAATTGCAAGAAAATGTCTCTAAAAAATATTCTAAAATGCATTTTTAGCTAATCTAAACGGCATGATCGCCAAAAGAGTTTGCTCTCCTCGCTCGCAAAAGGTCTCATCTTTCTTTTTTGCCATAGGACTTCCAAAACCTCTAAACGACACTGTCCACAACCAAACCGAGAATGATATCGTTGTAGTCAGGCTTCCAGAAACAGCCATTTTTATCCTCTCTGGAATCTTTGTTAGAAATTTTTCATAGACATCCAGATTCTTCACTGAGAACTTTTTGGTAGGCTCTCTTTTCAAGTTTGATTCCTGATCTTAAACATTTTATACACAAATGTTCCAATTAGGTTTATCAACGATCTTTGAGAAATTTTCGAAGAAACATCGTTATAGTAACTCAAGTAAAATCTTGAAACCTCAATCCTAAAATAACTTGGCGTCGAAACAGCGTGATTATGATGGTATGAACATTTTCCTAATATGATAAAATGCAAACCAGGCACCGCGCAGCCATTGGGCTAGCAGAGGCTATACCACCCACATTTTTGCAATAATACGTTAGAAAATGTTAGAAAGTCTACTCTAACGCAATTTAGGAATGTTTATTCCAACGGATCCTAAGTAGTCGCATTTCCTCTTGACTGGGAACCCTTTTTTGCTCACTTTTAGGTGTCTTACCTTGTAAAATTTTATTCTTTAGTAATTGATATCTACTCTGAATCGGATTGTAGATACAAGGTAAGTGGAAAGAAGCAAGTACTTGCTATAAGGGGCGTTTTCCGGTGTTTTTAAGGGTGTAGTCAAAATAAATTTTGGTCACGCCCATTTCAGCCCACCCACTTTTAAACTGGTGTGGGGTGCCTGGTGCAAACACTAAGATTAAAATTCCTCATTCCAAGCTAAATTTTTTAATTCTTCCCCCAGCTAATGTCCTTGGTAGGAAAAAAATCTTAACCATTAGATGTCTTCTAGAAATATGTGTGAAACATCCCATTTAGCTGTCCCAACAACACATTGATTTTTTTAATAAAAACGGAAGCATATTACAAATTGAAGTACCGTACATTTTTTTGTCGTGAAAGTGGCCCCTTTCGAAAAATGTCCCACTACCGAAAGATCCTTAACAAAAGCCTTGGTTTTCATTTAACAGTTGGTCTACCAATTATCACAGCCAATCTGTGGTCTATTTCTAAAAAAGAAATAGTGGCAAACTAAAAAGATTATTGGACGTTTGGCGCCTACGTGACAAAACAATTCTGATCAAAAGAAACACCAAGAAAAGGACGTTTATACTTCACGATCAGTTGTGAGAAAGGAATACTGAGAAACAAAATAAATAGTCGTAAGCAAGTATTTACTTCTATCTTGAATAACTAAACATTTGTTTGTGTCGAGAAGTTCAGGACTAGTGAAAATTCCCTTATTTCATAACGGTGCTAGTAATCGGTAAATTGTTGATCATGATAATGCATTAAACAGGGCCAACGCCACGAATTTTAAAGTGGAGGGGGGCAAGACATTTTCTCCTTTTACTGCAGCTTTGAAACTCCCTGCTTCTGAAAATTGTGGGTGAGGGGGGGGGGGCTGCCCCGATGGCGTGTGCCCTTTTGAAGATGTGCTTAAAAACTGTAGGCTTGTCGGAAAGATATCGATGACCAAAGATAAAAGGAATATCATTCAAGAGAGGCAAGATAGAGTATATGCATATATCATGTAACCAAAATTGACACTTTTTATAAAAATATATCTTTTTCCTATATCATCAAACTTTACCAATAGGCCTAATGATCTTTAACGTTTGTGTACATCCCCCATCTTTGATTACGTAGTATGTGAACGTTTCCATAGATATGTGTTTTACGCACTTGCTTGAAAAATTGCAAGCTAACCAGGTGTGTAGTGATTGTTGCCTTGTTGGTGATGCTACCGTCATGGTACTGCTGTCAAAAACACAAGATATGTTTTTTCAAGGAGTTCTTAAAATCATGCAGCATTTGCTCATCAAACTTCGCCTTTAATAAGTTTTACAATAATAGGAGTTGGGAATCTTTGCAATTAAACCAAGGTGAAGTAAACTTTTATTCAAGCATACTTTCGATTGGTCAACTGATGACTGAAATCATCTTTAGCTCTGTAAAAGAATTTTTGGCCTTTTGAGAGTTTTTAAACTTTTTGAAAACAATAATGTGAGGCAAAGGGCGCACCGGGAAATTTCCCGATGTCCCGGTGGGCTAGTCTGCTTCTGCTCGCAGTCATTTACTTCAGAGTTTGCCTATCACGTGATAATTGATAATTGCAAGCTCAAGTATGCAAAAAACCAGTTGCGATCAGCAATGGGTCACGAGAGGTTAAATAAACGTCGAGCTTCACTTATTTGTCACCTGATGAACATGAAGCAATGGGTACAATTGCGGATAAACATGTGCTGAAAGACTTCTCATGCACTAAAAATTGTCCAGTTCATTTCTTTAGATTCCTAAGAGATTGACTATCAGTCCCATTGCGTGTTTGACTTTTAATTAAAGATACTGATTACTGATGATTATGATTATCAAAAGCTTGAATACCGATGCTTCCTTTTCTCTGATTTATTGAAACCTGATTTTCTCCCCCATATTTTTTTCTTAAGAATTGGCATGTGCTCGATGACGTCATTGTTTTGTAAACCTGTTGTTGGAAAGTTTGTTAGATGTGCCCCCTACCTAAGAGTCATTTCTCACGATACCCCTGTCTTTAAAACCAGTCTAAGCAGATGAAACTCCATACGCTTTCGAACAGTGGTGGTCACTTGGTAATTTGGAGGGACAACTAATGACACAAGATTTCTATTTACTTTCCATTTTGCTAAACTTATTCGCTAGCTATAAAACGAATTCGAAGCTTATGAAATATGTCCTTTGCCCATAAATCTATTAGCGGGAGAATTTTTAAAATCTACGGCTCAGTGGATACTGAAGAATTGTGTTGTGGACTTAGCCCTCAGTTCCTTATTTTGATGTATTTCTCTTCTTAGGCAATATCTAGTTTTCTTCATTTGAATAAAGAACCAAAATAACGTCCCCTCGACACGGTGACGGAGATTTTTACAAGCGCAATTATTTTTATCTGTTTTAGAAAGTCTGCGTGCACACTATGAGCGTCCACATTGAGAGTATGAAAAGTAGAAACTATTTTTACGCAAAGATAACTGTTTTATAGCTTAGAGATAACTTAGAACATCCTATAAATTGTTGATTCTTCGAAGTTTTTCAAAGTATTACCAGCCGTTATGGTCGGATGAACCAGTATGATCTACCAACGACACTACGACCCTGCGCAATCCTTGGGGAGATAGTTGTAGCCTCGGTTCCAAACATTCAGCAAACGAATTTGGAGGGAATGAACACCATGTTGAATTGCACGAGGCGGTTATGGACGAAGGTCCATTTTGCAGCTCCATTTCCTTGTTTTTTATCAACACTCTTGGCCACATCTCTTCAAAGTTAGCTTAAAAGCAAACTGCTACAAAGAACGAAGATTGCTGCTCTGCTAACGATTCAAAACAAGGTGGTTGCGACACGAACTTTGTTATCATTATGAAGAAAATCTCAGCAAAATTGCTACGGTATGTCGCCAACTTCTTTTGTCACCTTATTAGTATTGGCAAATTTTCATTTGTGCAAGTTATCGTATTTTTAATGCCGGTGGTTGATTATGAAAAGGGAACCCCAAACGCAACATGCAAACGGGCATTTCGCGAAGGTTGCCGGGCGTGAAGGCGGCGAGGGTCAGGTTCATAGAGCAGCGTTGAAGGCGCTCGGGGTCAAATAGGGAACGGGGTCAAATAGGGAAATCGAGGTCATATAGGAAAATCTTTAGTAACTCCAAAAATTGGACTGATATCTCAAAACAAACCTCAGAATCGGATTCAGCATGCTTTAAACTACCTTTTAGATGCTTTTTTAATTCAACTACGGTAATTTTAGCAGTATAAATCGCAATGTTTTGCTTCTACATTAGCTTGACGACGCTTGGCTCCTCCGTAGCTACGGGAGCAAATAGACAAAACTCGTTAAAAAAGCACCGTTTTAATTCAAAATAAACAGCAAAAGGTAGTAATCGCAATAAAAAATACACACTCTCTTCATATCAATCCAAATTCCAAACATCCTGCACCAAGGTTACAAGATTTCTCAAAATAAATCAGCTGAGTGATTGACGCGCTCGGGGTCAAATAGGGAAATTGTCGTTTGGGGTCAAATAGGGAAATCTTCAAAAACAGCAGGAAAAAAAACACGAAACAGGGAACTAACCTCATTTTAGCACGTAAAATCATCCAATCTATTGTTAACACCATTCAGCATGTTAGAAATCAAGGCATATCACTTATTAAATTCATATCAAGTCAATGCATCACATAAATTTAGGCCCTTGTTTACAGAGAATTCTTCTTCGCAGTTTCGGGGTCAAATAGGGAAGCAGTTGAATTTTGCATTATCAAATCCGTTTTGTTTTTTTTGCCGGAAATCATTATTCCAATAACTGTTTTGATTCAGGAGAATGTCCTCAGCTAAAGATTATTGCAAATTAATCACTCTGGGTCCTTGAAAATGATGAAAAGATTTTTTTATTGACAATTGTGTTTTTCAATTCATTTTCATTTTATTTTCATTTTATTTTGAATTAAGAGCTAGTTAACAGTTTCCATGCAATAAAATATAAAAATACAAATTAAAACACGGCTCAAAAGTTAGACCAAATCTAGTAGAAATTACAACAGTGAAAAAATTATATTGCAGAAAAGTTACAGTCTAACCACAACCCCCAAAAATCAGGCAGCTGTACATGGACCCTAGAAGGGGCAAGGGGGCAGGCTTAAGTAAAAAGGCATCTGAAAAATTCCCAGCTATTATTGATTCCGTTGTAACTGTATTTTCATTTTGGTTTCATATAGGTGTCTTGTTAATGAGTTAACTGCTCTTACAAGAGATGTTTTTACAGGTTTTGAGAAATTTTGTCATAAACAAGGCTTTCATATGAACTTCTTTAGTGATTAAAAAGGGCTGATGTCAAGGGCTGATGTCATGGGAAGGCCTGTTCTTTACATTAAATATGAGGTTTTACTGCATCATGCACTGGTCCTAAATTTTATGTTGCTGGATGGAAAAGGTTCACATAGAAAGTCAAAATATAAGAAAATGCTCTAAAAACTTGTTATAAACTACTTTTCAGCTTAAAATTCAACAGTAGCATTGATGTTTTTAGTGACACTTTTACCTCTGAAAAGACCCAACCATGGTTCACAGCCTAACCATAGTTTGCAATGGTCCTATCATGATTGGACCATAATACTTGAAAGGTCTGACCATGGTTAGTGGTTTAGCATGGTTAGCATGGTTGAGCAATTAAATGAGATTTTGCCTATGTTAACTATTATTTCTGAATATTTATTCTCAACAGTGCAAGAACAGTGTTATAAAAATATTAGAAAGAAGAACAATTTTCTGTATTTGCTATCATTTTACTTAGTAACCATGTCTGACCATGTCAAGAACATGGTCCATGTCCCAAGATACAATTAAGTGGGTTTTGTGCTTAATTTTTGTCTGATTTCACAACCAAAGTTTATATTTTCCCTGCCTTACAATGATTTTATTCTGCTCCTTCTGAATGATAAGAGTTTTACCTAAACATGTTTAATGGCTTTGAAAAAAGCAAACATTTGAGTAAACTAAAGTTTTTCGTTTGACACTCTTCAGAGTGTAAAACGTCAGAACATACACTTAGTGAGCAAAAGTATTGCACAGGTTTGACAATTCAGTAATGGCGACCGCGTTGTCAACAACAAAGCGATCAAAATTCAAACCACTTTTGTGAAGCCATTAGGCGTCTTTTTATGGTTAAAATCTAATCAAACCAAACTTCAAACCATTGACAACACTTTTAATTTAAAAATTGAATAAAACTTTTTAAAAAATTAAAAATTTTAACTTTTTATTGGACAGTCTCGCAGCTTTGAAACCTTTATGAGACTGGCTAAAACTTTATCAAAAAGTTTAGTAACAGTTTCTGTTAATCGCGACATGAAAAGTTCAGAAAAACATTTGCAAGATCACATTTAGGCATTGGAGTGCCAAGTTGATCATTAATGGCCTTGTTTTTGGTGGAAAGTGGCATATTTTAAGCCATTTTATTGTGTCCACTCTTTTACAGCTATTGAGGCACTCGAGTGATCCTGTTTATGGCGGGAATTTTGGTATTTTCATTTAATGAGAGGACAAAATGTTGTTTACACCAGGTGTCGGCAACCTTTATAAAACAGGGGGCCATAGTTGATTTCTGAAATGCATACAAGAGCCGCAACTCAAAATACAATATAATTTTAATATATACCAATTCTACCTAACTGCTAATCTAATCAATAAAATTGTATTTATCGGAAAATTATCTGTAACGTGGAAGCTGTACGTAAATACAAATATAGATGAGAGGTAAATGTTCACTGGTCAGTATATTACAAGAAGCTAATGTGCAAGTTGGTGCTGCATGTCCTTGTCGAAGATTTTTATATTTGGCAGAATTGTTGATTTCGGCAGCCGCAAGTTCCCTTCAAGGTGCTGATCAATCATTCGAGATCGCAGTCGACTCTTCGCATACTTCATCTTTGAGAAGAGACTTTCGCAAAGATTAGTACTGCCAAACATGCAACACATCTTCTCGGTATGCTGCACCAGACCTTGATATAAACCATCATCCACCATGGAGATACTCCATATAAAACGGGATTATATGAGTTTCCTTGTATTTCTGTTTCAATTCACTGGTACCCTGCAGCTCGATCAACTCCATTTGAAAATGGAAAGTGAACTAAGTTACCTTGCTTTACCTGAGTTTTCCAAAAATGTAGCATAAGCAGAAACATGACAACATACTCATACATGACATTCACAAATTGACCATGGCCTTGAAGCTACTTGTTCAGCTTGTTCGAGTGGCTAGTAATGACAACAAGGAATGCTAATCTAGACAAGAATCCAGGATCACTGAATCCGAGCCGACACTGGTGCAATGGGCCAAATTATTTACAGGTTAACAAGGGCCTTCCGGGCCACACAAAAGTACCTTGCGGGCCGCATGTGGCCCGCGGACCGCGGGTTGCCGACCCCTGTTTTACACAATTTTCAGCATCATCTACTCCCATTGTGAAATCGCAATCGGTTGGAAAAGATGGACTTGACGATTTGTGACACATTTTATTGATTGAATTTGATCGAAACGGAAGCTGCGACTAGGCCTATCAGTAAATTGAGCAGTTCTAGAAAACAAAGCATAAAGTAGGTACCCCCGAGTTCATTGTAATCAGATATCGCAAATTGGTGCAAAGATTAACTTTTTATTACAAATGTTTCACAGGTACTTCAATCATTATGGCTCAATTTTTGTGTTTTTGTGGCATGTCGATATTGTTTAGAAATAGGCAAAAATTAAGAATATTCTTGGATTTACAATTTTCGGCATCAAACCTTGATAAATTTTCTAACATATTCCAGTTAAAAAGCCATCTTATAACTTTTATGAAACTTGCTATGGCCACTTGAATTTTGGTTCACTAAATTTTTTTGGTGCGGCCCTTTCTGTTAAAGCCTGTGCAATACTTTTGCTCACTAAGTGTAGATCGAAAACTCTATGCTAGGAAAAATATATACCCAGTTGTGGATTGAATTAGGCCAATCAAAAACGCGAGCATATGACTGTTGAGGTTGACCAATCAGTGCCGCTTGCCTATTAAGAATGTCACCAATGGAGTCCTAAGGTGAAAACGAAGTCTATTTGTCTACAAAATAGCGGTTTTTTCGTGCTTATGTAGATAGATTCTAAAACTGCTAGATGGAATGACAGTCGTCCAGTAGACTCACAGGTTTTAATAGTATTTTTAGATCTGCAAGACCAAGGTGAGTTTTGTTTCTAATACTGGATGGAACATGTTGTTTTATTCTATCCTCAAATCTTTGGGTAGTGAGTCCTACGTAGCCAGAATCACACTGGCACATAAATTCATATATAACGGAACTCTTTTGTGTGGTAGGAATGCAGTCCGTTTGAATGGATGGAAGGGCCTTTTTTGTAGTGTAAACAATACATGGATTCACTGCAAAGAAACAATTTGTAATGTCCTGTTTTATTTGACTTTCAAAACATAAGGGAACTGTTACCGATCCAGGACAGTTTTAGATAGACCGGGCACTTTTGCGGACCTAATTTTACGTCAGCCGAGAAATTTGCTATCTTCTCCTTAATGTAAACTGAAATGACATCCTCTGGATAGCTGTTCTCCAGAGAATTTTTTTTTAGTTGTTCATGTTCCGAGTTGAGTTTAGACTTGGAACAAATCATCAGTGCCCTATGAGTAATCGTTTTGATGAGGCTGATTTTTCTTTGTTTTGGGCAAAGTGAACTCCATTGAGTGTATAACCCTGAAAATGTGGGTTTACGGTATACACTGGTAAGAGATCCAGATACAGACTTTTCAACCAAAACATCTAGAAATGGCAAGGAGTTGTTTTCTTCCTTTTCAAATGTAAACTGTAGGGCTGGGTGAAGGCCGTTAAGGCGATTTAGAAAGTATCACACTCAGCCTCTGTTTTGAAAATAGTTTATTTGTCATCTACGTACCGAAAATAGACACTTGGCTTTCGGTTGCAGTCAAACAAACGCTCTTCGTGGACGCCAACAAAGATATTAGCCAAGGCAGGTCCCAGAGGGCTACCCAGAACGTCACCACCCTTTTGTTGGTACATTTTATTGTTAAAAGTGAATTCAACTGAACGTGTTGCAGTTTCTATCAGTCCAATGAATACTTCCTCTGGGAATGGTGGGCTATTAAGCTCGCTCCGGTACAAAGCATTAGCGCATATTATCATGGTCTCACTCAAAGGAAAATTTGTGAAAAGACTGCTAATGTGAAAAGAACACATTAAAGATGTTTCGTTTTTGATGTTCAAGTTTTGTATGAACTCAACAAACGTAAAAGAATCCTTAATACATTGTTTTGATTATTTTTGAAGAACATGGTCCAGAAGTTCAGAAAGCCACTTAGCCAATTCATGCTGGGCCAGCCATAGACAAGATGAGTCTAAGTGAAACATTCGGTTTATTTATTTTAGGGAGGCCATTCATTTGTGGACGTTGTGAACCTATGGGTCTTATCCTATCGTAAAGTTCGTTGGTCAACACTTTTGAGAGTTAACCAGCTCCAAAAGGTACTACCCACTCACTTAATCTAGATTATAGATTTCTTTCCGACAGTGCCTCCGTGAAAATTTCTGCAACCCCCTCCCTTTCTCTTTTTCCCATTTTATGCAAATTTTTCCCTTTTATTTTACTCGCATTTATTGTTTTTCCCACGTAGACACCAGCCTATTTTTAAAAAATACGGTGTTCCGTCTGACCATAGGTCTCTTGCCATCAACGACTGCAATTTAAAATAAAGGCAGTTAATTCTCTTGGAAAATTAACGATACTTCCTGGTTTTATCTCAAACGCTTGTTAATCTGCTAGAATGCTGCAAGGGTCGTGAAAATAAGACATCTGCAGTCGCCATTTCGAATTCAAAGTTTTGCAGTTCCACAACAGATCAGAAACAATAGGTAGCCAATCAACTACTGGCTATTGTACACAGTGGCGTAGCGTGACTTTTTCAACTGGGTATTCTCTATTAAACAAAAGGGTGGGGCAGGGTGTGGCTCGATGGGGCTTGATGAAAATAGAGGGATAATAGGAAGATTAAAAGGACTAGCTTTTGACATTTAATCTATTACTTTAACACTTTTCTTTTTGGTTCGGTTGGCAAGTACTGCACTGTCAGGGCATTACTATGATGAAAACGATACTTTGCTAAAAGGACCCAACGCAAATATACTCTTCGAACTCATTCATTGCATCAAAATTCCATTTCATCAAAAGTAATTCAAATCAAAACGTATCATTGAAAATCAGTAAAATTTTGCTGGTCGAAATATGTCCCAATAGTTGTTGTTGAATCCTCTAAAATTTGCACTGATGTAAAGAGGAAGTAACTGTAAACACCTAATCTTGATATCTTAATACAAAAGGGCTTTCAAAAGTTTCAAAATTATTCACATAGGGCATTACACGAGTTATAAATAGCTTGTGGTATGCAGTCTAGACTTTTTCTTCATGGCCTAATCGTGATATTTTCAATACAAGTTAATGTTTGAAAGAATCGAAGGTAATGAGATGAGACTGCACGATAATGCAAATAAATGCGCTCGAATAATGCAAACAAAATAGGCCAACAAGATAACTGAATACACCAGGCAACTATAAGGATATTATCCAGGCCTATCTGCATTTACTTTAATTCCGTCTCATAACACAATTAGAAGCATCCCTGATTGACAAGCAATAACAAAATTGACATTTCAAGAGGGCACAGATCTGAGTCAGTGTAGTATTATGTAGAAGCCTACCTTACTTTTCCACTTTGCTGTTGGTAGATTAAGATTAGGGGTCTAACGAGAGAATGATTATGAAACAGTAATGCGGACATTGCAATAGCTTTTGAATGAAGTCATGTTTACTGTTTTCGATGAAGATCCATCACTCCAACCGCTCCGACGTCCATTATCTGTTTATATCGATCTCAAAACGAGACTATTTTGAACCAACTTTGAGGCTGTACGCTGCATATTTCTCAGCGTACAGGACCATTGTTTTAGCTGATTAACGGCAAATATTATTCATGGAAAGGAGCATTTTGATTGGTTAAAGTACCGTCTAGGGTATTCACTGCGTATTCATGACCGATCTCAATTCAACATGAAGTAGCTCAATCTTCAAAGATCTCCCAGCCTCTCCATGCGTCGCAGTGTTGTTTCCATGAATTTCGTGATATTTTGTACTTGTACAAAATGTAGAATATCGAAGGTAATGAATTCAACCAGAATCAATTGCCCCAAAACATTTTTTAGTTATTACAAATATACGTCCTATCAATATTTTTTCTGAGAAATCTCAGGGTATTCACTGAATACCTTGAATACCCGGACGCTACGCCACTGATTGTATAGCGCTCTTACAAATATGGTATCATTGCCGAGTTCTGGATGCTGTTTTGACTTAGTTTCATCCGTGTTCCAAACAAAAAGTTTATTGTTTCAATTCATTCACTTCCGAGGCACAAAACATTTATTTTCGAGTTCTAGGATTGACTGCTGTTGTCCTCCACAGCTTTAGAAAAATCGTTTCAAAATCACGACAGAGAAGAAGGAAGGAAAATGGCGAACGAATTACATCAAACTGGCAATTTAAAGATTTCGAAGAGACTGCGATAAAACTTATAATTTCTAGGTTTCACTTTTTTAGTCTAAATATTACTTATTTCAGGCAACACTATTTTAAGCTATATGTTGAAAAACTGACTGAGTTCTGTGCACCAAGGAACTCACTTTGGATCCGCCCCTGAAGGAAGATGGATTTTTTGTCAATGATGTTGCAGGCAGGGGACGAAGAGACCCGCAGAAGAAGATCTTTTGACAATTAAGGTTGTTATAGATAATAATAATCAATCAATTTAATCTTGTTGTCCTGTAACATCGAATGTTCTCAGAAGATACACAGCAGAAACATTCAAGCACTAAGGCTCTGTGTAAAACGAAAACTTAGCTTCACAGATTACTATTCACGATTTTTTCAGACTTTTCTTTAAGTTTATTTCTTTCTTTAACATTCTATATATATTCTTTCTCACTTTTATCAGATATCACTTGGAGGTTCAATCAAATGTCATCAAAACATTTCAGAAAGGTATTTTCTTGAAAATTTTATAATTATACTTTAAATTTAAAATTTTAAAAAATTTTTTTTTTCAAAAATTTATAATTTTGTAAACTTTTTTGCAACTCTGGGGTTATGAAATTTTTCAAAAATGACAAAGTCCACATTTTTATTATATGAGCCTAAAATACACCAAAACTACCTGAAATGTTGTTTGGAACGTAAATTAAGTCTTTCTTGGTTGTTTTGTGTATACAAATTTTTTTGAAAAATTCATAATTTTTTCATGTTTATTCAAGCTCTAGTCACGAACATAATATATCTACTATTTCCTACTTTTTTCCAGAAATCACTTGCACATGCAAACAAATGTCATGGAAACATTTCAGAAAAATATTTTTTTATCATTTTTGTTTGTTTTTAGTAAAAAGATTTTTTGAAAAAATTTTCAATTTTTTGAACTTTTTTGCAGGTCCGGGGTCATGAAATTTTCAAAAACGACCAAGTCCTAATTTCCAGTATTTGAGCCAAAAATACAGCAAAACTACCCGAAATGGTGTTCGTAACATAAATTAAGAATATCTCGGTTGTTTCGAGGAAAAAAAAATTTTGAAAATTTTTCAATTTTTTGAACTTTTTTGCAGATCCGGGGTCATGAAATTTTTGAAAAATGACTAAGTCCTCATTTCCAGTATTTGAGCCAAAAATACACAAAAACTGGCCGAAATGGTGTTTGTAACGTAAATTAAGACTTTCTTGGTTGTTTCGAGGAAAAAAGATTTTGAAAAATTTTTCAAATTTTTTAGTTTTTCAAACTTTAGTCTGGAACATTCTATGTATCTTATAGATATCACTTGATCTTATAGATATTATGATCTTATAGATACTTGATCTTGATCTATCACTTTATCTTATAGGTACTACTTTCCAGATATCACTTGAAGGTTGAGCCAAATGTCATGAAAACATGTCACAAAGGTATTTTCTTATCATTCTTGGTTGTTACTAGTAGAAAGATTTTTTTGAAAATTTTTCAATTTTTTGAACTTTTTTGCAGGTCCGGGGTCATGAAATTTTTCAAAAATGACTAAGTCCTCATTTCCAGTATTTGAGCCAAAAATACACCAAAACTACCTGAAATGGTGTTCGTAAGCGTAAATTAAGACTTTCTTGGTTGTTTCGAGGAAAAAAAAAATTTTGAAAAATTTTCAATTTTTTGAACTTTTTTGCAAGTCCGGGGTCATGAAATTTTTCAAAAATGACTAAGTCCTCATTTCCAGTATTTGAGCCAAAAACACCAAAACTTTCCGAAATGGTGTTCGTAACGTAAATCAAGACTCTCTTGGTTGTTTTGAGGGGAAAAAAAATTTTGAAAAATTTTCAATTTTTTGAACTTTTTTGCAGGTCCGGGGTCATGAAATTTTCAAAAACGACCAAGTCCTAATTTCCAGTATTTGAGCCAAAAATACAGCAAAACTACCCGAAATGGTGTTCGTAACATAAATTAAGAATATCTCGGTTGTTTCGAGGAAAAAAAAATTTTGAAAATTTTTCAATTTTTTGAACTTTTTTGCAGATCCGGGGTCATGAAATTTTTGAAAAATGACTAAGTCCTCATTTCCAGTATTTGAGCCAAAAATACACAAAAACTGGCCGAAATGGTGTTTGTAACGTAAATTAAGACTTTCTTGGTTGTTTCGAGGAAAAAAGATTTTGAAAAATTTTTCAAATTTTTTAGTTTTTCAAACTTTAGTCTGGAACATTCTATGTATCTTATAGATATCACTTGATCTTATAGATATTATGATCTTATAGATACTTGATCTTGATCTATCACTTTATCTTATAGGTACTACTTTCCAGATATCACTTGAAGGTTGAGCCAAATGTCATGAAAACATGTCACAAAGGTATTTTCTTATCATTCTTGGTTGTTACTAGTAGAAAGATTTTTTTGAAAATTTTTCAATTTTTTGAACTTTTTTGCATGTCCGGGGTCATGAAATTTTTCAAAAATGACTAAGTCCTCATTTCCAGTATTTGAGCCAAAAATACACCAAAACTACCTGAAATGGTGTTCGTAAGGTAAATTAAGACTTTCTTGGTTGTTTCGAGGAAAAAAAAAATTTTGAAAAATTTTCAATTTTTTGAACTTTTTTGCAAGTCCGGGGTCATGAAATTTTTCAAAAATGACAAAGTCCTCATTTCCAGTATTTGAGCCAAAAACACCAAAACTACCCAAAATGGTGTTCGTAACGTAAATTAAGACTTTCTTGGTTGTTTCGAGGAAAAAAAAAATTTTGAAAAATTTTCAATTTTTTGAACTTTTTTGCAGGTCCGGGGTCATGAAATTTTTCAAAAATGACAAAGTCCTCATTTCCAGTATTTGAGCCAAAAATACACCAAAACTACCCGAAATGGTGTTCGTAACGTAAATTAAGACTTTCTGGTTGTTTCGAGGAAAAAAAAATTTTGAAAATTTTCAATTTTTTGAACTTTTTTGCAGGTCCGGGGTCATGAAATTTTTCAAAAATGACTAAGTCCTCATTTCCAGTATTTGAGCCAAAAATACACCAAAACTACCCGAAATGGTGTTCGTAACGTAAATTAAGACTTTCTCGGTTGTTTCGAGGAAAAAAAAATTTTGAAAAATTTTCAATTTTTTGAACTTTTTTGCAGGTCCGGGGTCATGAAATTTTTCAAAAATGACTAAGTCCTCATTTCCAGTATTTGAGCCAAAAATACACCAAAACTATCCGAAATGGTGTTCGTAACGTAAATTAAGACTTTCTTGGTTGTTTCGAGGAAAAAAGATTTTGAAAAATTTTCAAATCTTTTAGCTTTTTCAAACTTTAGTCTGAAACATTCTATGTATCTTATAGATATCACTTGATTTTATAGATATTATGATCTTATAGATACTTGATCTTGATCTATCACTTTATCTTATAGGTACTACTTTCCAGATATCACTTGAAGGTTGAGCCAAATGTCATGAAAACATGTCAGAAAGGTATTTTCTTATCATTCTTGGTTGTTACTAGTAGAAAGATTTTTTTTGAAAATTTTTCAATTTTTTGAACTTTTTTGCATGTCCGGGGTCATGAAATTTTTCAAAAATGACTAAGTCCTCATTTCCAGTATTTGAGCCAAAAATACACCAAAACTACCCGAAATGGTGTTCGTAACGTAAATTAAGACTTTCTTGGTTGTTTCGAGGAAAAAAAAAATTTTGAAAAATTTTCAATTTTTTGAACTTTTTTGCAGGTCCGGGGTCATGAAATTTTTCAAAAATGACAAAGTCCTCATTTCCAGTATTTGAGCCAAAAATACACCAAAACTACCCGAAATGGTGTTCGTAACGTAAATTAAGACTTTCTTGGTTGTTTCGAGGAAAAAAAAAATTTTGAAAAATTTTCAATTTTTTGAACTTTTTTGCAGGTCCAGGGTCATGAAATTTTTCAAAAATGACTAAGTCCTCATTTCCAGTATTTGAGCCAAAAATTCACCAAAACTACCCGAAATGGTGTTCGTAACGTAAATTAAGACTTTCTTGGTTGTTTCGAGGAAAAACAAATTTTGAAAAATTGTCAATTTTTTGAACTTTTTCGAGGTCCGGGGTCATGAAGTTTTTCAAAAATGACTAAGTCCTCATTTCCAGTATTTGAGCCAAAAATTCACCAAAACTACCCGAAATGGTGTTCGTAATGTAAATTAAGACTTTTTCGGTTGTTTTGAGGAAAAAAAAAATTTTGAAAAATTTTCAATTTTTTTAACTTTTTTGCAGGTCCGGGGTCATGAAATTTTTCAAAAATGACTAAGTCCTCATTTCCAGTATTTGAGCCAAAAATTCACCAAAACTACCCGAAATGGTGTTCGTAATGTAAATTAAGACTTTCTTTGCTGTTTTGAGGAAAAAAAAAATTTTGAAAAATTTTCAATTGTTTGAACTTCTTTGCATGTCCGGGGTCATGAAATTTTTCAAAAATGACTAAGTCCTCATTTCTAGTATTTGAGCCCAAAATACACCAAAACTACCTGAAATGGTGTTCGTAACGTAAATTAAGACTTTCTTGGTTGTTTAGAGGAAAAAAAAATTTTGAAAAATTCTCAATTTTTTGAACTTTTTTGCAGGTCCGGGGTCATGAAATTTTTCAAAAATGACTAAGTCCTCATTTCCAGTATTTGAGCCAAAAATACACCAAAACTACCCGAAATGGTGTTCGTAATGTAAATTAAGACTTTGTAGATTGTTTCGAGGAAAAAAGATTTTGAAAAATTTTCAAATCTTTTAGCTTTTTCAAACTTTAGTCTGAAACATTCTATGTATCTTATAGATATGACTTGATTTTATAGATATTATGATCTTATAGATACTTGATCTTGATCTATCACTTTATCTTATAGGTACTACTTTCCAGATATCACTTGAAGGTTGAGCCAAATGTCATGAAAACATGTCAGAAAGGTATTTTCTTATCATTCTTGGTTGTTACTAGTAGAAAGATTTTTTTTGAAAATTTTTCAATTTTTTGAACTTTTTTACATGTCCGCGGTCATGAAATTTTTCAAAAATGACTAAGTCCTCATTTCCAGTATTTGAGCCCAAAATACACGAAAACTACCTGAAATGGTGTTCGTAACGTAAATTAAGATTTCTCGGTTGTTTCGAGGAAAAAAAAAATTTTGAAAAATTTTCAATTTTTTGAACTTTTTTGCAGGTCCGGGGTCATGAAATTTTTCAAAAATGACTAAGTCCTCATTTCCAGTATTTGAGCCAAAAATACACCAAAACTACCCGAAATTGTGTTCGTAATGTAGATTAAGACTTTCTAGATTGTTTGGAAGAAAAAAGATTTTGAAAAATTTTCAAATCTTTTAGCTTTTTCAAACTTTAGTCTGAAACATTCTATGTATCTTATAGATATCAGTTGATTTTATAGATATTATGATCTTATAGATACTTGATCTTGATCTATCACTTTATCTTATAGGTACTACTTTCCAGATATCACTTGAAGGTTGAGCCA